AGATGTATATTCGTGTGGGATTAGGAGGTTACTATAGTGGATGAGAACGCGGGCTCAAAAAATGGACTCCAAAAAGGGGATTTAGCGCTGCTACAGTATTACTACTGGCCACATTACAGGGTAATAAATTCTGCCAGCTCAGGCCGCTTTGGCTAGTTTCTGTTGGGGAGTTTATATCTCCCCACTTCAGACCTAAGAGAAATTCATCACGATGTCTAGTTGACCCACTCGTCCAATTTTCTCCTTGAAATTGGGTTTGTAACGCCTTGGCGTTTGATAATTCTCGCTTTCAGCCTCGGCCCGTCTGGCTGTGCTCCGTGGAGTGGATTTGGTTCATCAATATTCGTCGGAGTCCTTCGGGGTTTTCCCGTAGTCCCGCTCGTGACCCAGGACTTGGTGGGCCACTGTGGGTGCGTCACATGCCTAGGGTCTAGGCGAGAAATACAGGGTCGTATTATGATGGTTAGAATACACCGACAATACGGAGGTCCCAACGAGTCTTCCCAATCACGTTTGACATATCCCCTGCCCAGCAATTCCATCATTCGTGTGCACAGCTGATAGGCTTGGATCTCTTCACTTGAAGCAAAATGAGTCTTCTAGATTTGCCGAGTGAACTCATCGTGGCCATATCTCACCTACTAGATGACGAGTACTGCATCAACTCCTTTCTCCAAACATGTAAAAGGCTTTTTCTGTTACTGAACCACTCCCTCTATGAGCACAATGTCCGATTCTCGCATGCGTGCGCTCTCGAATGGGCCGCCAAAAATGGCTATGAGGCAACAGCAAGGTTCGCGCTCCAAGCTGGAGCGTCTCCGAATGCGCGTTTCTATGAAAATTGGCTCCCCATGGCTCTAGCCTGCATTCATGGCCATGCTGATGTTGTGAAGCTATTGCTAGCAAATGGTGTCGATCCAGATACATCAGAAGGGTGGTGTCATCTCGACGAACTAGCTTACGAACCAGAAGGCGATGATGATGGCTGCCCAATGATACTCGCGGCTGGAAATGGTCATGAAAGTATCGTCAAATTATTGGTATCGCATGGGGCTTCTCCAGACATTCGGTTCGTCCGCGCCAACGGCAGCCGGGAAGAGTTTCGCGCTTTGAATGTAGCGGCAGAGAGAGGCCATTTATCAATTGTCAAGTATCTTCTCCAAGTTGGATGTGACATAAATATCCCTGGTTGGGCTGGCGATTCCATTCTCTCTGATGCGGCCAAGGGGGGGTATGTGGCACTGGTGCAATTCCTGCTTCAGGTCAAACCTGATATCGAATCTCCGCCTTCCACTGCACTATCCTGCGCCGCTGCAGAAGGGCATTTGGAAATCGTCGACATTATCCTGAACCATTGGGCGATACATACACCTCTAATAGATATACCAATCTATCCAATCATCGCAGCTACAAGGTCTCGGCATAAAGCTGTAGTTATGCGACTCCAACGATCTATGAACCTCGAGGGTTTAGTTTCAAGCGGGGATATCGATGACAATATCCATAAGCATCTATTCCTCTTGAGTGCTAGTTGGGGTTGGGAGCATCTGATACAAAAGCTACTTGATCGAGGTTGTCCGATAAGATTCGAACCCCCCCAATCAATATGCCAGTTCCGTTCGCATCAAAAGAAATAAATTCGGGATAGGCTTGGGTAGGACTCTCGCCAATCCGTGGCCTTTGGACATTGCATCTCATGAAGGTCACAAATCTGTTGTTAAACTACTGCTAAGTCATATCGCCGACACGAGGGACTACATGGTCTCGAACAGAATGCGGGAAGCAAACCCACTCTTCCTGGCGATCGATGGCGCTCATCACGACATTGTCCGAATACTTTTGGCCAATGGAGCAGACCCGAATCATCAAATGAAAGCACACAGCTTTCGAGAACCAATCTTCTTCCAGGCTGCAGAAACTCCAGAAATTCTAAGAACGTTGCTTGAAAACGGCGCAGATGTCACTTTACGATCACCGGATTCCTCCGAGACCATCCTTATTAGAGTCCTCAAAACTGGCAGCTTGGGAACGCTTCATGTCTTAGAAACTTGGATGCCTATTGTTGAACCCTCAGATCCTTCCCCTCGCTCTCCTGTGTCCCTTTTGGAGGCAGCTGCTGTTGGTGGAGCAGTGGTGACGAAGTATCTTCTTAATGGAGGTTACCACGTTCTTCCTGGGGGTCCAGTGGTGAAACGTGCTCTAAAAACCATATTATCCGCCTCCGATACGAGTTCATTGAAGATTTTGCTAGATAAAGGGCTCGTTAGCCCTATATCCGCATTTTCTGAGGATAACTTGATCATTGCTGTTGATTCTCCTGACCAAGATTCGTTTGCTGTGGCTGCAACCTTGGACATGCTCTTGGCACATGGATTTGAGATTAATGGGATGTCAAAGTCACCACTTACCACTATCGTTGAAAAAAAACGCCATCCAAGCCCTAAATCACTTCAGCTAATCGTTCATTTTCGATTATTGCTCGAACGGGGTGCCGACCCTCTCGTCGGCCGTGGAAGATCAAGGCCATTGGTGTCCTTAGCGTCCAGAGGTCGCAAAGATCTACTAAAAATTGTTTTCCAAAGTCTTGAACACCGGAAGATACCACTCGATTTTCTCAAGCAGATTTTAGCGGACGCCGAGCATGAAGCAAAGGAAGAAAAGCAATTTGACGTCATCCCACTCCTGCACCGCTTTTTTTGGCGTAAGAAAAATCAAAATTTATAACTGTCAGCCGTTGGCCGATTCTGCCGCTCCTCTCCGCCCTTAATAGCAGCACCGTCTGGACTAATGTCGTCCGAACACATACGAAAGTGGACAGGAGGATGGTGGGAGTTGGGTATTAGATCGGTCGTGGCAGCTCCTCCTTCCCCTCTTCCCTCCTTAACTTTAGTATTCCAAATTGAAACGCCGTTGTTGCTGTGTCCCAACTCCGATTAGGCTTCCCCTTGACAATAACAATCGTTTTGGATGGAAAGATATTGAAATAAAAGGGAGTTGGCGACATGGAATAAACACCAATCAATGATAGTATGGTTTCACCGATAGTAGTAGCTGTACAGTCTAGATACTTGAAGTTCTGGCTGATCATACACTTTGTATATATTTCTTCAACCTAGCTGCGAATTATTTCAAACATAGTATGCGTACACTCGTTATAGAGTTGTGAGATTGTAGGGTGCGGCTTACATGACTGAAGCAATAGAACAAAGAGGGAAGGCAGTTGATTGAATGAGCTGTTCGCGACTTATCTAGAGTATGTAGGATGCATATTATATAACACGGATAGCCAATCATCTTCAAAGGATGTTAAGCCTTTGCTTGAGAACCTGCGTCTCATGTTGCGCCACATATTGGTCGATTTTGCCATGGTATATCGGTTGGGTCGATAGCTGGTCCAGATGGAGATGGTTCGAAGGAACTCTGAGCCGACTTCTTTCATGCATGAGTGCCTAATGGGCCCAGCGATAGCTCGGAATGCCTTAGTTCTGTCAACTCATATTAGGATAGAGATTTATCGTCAAGGAAAGAAGGATAGGATTTTCGATCCATGTCCAGCGTCATATATATATATTTCTGCAGTGTCTCGCTGGAAGCCAATCACCACCAGAGTGGAAAGATAGTTGAGCCGAATTTTGAGATACTACAGGTAAAGATTAGGGAGAGAAGAAGAACAAAATCTACAACAACAAGCACCCAATGCCCTAAGCTAGCCCTCCGTCATATCCTCTATAGTTCAGATGAAGCCTTCTGAAGCCAAGGCGGTGACAGGCGGCAGAGTTGAGTGACTGACGCTCAGTCGACACTGAAATGGCTTCGAATTTTAGTTTGGTTCTATCCTGCACATAGGTGCCGGGATGCCTAGCAGTAGCCCATAGGAATTTGTCCTGAGCCTTTATTTAGGCTTCATTTTGTTCCCCGTACATTTTGAAGCTCTATAACTTACTCGGTCATGCTAATGTCACGAGACGCTTTGTTACAGTTACCCGGGTGCCTCACGAGTCCAAGGGCCGTTGGAGAGCGCTCGAAGGCTAGATAGTACGATCTTCACACCGTCCACTGTATAGATATCAAATGACACGATAGTCTGCTAAACATTTCACACAGTAGATAGCTAGTTGCAACTGGAGAGGGCTTCACAGCTATCTAAATTGGCTGCACGGCTACTATTGAGCTATCATACAACGGTCTCGTAATATTATTAGCCTCCATCAGTCGTATCATCGTTCTATATCTCGATATATGCTGATGATTACTAAGTTCCTGTATTGATTGTCGTGGGATTATTGGGCATTTAACAAGTTGTATTTAAGAGTAGAAAAGAGCGTAAGCTGCCAGCTGTGGAACTTTAATCTACATAGAGTCTAAATATAGTGGGTGCGAATCAGGGAGGGCGACATATGTCAGATTGCTAGCCCGTAGTTAGATACTTCTCTAATTGCCACATGTTCTGCGGCCCGGTACACGCATCGACAATTAATGAGGCCCCAAAGAATGGCAATAGGTCTTGAGGCCTTGAGTGCCAAGGCTACTGGAATATAAAAGCTTACTCCACCTCATCCACAAACACCCCCCTCAGGGCCTCCATCGACGGCGTGAAGAAATACTCCCCGCCACGCTGGTCAATCCATGGCAGATATCCCAGCTGCAGCTCCTTCGGCTGCTCGCCGTCAAATATACCGAAGACGGGCTCCGGGTGGTCTGGACGGTTGCGCTGGCTGACGATGGGGTCCTGGCCAGGGCGTTCCTGCAGCTTGCCCTTGCCCGCAAAGACTTCGTTGCTGGCCCAGCCTAGTTTTGTTAGTCGGGCGAGTATGCCCGGGAATTTATGGGTACTTACGACTCGTTAAGAAGTTTAAGCCATTCCGAAGGTCACCCTGGTAGCACATGAAGTAAATGCCTCGCTTGGGGCGCTCTGCGGGGTCCATCTCCTCTTCGCCCGGCTGGAGCTCTGGACCAAAGGTGACGCTGCGACGCAGAATCACGTTCGTGTTATTCCAGTAGTTTGTCTGCGCAGAGACCTCCCCGCCATCTTTTGAAATATAGAGATCGGCACGAGGGCGCATCTTGCGAATGTGCGCGGCAATCGGACACCTGATTTCCTTCGAGCTGGAATAGTTCTGCTTGAACTCGAAGTTGTTGGCAAAGGGATGTTGGGCCACAGAGTCTTCGGTGTCCAGCGCCACGGGGGAGCCTGAAGAGATACCGTTAGACTCGTTCTAGACAAAGGGAACATGACCATGCTTACCGTTCTTCCATCGTCCGATCATATAGGCGGCCAGCTTCTCGCCGGTGCCGTCATTGAAATTCTGCATCTTCTCGGACTGAGTCTTCACGAATCTGTACGTTGGTGTCAGCCGGAGCCACATGCAGCGAACCAGAACAGAACTTACTTGTTGAATTCGGGCACTCTCTCCTCGATCTCACGGAAGGCTAAATAACTGCCATCTGTGGCCCACGCCGGCGACTTGGTGTTATCTCCCCGGCGGTTGAGGAAGATCACACTGGCAACGCGTCAGAATCCCGTTCTTGATAGCTTGGTAAGCTCCAACTTACCCGGGGCAATGGCCGCAGGTTCGCCCTCCTTTGGTTGCGGATCCAGGCCTTCAATGGCAGGCTGCGAAATGTGGTCCTCATATCCGAGACTGGATAGAAGCAGGACAATAGGTTAGAGACAAGATGGCCTGCGAGAGTCTGCAGGAAAGCACTCACTGTTCCTTGCCCCTGAGGTTTTCCAGACGCTTCTTTGAGGGGTTCTTCTCGTCAGGAATTTCCCTCCGCTGCGCTTTTCCATCCGCATTGCGAACGTTTCCATGCTTGGTCAGCGTGATCTTCGCGCTGGCCTCAGGGGAGTCAACGGTATGATCGTCTGCAATGCGGAAATAGCTCTTGAGGTCCTTGATCGTGGCCTCCAGTTCGTCCTCACGCTGAGCGGCGACAATGAACATCCCGTCGCATCGCCAGTTGTCATTGTTGTGCCAGCCGGGGGTGGCCGGTACTCGGGAGCCAGTGACTCGGTCTCGTCAGGCCCTTCGAAGACCATGTCCTGGTACATGCCACGCTCATGCAGGAGGTCCCGGAGCTTTAGCTCGTCATACGGCCCAACCAGCTTGGTCGTGCCCTTGCCAGAGAAGGTAATGTTGATCGCATTGAACGTGACGCGCTCTTCAGGTTGAGTGTCCACTCTTTCCCGGGCCTCATTCACGCCCCCATGTTGCTCGAGATAATCCTTGCACTGGCTTCCCGTAGTAATTTTACCGGATTCCACCAGCTTCCTCAGGTCTTCTTTGAATCTGGTATAGGAGCGGTCCTCTTCGAGATCTTTGATCTTGAAAAATAGGAAGCTTTCGTAATACCGGGGAAGACGGGGCCTATCGATAACCAGTGAGCATGGGATGCAGTTGTATGAGGTAGCTCGAGAGCATGTGATATACTAACCAGATACTGCCCTGGATATTTGCGGGGTCGACTTCGGATGCCATACTAGAGGTGAATTTCGTTCAGAATTGATTCAGATCGTGGAATCTGTCCGGTCATGGTCATGGCTCGGCCGGACAAACGGCTTCTTATGTTGGACTCCTCTCGCTGACGTGTTGACTGACCAGTGACATGGCCAATGAGACAGATATCTTTCTAATCTCTGCCATCCGTGCGGATTCAGCTGGAGGAAGACATAACATCATCGACGGCCCGTCCGTGATGGGCCATCTCAGCCCGAGGCCAATCAGCGACGTGCATTGATAATAGCTGAAACCCGCATAGGAGATGCATTCCCGAGTGGATTTGCCATGGGAGGCGATATCGATTTCACAGCGGTGTGTCGCAGATCGCGGGGCGAAGGTCCCCGATCCACACACTATTGGCTTTGCAAAAGGTCAGCCGAGAAAGCGAGGCTCCTTCCGCGAAGCCAGTCTCCTGCTAGTCCCAGCATGGTGGAGATGGTGCTAAGCGGAAATCTTGATCGAGCGCGGGTCCACAGGAAGGCTAGCTGGCTGCGACGCGCTAGTTCCAGCACGGTGGAGTGGTTCCCATGCAGAAATCTCGATCGAGCATTTGAACTCCTGTTCGGGGTAGGGATGGACGAAAGGGCCCACTGAAGAGCCACACGCCCGCAGATAAGACCCAGAACCGAGTGGGATACTCCGTACAGAGTCCTGCAACAATTTTGAGCTCTGGGACTAGAGTGGAGAGAAGTGCACGGCCACCAGATATGGGGGCAGACCTTGCATTACGACCATCAACGTCCGATTGGCGAGTATGCCCGCCCTGTATAGCGGTTGGAGTGTGTCAGTCTGGCAATGTGCATGCATCCTCATCTGCATGGATCGTCTGCATATAACTCTCCGGACACGGCAACGTCATGGAATGGCCCGCTCGGGGCCGCGTCAGATCTCCCGCTGGAACCGCCGTGCGGTGGCGTGAACCGCGATCGGCTAAGGAATGATGGGTTCGTGCTTGCCGGTGCTCGGGAGGCACAGTGGGCCCAGTGGGCCCTGAGTGGAGTCGCGTCGTGGAGACACTGAGCAGATCGCAATCTTGGACGGCTGGCGGATAGCATCACACAGGCCCGAAATGGGGCCGGGGACCACTTCAGGTATACCGCTACGTCACGATCTCTGTCGAAAGGGATCGGAATCTTCTGTATCATGCCCTGGCCTGTGCGAGCGTCGTGTGTGTGGTGCTGAGGGTGGCCACGCTGAGACGCCTGACTGTTATTTCTACCCTCGACAGCCCAGCCATCTACGCTGTCTTTGTCCAACCAGCCATCTTTCTTTCATACTTTGAGAATGAAGCTCCATTGGGTCGCAGGCCTCCTCTTGGGGCTTATTGCTCCCTCTGTGGACGCCAACGTGGAGTCTCACATCCCCTATGCCACTGATTCGAGTCACATCGAGCCCGAGACCGAAGGGCCTATCGACCCTGAGCGCTACCTTTGGCAGGCCCGGCCTCATGGCGGCAGCCTCCTTCCTCGTGATCAGTTCACGGTGCATTGTTCCAGCGTAGCCGCTGGCAGCAGGTGCGAGAATGCCACCGACGGTCTCGCGGAAACCTACTGGGCCAGCAAGCCCCGTCTTCCCCAAGAGGAAGACGTACTCACCCTGGACCTGCACATACTGCACAACGTGAACGGTATCTCTATGCGCCCTCTCCTGGGGGAGGAGGATCGCGGCCAAATCGCCAAGCACAAGATATACGTCAGCGAAGATTTCGACGCCTGGAAGTTGGTTGCGTACGGCACCTGGGGCTGGAACAAGAGCCCTAAGATGTCCGCCTTCGAACCTGTCCGAGCACGATACGTTAGGCTCGTGGCCAAGAGTGAGGCGCCTCCAGCCAGGCGTCCTAACGATCAGTATCCCGATGCTGTCACTAAGATCGTCGACATCAACGTCTACACCACCAACGCAGTGCTCCCCCCACGAGCCCTCCAAGGGCGCTTGGGGCCCGACTCTGGACTTGCCCATCACGCCCGCAGCCGGTGCCCACAGTTTCAATTCAAAAGGTGAACATAATATCATTCTCTGGTCGGCCTGGTCTGATGACCGCTTCTTTGCTTCTCCCGGGGGCAAGACCTTCACAGCCACCTGGGACCCGTCACGAGGCCAAATCTTACAGACTAATGTCACAAACACCCACCACGACATGTTCTGCCCGGGCATCTCGATGGACGTTGACGGCAATATCGTCGTATCTGGGGGTGCCGATTCCCAGAGGACCAGTGTCTACGACGGTTCGGAGTGGGTCGCTGGCGGTGACATGAACCTGCACCGCGGGTACCACTCTTCGACCACGCTGTCTGATGGCAGGATCTTTGCCATCGGCGGCTCATGGAGCGGTGGCTCCAACATGCCCAAGGATGGCGAGGTCTATGACCCGGCGACCAGGCGCTGGCGCATCCTGCCCAACATCAAATCTGAAATCATTCACACGGTTGATATCCCGCTGCGCAACGACAACCACGCTTGGCTATTTGGCTGGAAGAAGGGTACCGTCTTCCATGCCGGCCCGAGTAAGAGAATGTTCTGGTTTGACACCCATGGTGAGGGGACAGTAAAGAACGCGACGCGACGTCTCAACGACCAGGACTCGATGTCGGGCAACGCCGTCATGTTCGACGCCGTGCGAGGCAAGATCCTCACCTTCGGTGGCCAGGAGTACTATGACGGCTCGTTCGGCAGCCGCAACGCCCATCTCATCACCATCAAGGAGCCGTTCAGGCGGCCAATAGTGGAAGTAGCCGGCTTAAATGGCACCTCCGGCATCAAGGGTGCCGGCGGTATGTACAACCAGCGTGTCTACCATACGTCGGTCGTGCTCCCAGATGGCACAGTGTTCATTACCGGTGGCCAGATCTACGGCGTGCCTTTCAACGAGGCCGAGCGCGACGTCCAGTTGACGCCCGAGATCTATCACCCCGAGTGGGACGTCTTCCTGCCCCTGAAGGAGAACAACATCGTCCGTGTCTACCACAGTCTGTCCATTCTGTTGCCGGATGCGACTGTGCTCAACGGTGGCAGCGGGCTTTGTGGCAACTGCACGGCCAACCACTACGATGCGCAGATCTTCAAGCCTCCATACCTGTATCGCGAAGATGGTACCCCCGCCGAGCGCCCTAAAACGCCGGAAATCGTCGGCGAAAAGTACCAGGTGCAAGTCGGGGCTACTCTGTCCTTCAAAGCGGATGCAGATATCAGAAACGCCTCGTTGATCCGTCAGGAACAGTCTCGCACACGGTCAACACCGACCAGCGCCGCATTCCGTTATCGTTGACCCGATTGGATGACGCCGACGGTGGCCGTGCTACCTTCAATGTGACTATCCCGGACGACTCTGGCATTGCGCTCCCTGGGTTCTACATGCTCTTCGTGTTGAACGACAAGGGCGTCCCAAGCGAGGCGGCTAAGGTGAAGGTAGAGCTACCAAAGGCCTCGCACACTTCCACGGAGATGGAAGACCTTGCCACTTTCGAGTGGGAGGACGATGTAGCGGATGTCGAAGAGCAAGAAGCTGACTGCAACATGGATATGGACGAGGAGGCCCAAGGCATCATGAATGCGCTGTTTGCAGCTACTCGCAAGCTTTGGGGCTCGCGCAAGTTGGGGCTAGTGCAGCAGGCTTAGATAAATTTCTAAGGTTCGAGTTCTGTAAATATAGTAGAAGAGCAAAACAGGCTATTCCAGTTGACTGAATTCTCCGTAGTAGCGACCTGAGTTTTCGTGTACGTAGTTTGTTCCTGAATGTAAGCCTACCTAGCCTTTGGTAGGCATTTGAACATGCTATGGCTACTTTCAGTCCACTGTTGAATATAACAAGGAGCCCTTTACCCTAGAAGCCGCCGCGCTCAGATGTACGGGGACTGCATGCTGGGGGTGGTACCTGTTGACCAGGCAAAAAAAAAGTATTCAGTAGAGGCTTAAGACTGCCGCTTGTCTCTTTAGGTGAGTTGGCTATCTTGCGAAGGGGTGTCGAGCGCGGAGTAGCGAATCTATTCTACACCGATGTGCTCCAATATGTGCGGAACGGCATGATGGAACGAAACGGGAGGGGCCCGATCCAACATTGAATTCTATGTCCTTTAACTCCCTGTGAGATAATTATCAACTATGAAGAGAAGCCTTGTATCACTGATGTCCTACTTTGTAACATTCAGAAGCTCATACGATAAGTGTCGGACTTTACTTGGCGGAAGGCAAATATATATTATGACCTAGCTGTCGGCATATACTGTTTAACTTCTCTTTGTTGACATCTGACGAAGAAAGGCTTGCTTCTGTATAAATAGTCACAGGCCAAATTATACGGACAAGCAGGATATCACCAATTCCAATATTCTAGCCTTGTATATACACCCTACATCAATATACCCAGCCAAAGCCTCATATTCCGTTGATTAGCCTACCAAGGTCTGGTAGTTTGCTGGAGAACCCATCCCAGGCGCTCCTGCCCTTTTTGAGTGACGGAATTAAAGACAGAAATTGCTAGTGTAGTCGCTCCGTCAGCAATTCCGCCGTCGACACCATGCTCCCACAGTTTCCAGTAGAAGGCCAAACCACAAGCCAGTGTCCCTAAGATTATCGTGTTTTTTACCCTACGCCAGAGCAATTTTTGGTGGCCGCGACTGGTTAGAACCCGGTCCCAGTCAGACAGCTTGGGAAATCGACATCGAAGATAGAAATCCAACTGGGAGCGACTACACATAGTTAGCATTGACTCACTTTTATTCGTGCTTGTATAAATGAAGAGGCACATACGGATACATCACCGGGTTGTTTCCACCTCCACCGTTATACCAACTTTGACACCCTGAGAATACGGTCTTGGCCATATCACGCCTGATGCCTGCCAACCATGTCTGGACTGCAGCGGCCTTGGGTTCAACACTCTCGACTTCGCCATTTAAAATGGGCTTGATCAGCCGTATCGCATGACCAACGCTGTTTTCAATTGCCATAATGACTGAGGTGTGACCAGCAAATGTGTTGGGGCCTAATATCATGAAGAAATTGGGAAATCCGTCCACTGCGGTCCCGAGATAAGCATGGGGACCACCACGAGTTGCCCAGAGGCCATGCAGGGAGAGACCGTGTCGTCCTAAAACGGATATCGGGTGGAGAAACTGGCTGCTCTCGAACCCAGTAGCGAGGATCAGCGCGTCTGCAGGGTAAGTTTTCACATCGTCCTTATTGCCCACGGTGATGGACCTGTCAGCTGCGCTACGCCAGGGCCGAGATTCGAGCAAGAAGCGAGGGTCATGCATCCCTCGGAGCCAGTCATTGTCGTATATGCGGCGCTTACATCCCAAAGGATATTTAGGAGTCAATTGCTCGTGATATGCGACGGGAGCCAGGGCACGCATATGAGCGAGGGAGGATGCCTCCTCGCGTTGTCTGAAGGATGTATCCGGCCGCTGGAAGACTGCATACCACAGGACTTCTGATATGCCGCAGAGGAGCATACGAACGGTGTACCCTAGTCCTGGTATTGTGCCATATACCCATGGTGCCCACTTTGCATAAGTCTTCCGTCCACCGGGCTCCTCAATACGTGGGACCAGCCATGGCGGCGTCCGCACGATCTGAGTCAATGATTTAACATTGGTTTGGAGAAGGGCAGGTGCAATCTGTGCCGCACTGCACCCAGATCCGATGAGCACAATATCTTTACCATCTAAGTTTGTCTTTGCTGGCCACCGTGCTGAGTGTATCAGCTCACCGCGATAGGTGTCACGTCCAGAAACGCCGGGAGGCCATCCATTTGGCTCAACCAGAATGCCCACAGCGCTGATGACCACCTTAGCACGCACGATCTCTGTGAATCTCGCAACTGAGGGGTCTGCACCACATGACTCTTGTCTATAGGTCGTGCAGGCTTGTATCTCCCACTCAGCGTCCTCCTCGATCCACTCCACAGACTTGACTTCTGTGTTCAGCTGGATTTTATCCGCAATTCCAGCTTCTTCTACCACATTGTAGAGGTAGTCGACGTAGTCACGGCCAGACGGAAAGATAGTCTTCGACATATAGTTTGGTGCAAAGGAGAACGAGTAAAAGAAGGCCGGTCTAAGAAACAGTCAAGTTGAGTCTCATCGAAGGATTATCAACCACTTACACATCACAGGCCTAAGAAGACAGAATATTGTCAATACCAAGCATAGTAATACAGCACGAGAGGAGGCCTCACCACCCCGGGATACCGGTTGCTCCACCATGTGCCTGTTTGTTTGCGAATGAGCCCAGCTCCTGCATAAAGTCGTATTCCGTGGACACATACCTCCAATACCGGACTGACGGTCGAAAATTCGGAATTGATCGCAGCCACATTTCTGCTTCAGTCGGCAGCCTGCTGCGATTCCCGATGCGCCGGCCCCGATAACGACAACCGGGTAGAACATGATAGGTACGCCATCATAGGGGTTCCGAATCTGGCTTTGTAGGAAATGAGCCATCGCAGCGAAGCACAGTTTTACATGAAGTTCAGGGAAGTTCAGGATAAAGATGGTGGGGAGCTCTTGGTAAGAATTGAACAAAATGAAGTCCAAGTTCAATCCCCCGTTGACCTCAAATACAATGCGGAGGAATTTTCGCAACTGCAGATTAGGTATTTAACTGCGCCGCCACCCATATGAACCAACTCCGGAATCGCTTAGCTCCTACATCTTCCTTCTCCTGTGCTACCGGGGCCGTCTAGTTACCGCCGAGGGGAATGCGTTGGCAACGATTATCGAAATAGCCCCCACCTGCAGGGCAAAATGGGGCAACCCGCAATATTATTAGCCGAGAATGTCATAACTATATTTCTTGAACCCTTATTGGATGCCAAGGGCCCCGCACCAGCCTGCAGATCTGCGGGTATGGCCCGGACGGCAGGATCGCTTAGATGCTGACGGTGCAGCATTGGATCCAACCGGCCGCGGAAGCACTCTGGGGCAGGTTGCATTGCGAGGCCACTGCATAGTATATCACTACCACAATGACCATAGGGTAGTGGTTGACAGCGTTAGCGCCCACCGTGATGAATTGATACTTACCACCATTATTGACAATGCAGAATATAAATAACACAGCAGTGGACTGGGGGCCGAAACAGTGCGGTCTGCCAGAGACGCAAACCTGAAATTTACACGTCTCGGACTTACGATACCGTATGTATACATTACATGTGGCGCAACAAGGCGGTATTTACATACTGTCTACATAGGCTACTCCAGATCTTAGAGAAACTTATTACTAGGACATGGAAGTGCTAACCAACTCCTGGATTAAGGTCTTATCTCTGTGTCTCCACACTTCACATCTCCTGGGCTAAAAGTTGTCTGGAATTATCTGAGTTCAATTGCAATCTTAATATATATATTTTATCCAGGCATGGTGATTATAGTCACTCTGCCGTTGAGTGTAATTTAATGCCGTGAAAAATAGATAGCGCTATCACCCTGTGCAGGCCCCGATCTGTTCTACCATCTACAGCTATTATCGCACATGACGTTGTCTAAGCCACCTCTACATCCCGCTGCACTCTAATCCCTTGAAAAGGCTCTCCGGGAACCTGTCGATCGTCCACAGCAATCTGGGTTAGGGGCAGCACATCACCATGACTATCATTCATCTGATGGTAGTACATGGATCGTGACAAGTAGCTCTTCGTTGTGGTCGAGGTACCTGGGTTGGAGGAAGGAAGGTGACTACTGTCGCGCTGTGAGGACTTGCCGTAGCGACTGCGGAGAATACTGGGGAGGTTGCCGAATTTTGGAAGCCAAGGGCGATATATTGGCAGACAGGAACACAGAATGGCAACTCCCAAGTTAATGACGGACCAGAGAGATGCCTGGGCGAGTGACACTGGATTAGATTAGCCATTTGCCGCAAAATTATATGACGAGGAACTTACAAAGTTGGTCACCTGGTCGGTAGACATAGGCGATGCGGACGGCACCAGTCACAATGACGCTGTGTGTGTCAGCACTGGGATTTGGTCAAGGATCACGCTATTTGGATGGCTTACAAGGCACCAAGCAAGAAGACGCCTAGTAACGCCAGCTTTTTCCGCAAGGAGAGCTGCAGGCCTGAAATGGTCTTTAGGGGAAGGGCGATGATGACCACGTCCAGGGATATGTCGATAAGCTCCATAACCAGGAAGTAATTGGCGAAGTTGAAGCAGTGGCCACCCGCAGTGGGATCCCAGAACTGGCGGATGGGAATACAGTACAGTAGGTCTCCGATGAAGGCGGCCGCAAACCAAACCAGACAGAATATACCGACACCGTAGTTGATGCGACGGAAGGCGATGACCGAGAAGAGGCGATGGTAGAAACACAAGATAGACATCTTCACTAAGGTTACGTTTATTCCATAAAGTGGTGGAATGGCGTATTCTGACTTCATGTACTGGACCAGCTTTTTTTGGGCCTCGAATCGGTCCGCGTAGATCTGCCCGCCCCCGTAGGTGTAGACTCCCACTAGGACGTCGCTGCAAAAACAGATGAAGACGATGACACTGATCATGGCCAGCCAGTCGTCCAGTCCCAAGCGGTTCCCCAGCATGCGCCGGGTGCCGATGCGCAGCCCGACCGCGACAATGGACAGGATGATAAAGAAGATACTGACCACCAATGTCGCATAACCGACCTGGTTGAGCCCAAGCTTGTAGGAATGTGATGTTGCTGGCTCAGCCATTAGGATGATCTCACTTATGCTGAATCTCCTTTTTGTTTGCGTTGTGTCTTGGTGAGCATTGTCGGGTTCTTCTTCCCCGCATATGCCTTTAATATATCAAAGACATCTTCAGGTTAGTGCCAGACTAGCAGCCCGGGGGGCAAATAGTACATCAATGCAGGCGCGGGAACCTTGGCCCCAACCTGATATGGGGAGGAGATGGAGAGGAGATTCAAATACATGTCAAGTTTGGGTAATAATCGTGCCGATGAGACAGTATTGCAGCTTTCTGCATGACCCAAATACGGATGTGGCCGTAATAGGAAGCTTGTACCTTGGACTGACTATACTCGAATTCAGAATAATGGTCTGCCATGGGAGGGCCCCATCGCTTTTTCAAAATGAAAATACAGAAAAAAAAAATAAACACCCATTCAGCTCGGGTAAGTCCCCGTGGAGCACTCAAAGCGGTGCTACCATAAGGCCAGCTGACACCATTTCCGCGGAGATTTCATGCAGCCACCGAACAGGGATCATATTCCTGGCTCTGCTCTTTGAACGACGACATTGGCCATAAAGATACCAGTACTGATGGGTAAATTTCAACTGGTGGTAGTGATCTTTCCCCACCCCTTGGCCCGACCCGGAGGCATAGATGGGAGCGTGGGCCGAAAATGCTGCGGGGAGAACCACCCAGCCCTCATCTTTCATTGTGTCTATTTATCGACCAGTGGGTCGATCCAAGGATAGCCCGTTTTGGCTCCTTCACCCTCACATCTTAAGAGTTTAGATTTTCTTTTCTTTTCATCATAGACTCTTTTACCCTACTCATCATGGACTTCCAGAACACCAAGCACCTAGTATCCGCCGCCCAGAAGATGCGGGCCGAATACCTTAAGGGTGCCCACACCACCGCTATCTCCGTCCAGCAAGCAGCCACCTGCCGCAACGACCCCGTCAAGGGTCCTTTGTGGATTAGCAAGTTTTCGCTTCCCAGGCCGACCGACGATACCTCTCTTGACCTCCTTTTAAAGCTGGTCGACGAGGCCAACGAGCACCACGTGCGCTACGACCACCCGATCTCAGTTCCGCTCGACTTTGAATGGGTGGGCTACCGAAGCAATGTCCAGAAGCATACCCCACAGCCCGAGGTCGGGGAGAAGGAAAAGTTCGCCAAATTGACGGCAGAGACTAAGTCCCCACTGACTATCCTCTACCTCTACGGGGGTACTTTCGTGTAAGCTATGACATTTTCTCATCTCTGATATCTAGACCGGGGCGCTGATAATGATCGATGAACCCTATCAGGTTAAACAGCCCTTCCAGCTATCGCAAAACGGCAGCTTCCTTATCCCAGGCCACGGGAGGGAAGGTCTTGCTCGTGCGACAGCGACTAGCTCCTCAGAATCCCTTCCCGGCGGCTCTACTGGACGCTTTCCAAGCGTATCTGACTTTGCTGAATCCCCCGGCAGGAAGCCCCCACGAACCCATTCCTGCCTCCTCGATCGTTGTAGCTGGGGATAGCTCGGGAGCCTGTCTGGCCCTGGGTCTCCTCCAGGTCCTGCTCCGGTTGCAGCGCCGGGGAGCGACCATCACCTTCCACGGTGCCACAGCGCCACCCGTCGTTCCAGCAGGAATGGCCCTGCTTAGTCCTGTGGCTGACCTCACCAACGCCTTCCCGTCGTTTGACCGCAATGCCTACTGCGATATCTTCCCCGTCCCCATAGAGAAGCTACCTTATCTAGAGAAAAGTTTTCCTATCTGCGCAGCCTGGCCAACACGACCCCCTCGCGCTAATCTCTACTGCGAGGCGGGCATGCTTGCCCATCCACTGGCGAGCCCTGCCGCGGCGGACGACTGGACGGGCACGTGTCCGATCTGGATGGGTTCAGGGCAGGAGCAGATCGTGGATGCATCGCGACTAGTGGCGCGGGAGATTCATCGGGCTGGCGGGTCGGTCACCCTGCGCGAATATGAGAGTATGCCCCATACCTTCTTCTGGGTGTTCCGGGGCGCCCCACAGACCAAAGAAATCCTAGCGGAGTGGGCCCAGGCGATTGTAAGGTTTGCGCGGGGAGAGCGACCGCCGTCGAGTGCGCAGTTCATCAGGGCACGGGGCCTAAGGGCGGAACCGCTGCAGATGGAGGACCTCGTGTCGTTCACGGTACAACAGGCGCAGGAGATGATGTGGAAGAAAACACAAGGCTACAAGGTACCGGCCTTTCATCAGGAGCCTGGTCGATCCAGTTTGTAGTGAGAAAACATATTCTTCCCACGTATTTGAGAGTACGAGTTCCAGTTGGATCTATGAGATCATGCCTCCTGCGTAGTAAGTAGTCGATGAAGTAATTGATAGGTCTCGGCCCTTGGAATGAGGTCCTGGGACCGAATGACTATTGGGGGATTCCTTTGACCTTTTTAGCTCCCTATGCAGGGACTTAAGTGCCTAAAGGTGGGGGTTTCCTGTAGGAGGTGTCGCAGGTAAGGTAAGGTAAGGTAAGGTAAGGTGTGACATGCTTTCGGCCCCACTCACGGCCCCTAGTAAACCGGTCACCCAAACAAAGAAATCGGGAGAGCCTATCAACGTCCCCCAAAAACCGAAACCTAACCAGGTTCCCCGCCTCCGCGTTGCATCACCTTCCAGGCGGCAATACCCCCGAATATATGACGGCAAGTCAAAGAGATCGAATGCCGCGTGATATGTCTTATTCGACTCATTTGCCTCGAAATCCAAGCCATTTAGCACAAAGTGGAGAATAGCTTCGTACGCTCTCTCCCTATCGTCTCTTCTTTCTCCAACACACAGATTAGCTGCATACTTACATGCTGTTTTGGTTCCTGCTGTTGTATAGACGAGCTGTCGGAATTATTCTCAAAGAGCGGGGATTGAAGCGTCATCTGCAGCGCCGGCAAATCCATCTTTCCTTCGTATACCGGAATGGATATCCTGCTGCTGCTATCACTGGCCCTTGTGGCCCTGCTAGCATACCGACTCTACTTCCATCCTCTTGCTCATATTCCCGGTCCGCCATTGGCCAAGGTTACCTATCTCTACGAATGGTACTATGATCTGTATCAAAGCGGCCAGTTCACTTTCCAGCTTCGGGCCCTGCATCGTAGATACGGTACCGATCCTACCCCCGCGGTCATTCTTGAGCGAATCTAATCTCCCGCTTGTCTTCTAGGCCCTGTCATCCGCATCAACCCTGATGAAGTGCATATCGACGACCCTGATTTCTTCGACCAGGTCTTTAATCAAACGAATGGCCGCGCGGAAAAGCCTCCGCGCGTTGCAGAGGCCTTCGGGCCCTACCCCGCGGTAAATTCCGTCCTCTCTAGAGGCTAAGAACAGTATTGCTGACAGAACTAGACTATCGGGACTCAATCGCACGACTTGCACCGTCTCCGACGGAGCGCTCTCAACCCCTTCTTTTCTAAAAAGTCCGTCACAGACCTTGTCCCAGTTATGTGGCGTCCGATCGAGATTCTGAGAGAACGTCTTCAGCACGCAGCTCAGACAGGAGAGACGCTAAATATGAAATATTTCTTCGCCGCCGTAACCTTGGATATCATCAACGCCTACTGCTTCGCGCATGAGCCCCATAATGTACGACAGCCCGATTTTGGACGGAAGGGGTTTGACGACGTGGATAGCTTCTTAGAGATTAGCTTACTGAACATCCATATCCCATGGGCGATGCGCTTTACATATTCACTTCCGGTAAGCGTTCCCTGTTCCCGGGGCGACGACGGACCCATACTCATTCGGCATTGATGTTTAGGACCGCGTCAACAAGCTCCTCGCCCCAGCAATGGCAGACATTTTGGATTTTCGTCAGGTAGGACCATCACACGCCTCGGAAACGCGGAAATGGAGTGGTTAATAGTTTATCCATAGGATCTGTCTCGGCAGGTGGAGGCCATTCGTAATGGTGAAAATACGGCCCACGAGAAAGCTAGCCATCGGACCGTCTTTCACGAATTACTAGACAGCAAGCTGCCCCCAGAAGAGTTGCAAAAGAACAGGTTACGCGATGAAGCCTTCAGTTTGGTAACAGCGGGTTCTGGGACAACGTAAATCGACACCCTAACCCTTCACTGACAAACGACTAACTTGTCCTAGGGCATACGTACTACGTGGCACCGCCTATCACATTGCTTCCAATCCAACTGTGCGAGAACGGCTGCACAGTGAGCTGGTTGCCGCTATCCCTGATCCTCAGCAATTCCCTTCGCTGGCCGTCCTCGAACAACTCCCATATTTAACTGCCGTGATCCAGGAAGGTCTGCGCCTGTCGGATCCCGTCACTCATCGTATTGGTCGCCAGTTTCCCGACCGGTCGTTCGAATGTCGCGGCGTCTTCATTCCCACTAATACGAGCGTTAGCATGACAGCCATGCTCACCCATCTCAATGAAGAGATTTTTCCAGAGCCTCGCATCTTCCGACCTGAGCGTTGGTTAGGACCTGAAAGCAAGCGATTAGAACGTTACCTTGTCCCCTTCAACCGCGGCACACGGTCTTGTCTGGGTATGAATTTAGCCCGTGCCGAGCTGGTTCTGATCCTTGCGGCCGTCTTCCGGCAGTTTAACTTTGACGTGTCTGCTGTGCGCCGCGATCGTGACATTGACGTGAGTCGGGACTATATCCTGGGAGCGCAAGCGCGCGATACGCCGGGTATTTTGGTGACAGTGGAGGCGTGTTAATACCAAGCTGGCGTACATCAATGTAGATCCCATTTGGTGTTGCTATAGGACCTACGGCTCATTAAAGCAATAACTTCGTGCTGACCATAGGCTGTCTGTAGAGTACCTTCGAAGAAAACAGCAATATGCCGCTCACCCTTTGAGGAATGACGAACTATCCTCGCAAAAACAGGATTCACCCGTCGTAAGTGCATCCCACTAATTCGGGGCACTACTGCCGCTACTACTGCAGGCCCTTAGTGGCAACGGGAAGACAGAACATGTGTCACAAGATCAGCCCGACCCCCAGCCCCATCAACCAGCAGAGCTACCATGTATGCAACCCACCTAATGGCCCCCAAATTGAGCGGCAGATCTGCAGGTGGCCTTACTGATCTAGATTGTAAGTCGCAGCTGTATGAAGTAACATTACGAGGGGCCAAGCAGTACAGCCTAAAAAGTCTAGTTAGAATACAATCTAGTATCCCAATACGAAAATTGAGTGTTAAAGGTTCCGCATGTATATTTACACGAGAGTTAAGCGAGTTACGAAGACGCTAACACGGAAAGTGAATTGAATACGGGCCGTGTCTCGGACTTTGAATACCTTTGGTTCGTAGTTTTTTTGTGAGCAGTCTAGACAGTCCTAGTACTTTCAAGGTTAGAACACTATCAGGGTTGTAGTCCCTTAGAGCTAATACAAGCTATATTGTACCGGTATGGATTACAGTACGGTACTTCTGGCATGGTTTAAATATGTATCTGGTGGGTATATATCCTATCCGACGTTTACGCAAATTTGAGCAACGTGTTGTAAAATATATTAGGGAATTTCACTCTAATATATGTTGATCATCTGCGAGAGATGCAGTAAAAATAATTAAAGTTGTTTCATATGGCATGGTGCAATTGTCGTGGCTTAGGTTGCATAGCTTGGTTAGGTACGCAGCTCGCTTAGGGGTTATATTACTTATATAAATAGATCCTTTATTTTCGCAGATCTAACGGAGACTGAACAAAGAAACGAGAAAGGTTTCTTCTCACTGTCCGGCGGTTACAGGGATCGGCAGCCTGCATCGCCCCTCGAGCACAAGGGCTGTTGGTGTTTCTGAATTTGATGGCCTGCCAAGGCCTGCGGATCTCCTACGTACAAGAAACCCCGCAGCCTGCTTCGGGGTATGAACGAATATGGGCTTCCAACCAAAAGGAATGTGTTAGCCTCTACCTTAACTGCTATCATGGCTGAACAGAAAAACCGACTTGGATTTTGTGAGGACACTGCCCGTTTTCAGTCCAGTCTCCCGCATGGGATTTCGTCGGGTGAAGGGATTAGGAACACTGACGCAGATGGCGAAAACGACGAGGCTTCACATCCCAAATCACTGAAAGGCTTGAGACTTAGGCTCCTTACAACTGGGTGCGTATCGTCGTGTGGAGACCAGAAACATCCCAATGGCTAATCTGTCGTATCAGCCTTTGCCTTTGCGTCTTTCTCTCTTCCCTCGATATCACCATTGTCAGCACCTCGCTGACGGCTATTGCCAACGATTTACATGCATTCGAGCAAAGCAGCTGGGTGGTGTCGAGCTACCTGACCTCCTACTTCAGTACGAACCTTTTCAACATACTCTATATTGCTACCTTAGTCCTCCCCTGACCGTTGCGCAGGCTTTCTCATTATCTGGGCCAAATCAAGCGATTTTTTTGGTCGCAAGTTGATGCTCGTTATCGCTGTGGTGCTCTTTCTTGCCTTTTCAGGAGGGTGTGGAGGAGCTCAGTCCCCAATCCAACTGTAGGTGACGGTTTTCTTCCGCTGCTAATAATGCTAACAATCTGACTATCTTTCAGTATTCTCTGTCGTGCTTTCCAAGGAATTGGTGGTGCTGGTATTTTCAGCATGGTCCCCATTATTGTGGCAGAGATGGTGGAGCCAATCAAGTACGGTGCTTATAATGGAATCATCTCTCTTGCCATCGCGTTCAGCTTTCTGTTGGGTCCACTTTTAGGTGGAATCATCTCGGATGGCACCACCTGGCGCTGGATCTTCTGGATAAATCTCCCTATTGGGGTTACGGGACTTCTTCTTGTCCTTGTGACCATGCCAGCCGGATTTCCTGTCCACTCTGAGATCACATCCAAGGTATCACTCGGTTTCACCAAGCGAAACGTCGATCTTCGTGGTCGCATCGACTACCCGGGCTTCTTCATACTTCTGGCTGCATCAGTCCTGCTAATTGTGGCTATTGAGGAAGCCGGTATATCCTTTGCATGGAGCTCTGCCCTGGTTATTGCCTTTTTGGTTGTCGCAGGAGTTTTTCTGCTTCTGTTCCTCTTTTGGCAATGGTATTTATATCATATCAAGTCTGCACGGGAGCCGATACTTCCCTGGAGTTTCCTCAAAAACCGGATCCTGATGGGATTATACCTGTGAGTGCGTTCTCTTTCCCATTGACTCTGCCCTGTTGATTGCAGGCAAGGTTGAAAACAGTCGACAGAAGATCATATACTAATGATAACAATGTACTAGAAACGCACTACTATCCGGGGTTCCTTTCGTGACACTTGTGCTTGAATTTCCCCTTCGCTTCATGAGTATCAACGGCCGGTCCGGCCTCAACTCAGGCATCTGTATTTTGCCATTCACGCTGACCATTGCTTTTGGATCGGGCTTAACGGGCGGGCTTACTGCGCGAGGCCGCATCCCGCCCATCGTGGTATTACTCGTCGCCACTACTCTGCAAGTCTTAGGAATTGGTCTTCTTTACTCAGTTCCTGTCAACGCGCATCTCCCCGCCCGTATATACGGATATCAAATACTAGCTGGACTGGGCACCGGCCTCAGTCTGACGACCCTTTTGAATATTGTGCCATTTTTAGTGGAGGGAAGTGCTTTAGGTATGTCTCCATTGTCGGGCCAACCTTCCACCTATATCTCTGACAATCACACTCATAATAGCCGTTGCTCTGGGCGGAGTCACCCAACTGCGCATCTTAGGCGGCGCGGTGGGAGTCTCCATCGCGACAAATTTATTAAACAACACCGCCCGAACCATACTAGCAACACAATTGCCTTTGGACTCAATTACTCGCATCCTCCACGATCTCTCGTCGGTAACGACCCTGCCATCGGCCGATCAGGCGATTGTGCGTGCGGCATTTGCAGAGGGATATCATAAGCAGCTAGCGATGATGCTGGGATTCTGCGCAGCTGAGATCATTGCTTTGGTGCTGATGTGGGAGTGGCCGATGCGGCGGTTAGCGTAGTGTTGTCATCTATTAAGTCCACGTTTAGTTACTTCTGTTGACATGTGCCCAAATTGTCGTGTATTATAGCTATCTTCCCTGCGGGGCTTGAAAATCACACAATCGCGCGCTGTCACTATATGAAGTTACTAGCCTAGCCGGGTTCAGCAAAAGAAGAAAGTACATCCCTTCGATATGCTCATCCTATGACGCCGTGTAGACTTCGACGGTAGAGTCCGACGGAAGACTCAATCTATACATACTCATGTTACCTCTAAACTACTGACTCGGTATTCAATACTCGTCATTACATTTCGTCTAGTCGCTCTCAACTTACCTGTGTAATTGACCTGCAGCGGCCCCCCGAATTCCACTAGGGGTATTTCAAATTGGTTATTACATTTCGAATGTCCGCTTTTTAACTTACAGAGTCGCTGATCTGGGGCCTCGCTTACTTGCACTGGAGTTTCCTTCCGACGTGATTATCCTAAAGAAGTAAAGATGGGCTGTCATATCGCACTATAGTTTAGAAGTCCGTGGCTGGGGTAGGATGTGAGCTCTGGTGATAGGATACTACAAAGAGGGTGGAGGCCAAAACCTGCTTCGCAGAGTTATCGCCCCAAATTTTTAGTCTCGAATATGCATGTATTCTGCGCAGCACATTCATACTTCGCTAGAGCATGATCCATTTTTATCACACCTCTGACTAGGCCAACAAGCTAGAAGCGCTATTCTACCAGTTGGCAAAAAGGTACTGGACGCCTGAGGCAACAGACCTTCATTGGCTTTAAGTAGTAAACATTACCGCTAAATTCTACGTTCATTCGTGTGACATCACTACCAAGACGATTGCAGCTCCCCATCAACCATCAACCTTCCTCCGAATCGAACCGCGATGCTACCCGAGATCATTCAGCGCTGGCTGGCGCTCGAATGGCCTACCAGTGGACGAGTCTCAGCAAATGAGAAAACCCCGCATATTTCATCCAATAAGATCAATAATGGCCTATTTCGAGACGAAAGTATGAATGGGCACGTTGCCCATCCGTGCACGTCGCTTATGCCAACGGCAGCGGTTAAGAATGACGAAATTGGTGCGCTGCCAGTTGCGATCGTGGGGATGTCATTTCGCTTTCCACAGGGGTTGGAATCGGAAGATTCTTTCTGGGAGGCCTTGACAAAGGGACGTTCAGCATGCTCGACTTTTCCAAAGAGTCGCATCCGCATGGAAGGGGTGTATGATCCAGATGAGGAACGATTAAACGGGGTAGGTCATCTCATTATATTGGGCTTCCTGTTATGGACAATGCAGCCGCTAAGGCAGCCATTCTACCATCTAGTTTCCATTAAGAGGCGGGCATTTTGTTGACGGCGATGTGGCCGCTTTTGACGCACCGTTCTTTACCATCGGACCTGGGGAGGCCGCTGAGATCGATCCACAATCACGAATTCTCCTCGAAACGACATACCATGCGTTAGAGAACGGTAAATGAACAAGCATTGCATATAGAGGCCCCGCTAATGAGCAGAAAGCTGGAATTCCGATGGAGCAGGTGTTCAATTCTAAAACCTCCGTGCATACTGGCAGTTTCGGCGATGACTACAAGACCTTTTCCACTCGTGATCCGCAATTCGGTGGCCAATATTCAGCCAGCTCTGTATCTTCCAACATGCTCGCGAATCGTATCAGCTGGTTCTTCAACCTTCGCGGTGAATCGATTAATATGGACACTGCTTGCTCCAGTACGCTCGTGGCCTTCCATGCAGCATGCCAAGGATTACGCAATGGAGATGCGCACATGGTAAGACAGAAGGACAAGGAAGCAGCTGTCATGCCATATTTGCTAAGATACGAAATAGGCCATTGTAGCTGGTGCGAACCTCTTCCTGAGCCCAGATATGGCCATGTCCCTGAACAATCAGGGTTTCTTATCACCCGACGGTCGATGTTGGAGTTTCGATGAGAAGGCAAACGGATACGGACGTGGCGAGGGCTTCGGAGCCCTGATTCTAAAGCGCGTTAGCGATGCCACCGTCAACAACGATACAATTCGTGCGGTTATTCGCGCCACAGGGACGAACCAAGACGGGCGCACGCCGGGAATCGTTCAGCCCAGTCGACAAGCACAAGCAGAGCTCATCCGAGACACGTACCAGAAGGCAGGGTTGGACATGCACCTGACGCGATATGTGGAGGCGCATGGAACAGGAACGCCGGTCGGTGGTTAGTATTTCATGTCTGCGTTGGTAATCTCTATAAGCTAATAATACTAGATCCTATTGAAGCGGGGGCAATTGCGGATGCCTTTCAGAGCTCTATTTCTCCCGCCCGTCCGCTGTATGTTGGTTCCGTCAAATCTAATATCGGTCATTTGGAGGGAACTAGTGGCATTGCTGGCCTTATCAAGAGCGTCCTCATGCTCGAGCAAGGGATGATTCCGGCCATTGCAGGCTTAGAAAATGTCAATCGCACTATTGAAGAAAGCCATCCCGATCTGCTGGTATGTTGTCCATTGACAGAGATTGGTGTTGTCTTTGATGAGCTAACGGCGAATCAGTTCCCACGAAAGCTCTGCCAGTGGCCATCAAACGGCTTACGGCGGTTATCTATCAACTCCTTTGGATTCGGGGGCACCAACGCGCATGTCATTATGGAAGACGCTCATCATCATTTGAAACTGGCTGGACTAGATGGATACCAAAAAAAGAACAGTTTCACATTAGCGCATCTGGATCCCCAGATACTTATTCTGTCTGCACAGGACGAAAAAGGAGTTAGCCGCCTGGCAGCTGCCTATAACCAACACTTCCAGGCGGCAAAGCATCTCATCAATGAGACCTATCTTTCACGCCTCGCATACACGCTCAACTATCGTCGGAGTGCGCTACTCTGGCGATCTTTCGTCATTTGCGAATCTCCGGCCCAATTAGCATCTGGAATTAAGCCATCCCGACCTGTTCGGGCTCTCAAAGCCCCCCGCCTGGCGCTCTGCTTTACTGGCCAAGGAGCGCAGTGGGCTGCTATGGGTCGCGAACTGCAGCAATATACGCTCTATGCGCAGAGCATCGCAGACTCATCTGCGGTTCTGAGGACCTTAGGATGCCCCTGGAATCTGGAAGGTAATTAACTTGACCACACGTTACTCGTACTTGCTGACGCATTGCGCAGATGAGTTATCACGAGACGAAATACAAACAAGAATCAGCGAACCTGAGTTTAGTCAGACTCTGTGCACTGCCGTTCAGATTGGTCTGGTGGACCTGATGGAAAGTATAGACGTCCACCCGACGGTAGTAGTAGGTCACTCATCAGGCGAAATTGCTGCTGCGTAGGTACCCTTCTCCTCTGCTGCCGTTAATATAAAGACTAAACACAAATCTTCCAGATATTCCACTGGGGCTCTGGACCGACGATCCGCGATCAGCGTTGCCTACTATCGAGGTCTTCTATCCTCTCGGCTTGCGACTAGTAAGACCGAAATTGGTGCAATGTTGTCAGTCAACTTGTCTGAGGACGGAGTTACCCCCTATTTCGAAGCTATTGAATCCCAATATGGACACTTGGGTATCTCCGTCGGCTGCATCAACAGCCCTGGGAACATCACCATCACCGGTGACGCCGAACAGATCAACACCCTCAAGGAGACTCTCGATCTGGTCGGTATATTTGCACGCAAACTCCCAGTCGGCGTGGCATACCATTCTGCTCATATGCAAACCATTGCTGGAGAATACCTCAAGTCCATGGGGAGGTTATCTTCTCGCCATGGATCCCTCGTCCCTGCCATGGTCTCCTCAGTGACAGGCGAGCTTGTCACACCCGAGCAGGTTAGGCGCAATGAATATTGGGTGCAGAACATGGTCTCACCAGTTCGATTCGCCACCGCCTTGGCAGTTGCTGTCTTGTTGAGGGTTCAAGAAAACGGTGAGATCATTCATGACAGTAGATTGCAAGTTGAGGACGTCTTGGAAGTAGGCCCGCACTCTGCCTTGCAACGGCCTATCAAGGATACGTTGAACGTAGCCTGTCGGAATGCAGCTGCCGGATATACATCTCTTCTTATTCGTGGTGTAAATGCAGTTCAGAGCTTCTTCAATGCTCTCGGATACCTCTACTGCCGTGGACACCGTACCAGTATCCAGACACTCAACCGGCTGAACATGCGAATGCTCCCGTTACCCACTCTACTGACCAATCTACCGGAGTACCCTTTCGACCACAGCCTCTCCTACTGGAGAGAATCACGGGTAAGCAAGGGCCACCGGCTACGGGAAGCACCGCGTAACGATTTCCTGGGGATACGAGTGCCAGACTGGAATCAACACGAGGCCAAATGGAGAAAGCGAATCAAGCTAACTGAAGAACCGTGGATTGGAGACCACAAGATCGCGCGAGTGAACATACTTCCCGGGGCGGCTATGCTAGTTATGGCTGTAGAGGCTGCTAAGAGCATTTCTCGATCCCGATCTGATCGAGCGATTGCGGGATACACGTTAAGAGATGTATCTTTCTCTCGAGCACTAGCTATCTCAGAAAATCCCGATGGTACCGAGGTGGAGTTCTACCTCCGGTCTAGTGGACAGTCAGCTGACCGTGAGAACCCCTGGTCGGAGTTCCGGCTCTACTGCATTGAGAATGATAGTTGGGTCGAGGCGTGTCGGGGGCGTATCCAAGTTTCCTACATTGATGAGAGCGGCCTAGTTGACCAAGGGCAACAAGCTCAGCAAGAATGGAAGCGACATGCCACGGAGTTCTGTCGCATTCGCAACTCCTGTCCGCAGAAAGTCGATATGGGGCGCATCTACAAGGTACTGGCACAGAATGGCATCGACTTCGGCCCCGCCCATCAGGCCATCAAGACATGCGCGTACAATGATGAACTGGAATGTTTTGGGGAGATCAATCCCCACCAATGGAGAGTCAAGGCCCGACGGTTCAGTCAGACGGACTTTACGGTCCATCCAACCTTCTTGGACGGATTATTCCAAATGGGCCTGGTCGCTATGACGAAGGGTGGCACTGAGATCTCCCCCAGCGTGGTTGCCGGGATTCGTTACCTCTGGATTGCAGAAGGAGGAATCCCACCCCTTCAGGATCAACGCGATTCGCCGCATATGGTAGCATGGAATCAATCAGCTTTCCTGGGTCTCGGGAATACCACTTCCAATATTGTGGCCCACGAGCCATCGCTAGTACGGTCAGTGGTGGTTGTTAATGGCCTTGAGGGGAAGTTCCTGACGGAGAAGAGTAAGAGAGAGGAAGCCCGCCGTCTTTGTTGGAACTTTGACTACCGTCCCGACATTGAGATGTTGACCACGGAAGAACTGCTGGCCCAGGTCACGACCGGGATCCCCTTGCAACCGGCGCCTTTGGAGTTGGATCACGACGTTAAGCTGCTGTTGTACCTTTGTATCTTGCGAACATTGAAGGGGCTCACAGCTATGGATAAGGATAAGCTCGCGCCCCACCATCACAAATACTTCGCGTGGATGGAGCGTGAACAGCAGAAGTTGTCCACAAATGCTCCCGCTACCAAGGGCATCGATTTCAGAAAGGTGCTGAACGACGAAATCTTTTACCGAAATCTGTTGGCTCGCCTTGAAGGTCTCAACAGTCGGGGGAGATTTTATGCCGTATTGGCCCGTAATCTCTATGAGATCCTGACCGGACAGCAAGATGCACTGCAAATCATGTTCCAGACTCCCCTGGTCAAAGACTATTACCGTGAATTATACAAGCCACCAACGGCCTGTCTAAAACCCTGGCCTTCGTCGATCTCTACGCCCACAAACATCCGGATATGAAGATCCTGGAAATTGGAGCAGGAACTGGCGGTATGACAAGATATATTCTGGACACATTGACGCAGAACGGTTCCCGTGAAGCCGGGGCCAGGACTCCGCGGTTTTCTCATTACACATACACCGACATCTCAGCCGGCTTCTTCTCTGATGCTGCAAGTATGTTCGAGGGCCTCTCAGACAAAGTGGCTTTTTCTGTCCTGGACGTCGAGAGGGACCCAGTGAAACAAGGCTTTGAGGAGGCGGCCTACGATCTGGTCATCGCCGATAATGTCTTCCATGCCACCGAGGATTTGTATACTACTTTGCGACATGCAAGGAAATTACTCAAACCAGGTGGCAAGCTTGCACTCTTTGAACTTACGGACCCTGAAGTTGTCCGTACTAATTTTGCATTTGGATTGCTTCCGGGGTGGTGGCGTTACCGGGATGCATATCGCACATTCAGTGCTGGTGTTTCAGACACAGTCTGGGACGAACTACTCAAACGCACTGGATTTTCGGGCATCGATCTGAACCTTCAAGATTATGATGATCCCGTCTGTCATGAACACAGTGCTTTGATCACAACCGCAGTCGCTGAAGCCAAAGACTGTTCACGGCCACCTCCGCGGACTTTGATAGTCTTGGATTTTACATCCACCATCCAAGAGACTGTCGCGAACAAACTAACAGTAAACCTACAGCACTCTGGGGTCCCTGAGACCATCCACCGTTCTCTAGAGGAGGCTGCACAACTGCCTAATTTGAAAGAGTGGTTCTGCATCATGATGCTTGATCTAGGAGAGACATCTATTCTAGCCAACATGAATGAGACCGAGTACCAACAGATCAAAATCTTATTACAAGCGGACGGAGGTATGCTATGGGTCACCCGTGGAGGCGGTGTTAGACCTGAACGACCCGAGCATGCTCTGGTGCAAGGCGCACTTCGGGGACTGCGTATGGAAGAGCGACACTCAAAGTTTATCTCTCTTGCACTGGATGCCACTCCGGTTGATACATATCATATAGCGAACCGCATCGGTCAGGTATTTGGGGCTATTTCTACCCGGCCGGTCAATGACTGTGAGCAGGAATACGTGGAACGGAATGGTCACCTGTGCGTTGATCGATTTATCGAGGCCGACTATCTGAATAAAAGCCTTGTCAATCTCATGGCAGATACGCAAGTGGGCGAGTCCAGATTTGGCGAATATCCCGCATTGGCGCTCAGCATCACCTCACCTGGACTATTGGACAGTTTGGAGTTCGTCGAGGATGATGCTGCCAAATCGGAGCTCGCTTCAAATGAGATCGAAATTGAGGTTGAGGCGAGCGGCGTCAATTTTCGAGATTGTCTTATCGCACTGGGCCGACTCTCTGGAACCAGCTTCGGCTTTGAGTGTGCCGGTACGGTCTGTCGCAGAGGGCGAGGTGTACAGAACGTGGCGGTTGGAGATCGGGTCTGCGCGAGTGCCTTGGGAACCTATCAGACGTATACGAGGTGTGACGCAAGTGAGGCTATTCTTATCCCCGACACTATGTCCTTCGTCGAGGGCGCCTCTCTTCCGGTCGTGTTTACCACCGCCTTCTATGCTTTGGCTCATGTCGCAAACATCCAACGAGGAGAATCAATTCTCATCCACTCTGCAGCCGGAGGCACAGGCCAAGCGGCTATCCAAGTTGCTCAGATGCGAGGTGCTGAGATCTTTGTCACCGTCGGGTCAGAGGACAAGAAGGCACTGTTGATGAAGACTTATCACATTCCAGAGAACTGCATCTTTGATAGTCGCAACACCTCCTTTGTTAAGGGCATCCTGGGACGTACTGGTGAAAAACGTGGCGTAGATGTCATCCTTAACTCGCTGAGTGGAGATTTCCTGGTCGAAAGTTGGCAGTGCATCGCACCTTTCGGCCGTTTCCTGGAGCTGGGGAAGAAAGATATTCTCTCCAATAGCAGTTTGCCAATGCTGCCCTTCTCAAACAATGCATCATTTCACGCCATCGATCTCAATGAAGCTCGGAAGTATCAGCCCAGACTTTTGCAACGGCTGCAGAAAGACATCACCGCCATGCTATCCGATGGTCGGATTTCTCCTCCGCAACCAATTCATATGTTTGGAGTCAGTGAGGTTGAGCAAGCGTTTCGTTATCTCCAGAGTGGAAAGAACACGGGGAAGACCGTGGTAGAAATGAGACGTCGCGACCTGGTAAAGGTATGGGCCCCGGCTATTATATGTGCAAGGTTAAAGCTGACTTTACAGACGAATTTGAAAACCAAATCCACCTGGAAATTCGACACTAACGCCACATATGTGATTGCTGGCGGGTTGGGCGGCATTGGCCGTAGCACAGCCAGCTGGATGGCTCAACGAGAGGCAAAGAACCTGATTCTGCTGTCTCGATCAGGGATTTCGAACGACGAAGGATGGGAGTTAGTAGACAACTTACGCAAACAAGGAGTGAGAGTGGAAGTGCCCTGCTGCGATATTACAGATTTTGCCTCTCTGAAGCAGGTGTTAGACAGTCTTCAACGCCGAGTACCCCCGATCAAGGGCTGCATTCAGTCAGCAATGGTCCTCCGAGTGAGATATTCTCCAATCTGCCTCCTTGTTCCATCGTACGTATACTGACTAATCGCCCCCTGAATAGAATAAAGTGTTTGGAAACATGACATACCAAGATTGGGCCGACACTTTCGCATGTAAAGTCCCAGGGACATGGAACTTGCATCGGTTGCTCCCAAAGAATATGGACTTCTTCATCACGTTTTCATCTATCGCCGGAGGAATCGGAGGGACTGCATCGGTCAATTACTCAGCCGCTTGTGCATACCAAGATGCTCTTGCCCATTACCGTAACGCCCAGGGCGAAAAGGCAACTACGTTCAATCTTGGCGTCATGTTGGACGACGGAGTGCTGCGTGACAACGATGCGGTGCGGACCGCATTGATCGGGACAGGTTATCTGCTGGGCATCACACAGCGGGAAATGTTTGCTCTACTGGAATACCACTGTGACCCGTCTCTCCCAATACCCAGCACTCCACTGAGGTCTCAAGTGCTTGTTGGCATTGACGTGCCCTCTCGGATCGAGGCTCGCGGAGCGGAGATTCCTATCATCATGACCCGACCACTCTTCCGAGGAACATGGAACATCACGGACGCAGATGGCTCTGTCAAGGAAGAGGCCAAGGCAGATGTGGTAAAAGATCTGGCCGGTGTCCGGTCAAGAGCCGAGGCGGCGGAGATCATCGCACAAGCGCTGATGCAAAGGCTCAGCAAGGCGTTGGGTGTGCCTATAGGAAATCTAGACCCGTCGAAGGCGATGCATGCTTACGGAGTGGACTCTTTGGTGGCAGTAGAACTGCGAAATTGGTTCAAGTGGAGGCTTGATGCTGAGGTAGCTGTCTTCGAGATCCTGGGGAACGCAACATTTGAAGATATTGGGACGCTGGTAGCCGGTAAGAGCCAGTTGGTTGCGACGATGGTTGGTGAAATAGTGCCCAAGACATGAAAGGTTCTACCTGATAGGTCCATAGATAATTATATAAATCTCGAATATACAAGAGAGTGAGTGAAGTCTGTCTTTCCTGAATAAGATCCTGTTCAATGTTTTCAGATCTAGGATTAAACACATAGTTGTGAATAGAATATCAACATCAGATCGCTTTTAATCAACTCCTGAAATCAGTATATCTACAGTGAACTTGCAGGAAATTGGCTTGCTCTCGGTTATCCAAAAGGTATTAGCAAGATCCTTTTGGGAAATACTGATCTGAACGTCATTGCTGTCAAGATTATGAAACCTAACAAATTACTCTAGCTCCATACAGGCCATCATTCATGGCTTCCACCGTGCAGTAGTGGCAAATGAGTTCCTGCGAGGTAAGATGTTCAGCAATTTGTCTCTGTGCATCGTTCACCAGAAACATAATCCGCAAGATGGATAAATACATTGTTTTCTCCATTCTACTAAACCTACGCGCAGAAGATGCAAATACAGAATAATACATGAAGAGCAAACCCAATATGAGGTGCCTAGTGGGTCACCTAGCTCTTATAGAATTCCTTTTCCAAGTCGTGCTTCATGAACGAATACATCCAGATGCAAAAACAACCAGACTTATCATTAGAGGCAGACGCCGATCTAAATTGCCTTGAGCCAAGGATCCCCCAGCAATTCTTTCGCGGACGCTCGATTCTCCGGTTGCCATTGAAGCATCTTTCGCATGAAGGAGATGAACAATCTTTGCTGAGTGTCTCGCAAATTACTCTCCAGCTTCTCCAGAGAGACACAGGGGATTTCGGCGGTGCCTATCCAATTTCCTGAGTTTCATCCATCAGCGCCGCCTACATCGTACGAGATAGAATCTTACCCTTGCTATCGAAGAACTTCGTCGCATACTCGCTATTTCGAATCATATCCTTTGGCGGCATACCCATGATAGCTATCATACGAGCAAGATGATGGCTATCTGAAATGTTCCCGTTTGAATCGCGAGCATAGAAGAGAGGTTTGCGCTCAAAAAGAGCCCAGGCCTTTGGAGATGATGAGTTCTTTGCCAAAAGAAGCTTGGAATGTGAATTCTACTTACAAGGGTCCCTACATTCCATATATCAATCTTTTCATTCCAGGGCATCTGCAATACCACTTCAGGAGCCCGGTAGACTAAAGGCTGCACGTCCTCCCACTGTTTCCCTAAAGTCGAGATAAAGCGAGCCTCCCCAAAGTCGGCCAGAATAGGCCGACCGTGCACTTTTGGAATCCCTAGGTCCCGCGAGGAATAGATGACCCGATCGCCATCGATTTTGCGTGGGCTGGGGCTGGATTTCTCTGCTTCCTCAAACTCGGAGAGAATTGATTCGTCCTCCACACTAAGCATGACATCATTTTCTTGTATATCTGATACTAGTTAGTAACGGTTCAAGAAATGTGTAAGGTTTCACATGGTTAGGATCAGCGTACCAGTATGAGTAACCTTAGCTTCTGTGTGAAGAAAGTCGAGAGCGAGGAGTATATGGATTAATGTTGGCTTGAGTAAATCAGCCGGAAGCACCTTTTCTATGATCCGGTTGCGTAGCTCGCATATACTCATAGCTAGAGGAGGATGCACAAGGCACTGATAGGAGTATTTCTTATCCACAGATCTGATTAGGAAGTCATCGATTGCGCGTCGCACGAGCACAGAGCCTTTATGACTTGACTGGATGCTTCTGAGATGTTGATACACTTCTTTTTTCTTTTTCCAGGACTAGAGTCATGCTCATAGATCTTCAATGTGACATATTCATGTTGCCTACAGCTTTTCAGCTACCAATCCCTAGGCCAATGGTTCTAGGACTTACTGCAAGTCTCTGCAGAGCCACACTGTGGAATGACCACCATAGCCAAGTTTCCCGACCACTTGGTATCTTGAGTGAAACACCTCACCAATCTTCACTGAGTAAAAATGCTCCGGGATGTAGCCTCGTAGCCTTTCCTCCTCGACCTTATTGTTTGGCTCGAGAAGAGGACCTGTCTGCGGAAATTTCCTAGGTGGGGAAGGAGCTCGCCCAAAGACGGCCTGTTTCAGCCGATGCACAAGATTTTGTACCCTCATTCGACTAAGTTTGCGAAAAGATTGGAACAAAAGGAGGATTTAGATCAAGCGCCTGTGGTTGGACTGGAGAGCGAAGACGATCACGTGGTGTCTATGGAGTATAATTTACCCGGCCCGGTGCAAGATCATTTTCGATTAAGCACTGGCATGCCCCATGCCCGACCTTTGCATCTTTTCTGTTTTGATCCGCCTTTGATTGAGGGAACCTCCGAGGATCTTCAACTCAGAGACTTCCCGCAAGTCTTGATTCACAGATTGGCTGGCCAAAGCGAAAAAAACGGCCCGCAGCCAACACACGTAGCTACCACCTTAAAGCTCCTAGAAATAAACCTGTAAAGAACTTCGTCCATCGTAGCCCTGGATGTTATCTTACTATCTTATCACGGGCTACTGGGTGAGGGTCAATACTGCTCTTCTTAGTAAGGTGGGCATTTAGTACCGAAATCGTCTAGTAGGCCTGTCATATTCGCTACTCCAATGCCGGAAAGACCTGAGACCACTAGCATGCTTAGCGCTGCCCACGCACTCCTGGCGGGATCTCAGTTTGAGCTTAAGCTCAGGTGATGTACGCGTCTGGCGAGTCGCCTAGTTCATTCCCAATCAATTCCCTGCGCAAGATACCGTAAACTATGGGGGCGGCCAAGTGGGGCCTCGTATTTTTGGTTCTCGACACAGATAATTACCAGCTTGGCCCCGGGGTCCTAACAACATCCCTGCCACAGCCTAAAACATGATTTGAAATATAATCAGAGGGGGGCCGCTTTTTCCCATTTGCCCTCTCTGTATGTTCTTTTAGCCTCCAGTTGAGTGGAGTTTTCCTACATGATGCTACGAAGTTGTGGCCTTCAGACTCTGCGGAGTGCCCCGCGACCTTCACTCGCCGCTCCCTTGAAGGAGTCTTGTGGCAAACGATGGGCCCAGGCATGCTACTCCACACAGGCTCAAAGAAAGCCCAATGAAGTCGACGTCATTGTCGTCGGCTCCGGGTGCTCTGGGCTGACAGCCGCATTGGCGGCAGCGAAACATGGCCTGGATGTGCTGGTGCTGGAAAAGACACAGTATTTCGGGGGCACCACCGCAACCTCTGGAGGAGGCATGTGGCTGCCGAACAATAAATACCAGCCCATTATGGGAATCACCGATAGCACCGAAAAGGCCGATGAGTATCTGCAGAACCTCTTAGGCCCGCTGTACGACCAGCAGAAGATCGCGGCCTTCTTGAAGTCCGCCCCCGAAATGCTGGAGTGGCTGGAAGCGAACTCGCATATGCAGTTTCAGCCGGTGCCAGCCCCAGACTATCACCAGTCACGACCAGGGGCGTCGGTCGGACGCACACTTCTCACCAAGGGCAGTTTCGACGGTCGGCAGCTGGGAAATCTCATCAAAGATGTGCGGTATCCCATCCAAGGCGTAGCGGTCTTTGGGTCCATGCAGGCTGATTGGACTCTGCTGCCAATTCTCAGTAACCCGCTTGGCAGCGTGTCGAATTTCATGGCGTCGGTGCGGATTCTGTCAAGATATGCGTTCGATCTGATCAGATGGGGGAAAGGCACGGTGATGATGAATGGAAATGCCCTGGTAGGCCGCCTACTTGCATCACTCCAAACCGAAGGCGTTCAGCTGTGGAACAACGTCCCCGCGCAGGGGCCAATTCTCGACAACGGCCGCGTAGTGGGGCTAAAAGTTCTTCGGGATGGGCAAGAACTCTCGGTCCATGCCAGGAAAGGCGTCGTGTTAGCCAGCGGTGGGTTTGGCCGATCGCCCGAAGCAAAAAACTACGTGCCCCATGAATGGTGCGCTGCTCCCCGGGGAAACACCGGCGACGGCAAGCGCATTGGGGTCGAAAGTGGGGGAGCCCTGCCCGCGAAGAACCCTGAGAACGCGGTCTTCGCGCCCATCTCCCTGCTAGAGGTCCCCGGTCAGCCTACCCGACGCTTCCCCCATTTCTTTGACAGGGCGAAGCCGGGATCGATCTTCGTCGATACCAATGGAAAGCGCTTCGCGAACGAGTCCGCGCCATACCAGAACTTCGTCGCCGCAATGCACGAGAAGGGAATTGAAAAGGCCTTCTACATCGCCGACCATACCTATCTTCGCAAATACGGAATGGGAATGGCCTTCCCGGCGCCGTATCCGATTGGAAAGCTTCTACGACAGAAGTATCTCTTGTCTGCTCCTACGATTGCCGAGCTGGCGGGTCGAATTGGAGTTCCGAAGGAGAACCTCGAAAAGACGATCGCGCAGTTCAACTCTTTTGCGGAAACTGGGAAAGATCTCGAGTACCACCGAGGGGAGGAGCCCAATGACCGCTTCTATGGTGACCCCTCTGTGGCCCCGAATCCCAGTTTGGGGGCCTGTAAGACGGGACCATTCTACGCGCTGCCGGTTTACCCGGGGAACGTCAGCACGATCTATGGCCTGTCAACAAATATCGATGCCCAGGTGGTGGATGCAAGGGGGAGGCGATTCCAGGTCTGTATGCGGTGGGCTGTGATCAGAACCAGGTATTCAAGGGCGTTTGTCCGGGCGCTGGATCCAGTATTGGTCCCGGTATGACTTTTGGGTACCGGGCTGGCTTGAAACTTGCTGGCAAGAACTAGTGCTAGTGTACACTCTGCTATTTTTTTTTATTTTTATTTTTTTTTTTCTGTGTTCTTAGAAGCGATATATACTACTAGATCCATATCATAAATCTCCAGTTTAGAGAGCTCAAGAGGTGGACTAGAAGAGGAGTACCGGTGGACAGTAAAATAGAATTTTATGTGATCGTACGGTGCCCGATATATAGAGTTGGAGGCTGACTATAATATCATACCTTCGCTCGACATAACCTTCCATCGCTCTTCTGCTGCCATAAATCACTTCCCACGCCCGTAAGCGCATAGAACTTGTGATATGGATCATACTTGTTCTTGACCTGCAACAGGCGATTGTAGTTCGTGTGATAGAAGGTGAATTTCCAGTTCGGCTGGTGGGCATCCGCCTCATTCAAGTACGCACCGCCCCCGGGCGTAATCTCTTCCAGTTTTGGGAGAAGACTGTTGGTAATTTCCTCCTGGTACTGGACATTGAGAGTATGGTTGGTCTTGCTAAGTGGTCTTTTCACGCTGGTCAGCACCTTTCTGCCCGTCCGCCCGGGGTGCGACTTACTTTCCAACGACGATATCAATTGCGGCATCTCGCCAGGCAGGGTTCACTGAGTTAGGCGGAAGGGTTTGGTTCCGGTGCACTAGAGATGCATTGACAGAGATGCCCGAGAGAACAGCCCCTGCATCGGCGATCTCCCTGAATCGATCCAGGAGGGCCTCTGTTTGGTTGTCTACGACGCTACGCGGAATCAGTCTGCCGCCGATGTTGTCTTCTGTGACGTTGACGTCGGCGCTCATAGCCTCGAAGCTGGCATACCACGTAGGAAAATCCTGAATGGAATATTCTGGCGAAGTCAGTTTGGTGATAGTTGCAAGTTTCCAGGAGGAACATACCATAGGAGATATTCTCCTGCTTGAGCTTTCCAAGTAGCGGACTCATGATGGACTGGAGGTCCTGCTTGCTTCCACCAGGAAGAGTGATGGGGACCAGCTCGAACGCGCCATCCACGATATACCATACGGCTGCTCCGCGGGAATCCAACAGACGACCCAGCGTCGACTCCAAAAAGGTACGCACAGCACCATAGAATGCGGTCTGCGTGGTGCCAACTGACGAGAAGGTCAAGTTGGCTGTTGCAGTGTTCAACTCCGGGTGAGCTTTACTCGTCATGGAAACGACCACACCGTAGGTCCCGCCACCGCCACCTGCAAGCGCCCACCACAGATCCGCATGCTCATTGTCCGGTGTCGCCGTCACCAGGTCGCCTGTGCCGGTGACAACTTCCCACTCCAAGACCTGGTCGGCAGCCAGTCCGTACTGCGAGACCAGTTGGCCATGGCCGCCGCCTTGGGAATAACCGCCGGAGATCCCCACGCTTCTGGCGTTTCCGCCCACAATGGTCAAGCCTTTCGCGTGGGCTGCGGCATTGGACTCGGACACCTGCACACCGGCGCCCAGTTTCACAGCTTTCCCTGAGTAAGATGGGGACTTGTAATCCACGAAGCTGATATCCTTGAGATGATGAGTCCAGATAGCGACTGCGCCTGCACCGGTCGATTTACCCAGGTAATCATGACCGGTATTGCGGACAACGAGGCGAATGCGATGCGTCGTGGTGAAATTCAATGTCTTCTGAATATCAGCCGTCGACTCCGCTCGCACCGAGTATTGAACGTAGGTCCCGACGATACATTGTGTCGAGGGAGCGGTGAATGGATCGCAGCTGTGATTGGCATAGAAGCCCGCCATAATCGAGGAGGAGCTTTCATAGTGGGTTTTGGGGAACTCCCAATTCGCACGCAGATTGTTGCATGCCGCCTCATCGTAAGGCGAAAAGGGATTGTTTTTGTGGCAGGGACTGCCAATTGGGGTCGTGGCAATAAGCCGCCCGCCGACAGTACGATTGAAAGCGGCCCACTCAGCTGTGCTTGGCCAGCAGGATTCTCCTGGAAAGCAGAGGCAATCTTCGGCAGATTGGGTAGGATATGCTATAGAGGGAAGGCAGAGGAACGATAGAAGCAGTAGCCTCTGTAGACTGCGTACGAGGGCCATAGTGGCGAATTGCGATTTGGATACAAAATGTACAGCAAGAGTAAGTGGGCGACACCTACACACCTAACTATAAAGACAAGATCCTACAACGCTTCGCCAAGTCAGGCGTCATAGCTAGGCTGGGGGTAGACCCACATAAGTGTTGCTTTTTACAAACAAGGGGGCCAAAGGCTCTTGCCATGGCGAGACGTTGTTTAAGAAGTGGGTTGGCTGCGCATCTAGCTGCGTTGGTGGATATCAAGCTGTACTGCACTCGGATATTGTTCAGCTTAAAAAAAATACGTATTGTAAAATGCTAAAGATACGTGACAAATACCTGGGGGCCAGCCTTGTTTAGGACCACCAGCCAACCTCCACCAGTGGAGCCGCTTCGGCCCGCATTGTCTCATCGTACACCTGCTCTATTTGGGCCACTAGCTCTGCCGGCAGAGGCCCTGTTTCACGCGCCTCGAGGTACCCCTCTAACTGGGCAATCTTGGTGGGGCCAATCGCGACGGCATCGGTGCTGGCCAGGCCCGCGTGGAAGAGCAGCCAGCGCAATGAGGCCTGGGCTAAGCTGGGCACGTCGGTCTCAGCGACCGCCGCACTCAACTTTCGCACAGCGTCGTGGAAGACGGGCTTGTCGTACCACATTCGGTAGAGACCACCCATCACATTGCTCTCGGATTGCTCGAATCGCGTGCCCACCAGTTGCTCTGCCCTTGGGCAAGGGTGAGTTTGCCGGTGGCGAACCCGCCCGCCAAAGGCGAGTTGGCGACGAACTTGATTCCGTGGGCCTTCAGGAAAGGAAAGAGCTCTTTCTCGTATTGCCGACAGAAAATGTTGTATTGACCCTGGTACACGGTGGGACGGACATAGCCCTTCTCGGTCGCGAGATCGATGTATTCTTTGACTTGGGCGGTCGAGTAATTGCACAGGCCTAGCTCGGTGAAAAGACCGGCGCGGTATAGGGAGTCGAAATTGGCCGCTTGTTCTGCGATTGGAACCACCTTGTCGGGGGCATGCGCATACAGAATGTTGACCTAGCGGAAAGATGAGTTTCACAATCAGTCTTCAACAATCCGTCAGCTCAACAGGTCAGCGAACGGTAACTACCTTCTCCACGCCGAGGTTCTTCAAACTGCCGCGGAGGGACTCCTCCATCTTCTCCTTGCGAAGCGCCTCGGGCCGGTACAGGATTTTGGTGTCGATCACAAAATCGGGCTTTCGGATGCTCCCTAGGAGTCGCTCAGACCCTCCCGGATTGGTCAATGGGTACAAGGAGGCTGTGTCATAGTGCTTAAGGTTGGCACTCTCGAGCCGCGCAATGAGCTCGGACACGTTGCTCTCTGTCCAGGCCCCGCCGAAGCCCTGGGTGCCCATATAATATTCCGGTGCAGACATGGTGTAGTGCAAGAAGTCAATATTCGATGATCAAGTCCGTGGGAGACGCTCGAGTTTCTTTGTATCCCGATGAGACCCAACCTACCCCTCTTTATTAGCTAACCTGGCACAGTCGATGGGGACTATGATCAGCTGTGGGCCCACGAATAAGATGCTGATCAATTTAGTGAACAAAGAGATGCCTGTAGGCGTCTTGGGGGCCAAAATAAGCGCCCAAATTCCAGCCCCGTCACGTATTGTCACTGCGGGCCGCACGGACGTTTCCAACAGCCCCAGTGGGGTTGCATTGGGCCCACCTGGGAATTTGACTGCGCAGAGACCATCTTCGTGAAGAAACTGCAGGTCAGGCAACCAGCAGCCCTCAAGCCACCGAGAGGGCATGCGGAATAGCCTCTATTGGAAGCATCTGTGACTAATGGCAGGGGTATGATGGCTCTCAATAGGATTAGCTGGTCCATCCTTTCTCCAACGAGACGTATCTTGGGATATTGGTCCAGCGGCCCGCAACCAACACAGGATCCGAGATTATCGTCACCGGTAAAAAGCCTAAAGATCAAGTTTCGAATATTTGCCTCTTCACATTCACGCACCCAACACTGCTAGGAGCGCCAGAGTTGGTGGGCAGTGCGCGGGCAGTTGCGTACTTAGTTCCGTACTTAGTTCCGTACTTAGGTCCATGCCGATCGGATCCCCAACGGGACATGCAGCATGAGGGGGGGCTTCACCAGTCGTAGTATTGCATTGGCGCAAGTGCAGAGAGCCAAAATTGCCCCCAAAGTGACCAGACCCAGGCTGCCTATGCCCATGCTTCTGTTGCGGGTTTCTCTCGTTGTCTTCAACCTACTTCTGGGCTGTCCAGTATCACCGAAATGACGACCGTCAAGGAGCGCCAGACTAAGCTGATTGTTCTGGCAGCAGTCTTCAGTGCCTTGGCCACGGTTGCCTTTGCCCTGCGGATGGTCAACAGCCGGAATCTGCGGCGGACGCTGAAGATTCACGATTATTTCGTCGGATTGTCGCTGGTATGGATGACCTCGATACATGCGCAGTCTCTCTCGGAGTACTAACCGCGTGGAGATTTGTCTTCTATGTTACTGCGTATGTGCGATTATTGGTGAGTCGAGGGATTAACCCTTCTGAGGTTTGGGCAGCGATACTGATGATTCCTCTCCACTGGCAGGCGCTTCGGCGGGCGCGTACGGGCAAAATGTCCTCACGGTGGATTATCCGACCATGACAACGACGCTGAAGGTGAGTCTCGACCTCAAGAAAGATAACCGATCTCTTACACGGATAGACATTCTGGTCATCCGAATGGTTCTTCATCACGGGCACGACAGCCTTTCGTCTGGGGATCATCTTCCTCTACATCGAACTGTTCCGGGGCAACAAGTTCTACTGGATCTCCATGACGGTTGCCGGCATCGTGATCGCATACTGGGTAGCCTCCGTCCTAATGGTCCTTCTTCTCTGTCGCCCGATAGCTTCCAACTGGGACATCAAGATCCAGGGCAAGTGTGGCGATGTCTCCGAGACTGAGAATATATCGGCCTCGTTCAACTTGGTCGTGGACCTCATAGTCGTCACCCTTCCAATGCCGATGGTATTTTCCTTGAACATGCCAAAGGACAAGAAGATCAGCGTGGTGGCCAGCTTCCTCCTGGGCTTCATGTACGTGTCCTGCAGTCATTGAGGGTCTCGTCTGCTAACCTTGGTTCGACTAGTACGGCCGGCGTCAACATCGGACGTCTAATCCAGACACAGGTGTGCGACCCCAAGAACAAGACCTTCTGTTTAAATGACGCCTCTATTCTGGTTGCTGCGGAACTCAGTTCAGGCACAATCGTTGCCTGTGCCCCCATGATAGGCGCCGTGATTTTGCGCCGCAGCCGCCGTCGGGAGAGCAACCCCCGTAGCAAAGACCCTCGTATTCACACGATCGGTTCTAGCGGCCGCTCGTGGCCAAGGCGAGATCCGGGTGATATTGAGCTGCTGGCCTCGCAGGACGACGAGCATGAAAAAGCCGCCTCGCATCGCACGCAGGTCTCGGTGCCGGAAATCTCGTACCAAATCGACTCAGGGTCTTTCGCCGAGGATGGTCGAGGATACAACTCGGCTGGGATAATGGTACAGAATGTGCTGACGATTGAACGGGAGTCAGCCCGCGTGTAGTTATTCACCCTATAATGAAATCCACTTGTACATGATATATATTTGCTCGGGAATAGTCAAGTATAGCACTCTATAATGACTGACATTCATCGCTAAGACCTATTACTATGTTATGAGCCCCGATCTGATAGTGTGGAATGGTACAGGGTGGTAGACCACCGCGGGAGGGGAATCGTAGAATACCGTGACAGACCCCGTCCGCAGCAAGAAATGTCACGCAAAGTGTTGACAGCCAAGTGGGCGTAAAACCGACCCCAACTTCCAACGTCGCCCCCGGAGCTACGTTGGAGATCATATCAAGTCACCGGAAATGACCACCTGCAGTGTACCAGTTTGTCACGAATCCTGGGCGATAGAAGCAAACTCTACAATGCATGGGGCTAGACTGGGGCTCACAGGTGGATCTGCGGGAAGGGCCAAGCCTCGCCTAAAATCCTTCTGCAAGCCACCTCTTCGAACATGGACGTAGCCTCAATCCTGCCCTCGATTTTAGGATGTTGGGTTGCGGGTGCGACGAACGAACCAATGAACTGCCCGTGCCTATTACCCATGACGATGTAACTGTGGGCTTTACCAGGCCAAATTGTTTGATTTGCCCCACTGGGGCCAACCGGGGGCCTTAACTTCGCAGCTTTGAGTCAGATAGAGTCAGCTGGAGTCAGCTGGAGTCAGCCTCTCCCGAGGTCGCGTCCGACCTAATTACCTCCGGTTCCGCGGAAACTAATTCTGCAAGGCCTTGCCCCAAGGGCCCGGGGCAGGGCCCAGAATGATCAGAGTCGAATCGCCAGTCGTTACGCGGTCGGATTTGCCGCGTGATCGACATGGCGTATCGTCCCGCTTGTATGCAATCCCAAAACGGCATATGGAGAAGACAGAGGATAGATATGCCGAGTCAAGCAGATGTTGGTTGGGCGCCTGGGCATACTTTTACCGGCGTTTCAGATGCATACAAGGCAAGTAATTTATTCACATTCGTATTCGCAGCGGGAAAATCCACAACAGCGTCTCATGTTCAAAGTATAGACCTCAGTGTACCTGAGAAAATAGAGGCATGGCGTAGATCGTCGCAATCCAGTAGTTCCACACCCGGAAGGTACTCCGATCGCTTTTCTCGTCGCGTCGCAACAGCACTCGTCCAACCACCGTAAAGGCGAGCCCCACGCTGAGGACAAACAGCTCAGCTCGTACCTTCCAAAAGAGTGGGCACACAAACGCCCAGACAGTCATTGGAATGGCAATGGTCCATCGAGCAGCCCCGTCGCCAATCACCAAAGGCATCGTGCGCCGTTGACGCACCGCGTCCCCTCGCTGATCATACAGATCCTGCAAATGCACGGTAGTCAGAATGATGCCCGCAATGAGCAAAAGCCACTGCTCCAGGCGGAATTTTAGATCGGTCTGGCCAATTGGATTCTGCAGCGGGAAATCCAGCCTTTGGCCCAGCGCATTCTCGAGGGCACCGGAGATAAAACACATGTAACCCGCGGCATTGATGCCGTTCCGCACAACGGGGTGGTTGTCGGCGCCCCCAAAGTTGTTGTACCAAAGCCCGAGCAGGAATAGGGAAGTAGATTGCCGATGGCCAAGGCCTCGGCCGGAAATGCCGTGGCACTGCACGAGAGCAAAGAAGCAGGTCATCAGCCATCTTGCTTGGCGCGGCGTCAGGCGTTTCTGGGGCATGGGGCGCCATGGCTTGTTGAGAGTGTCTTCTTCGATCGCCGAGGGAGTCCGCTGGTTATCGATCGAGAATGGGATGAAGACGAGGATAACCCAGAAGAACGTTTGGAGGGTTCGATCAATGAGAAGTTCGAGAGAGACTGGAGGGCTGTTTTCCAACCCATATGCGCTGGCCGCGAGAGAGTTGCTCACGCCAAACACGGTGCTCGGAATCACGATGGTCTTGAAATCACTGCATGTGAAAAGGAAGATGCTATATGCGTGATATGTCAAAAAAACCAAGAGAGATTGCAGCACCCGAACTAGCACAAATTGATTGCTCTGGCGAGCTCGTCCCTGTGGGCTATTTGCATAATGAATCGTGGAAGCTTTGTCGGTAGTCTCACTCACCTTATAAGATGGACGGATGATAGTGAAGGCATTAGATTGAGATGTTTCACTCATGTTGAAATGGGAGTTTGTCAGTATCGCAGAGTAAATTGAAGTAATTGTAACTATGTCGGGGCGAGCTCGACCCTCGACCGGGCATCATGCCCACGCTCCTTATGAAGTCTATGGAACCGGGTCTACTCCAATACTAGTAAGCGCCTCAGCCCACTTGGCATGTTGTGCTTGAGCCCCCAACGCATTGTACGCAATGTCATCCAACATTCGCTCGTTGTCTTCTCCACAGGGGGCTGTTCAGGCCGCGTCAACAATACCTGGGTATTGTTGGTTGCCTCCACAGGGGCGGAGGGGGGAGGGGACCCTAAGAATTATTAGCTGGGCCTTATATCCTCTGCAGTTCTTCCCAAGTTCACAGCAATCCAAAAAGTTCCTCTAACGGCCTTAGAATCTTGTTGCAGTTAGACCATGATCGCACCATCCCTTTTGGCCGTCCTGTCAGGCTTCCTGGCTCATTGGGGAATCTTCATCCACGGCGAATGGCACTTGCACATATGGCAAGTGGTCTTACCACATATAGGGGTCCTTGCTATACTCCACGCTATCCAAATCGTGGGTGCTGAGCATGCTATCCCCGAATGTGCCTCCTTGAGACCATTCGTCCTCTTCGGACTATATATGACGTCTCTGCTCAGTAGCATCGTCATCTACCGGGTTTTCTTCCACCGACTCCGCCACTTCAATGGCCCGAAACTGGCTGCTGCATCCAAGCTATGGCATGTTTGGAAGTGCCGCAACTCTCGAGGTCATCATGTGCTTACGGAGATCCATGAAAAGTACGGAACATTCGTGCGCACAGGTGAGTCGAAATGGCATCCTACTGGACTAAACCGAATGTCAGTCAAATTAACCGTCAACTACAGGCCCGGCTGAAGTGACTGTCTACCACCCCGGGGTCTTCGAAGCCATGGATGGTCCGGGGAACAATAACACCCGCTCTGATTGGTACGACCTTCTTCATCCTCGAGTCTCGTCGATCTTCACCCGGGATCGGGCGCTCCACAACCAAAGAAGAAAGCTTTGGACCAACGCATTGAGCAGCTCTGGTAGTATTCCTTCTCTGGTTTCTTGAAGATCGCCGCTGACCCGTGCTAGCTATTCGGCAATACCATCGACGCATCGTCGGCAAGGTCAACACCCTCGCTGACTTGATTGGCGGAAAGGCATCCCAGCCTATTCTGATCAACGAAGTGATGTACTGGTTTTCCTTTGACTCCATGGGCGACTTTGCCTTTAGCCAGGATTTTGAAATGATGAAGAATGAGCAATGGCACCGGACACTGTGGATGTTCCGATATGCCCTCGCGCTGTTGGGGCCTTTTAGCCCTGCAATCTGGGTTCCCCGCCTGGCATTCGCCTTTATTCCCGGGCTCTGGTGGGCCAAGTGGTGGTTCCAGATGTTGGAGTACTGTGATAAGTGCATGGAGCGTCGAATGAAGGTGAGCTAATCTCGCTGGCGCTTGGCATTCGTCCACTTATTGTCATCCAGAAAACTGTCCCAGATAAGGATATTGCCTCATTTTTCATCGAAGAACATAAGAAAAGCAATGATGAGAAGCGGGAGTACTGGCTGAGCGGCGATACTGCGACTTTGGTTGTTGCTGGCAGGTTCGTTAACCGATTTCTTCCTGTTGGGTAAGCCGTTCTAACGTGACCTCCGGAAATAGCGACACAAATGCTCCCACTCTCACCCATCTCTTCTACTTCCTGACTCGGTATCCCCAACATGCCCAGAAGATTCTCAAGGAACTGCAAACTCTTGAGTCCTTGGAAGATGCCGTTGGACTTGCCAAGCTCTCTCACCTCAACGGCGTCATCAACGAAACCATGCGGCTCCTTCCGGCTGTCCTCACGTTTGGGACCCGGGTCACGCCTCCAGAAGGTTTGATGATTGAGGGCACATTTATTCCGGGGGGGAATCAAGATCTGTGCTCCCCGATACACCATCGGAAGATGTAAGCCTGGATCCACTCATTAGTCTGCGCAGTGCTAATGATTATCAATTTTCCCAGTGGAGTCAGCGTATGCCCGCCCTCATGAGTTCATTCCGGAGCGATGGTATAGTCAGCCTGAATTGGTTCGGGATAAGCGGGCATTCGCTCCATTCGGCGTTGGTATGCATCCACCTCGAGATTCAATGTTGTCTGAAACTAAAAAGTCCAGGGAACACGATGTGTGTCGGCAAGAATCTGGCTTTGACGCAGATTCGCCTCGTCCTAGCTACTCTGATTAGCCGCTACACGTTTGAATTCGCGCCGAACAATAAGCATGGAGAGTTCTTGGAGAGGGACATGAAGGACCAATTGAGGGCGCAGCCTGGGCCGTGCCATGTAATCTTTAACAGACGTGATGTGATGCAGTGATCCAAGGAAACAGCGATCCATAGTGCGGGTCAGTGGTCTGTCAACAGTCTTCTGTGCCCAGGTGCTCTTTCGAGTGAAATCAGATGTGCTGACCGGAACCTTCATCCGTCAAGCTAGGAAGTTATACCGCTCCACAATAATATATCCACTTCGCATTAAGAGGTATCTGGTAATCACTAGGAGAATACTGCCCGTTCATGTAACGGGCAAAGAAGAACCATATGTAGTTACGTGTCTTGGCATTCTGGTTGATAACTTACATAGAACAAGACTTTAACCTCTGTTGAGAGTCAGGAGGCCAACCCGGTGTACAAGTGATGGAGAAAATGTACTCCAACAAAGATATCAAACTCAGCCTAGTAAGCCCTTGGCTTACGGCCCCCGATCGCCATCGATTTGAAATAGTAAAATACCCCAAAAATAAGAAGGACTCAAATAGTAGTTGAGTCGGATTCTCTAGCTTAGAAAAGTTTGGCAGCATCAGCCTCCCGTCAACGATTGGATTTTGGGAGGCCGAGAATAATACCGATCCCATTGATTAGGATCACGCATACGCACAAACCCACTAACCCCCGGTTCGTCGAATGGTATCTTCATCCAACCAACATCCTCAAGTGTGCATCCTTCCAAAGGCTCAAACTCCTCCGGCGGTCCACCAAGCGCCTCTATTTCATCCTCATCTAGAACCTGAGGCTCCCATTCCGCATTCACCAACCGAACAAATGCCATACCAACCTTATTCCTGTCTGGCGCATTCAACACAGACTCCAATGACTCTTGATCCACCATAATAAAAAAGCGGTATCGCCCCGTGCTGAAATAAGACCCAGAAGCCTGTAAAGCAGTGATATTTTGTTCACGAAACACTGCAACCTGGGCCCATGTCTTGAAATGCTCACGCAGTTCACGGGTTGTCGCGCCTTCGAAAGAAGGATCCTCAATAACCGTGGGTGCGAAATCATCAAGCAGGTCAAGACCTCTATACAGCTCTAGCGTAGACTTTGCTTCGCTATAGTAGAGGTCTAGGAATTTTTGCCAGTCGTGGTTGTTGGCGTAGGTGCAGCGATAGATAACAAAGCCCCATGTCTTGAACCCATCTTTCTGTAAAAGACGTTCCAGAATATCGGCTTCATTACTGGTTGTTTCCATATCAGGATTCCGTTTTGAGGGCTGCTCGGGACGCCAGTCATCATCCGTGACTCTTTGGCGCAAGCGCCCGCTCATTGTAGTAAAAGGGGTTGCTATTTGGTTCTCACGCCGGACGGATATTTTGTTGGGAGCAGAGCAGATGATAGTAGCTGGAGTAAAGGATATCTTCTTGAGCGGAAGATGTCTGATTCTGGTGGGCGAAGGGTGGAATTGGCTGATTGCCCTTGAAAGCATCCTCGCCTTAAATAACTAGAGGTGAAGGGAAGGAGGGAGGGATGAACCAGGAAAGGGTGGACGGGGCAGGGTTTAGCGTGGTAGAGTATTATAGTGTCAAATTTCAAACCAATACAAGGTCTGGTAACCGGCCCTTGTAAATTGCTTTCCGTTTTGTAATTTTTGAAAAAAAAAAAAGCATCAACAAGGAGCCGGCTAGCTTACTGTAGTTGCACGTTACTTCAAGTTCTCGGGCATTGCCGGAATTAAAATCGGAGTCTTCCATTAACTATGGCAAAACCTCTTCCAGCCTGTTGGCTTCCCAAGTCGCCGGACTATACAAGTCTATTGTCATTCTCCTCGATGATCTCCCTCTAGAAAGAAACACCCACACACACAGAATAGCCAACATCGAGAGTTTGGCAGTTTGATCCAATCGCGGGGTTCCACTTATACAGTTGCGCAAATGTAATCCCGTAAGTCGACTCGATTTTCGCACAGGAATCACCGGAAGCAACGGTATAGTACTTTTTGCAGTTCGATGCGATGCCTGTTTGCACCGGTGCATTTGGCCCTGAGCTTGTAGCGGTGGCCGGCCCTTTTACACAGTATGCTTCTTCGCGCCAGAGGTTTGTGCATGTGCTGCCAACACTGGGGTTCCACTGGTAGAACTGGGAGACCGTGATTCCGAATTTGCTCAAGACACTTGCACAGTCATCGCTGTCAGTGACGGTATAAAACTCCTGGCACCCAGAGATGGTGTCGGTCGGAGTGGAGCCCATGGACGTGGAGGCTTGGATTGTAGTTCCAGTAGCAGCGCTGGTCGTAGCTGTGGCAGTGGTCGAATTCTCTTCGCCGACCCCGATACAGACAGCGCGGTCATCGAAGATGGTCAAATTGGCAAGGAGTGCGGTGTCGCAATCCTCAGAGAGCCACGTGTTCCAGGCAAGGAGTTCAGTCAGAGTGATGCCATTATCAGCAACCAGTTCATTGCATGTATAGTCTTTTCACATATTTTAGTGGCGACGTTGATGGCAGGATTTAGCTGTACTTACCTGGGGCGTCATAAACATCCACGTATGTAAAACAGTTGCAATTTGAGGCGGTGCCGGGCTCAGTCGCCTCGATAGGAATACAGACTGCGCTAGGTGGCTCCGTATCTAAGTCTGCCGTTAGTACAGGTGCACGCAAATTTATACCAATTGGATCACTGACAAGTGCTGTTCTCAAATTTCAGCGCACAGTAGCTGTACTTCTGGTCAAGAGTACAATTAAAGGTATTGTTGAGACTCGGATTCCACTCCGCCAGGTCGGCTACCGTAATGCTGTTGTCGTATGCTAGGTCCCTGCAGAGGTTTGTATATTCATCGGCGTTCTGATATTTATAGCATCCCGAGATAGTTCCTGGTGCGGTGGGAAGTTGAGCCGGCTCAGTGTACACATATCCGGGGTGACTCGTTCGCGTTGGGATTTCTGTGTTCACCGCAGCCCGCTTATAAACCACGTTATGGGGCAGGGTCATGCCGTGCTGCATATGGTCAGCGATCGCTTTCACACCACAACTAATGATGAGATATCCTGGGTACTGGAATGAGGATGTCAGAAATGAAAAACACGCCTATCATAAAAAGAATTCAAATTTCTTGCTCCAGCTAGACGGTAGTAATAAGTTTCTTTAAGCGACACGCTAAAGGATATCAGGAATAAAAAATAAGCCTATCATAAAAATGATTCAAATTCCTTGCTGTAGCCAGACAAGAGTAGCAAATTCCCCTAAGCGACATGCTGGAATAGGAATATCAGGAACAAAAAACAAGCCTATCATAACAATAATTCAAATTTCTTGCTCCAGCCAGACGAAAGCAGCTAATTCCTCTAAGCGAGGCACCGGGACGAGGATATCAGTTTCCCCTTGTAGCGGAGGGCGTCCCATTATCTCCGGGACAGTTATTCGGAGTGGTGCTGCAGGCTGTGTTGTAACTGTATTTCGATGCCGTGTGATGGTAAGTTGTTGTCGAGTTGTTGTATAGTAACGGGAACGAAGATTGCGACCCGGTAGGTTGTTATTGTCCCGTACAATACACTTAATTATGATCTGTGGCTGTCTTTTGTCGATTGCCATAGTAATAACCAATTTAACTGCTCCCCGTGAATTGGCTATCCACCATGCTGCGTCACATTGCAGTTTCTGCTGGGATTCGGAGTATCCTGCTTCTAAAACCACCGTCGGCCAAGCACGTCTGCCATTACGCGGTGTCCATTGTGAGTCGGGTTCTTTGGAACTGGACTGTCCGGTTCTACGACCAGTTGCAATATTCCTGATAGATAAGTTGGAGATTGTCGATTGGATTGCCATGATCGTATTCAATTCTCCTATTGCTTGCTCATGTGGCAGCCCAGGAACAGTAATAATCATGCAACGTGTCTGCAAATCGTAGAAGTTTCGGGTGGCCTTGATATCTGTCCCTCTGGCGACTTCCGGTGATACATTCGTGAATTTCACATATTTCGTGTCTTTGATTGTGGAAGCTTTGACCCGATTTATGATCCTTGTAATACCGCTTGTTGTCGAGCCAATATACTTGGCAGCGTCCGGTACATCAAGGCAGCTATTGGTGATCAGATCCATCGTCGCGGGGATAGGTGTTATAGCGGGGATAGGTGGTGAGTGAATCGATGGAAGTGGCTCTGAAGAATCGGTGGATTCATTCATGGTTGACGTCATTTTGACAGCGTTCAGTTGATAGACGATAAGGTATGAGGTAGGCTTGCGATGGTTAAGGCTTGCGATGGTTGAGGCTTGCGATGGTTGAGGCTTGCGATGGTTGAGGCTTGCGATGGTTGAGGCTTGCGATGGTTGAGGCTCGCGATGGTTGAGGCTCGCGAAGGAACAGCCGAGTCTGGCAGTCAAGCTAGAGGCATTCAAAGGTCCGAGACAAAATTGAGATAGACTGAAGGAGAGGTGGAAAAGGAGAAAAGATAAGAGGGGAAGAGAAGGGAAAAGATAGAAGGATGCAGGAGACGGAAACTGCGACGATGTAGAAACATGGCCCCATTCAGCCTTACGACTGGCGACCGGTACTTTTAACCTTATGGCTGGCCGACTGGGCGACATGTACGGTTCTAATCCCATACTCATTGGAGGTCTTGTTACCTACGCCCTACGGTCTATTGTTGGCGATGCCTGCTAATTCCTTCGCACCTCAGACAAGGTATTTATCCTGGCAAGGGCCTTGCAGGGTACGAGAGCCTTGCTGGTGCTGCCAGTTGCTGCCTAGTGCGTTGACCAGCCTTAGACGCACTTATCCAACAATGGGCAGGCGAAATACCATGGTCTTCAGTCTGTTTGGGGCCTTTTGCGTCTGGGGGCTACATGCTGGGTGCCCTGTTCACAGCGATCCCGGCGTAGTTCGGCATCTGGGCCTGACTCTACTTCGCTGTGGGTTTTGTCTGCTTGTTGCTCGGAGCTGCTGCCCTATTCATCATTCCGTCAAATCCAACCAAGGCCAAAGATGATGAAGGAGGCCTAAATTGACCCCTGATTTGTCCTGGGCGTCATCGGCCTGGTCCTGGTCAACGTGGCCTGGAACCAGGGGTATACAATGGCCTGGGAGACGCTGTATGTCTACGTTCTATTGATTATTTGCATCCTTGCCCCTGTGGCTTTTTCTGTGGTGAGAAATGTGCAGTGTGGCCGCTGGTGCCTATCAACGCATTGAATTGGCATATTCATTGGCATATTCACGGGATTGCCGTTCTTTGGCGTCTGGCTGTACTACCTCTGGCAATTCTTGGAGGAGCCGCGCGATGTCTCTCCCCTGCTGGGGACCGCGCCAAACAGTCCCTCTGCTGTGTCGGGATTTGTGGCCTCGACCACAGGCTTGGTGATAAATCGAGTTGGAGTACACGCGATCGTGGGGTTGACCATGGTGGGCTTCTTGGTCGCCAACATTCTGGTGTCCCCAATATCCCTTCGACAAAGCTATTGGACCCACACATTTTTCTCGGCAGTCATTGGCCCCTGGGGGGCAATTATTTTACCATGATGAGAGGATCGCTGGTGAGTGCGAACATGAGACATCTGATCGTTTCTAAACCAGCTGGCTGATTGTGATATTATAGCTCTTAAGTTGGGTACAATAAGCTGCTTGACCACCTGGAAAAGTCCATTAGACAGCTTCGACGGAAGAGAGTTGCGTGGAAACAGGTGATGCTTGCATCCCTCGAAGCGGCAAAGAACAAGCTCTCAGTCTACTACCGATACACTGACAAATTGGATGGTAATTTCTACGCCATTGGCACCATCCTTTCTCCACAGGATAAACTTCAATTCTTCTCAACCGCCGACGGGGACCCAGAGGAAGGTGGAATTGATTACCGAGCAATTTATCGCCAGAGCCTTGAGTCCTCTCTCGAGAAGTACTCAGAGAATCTTGCCCAGGGGCAGCAGATACTGGGTGCTCCTCTGGCGAGTACGGCAACAGATGAATTTGATTTAGCCTGTATTCGAGGGGAGTCGCAGCAATCTCAGATACCAGAGTCAATGGAAACTGTTGTTATCCTTTTAATAGATAACGACCAATTTATTGATGAGTTCAAAGGCCTCGCCGGAGTATGAGGCATGACTAGCTCGCTGGGAAAGGGTACAACTAAGGAATCGGAATGCCTGGAGGGCAAAGGGATGGATCCTCATTTCAGAGCATATAGGAAACTCCGATCCGTAGAACCCGCCTTGTTCGGAACAGCAGAAAGCCATCGGCTCTACTTGTGTTCGATCCTCCAGATCGCCGTCTCTTTCTCGAGTGCTCCACCTCTCCCTGTGCCCAAGTCGGGGTGCCAAGGCCAACAGTTATGTTGGGGCGTTCGGAGAATCAGGAACCCCTGCCAGCCCTGGGGCTCGGGTTGGCTGGGCCTCTAAACTAGATCGATCGGCGGCCCTCCTTCAGATCCAAAATCCACGGAGTAATGGGCTATTACTTACTGGGCCAAACCCATGAGAGTCTCATTTTGCCTCTCTCCTGTCTCTGTCAAATATTCTTGAACTTGATCTTTACCTCCTGTCGTCCCATCTGATCCAAACACCCAACCATTCAGTCATCCTTGGTCTTGCAATGACCGCTGCGAAGTTTCCTCACATCACAGAGAGGCCGATAACATGGCAGGTCAAGGAAGAGCTGGCTGCTGGCCGGCCATTTCCCGCCACTGGTGACATTTTTCACGTGGCCCTGAATGCCGTACTTGCGTTTTCTTTTGGGTTCAAATTTTCCCACAACGCCACGGAGCCCCAGATTCGGCGGCTAAAAGACCTCCCGAGAACGGGGACTCTCTGGAACGGACGGGGCGCAGATGAAGACCGGCCTATGAACTTCCCCCATGCAGAAATCAACCAGGCCATCGAAGCGATGCTCGAATTAGGTGATTCCATGGAGCAGGTGAAGAGTGCACCATCGCCTCGCATGAAGTGGTGGTACGTCAAGGCAACACCGACATCCAAGCGCTGGATGAGGATTAAAGACCACTGTATCCGAGGAGAGATTGAGAAGGCCGTCGAGGAGCGCCGTTAAAGCCAATCCTCAAGCGACAATCGAGTGTGGGTGCGGTCTGCCGTGGATCGTATTGTCGATGGGGAGGATAGTCACGCTCAGAAAGAAGGACGGAGGCCCGCCTTCTTCTCCAAAGCCGTCATGGACGAGGTCTTTGGGTTCATCGTCGCTGGCCATGATACTATGAGCACAACGATGTGCCGGGGCGTTAAACTCCTTGCCGACCATCCAGACTGGCAATCCCAGCTTTGGCAATCCCAGCTTTGGCAATCCCAGCTTCAGCAAGCTCTCCTCGCTGCCTTAGGCTCCGCAGCCGCTGAGAAGCGTGCTCCGACAGTCGAGGAGATCATGCAAACATCCGTCTCTCTCGTGGATGCTACCATGGAAGAGATCCTACGGTGCGGCGGCACTGTGCCCATCATGGATCGTGAGGCGACCAGGGAAACAACGCTCCTTGGTCACAGAATACCCAAGGGCACACTTATATTCTTCCTACAGAATAGCCATAGTATGCTCTCACCAGGGCTTAACGTAGATAAGAGCCACTGTAGCCCACACTCACGACCGGCAATGGAACTTGGACAGGCACCACAGGCACCACGAAGCTGGAATGATTTGGATATCGATCAGTTCAAGCCTGGACGCTGGCTCGTTTCGGAAAACACCGACCAGGGGGGGCAGTTTGGTATTTAAGCCCCAGGCTGGGCCGTGCATCCCGTTTGGTCTCGGGATTAGGACGTGCTTTGGACGCCGGCTAGCTTATGTCGAATTTAGGATCATGCTAGCCATGATTGTTTGGCATTTTGAGCTGCTGAAGTGCCCTGATGCGATGTCTGGCTATGGAGGGTGCCTTGCTGTAGTGAACAAGCCGCCCCAGTGCTTTGTGCGTCTGCGGAAGGTTGTAATACAGTGAAAATTGACTCTAAGAGGTGAATAGCTATATATGAAAGGCTAAATACAAATTTGGTTCAATATAAATTAGTAGTTCTCGCCATAGGAGTACCACAGGTAGGCAAGTCCTTTTATTATACCGTCTAAAATAACGGAAAGTGTCACGACACGCTTTGGTTAGCCTCGGAGACGCCGCGGAAGCCGCGGAAGATAATTCGAAGGAAGGCTCGATGCCCCTATTTGTATGAATTAGACCCATAAAAGGGGCTCGCTAGAGAAACCACGCAATAGATAAGGCAATCGCGCAGGGAACCGAAGGATTCCCCAGCGATTAGTTTGATTCTCTTGCTACCATCGAGTATTCCCCTCCGAACTCGTAGTAGTATCGGCCTCCTTCAGTCTCGTCCTACCCCCATCTCCGAGCCTATTGAATAATAGGCTTCACATATCGCCATGGTAGTTACATGTCTTGCCATTCTGGCTTATAAATTAGATTAGAATAAGACTTTAATCTCTATTAATAGTCTGTAGGCCAAACTCGCTATACAATTGAAGGGCAAAATCACTCAACGAAGCTACAAAACTTAGCATAGTCGGGCCTTGACTGACGGGCCACAATTGCCATAAATGAGAGGTGCCTCGCCAACAACATGAATTGAATCAGCTAGCCTCAAATCCTTCAATCAGGATACGTTCGAAAAGCGTCAATGACTGCATTTCTGGAGGCCGACAATAATAAAAATCAAAATCAACAGTATCTCTCACATGGTGGAACGCAGTAAGCCCGGCTTGATTAAATGGCATCAGCATCCACCCAACATCTTCTAGTGTGCATCCCTCCAGAGGCTCAAACTCGTCTAGCGGACCACCAAGCGCCTCGATTTCATCCTCATCTAGAACCTGAGGCTCCCATTCCGTGTTTACCAGCCGAACAAATGCTTTCTTCCGCAATTTCTTATCTGGCGCATTTAACACAGATTGTAAGGCAGCTTGGTCTACCATAATGAAGAACCGATATCGTCCTGAATAAGGATAATACTTATGAGCCCTTGCAACAGTGATATTTTGTTCTCGCTGCATTGCCTCCAGGGCCCATGTATTGAAATGCTCACGCAGTTCGGTGACCTTCGCACTTTTAAACGAAGGATCCTCAAGGACTGTAGGCGCAAAACTATCCAGTAGATCAAGACCACCATAGAATTTTAGCGATGCCTTTACTCCGCTCATATAGAAGTCTAGAAATTTTTGCCAGTCAAGGTCACTGTCGTAGGTGCAGCGGTAAATAACAAAGCCCCATGTCTTGAACCCATCTTTTTGAAGAAGACGTTCTAGATTATCAGCTCGGTTACAGGTTGTTTCCATAGTAGGAACACGTTTTGAGGGTCGCAGGAGAGGCCAGTCATCATCCAAGATCCTTTGGTGTAGAAGCCCCGTCTTTGTGGTGAAAGGGGTTGCTGGCTGGATCGAATGCTGGGGCGGAGAGTGGACGGTGGTAGCTGGACTAAAGATGATTCTGTTGCCGGGCAGAAATCTGACTCTACTGGGCAAAGGGCCGAATTGGCGGAATGCCCTCGGAAGCATCTTTGCCTTTGGAGAGCTCGGGGCAGAGTGATGGATGAACTAGGGAAAGATGGACGGGGGAGATTTTAGGCCGGGTTTTAGCGTCCACGTGGCCTGATAACCGGGCCCTAGAAATTTCCTTCCAAAATTACAGAACTAAAAACAAACAACGCACGCGGTCCAGTTTCTGTGGTTACACCTCTTTGGTAACATCGGGATAGCCTGCTCGAAACCCAGTACCAGCAGCAAAGATTCTAGAAGACGAGGTACAAGAAGTCTTGTTATATCGGAGTCGCGTCGGCTTGCCGTGCCGATCTACGGTTACGATTTCAATCGCTATTGACGCGAGAAGAAGCTTTATACCGGAATACTCGCAATTTTATACTGGCTTGCGAATTATCTTCCGATCGGAAAGATATCCTTGGCCCCTAGAGCAGCTCGAATGATCCGGACTGAATCCTGAGTGCCAACAGGCTACCGCGTAGGGTCTCTTTCGAACCTCGTCAAACTCACTAATCTGCCTACAAGGCCCAGTATGACGGTCTGAGAACTAAAACTCCGATGGAAAAGGAATTGATCGGACTTTCAAACACTCTGTGTCAGCGGGGGCCTCTTTCAAGGACCACCCACCTGAGGCTCATTCGAATGTACTTTTGGAAGGGCAAATGGGGCCGGGCCAATGCTGCCTTGGCCCCAAGGTCCCCCAGTATCACGCAAGCCGGGTGAGTGGCAGAGACCTTTGGATCTATCTACAATCCACGGTCTGTCCTGCCCATAGACACGGGAATAGACATTGCCAAGGGAAGAGTCATCTTGATCATCTGGTGAGTCCTGAAAGTCTGATCAGATACGCGAAGGGTATAGTAGAGAAGACACCCTCCCCGGCTGCTCTAGTCACGACAACCGCTCAATGTGTTTTTTTTTGTAAACGGGTGACTAAGTTCATATCTTAAGGAAATGGCTAGCAAATGTGATTTCAAAACAATCACCAACAATCCTGATATTAGGACTCAAGAGCTAGACACAACCGTTGTCTGCTTTATGAATCACACTCAGATAATGTAATCGACTAGTAGCCGCTCTTTATGCGATCAAACTCCTTCATGTCAGTTCTTTATAGAATCAATAATTCTAGAATCGGGTGTCTGTGAATTCTCTAACTGTATCCGACGATCCCATTCTAGACGAAGTATCTGAAGCTCTTGGGTCCCCCTGAGAGATTGAGCTGATGGCGTTCAATGATTCCAACGAACTTAACCCCAGAATGCCTATCAATATATCTAGATTGAAGGGGCTTACAGGACTTATAGGGAAAGTGTCTGGGCATGCGAAGCCCCGTCTCAGGACCATCGGGTCCCGTATCGGATAAGCACCATCATTCCTCCCATTATCGCCCTTCATATTACTTTCATATTCTCCCGGTAAGGGTTGAGCATCGACCGCAGGCATCGCGCGATGTAGCTCTTTACCAGCCAGCCCTAGTAAGTGCAGACTATAAGCGCCTCGTTAGTGGCGAGATATCTATTTCCTCCGAACCTCCGCCGGTGTAGCAATGGGTTGAAGCGAGAATCATTAAGCTAGTCGTACAAGACAAAGCGAATGCAAGATGGTTCGATCTGATAAATTTGAATATACTACTCTGCGCTGGTTCTTGCACCATATATACACAAGGGCGGTCATCTAAGGGTATAAGGTTCTAGCCGTATCATTGAATCCAAACAGAGATAATGCCAGAACAGACCAGAGTCAGAAACCGATAGGCGGTCCTCTCTAATGGCAAAGACAAGTCCCCGCTTCCCCACTCCGTGCTTCCTGTTTAGGTAGGTAGAGCCAACGTATTTAGTATACTTGCCGCCAGTGTCCAGGGCTGTTTAGTTACTACATGACGTTACCATTTCAGAAACCATTTGTTTATCTAATTTGTCGGTACTAATAGAGAGATGCCCGTTATCTGACATGTGCTTATCTTAAGGAGGGTACTCTAGGCATAAACGCAGAGCAGCTGGTTACTATTCATCAGATTGAAATTCAACTGGATATGAGGACGACGAGCTAACAAGCTTGGTACTATTAAACGGACTTATGTCGGCTTAAGCGGGGCTTCACCTAGTAGCCCATACCGACAACTATCTTGCGGCCGGGCATAAGAGCCACAGCCGTGAGCTGTGCTTTAGTAGCAATACTAGTTATAGAATCCAACTGGATGATGCTACCTGGCTCAATTGAAAGTGCCTTGACACCTTTGGGGCATGCAGCCCTCCTGGCACTTCTCTGAATGAACAGGTTTAATGAACAGGTTTAATAATACTTTATTTGCTTAGCAACCGCGTTTGTATGATTCTTCTTGCTGGTGTGCGGAGCGGCGGCTGTTCATCGAAAAATTTGGCCATGTAATTTGCCTGCTGCTATTCCTTTTCGTGGCCACAGGGTCATAAAATCAGGTTTAGACCGGAATTCTGCATTTCTCGGATATTACGTTAATTGCGTGCGGCGCATCTTCCTCCTGCTTGGAGTATACACTAATAATGATTAGTGCTCCTGCAACTCATTATATAAGCACTAGTGGCAAATTATCTGCTGACGACTTGGCCTGTTCGTTCACATCTGTCGCAACGGCTGCTGCCAGTGGCCAGGCAAATGATATGTAGATATGGAGAGGGCGGTGAAGCTTTGGTACTGGACAGAGGGGAAGAGGATCTGCTATGACGAACAGTTGGCGAGGTGGAGCATCCGGTATTGAGACGCTGCACGGCCGCGTGGCTCTTCAAGATGCCGGCACAGCCCGCTTCTTCCTTCAATGTCCCCGATGTTATTCGCGGGTGGCCAGGCCGGTATGTCGCGAGACAGGTGCCACTAGTTATCCTCTACTGTACCTCGAGCCTAAACGTCCAACTAGTACATATCGGGAGTTTAGTACCTTTTTGGTGGCTCGCATTGTTTCGTACATGCAGCAATCGGCAACCGAGGCAGTTGCTCGGGTAGTGATTTTGCTCGCCTTTACCGCCTGCTACATTTGGGGACCCGTCCGGTCTTTTCAGAGCAGGGATGGGTTTCTTCTTCTCACCATCTTCCTCATCACTTTCACTAGCTTGAGTATCTCGAATATTGGTACCACTAAGGGGGTCTCTTCGTAGCTCTCGACCGCGGTTGACAGTAACCGGGAAATATTGTGGGGTGCATTATCCACTTAGATCGAATACGCTTAATTGTAATATACCTCAATACCGGTTATATGAAGGAGATCGCTTTTGGAGCTAGGGTGATTGATAATCAGTAATGGTCGGGCCGTTTTCGTGGGACCACTTTGAGTCGACGATCATCTGCGCCCTTATCAGTCTAGAGCCACGGAAAAGTGAAGCGTTTCACTAACAGCTAACAACGGCATGACGCCACGATGCGTCACAGTCTGAACGCCGCCTTCACTGCACCGGTTTGGCCGCGATACAAGCCATGGTGATGCAAATACGAAGATATGAAAATCATGATGATGTCAGAAACCAAGTCTTTAGCTGTCCAGCGAAACAGATATATATTACTCTCCCCCGCGGCGTGACCGCGAAGGAGATCACTTGAAGTCGAATTAATCTTCACACCTAAGAAACTAAATTCGACCAGAAATTTTCGGTGGCTTTACACAATGTCTGTCGTAATCACCACAGACGTCAGCAACTACGAGGCGAAGGGGTATGGCGATCCCAACAAAAAAATGAAGGCCTTGACCTGGCAAGGGAAGAATCAGGTTAAAGTTGGTGAGTCGTTCTGCCCGTGGCGACCTTCCCTTGGTTTCAACTGCTCGCCACAAATTAACTAGGCTTCTTGCTTACATAGCTTGTTATAGTGGAGACCGCTTGCCCGACGATCGTCGATGACGGCGACGTCATCCTCAAGGTGACTGGCAGCACCATTTGTGGGAGTGACCTACACTTGCTCCATGGTATGTTGTACTCCAGTAAGTCCATGAAGCATGCTAGATTTGCTCATGCGGGATTTGTCCATTTACAGCGGCCATTCCAAATCTCGAGAAAGGGGATATCCTCGGCCACGAGTTCTGCGGCGTGGTGGAAAGTGTGGGGCCGGCCGTTAAGAACATTACAGTGGGCGAGCGTGCTGTGGCCTCCTTCCAAATTGCCTGTGGGAAGTGTTATTACTGCCAGAAGAAATTGTCCTCGATGTGTGAGCGGACAAACAAGAGCGAAGATGCTCTTCAGCTATATGGCCGTCGGACAGCTGGTATGTTTCCCCCTTTGAAACCGCCTGGCTGACGTCAGCGAAGGCGTTCACTAAAATAGTTAATACTAAAGTGCGTCCCAGGAATATTCGGATACTCTCACTTTACGGGAGGCTTTGCTGGTGGCCAAGCGGAATATGTTCGCGTCCCCTACGGTGACGTGAATCTTCTTCCGCTGCCCGACGACGTGCCCGATGAAAAAGGTCTCTATCTGTCCGACGTGCTGTCAACATCTTGGAACGCCGTCGCCGATAAAGGGGTTGAGAAGGGTGACACCGTGGCGATCTGGGGAGCAGGCCCAATTGGGCAAATGGCCGCTGAATTCAGCTTCGTCAATGGTGCTAGTAGGGTAATTCTTATTGACGGCGGCCAAGGAAAATGGCGACTCGATTTTGTCAAGAAACGACTACCCAAGCTCGAGACAATCGAGTATACGAATCTCCAAAGGGCGAGACTGTGACCTCAACTCTGAAGAAGATGTGCGACGGCCGTGGCCCCGATGTGGCGATTGAATGCGCCGCTGGTGAATATACGAAAGGATGGGCTCATTACTTTGAGAGAATGCTGGGCATGGAAACGGACACCTCTGAACTCATCAACGAGATGATTACCTCTGTCCGAGGGTTCGGACGCTGCGGAATCACGGGCGTATACGCCGGTTTTGTAGGTGCTACCATCTCCTATGGTAAATCGACATCTCTAACCTTTTCCCGCAGTGCAATCATTTCAACATCGGTTCTATGATGGAGACTGGGGTCCGTCTCATCGGCAATGGACAAGCCCCTGTGCACAAGTACTGGAAGGAGCTCTTGCAGTACATCAAGGAGGACAAGATTCACCCTCTGGACATGGTCACTCACCGGTACAAGCTCGAGGACATGGAGAAGGTCTACGAGCTTTTCAATAAGCGTGACCCGGGTATGCAGAAGGTTTTCGTCCAGACCAAGTTTTCCGCCCCTCCAGCACCGGGTGCCCCCGCGTTAACAGAGCTCTGAGCTTCCCGCTCGTGAAAAAACATTCCAACATGTTTTGAATGATTATATGTATTCCCATGTTTTATGATGATAAATCAGTCGCTCAAAAACCGAAAGAGAAAAACATGGCGTGGAGATCATTGTGCAGGAAGCGAAATGAGATATTCCTGAACAGACCTGGAGTTGAGGGAGTGTGATGTTGGTACTTTTGAGGGAGCATAGTGTTGCAATTTGAGGCGTGGTGTTGCACTTGAGGCGTGGTGTTGCACTTGAGGAGCGTGGTGTTGTACTGGGATGGAACGTGATGTTGTACTTCTATCAAGTGAGATGAGAACAATCTAATCAGGGTATACAGAATTGGTTTACGATATTCAAATTGTGCATTGCACTCATTGATTAAACGCAAGTAGATGGTAGGCCTTGGATATAATACACCGAATGGCATGGCTCTTAACCTGCATGTGCACCATACTTTGCCTATTCTCTCTTTAAAAGCTCGGAGGAAAATTACTGGGGAAGCTCGATCGCAATACTAAGGATCTCCCTCGAAACAATCATTCTCTATACTATAGCCGACGTAGGCGTGGGCTAAAAATGCACGTAATTTAAGATGATATATAGAGTATTCGTTTGTATAGCAGTGCGATCTCTTGTATCTACTTCTACAGACCATTCGTATATGATCAGCCTGAAGACTGATACCTTTGTTCATTTTATAGGTACTCCTTGCTGGACTAGTGCTCAGATCAACCCAATTTCTCTGAGTTTCTCTCCGGCTACCCCTCTCGATCTACCATTCATAACCGGACATGCCAATATGCGACCGACCTGCTCCGGTATATTGGGTAACAATGGGGTTGCGATGCTGCCATGTTTGAAGTATTGCTAGCAGGCAAAATAGAAGTCCTCGTATAGATATCGCTCCGTTTAAATCTGAGATTGAATACAAGACCTTATAAACTAGCAACTGCGTACTCAGGCTCCACAGTTCAGCGATACACAGATGCGCCTTATTCAGGCCCCGTGCAGGGACAGACTCAAGTCCTGATCGACGGTCTTCCCGCCCTCCAGTTGCACCTTTTCAATAGGCTGAAACACGAAGAAGACACGCAAAACACCACCATTGTCGCTTTTTTCAGTCAAATTCCGCCACGAATGAGCCGTGCCTCGTTGAACAAATACATCGCCCTTCTTGAGTATTCTTTTCTCACCGGAATCCAGGACTAATTCTGTCGTGCCATCAACTACCACCCCGTAGTCGAGGGACTCTGTTCGGTGCATCGGCACATCTTTACCCGGAGGCGCCTCGATAATGGTGCAGGAGGTGCCGTTGGGCGGATTCAAAGGCGATGGCTCCGAGAGTTGGGAGTGGTAGGATTTGATGTCGAGATTGGATTTGGACTCCGGGATGGCAGAGCTTGGAGGGGAAAGCCCTTTCACGGGGAATGTCGATGTGTTATAGGCCAAAGCATAGTCTGCCGATGGGGGCTTGCCGGGGGAACCGGGAACCCGGTAAACGATACCTGCTCCCCCACCGCGTCACTAAAGATAGCTCGGCCGCTCTTAGGATCGTGTGCCGTTATGACTCGACGGAGCGGCTGAGGCTGTCTTTGTCCGGTTGACATGGCGATGTTGATAACAAGAAAAAAAATATCTAGAGTATCATTCGGCACTTAGTACAGTAAGGGTGGGGAAAACTGCAAATTTGACCCCCGTAACACTGGCGACTTATATTTTCAGCTATCTGAGCCGTATGATTCACGTTTAAATCATGGCCGAACCGTAAAATCTTTAGTGAATCAAGGTCTCGTCATAAGATGAGAAGATCGTCGTCACTTGCAATTCGGCATTGCTCGCGGTACCAAAGGTCGAGACACCGATGACTTGTTCTTCCAATAGATAGACATGGTCTTGCTGAAAAAAAATCATAATGGCATCATCCGAACTATCCACCAGTACATTATCATGGACGAAATTGGGCATTGCACCGCGTTAGGATTATATTGGGTAGTTTCCGTGTTCAGCACATTCAGGAAGACAGCCTTTCGGGAGTGTCACGGAGACGTAAGAGTGGCAAAGAAAAGTCGCATATTGCCTTATTTCTAAGGCTTTCTAGAGCTTGACTTATTTGGACTTTCGTGAAAGCTAAGCTCACATTCCTGCTTTGCGAGTATATTAAGAGGATACATTCTTGAATGACTGCGATCAATGCGCGATCTTCGATATTCGGATATGGACAGGCCATTAGTCTCCTAACAAGTGCTGGAGCGTTCATCGAAGAGGGTAGCTCGCAACCCTAGGATAAGGACCTACTAAAGTTCTGCAGGTATCAAATACCATAGATATTATATTTTCAAGTAAAAACTATCCTTAGCTGCCATGTCATCTCAAGACCCTTCTGGGCATACTCGTAGATCTCTGACACGCAAGTCGCTGGCTGTGAAAACGTGAAGGATGCTCACTTTCAACTGGACGGGCCCCTCATTTTAACAGCAAACCGCAAACCAAAAGGGGTTGGTCCCAGCTAATTTCAGTTACCTACATGATAGACTAGGGGCTACCAATCTCCGATCAGGCATGACACCCGTGGGAGAAAGTCTATAGCAGGGATCCTTCAGCAGTTCGTTGAAACCACGAAAATTGGTCTTTATAAGAATATCAAGAAATCTTTCCATCTAAAAGAAGCTCGCGAGGCTTCAGCGTTCAACATTTTGATCCGTACGTTCAATGCGAGCGGGTAATTTAGAGACGATGGAATCTACGTCGCAATCTTCCTGGAATACGCGCCAGATCGATCTGAGTACAAAGATATGCGAGAAGCTTTCGATCAGTTCAGTTTGTGTCGGAGACATATCGGTATATATACTATTGTGGTGCACATTTATGCTGGCGACGACTTTGTGGAAACCCTTTCGTGCGTAGCAGGCGCTGGGAATTGAATGCTTCGCGTGCTGGTACTCATGGTGCCTGCATCAGCGAAACTCCGTGACTTGCTTAGATTGACATTATATGCCATCGGCAGCTCGTCATGGAGATCAAAACCGAGCATCGTGGTCGCTGGGATGAAACGATTTCCACTCGATAGACCAGATAACGACAGTAACTAACCGTTTACCTCCACCATACATAGAGCTTACCGGGTCCCGGAATTTTTCTCAGCTAGGCCATCTACTTACCTCCATGACAGTGGCAATAGGCAGAGCAAGAAGTCTGGTCTGGTCTAAAAACTCCCCGTTCGACAGAGTTCTGCAAGGGTGTTATAGGGACCAAAGACGCCCACGATGATCAGCTGATGCCTAACCGGAAGTAATAATATTGAGGCCCGCGTCTCGGATGCTCGAGTGTCGAATGCGCGGCGAATATTCCATGCAGAGCGTCGTACGCCCTGCACCACAGCATACGCATCTGTGGCCCCGCCGTCCGAGGCAATACGCAATGTCCTCAAGAATACGCTCGCCGGATCCCGTTGCCAAATACTCGTATTACACAACGCGCCAAGCTACTGAATATCGTGAGCCCTTAAAATATAAACAGGTCGACGATGGAACATGGGACTGTACTCTGATCCACCACGAACTGGAAGCCCTTGGGAATCTTCCCACTCGTGTGAGCATCATGAAGAGCATCTACGCCTCGCTACTCTTTGCAGCAATCAGCTTTGCCGAAACATTGCCGCCGCTGTCCAAACCGGTCGCCCAGTCCGTCGCCTGGAACTCCTCTTTCAAGTTCTCCGATGCGCAAATCGAGCTGGGCCAATTATGGCCGGATTTGGCGGACAGTCTTGAGACAGTCCTCAATTTCGATCGGTCGCAACTCGCCCACGGCGGCCCTAGCCAAGACGATTTCTATAAGCTAGACAACTCCACCTTTAAAACCCCCAATGCGCCCGGTCAGGTCCTCAAGGTCGAGCACAGTACTGATCCCGCCCAGTGGAATCTCCCCGCGACTACAGCCTTCTCCCGCTTCATCTACACGACAACGACTGCCAATGGGACTTTGGTTCCGGCCTCTGCATATATCCTCTGGCCCTTCACGCCTAGGCAGTTTCAGTCCTCGAAGGGCAAAGCCCCTGTTGTGCTCTGGTCGCATGGGACTTCCGGGTTCTTTGCAGACGGTTCCCCGTCCGCGCATCGGTCTCTGTTTTACGGCAACATCATGCCATTCACCCTTGCCCAAGCTGGCTACGCTGTAGTTGCCTCCGACTATGCAGGCCTTGGCGTTCAGACCTCTTGGGATGGCAGCGAGGTATCCCACCAATACCTCAACCGCTTGGCCAATGGCTTCGACAGTCTGTATGCTCTCCGCGCCGCCCGTAGAGCATTCTCCGACAAGATCACCGACGAGTATGTCAATGTGGGCCACAGTCAAGGTGGTGCCGCTGCCTGGGGGGTTTCTGAGATCCTCGCTGAGGATTCCGAAGGGAAGCTTCATGACTTGGAGAAAGGCTATCTCGGATCTATCCTGTTCGCGCCCGCTATAAACGCACTCGACTCCCTCCCTCAAGTTTTTGCTCCCTGGATCGGCAAAGACCTGCATTTGCTGTACCCCAGCTTCAATCTATCCGACTGGCTCTCTCCTCTGGGAATTGCTCGTACAGAGCTCCTGACCCAGATCCAAGGGGGGCAATACGTGTCCGAGATTCTCTTCTTGGCAAACGCCACCGATATTCTGAACCCTACGTGGAACGAGACATGGTATAGAACGGCATACGAAGAGCTCACCAATCCCGGAAATCGCCCGTACAAGGCTCCCATGCTCCTCTTCCAAGGAACGACTGACCAAGGAACCGAGGCATATAAGACCAGTCTGGCGATATTTGAGGCTACCTGTGGGAAACACTACAGTGGGCCATTCGAGTATAGAGCCCTGACCGGCGTTGGCCACTTTCCTTCCATGGATTCTACTCGGCACCAGTGGCTGCAATGGATCGAGGATCGCTTCAATAGCAAGCCTATCGAATCCAAGGAAAAGTGCCCTAAGTCCACGGTGAACAGCTTTTTGCCGATCGGCGCATATCAGAATTTCAGCACGTCATTTTCGCAATGGGCCGGTGGCCAAGGTGAGTTCTACCAACTGGTCGCGGGTGGCTTCTAGAGACGTCGCCGTATAAGTAACATGAAACTCATGAGAGCACAATTGCGCGATGGGATGAATCTCGACTACCAGTAGTCGAGGCCCGACCTTTTGCTCACGGTCTGTTCCTAGTGATGAGTATGCTTTACCTATTTCTAGACTTAATAGTTACCCGTGAAGATTGCACCCGCAGAAATATATAGTATGGCCATGTATATCTAGTAGTTAGTATGAACGCTGAATTACCAACAGCCGCCTTTTCCTAGCAAAAGGAATGCCGAACTAAATGCAGTCTTTTCCCGTTGACGACTATACCAATGACTCAAACATACCATCTTCCGGAACGTGAAGAACTTGGAGTGCCCAACATATCATCAGAGGAGCTAACTGACAGCGCGGACTGTTAGACCTCGGGTACACGGCCGATTCACCGGTAGATAACTTATGCTTAAGTATGGGACAGGATACAACTGAGAGAGGCCAATAATACTACGAATTCGCTGCGTACTAACTTAACGATAGTGGTGGAACCAATCCTATCGCCGAGGGACCCCAGACCTGCTCCGCAATCCACTAGTTATTTAGCGTGGGGTCCGTGTTTGGCGAGCTATCACGTGGTTTCGGTATATGCACACAGTAGGTGATGCGCCGATCATTATAACCAACCTCCGAGTGTCCTCAAAGCGTCTTCTGCGACTAGGGAGGCATCCTCATAATAACTGCAACACAGCGTGTAGTGACGATAACATTGATATCTCAAAAAATAATCAACAATTCATAATATTTGGAAGATGGAGAGACGCCAGGTATACTCTGCCAAAGCCGCGACGCTCGCACGGTCACCGATATAGGCTAGTGCGGAAAGCCTCCAGCCTCGCACGGCAAACAGCCGCGAGATCTGAAGATCTGTCCTCTCTGAGCTGCTTGGTCTCGAATAGATCAAGAATTGAGGTATATCATCGCAGCCGTCGATCACCGAGTCACAATGAGCTCCTCAGGGACGGCCGCCACAGGAACGGCACGTACCACAGAAGCGGCGCCTTCCACAGAAAGACCAGCCCCTAATTCCCGAAGCCCAATCCACAACCCCTTCCCAGCCTCCTTATCAAGTACGTATACTCTGGACGGACCAGACATGCTAGATTTCTCACTTCCATAGGCGAATGCAAGAAGGCGGCACAAATCCTGGACTCCTTTATCAACCCTTCGTATAATGGGTTGGAGGGTGGCATCCCACGCAAAATCCTTGGGCCCGCCAAGGTAAGAGATTTGCCATACCCCTAGGATAAGGTTTTCTGACAATAGAATAGGGACTGGTCATCTGCAGTGTATTCAAGCTTGGCTTCCTTGGGTCTGGCCGTTTTGGCTCGGGTCTGATTGTGTGTCGCCTTCCTTCAGGGGGTTGGTCGGCTCCATCAGCCGTTTCGCTAGGTGGTCTGGGAGCCGGTGGTCAATTTGGGGCGGAATGGACGAACTTTGTGTACGTGTTGAACACCGACGCAGCGGTCAGAACGTTCATCGAGTCTGGCACTTTGACGCTGGGAGGAAATCTCTCGATTGCCTTTGGAACCGGGAGGAGTGGAGAAACAGCGGCCATGATTGGCACTAAAGGAGTCGCCAGCATTTACGCCTACTCGAAGACGCGTGGTATATTTGGTGGCCTAACATTGGAGGGCGGAGTTCTCCTTGAACGACCCTGGGCAAACAAGAAGCTCTACCAGCGCAAGTTGAAGGCTAAAGACCTCCTCAGCTCTGAGGTTCCTCCTCCCCGGAGGCTGAACCGCTGATGCGGATCCTGAATTCGGACATTTTCCAGATCGCGGTGACTGATGAAGGAGTGTCTCAGGGTGAAGGAGCTGGCCTTCCTCATGAGGAGCAGCCCCAGGAGCAGCCCCAGGAACAGCCCCAGGAACAGCCCCAGGAACAATTCCAAGATAAAGTGGAGGGACAGGGGTCAACTGAGGAGAATAACCCTGCAATTGGGGCCGACCAGGGACCTTCCAAGCAAGCGTTGCGAGATGAAGCCCATGCAGAGGTCCCTGGATCAGTCGAGAATGTTACCACCGAGACTAGGCCGAACCCTGCAGCGGTCGAAGAACATCCGCACCGTACAGAGGCGGATCAAGATCAACAACAAACGCAGGCGCAGGAGTCAGTCGAAACTGGTTCCCCTGGTACTCAGTCCAAAGCCGATGCGGTTGAGGATTTTCGGACACCGGTCCAGCCTCCAGCTGAATATAGAGAGCCCGTCGAATCGAACCACGCGGAGGTCGGTGAACAGATGGAAGGGAATGTATCAACAGGAGACGATGGCGCCCCGCCTAAACCCCATGAACCAGTCCCTGAAGAGCCGCCCCGCCCTCGGGAGATTGAACCGTCAGAGGATCAGAAATCACGTTGACGCAAGTTGCAATGATGTAGTAACACCGAGGGTTACGATGGCTTAGACCATAGCCATCAGCATAATTGTATCATTTGCTCCTCTCCAGTCCAAGTCTCGGTTGCTCGGAAGACAACCCACCTTGATACTAGTACCAGTATAAAGTATCAATCTAACAGAGAGATGGACGCGAGGAACATTCTTATTATTGGAGCTAGTACTGCTAGCAATGAAACTTCAGTCCTCCTATACAAATGAAAGGCGTCAAAGTTACTATTCCCTTCATCAAATACAATTCTAGGAAGCCAAAATCACATACTAATCGTAGTATTTTGCCACAACACCACCAATGATAGGCTGTTCTCCTACCTCGCCGCGGGCAGGCCCCTTGTTGACACCCTTGGCGACTCGAGCCTTCACCCATTCGCCCGCGGTGACCCCGACGGCGCTGTTGTCGGTGGACTGGCTGTACCCCAGCCGATTGAGGACCTCACTGGCTATCGGTCGCAACTCCAGACTATCTTCCGGCCGAACAAAATATAACAGCCCCAGGCGAGCCACGTTCCGCTGGTCTGGCGGCGGGGTAACCACGCGGTGGATGCTGCTTTTCAAGAACCCGTTGGTGAGGAACTGCAGCGAATCGGCGAGATTCACGGTGATACTCCCCGGATATGGCTTCACCCATTTCCATTCTCCTCGGGGGGTTCGGACCTGCAGCGCTGCAACCGGTTGGCGGAATAAGAGGGTCAGACTGCCAAAGTCGGTGTGGCCCTTGGACCAGATATTCCCTAGCTTCTCATTTTCTTCATCCGTGCGAGGGTGATACTTCATATAGCGCAGATGACAGTCGCTCCTCTCCTCGTACCGATGGACCTTGAGGAAGTAGTCTTCGGGCAATTCGAGGATAATCGCCAGCAGAATGAGAAGTTTCCGCACAATCTCGTTATGAATATGACGAGCAAAGAGCTCGATCTCCGGCCGATTGTCAGTGACGATCCTTGGCTGCGGCCGTTCGAATTCGGGAATAAACTTTGGGATGTTGAAGATCTCCGTCTTGTCGAACTGGCCAGGGGCGAGCTCCTACCGAGAATGAGCAAGGAGGATGGAGGGAGCTTCTCGAAGAATAAAACTCACACGGAGACCCATTGGCTTGTATCCATTGTAGCCACCGCTTTCAAGTTCCGCGCGATACTTGAGTTTCTCTTCTAGAGGCAGATTGAATATTTGCTGCCCGATTGAGAATTGGCGGTCGACCTCTTCTTGCGTTAATCCGAAATTTACAATGTAGAAAAAGCCTAGTTCAACCATCAGTCAGGCCATCCAATAAAAATGGAGATGCTGGTAGGAAATACTGACCAATGTTTTGGATGGCATCATTGAGCTGGCTGGCCAGCTGTTGCTTGCCCCCAGGCTGATCAAAAATCGATAGGTCGAGCGTCGCAAGATCCGCCCAGTCCACTACTCGGAATCATTAGCCGTTCTTGATGGAATGAAATAGTCACAATACGAGCTAGGGGATTAATTGCTCATACATTCATAAGAAGTTTCTGGAACTTGGTGATAAGTGGGGATATCTGAGCTCGTGGGAGCTGAAGCTGAAGCTGGATTGACCAAAGCCATTGTGTCTGGCATGCTGTGTCGGCGATACGATAAAGCTCGAAGCTCAGGCTCTTTATCTATTTCCATTCGCTCCCAACTTCTTTCACCCTTACTCCGGAGAAGCCAAAATGGCCCGAGTTAACGATGATATGGGGAGCTCGGGTGGGTCTTGGGGTTAGACGCTTTCCCAATCTCATCATGATTTCCCCCGTTGGCGTGATCGTGTCACTACGTGATCCGCCTGCAAATGACGCCTTGGCCAGCCACTCATTGCACATTGGGAGGCAGCTCGACTCGAAGGACCTGAACCTTCGGCATCTCCCCACAAAAAAAATCAGAACCACAGTAAGAATCCGCGGGGATTCCGTAGCTGGTCGCGGCGCTATTCTCATTGGCGCTCTGGCATCACCCGCCATCGCCCTTCCCCAGGAACCACGAGGACAGGTCGTTCGCCATACCGGTGGATCTTGAGGCAATATGCTTCTGCCATGATTCTCCCACGTGACTGGTCTGGGCGTTGAGTATCGGGGGGGTTTTGATCAAATGGACAAGGTATACATAATGACACTAGAGGTAAAGATCGAAGAGAATATCCAAGCCACCCTTTCTTCAGTATTGCCATCACTTCACTGAACATGACGGCGGACTTGGACGAGAAGGGGCTCAAGGGCCAAGGGGTCACTACATCCACCGATCTTGCTCCCCATGACAGCGAGGCGAACGAGAACCTTCATTATGTGAGGCGTGGAGAAGACCACGTAGATCCCTTAGCAAGCCAGGGAAGCATCAATGGATACGACCCAGAGTTGATGAACGGCAGGACACTCCTGACAGTGGAGGAAGAGAAGAAGCTGCTGCGGAAAATCGATTGGCGATTGATGACACTCTGCTCGTTGATCTTCATGTTCAAGAACTTGGACGGAAATAACGTGGGTTGAGGATAGCCTGCCGACTTACCGCTGTGTTACTGATACCCTGCAGACATCAAATGCCCGAATCATGAACAAAGGCACCGATCAAAATATCATGACCCAGCTCGGCTTATCCTCCAACGATTACAGTCTGGTGACTGTGGTTTACTATGTACGGCCATACAGCAACGCATCTACCTTGCGACCTTGCGCTAACCCACGCTGGATAGATTCCTTATATTGTTCTAGAAGCGCCCTCAAACTTGTTGCTCAAGAGATTTTCGCCGTCAAAATGGCAGTCGCGCATTATGATCGGCTGGGGGGTGTTCCTGATGTGTAATGCAGCCGTGAAGAATAAAGGCGGGTTCTATGCGACACGCTTCTTGCTCGGGGCAGTACGTATTACAACCTTCGAGCAGTTCGGATCATTTCTCACCTTCCCACAGGCAGAGGCAGGCCAATTTCCGGGGGTCATTCTCCAGATGACATATTGGTACCGGCCCGACGAGTTGTCCATCAGACTCTTGTATTTCTGTAAGGGGCTATGAATCGAACAAGTCGAGGGCGGGAAAGCTGACAAGCATGATCTAGACATCTGTGGCAACTTCTCGGGCATCTTCAGTTCGCTGTTAGCCTATGGATTCGACACCGTATCGGGCGCTGGGGGTCTCTCAGGATGGCAATGGTAGGCATTCATATACGCTCGTTAGTGCTCTGGCGGCTGCTAATGAAACTAGGCTGTTCCTCGTCGAGGGGATCGCAACCGTAATTTTCGGAGTTGTTATTTGGTTTCTCTTGCCAGACTGTGAGTGTTGAAAGCCCTGCCCAGGTGCAAACTCTGCTAACCGTACAGTCCCCGAGACGGCCAAGTGGTTGACGGACAGGGAGAAGAAGTTCATCCAGGCACGACTGCCATCGAACGCCCCCCCGAGCAAGGGAGCTGAACTTCAACTTCCGTGAAATCATCGACTCCATCAGGGATATCCGACTCTGGCTGTTCACCGCGATCTGGGCCACTTTCACCGTGGGGACCGAGGGCGTCAAATTCTACCAGGCTACTGTCATTTCCAACCTGGGTTTCACGTATGTCGCCCCAGTTCATGTCTCCGAATAAGCTCGTTGACTGTCAAATAGGACCATCGCTGCTGCGCAGATTCTCAATATTCCCATCACTGTCGCCGGCCTTCTGCTCATTGGCGGCACCGGCATCATGGCGGACCGCACAAATATTCCGCGACCGCTGTACCCCCTCACGTTCCTGGTAGGGATTATGGCTTGTTATGGCGTATTTGTTGCTTATCCGAGCGACGGGGCCATCTATGCGGTGACTTTGATCGCCAACGCAATCCACGATTCGTGGTTCCCGATCATGTGGTAAGTCTCCCCGACATTACCTTCTCTCCAATTCCATCCGTTAACACCGCATAGGCCATGGCGTGTGCAAACCACCGCCCGTGCGACCGGATCTGCCTTTTCCATCGGGTTTGTGAACAGCTACGGCCAGATCGGCGGTGCCATCGGGCCTCAGATCTTCAGGAGCGAATACGCCCCACATTATACATTGCCTTTCTCCGTGGCCATCGGACTGATCGGCCTCTGTACCATTTTGACTTTGATCACCTGGTGGATCACTCGCGAAACCGAGAGCGAGACCAGACGCTTGAAGATGGCGAAGCTGGCAGCGGCCAAGCGGGGAGAGACGATTCTGGAAGATGTTGTCGATCGCGATCTGAAACATGCTCGCAATAGCTAGGCCAGCGCATGTACGAGTACCGGAAGAATTATATGCTTGCATCGGAATACACTAAAATAGCATGAAATTCAATTCTTGTTGGACAATCGCTGGCACGAAACAAGGGACAAGAATGAGACTACTGCCAGCCCCGCAGTCCTGCGGTACTCCGTAAGCTTTCTGTGGGGAAGCTGAATGGCGCCATTTGGAGCTTTGACTGCGCAACCTTGCTTCTAAAAATGCCCGAGAGCGCACCCAGATGGTGTGACGATGCTCCACCCGGTGCGCATTGAAAATACTCCGACTCGCCCGTTCGTATCGGAGATTCCAGCACCCCTCAATCCGGCGGGGCTCATGTGACCGTTAAACTTGGACGATTTCACTTTCGTTAAAATTCAAGAAAGAGACACGATTCCGCTCTGTGTCTTCCTCGCAAAATGAGCACCTTAGGGTCGCAGGCACGGGCGACCAGCGAGCCCTATTTCGACTTGGGCACGTTGAGCCGCCAGGTCTCCACGGACTCCGACGAAGCGCAGGTGTGGTTCAATCGCGCTCTGGTGTGGACGTATTGCTTCAATCACGACGAAGCCATTGCGTGCTACAAGCAGGTCATCGCGCACGATGAGCGTTGCGCGATGGCTTATTGGGGGGTCTCGTTCTGCTCGGGCTCGAACTACAACAAGACCTGGGCCCTGTTCGACGACCGGGATCGCATCAATGCGATTCAGCAATGCTACGACTATTCGCAAGAGGCGCTCCGGCGCGCGGGGAATGCGGCGCCCTGGGAGAAAGCCCTCATCAACGCGCTCGCGAAAAGGTACCCCAATAATGACCCGAACAGAGACCTGCTGGCCTGCAGCAAAGCATACGCCGATGCGATGCGACAGGTGCATGCGACATTTGGTCCGGACGACTTTGACATCATCACCCTCTTCGCCGATGCGCTGATGAACACCGCGCCGCGGAAATTGTACGATGCGTCGACCGGATTGCCCATCGCTTCGTCCCCCGTCTTCGAAGTCAAGGACCTCCTCGACCGCGCATTGCAGATGCCCAACGTCGAAAAACACCCGGGGCCGGCGCATATGTATATTCATCTGATGGAGATGTCCGCGACGCCGGAGGCTGCGCTGCCCGCGGCAGAGATGATTCGCGAACTCATTCCCGACACCGGCCATACCTACCATATGCCCGCGCATATCGACGTGCTGGTCGGCGACTATCGACGTGCGGTCAAATACAACTACAAAGCGACACTGGCCGACGATAAGTACTTCCGACAAAACGGCGGCCTGACGTTCTACAGTTACTACCGGCTGCATGACTACCACTCCCTCATCTACGCCGCCATGCTGGGGGGAAAATCAAAAGCCGCGCTCGACGCGACGGACAGGATGGAGGCGACAATCACGGAGGATATTCTCCGGGTGCAGACGCCCGCGCTGGCAGACTGGATGGAGTTCTTCAAGGCCGTCCGAGTGCATGTGCTGATCCGGTTTGGAATGTGGGAAGAACTAAAAGCCCTCGACCCACTCGAGGATAAAGAACTCTATCGTGTGACGAATGTCATGCGACACTACGGCAAAGGCATCGCGCACGCGGCCACAGGCGAACTGGTGGAGGCTGACCGGGAGCGGGAACTGTTCAAAGAGGCCGCGAAGATCGTGCCTCCCACGCGCCTCGACTTTCCCAACAAGATCACCGACATTCTGAAAGTCGCCTCGGCGATGCTGGACGGCGAAATCGAGTACCGACGCAGGAACTACGAGACCGCCTTCAGGAGGTTGCGCGACGCGGTTATCCTCGAAGACGAGCTGCCGTTCGCAGAGCCGTGGGGGTGGATGCTGCCCGCACGCCACGCGTATGCCGCTCTCTCGCTGGAACAAGGCCATGTCGAACGGGCGGCGCAGGCCTACGCGGAGGATTTGGGGTTGTCGCCCACGCTCAAGCGTGCCCATCAGCACCCGAATAATGTGTGGGCTCTCCATGGCTACCACGAATGCCTGCAGCTCCTGGGTCGTCTGGCCGAAGCGAATATCATCAAGCAGCAGCTTTCGCTTGCTTTGGTGGAGGCCGATGTCGAAATTACATCGTCCTGTTTCTGCCGGCTTGGAGACGTGGCTATCAAGAACGGAGCGCCGCAGATGAATGGTTGTCATAGCGCAGGGCCGTGTCATAAGTAACGCATTATATACCCCATCGGAACCGAACTTCGTCCACTCGGAACGTGACTTCCTTCGAGTGGTTATGGAACCCAGATGATGATTCTTCCAATCGTAGATTTAGATCTGTTCGACTAGAAGGCATCACAGTAGAGCAACTTCTTCCATGGGGTAAAACAGCTATGATGACAATAATAACTATATTCAAACCAGAAACGCCTATCAATCGCTAACCGGCAAATTTATAACACACTTCTATCAAACCACCGAGTCGGCCACCTGTTTAATCATGCCTCTTACCTCGTCGACAATGCGGAAACACGGCACCAGTTTCCTCGCCGCAGGGTCTTGTGGACAGAGATCCAGCGGGTCATGGTCCCCGCCATACTGCTCCCTCCGACATCGCCCTTCCGCATCAGGACAGGTTTCATGCCCAACCATATGCCGATTGCGCTGTCGCTGTGCAAACTTCTTCCCCAGCACCAGAAGACGCTCGGCATCTGTCTGAAGGCCGTGCATGACCAGATCGCGGAATTTCTCGCCGCTGATCTGCAAGTCCAGGTCCGGAGGCAGACCGTAGCCAGGGTCCAGATAGATGGTCTCACTCCGGCTCCGGACATCGAGTTCCGTGCAGTGTTTGTTGAGCCACTGGATATACTTCTGGTAGCCAGATGTGATCTCAAACATCAGACGGCCGATCAGCAGGACGTTCTGCACAGTGACTCGAGGCGGCTTCGAGGTGTCATAGCAGATCGGGCAGGTGAGCAGTCTTTCCGTGAGCGCAACCCCAGATCGAAGGCTTTGAATGAAGCTGTGAGACATGGTGGCGCGAGCCAGGCTCCGCACGGTGGCGGAGACGTCCTCGTCACATTTACAGATCGGTGAGGAGGAAGCGGGGGAAATGCAGGCCTCTAGCGCCAAGGGGATCTCGGGGTCGTGGATCTCATTGCCGCGTGTCGCCTGGAGCAGCTCGATGGGAAAGGAGCAAATGTCGCCGTGGCCCAACATGCCCGGGGGCAGAGCGTCGAATCCGCAGTGCCCGGACGGGTCGAACGGCAAGGACCCAAATTCGTCCGGGCCCAGGAACATATGGACAGCATCGTGCGGGCTGATCTCGTCCAGCGGCGCGACGGGCGAGAAGTTGGAAGAGCTCGAGCTGGTCCGCTGGTCTTGGGGACTGAGGTCTCGGTCATCCTGCTCCTGGCGGGGGCGTTTCCTGGGTCTGCCGGGGGCGCCTTTATCCTGATATCGACAGACCAGAGACAGTCCGCGGCATCGTGAGCAGCCGCCTTTATCCCCAGAGCACCTAAGCTTCCTAGCTCCTGCTTTTCGATTAGCGCGGGGACGAAAGGGCGAGCGGGTCCCGGAGGAGGGGGGAGGGGGGGAAGATCTTACGGCACGCCTCGCAGGACTGTCGCTTCTGACGGATGGTATTCATGGTGGTTGTCGTCTCCTGGGAGAGAAGGCAGAAATGCGAGGAGGACATTCATCTGGCCGGCCGGCATTAGCCATCGTGTGCTGAGATGACGTGCGTTAACGGGGATTGGAAGAAGCGGGGTCGCGCTGGGATAGCGCGGCCACGACTGGATCTCAAGTATCGAGACATTTGAGGGGGCTCATGTTGGTATCAACTCGAGGGTGAAGGTTGGATTTGGGATCATGGAACCTCTTGGGGCACGAAGTGCATGAATCCAGAAGTGGATATGCCCCAGATCAGCTCTTAAGCCTCAACTTCCACTTGGAATTGAGTCCATTTTTCTACGGAGGTTTCTCACATATATATTCATTGCTTTAGTATACGATATGCACTGATAGCATCTCCAGTCTAATTTGTTTCAATGCGTCCAGATCTCGCTCTGAAGCGCCTTGCGATCGAACCAAAGTATTTCAATCTTGCTCCTGATCGCGTAGTCCCCAACTTCGTTGCTCCTGGAGTCGCTGATCACCAAGACGTTGGAGCAAAGCAAAAAAAAAAAAACCCTCCGAGGCGCTTTACCCTAAAGAAATAAAAATAAAAAATAAAATAAATAAAAACCCTCCGAGGCTTCGTCGGACATTTTCCGAGAGCTCTCGAGGCTTTTCCTTTTTTGGTCGGGTTTCTAGAAGGCTAATGTTCTTCCTGCATTGAACCTTACCACCGCTGTCTCTGTAGGCCGCGGCACAGTCAGCCACTTCTACCGGGTCAGGACAGCAACATCCAGCTGCAGGATGGCAAAACTGATCAGTGCATACGAGCTGCGCCGCCACTGGGTCAATCACCAAGAAATCGCTCTCCTCGATGTGCGTGAAGAAGGGCCCTACTCACTGTCGCACCCTCTTTTCGCACTGAGCGTGCCTATATCCGAGATTGAACAGAAGCTACCGGCTCTCGTTCCACGACGATCAGCTCCGGTAGTTGTGTACGATAATGGAGAGGGCTATGTCGATCGAGCAGCCGCCCGGGCCAAATCGCTAGGATACACGGATGTCGCCATTCTAGAGGGCGGGCTGGCGGGGTACGCCCGGGTTGGCGAGGTTTATCGAGACGTAAACGTCCCATCGAAGGCATTCGGGGAGCTGGTCGAGTCGATCAACCACACTCCATCTTTATCGGCACGGGAAGTCAAGAATCTCTTAGAGACTGACCCGCAGGTGGTCGTGCTGGATGCACGGCGCTTTGAGGAGTACAACACCATGAGTATCCCGCGCGGTCGCAGCTGTCCCGGCGGGGAGCTGGTGTATCGCGTGTTCGAGGTCGTCCCGTCACCGGAGACGACCGTGGTGGTCAACTGCGCAGGCCGGACGCGAAGTATTGTGGGCACGCAGTCGCTCATAAACTCTGGGGTGCCAAACAAGGTGGTTGCGCTGCGCAATGGGACCATTGGATGGACATTGGAAGGGTTTGAATTGGAGCATCGTAAGGAAGAGAGAGCCCTGGAGCCCTCATCCCAAGCCACCAAACTAGCGCGTCGGCATGCTCGGTCTTGGGCTGAATACGTTGGGGTATCGATGATCGATGGGGATAAGCTCGCTCAATTGGCCGCGACCCCGGCCGGACCTTGTATCTCCTGGACGTAAGAGACCCAGCCGAGTTTGCCCGGGGTCATCCTGCAGGCTTTTCCAATGCCCCTGGCGGGCAGTTGGTACAAGCGACGGACGAGTGGGTTGGTGTGCGCGGTGCTCTCTTGGTCTTGTACGACACAGACGGCGTGAGAGCACGCATGACAGCAAGCTGGCTCCTGCAGCTTGGATGGGAGGTATATGTTCTTGACGAAAATTCCACCGTGCCCGCGGATCTGTCGATCGCAAAAGTGCCGTCGTGGATCCCCCCAGAGGCTGGCGCTATTTCTACGGAGGATTTGAAGCGTTTGAAAGAGGTCACTGTTGTTGATCTTGCGCGCAGCCCATCGTACCGCAAGGGTCATATTCCGGGTTCATGGCACGCTTCCGGACCAGAGCTGATTCGAGATTTGAAGACCATCAATAACAAGGGGCCCATTGTCCTGACATCGCCAGACGGCGAGATCGCAGCTGCAAATGCGGGATACGCACGCAACGCCATCTCGAGGGACGTGTTCTATCTGGCAGGTGGAACCGCAGCGTGGGTGGAGGCTGGTAATGCCGTCGAAACGGAAACCCGGTGGCTCTCCGCACCAATTGACGTATATAAAAGACCGTACGAGGGCACCAGCAATGCTCGCAAAGACATGCAGGGATACCTTGACTGGGAATATGGGTTGGTGGCGCAATTGGCCAACGACGGTGTCTCTCGCTTCCATGTTGTACGCAACCAACGTGTACAGGGTGAGTGAACGATCTAGAGATGTAGAAATCATGGATTCTATCATGGAACGAAGATCAAATAAATTCCATCCAAGTCATGTTCACGGACATTGAGCTCCACTCATGGGGAGACTATTTGACCATCTTTCTGACTCGGTTACCAAGAGTTATTCCGTATGCCTTCAGCTGAACTCAAATATAGGCGCTAATGTACTGTTCCTGAAACCCAATTTACTAACGAACGAGAGATTCAAAGCAGAATCATATAGACGGAAAGAAAATAAAGACATTTGCAAAAGGAACGCGTTCTTGTTCCCCTACCCAATCTGCAAGCTTCCTCGACCGTCTGAAGCTATAATATGACTGCACATTAGCAACTTCTTTACAGATTTAGCCTCTTCACAATATCCTCCGTATAAACTGCGTGACTACGTCAAAATCGCCTTACCACATATCCTCGCGTGGTCAATTACAAGCCCATCTTTTAATTGCAGAACATTGATTGCAAACCCTCCACAAATCATGGCCACAAACTCCTCGCGACCGAAAAGCTTCCTGGGGTTTCTTGGGCGTCATGCAGGAATAATCTCGTAGGGCCTGATCCCGTGTAGTTTCCCATCCAGTACAACCCCTCAGACAAACAACACACTTGGCTCCGGCAGTTTTAAGGCTTCGAAGCTGACCGCATGCGGTTGGCCGATCCATGGCCGCCAGGAGATGAAGGCTCAGTTTCCCCAGCTGGAAGAGTGCGAAAGAGAAGTGGAGATTAGGAGTCGTACCAGTGTCGACCGGCTCGAAGCTAACCTCCTATATAGTTAAGCTACTGAAGAAACCTAGCACATACGACCATAGGGTGTGGAGAACAGGGCTTCCCGTCCGCTCAGCCGTACTTAAGCCACACGCCGGTCAGTTAGTACTATGGTGGGTGACCACATGGGAATCCTGACTGTCGTATGTGAAGTTTTTGTTTTTGTCCTGATTAATTGAACTGATTTGGGTTCGAATTGTCCAAAGGCTCTAGGATTGGGGCCATTCAAAGTGGTCCCTTGTTGATGGCAACTTTCCAGGCAACAAGGCCGATTTCGACACATCGATATCAACTGAAGGGCATGACAAATTGATTTCAAACCATTACAAGATCATTAGGCTAATTCGATAGTATATTACTATTATTATTATTAGTTCTTCCAAAACCATTGGGAGCTGGATGGGCTGGAAACGAGTATTGAAATTTCTTATCAGATGCTACGTTATAAATAGACAATGGTCGCTATAAATCCGTGATCAGCGGGCGCGAACCATGGTCCTTCTGCGTGTCGATACTAGCAAGATTGAGATTCTTGTCAAACCTTGGAAATTTATACTTCAGCGCTTGCAGGCTTCCCCCCTAAATCTGTGCAATTGGCGCATAGTAGCTAAACTTCCCCTCTGGGTCATATTTCCGCTTCAAGTGCAGCAATTTGTCCTGTCTCCATTTCTCCTCACCATACAGCTGTTCAGAAGTCTCACTGCCATAAGCGTAGTTGACATATGCATGTAGCTGTTCTTGCCCAGTCGCTTTGTGAAGTATGTCTCGCAAATGATGGCCCAGATCAGCGGCCTCACGGTCCCGCTTGGAGCCATCCGGAAGGTAATTGATCAATGGGGCCACAAGAAGATGGCTATTTCGAAATGCAAAGGCGCTTTCGCTCCGAGTTCCAACGCCCTGCGTAGGATATCCCTCAAACTGGAACATCGAATTATTGAAAGGGGATGACCCACGAACGGCATCGGCGAATACGTCATAAACCCTTCGCTGAGCTTCAATGTTATAGGATTCCAAATAGATCGGAAAGCGTGGGTTGGCATGCCCCAGCTTTTGACACGGCATTGCGGCGATGTCAATCCCAGTCCAAGCGGCCAGGTCGGTATAGCTGCCGCGGCTGGGCTCTGCAGAAAGTGGCCCCAGTCCATAGAAAGGCTCTTTGTATGCTGGATTGACCGTTTTGACGCCCTCTTGGATGATGTAGAATATGATGACAGGCTGTCACAAGTTAGCGATGGTCTCATGGCGGCTGACTCAGATCTGGACTCACGTTATGTGGATCGATCTGGGGGACATTCAACCAGTACGACCAGTTGATCACATCAGAGGGTTGCGTGCCGTTCTTGAGAATATGATCATTCGCCGCCTGGTAAACTGCTTCTACCTTATCTCCGGAAAAGATCAACGTCTCAATCGCCCAGTCATGATGTTCAATATCGTAAATCGTGGTTTCGACGGATGTCACTATACCAAAATTATGACCGGCGCCATTCATTGCCCACCAGAGATCTGACGACGCGTCGATCTTCTCCAGGCTCCCGTCTGCGAGGACGACATTCATTGACACGAACTGGTCCGCAATCAAGCCATGATAGCCCTGCAGCCAGCCATGGCCACCTCCAAGGCCAGGCCCGAGATACGAAACGCATTCGCAAGTCCCAGTCACTGTGCTCCGTATAAGCCCATACCCTAGACATCCCTGCACGTATGCTGGTTGGAACATACCTGTCTGTTTCCCGGATTGCCATAATTTGTCAATCACCGTTTTGGATAAAGCTCCACCCCCAACCGTGGCAGTTCTCCCCTCTTCCGCGATTTCCACCTCGTTCAACTGTGCGAGATTGATTTCGATGCCATGTGACATCTGCCCCAGACTTGTCAACGCCCCGTGGGCACCATTATATGTCAAAAAGGGCAGATGCTTCTCATTGGCGTATTTCACCTGCACGGTCAATGGAAAGATGCGGGATGTATCGAGGGGGATGGAATCATACTATCTCGGCCACGTCTTCCTCCGTACCAGGTAGAACCACTGCACTGGGGCTGGGCGCTTTCAGAGCCGACCATCGCGCACTCAGGACAGGGAACTCGGTTGAGTTCGGAAGATACACCCGGGCCCCAGCGGACAATCGAGGCCCAAGATCATGAAGTTCGACCGATCGCGGACATAGCCCGTGCCACCAAGGGTGGTGGAGACTGAAACTCTGACAGGCCGACGTCCAGGCCCAAGCCGCAATTGCAGCTGCCACTTCCATTGTCAGGCTATGAGAATGGGGAAATTCGGACCATACGGGAGAGGGGTGTTGCAATGTCCTGGATTGAATTCACTCTGGCCGGGCCTTGCATAAGGTGTGGGGCTGCTAATGTGGCGGGGCCTTATGTTGGAGCATGCAGGGAGAAAGGGGTCTGTAATGTACGGTATGAATTGGTAAAATATGTAACTCTGAAAGTTCTAAAATGACAGGCACCGCATATTTATACGGTGAGTTCCTTACATAAGAAAAGTAATGCACATATGCCAAGAAATGAATAAGCGGTAATACGGTGGTAATGGCACCGTGTGTTCCGACACACCCCCCCAGGGCTGCGCGTTCGCTAGGTTGAACTAGCAGGCCTGACACCATATTTAATGGGTCATGTGACCTTACTGAGATGGGATTAAACCATAGTTTTTCCCTCTCCATACGGCTCTATCAAGTGCCGTATATCTTCCATCCCAAGTTTTCGACGGCTTTCTGTTACGCACTACCTAGCGAGTCTCGGTGAGTGGGTCCTCAAAGGGTGATACTTCTCTTGGTCACTCTGCACGCCAAGGGTGTCTCGTCACTCTATTGCAATGCCTACCGATCACACACGGCAACAGGCCTTAGATGCTCAAGTCCTTAGAGGTCTTGCTTAGTAAACGTGGAGCTGCTGAGGGCGCCGACGAGGTCAGGTTCTTATGGATCTCCCCTTCGTCGTTAGGTTTGGATTCGAGACAAGTATGAACAATGAACCGTTGTCGTATTCCAATCTTGTGGTTCCTAAGTAACAATGATGTAGAATCAAGAAGAGATTGATCGCGAAGAACTAAATACATGGTGCCAAGTGAGTGTCCTTATATATCCAGTCCTTCCTGTCACTGATGTGTTCGGGACACATCGCTGATGCGCTCCGCGCATCGCTGATGTGCAGTGCACATCGCTGATGAGCCACTGTTGCCTTGCTGCCTTAGACAGCTGTTCCTGGCTCCTTCATGCCAATTGGTCGGCTGCCATACCTGGCTCCCTTGTCACGTGTGTGTCAATCTTGACAGATCGGTTGGTCGTGGTTGACTTATTTTCTTCAACCGAAGTGGGTCCGTAACACTTTCTTCGAATTTGGTTCGTGGGAGGATCTTGGTCAAACCATCGGCAGGCATTTGACTGGTTGGGATCCATTTGAGTTCAATATCTCTACGTTGAATGCGTTCGTATAACCAATTTTTAGCCACGTTGACGTGCTTCAATTTGGTATCAATTCCAGGATTTTCGCTGGTAAGCAGTCGAACTGTTTGTGCATTATCGCACAGAATCGGGGTAGGATGAGATAATTCAAAGCTAATAGCTTTGAGCATGCGCTTCTACCAAATTAGAATTTTTCCCACTTCTAGCAACGCACGAAATTCAGCTTCTGTTGTCGATGTTGACACTGAACGTTGCTTCGACGATTTCCAATCAACGGCTCCTCCGTACACCTTGCATATATATCCATACGACGACTTGGTATCGTGGTTATCTGCAAACGATGCATCGGCGGCGATGACAAAGGAGGAATTCAGTATCGAATCGGTGTCGAATTCCTGTTGATTTCGTGGGCTATATTCAATAGCATGAAAGCGTATCTGGTACAGATATGATATAACTCGATCGACTGATTCGAGATGCCTTTGACTCGGATTTGCAGCGAATTGGGCTAGTTTTGACGCATGAATTGCGATATCTGGTCGGGTCTGGTTCGCTGGATATTGAATTGATCTAATTTTTTGCTGTATTTCCTTGATTTGGGAGGCTGTAGCTTCCCTGTCGGATGGCATAAGAATTTCTCCCGATGGTAGAGGAGTAGTAGTCTTATGTTGATCAATTCGATGGAATTTATGTGCCATATGCGACACATATGCATCTTGGTACAACCAAAGCTTCTTTTTCTCTCTATCTCGCAATATGCGAATTCCGAGAAACTATTTAGCCTCTTCTATATCTCGAACTTGCCAGTAGCGTTGAATATCGTTACACAGCTTATCGACGCGTTTGGCAGCGGTTCGTAGGCTAACGATAATGATATCGTCGACATAGAAGAAGATAATGATACTATCTCCGACAAATAAACATGGGTCCTCCGGAACTGGTTTGAAACCTAGTTTTTCGAGCATACGAGAGGCTTCTTTTTGCTATAATCGTGGAGATTTTCGGAGGTTATATAACGCTCGTTTGAGCTTCTATGCCTTTCCGATCTGTTGGAATCTAGGAGGCATTCGGGTGTAAATCTCATCGTGTAGCATACTATTAAGAAATGTATTGACTGCATCAAGTTGATGTGTATCCAGATCGAAGGCTGCTGCTAATGCGAATATTAAACGGCCTGTTTTCGCTGCTAGCGTTGCTGTATATTTCTTCTTCCCTGTCAAAGTTTGGAGGTCTCTATGCATACAGATTCGGGCCTTAGCCTTGATTAGATATCTATTCGCATCGAGTTTGTATATGAAAACCCATAATAATGGTAAAACCTGTTTACTGACGTCAACCGGTTTATCTACAACATCAAACGTGCCTTTGGATTTCAAAGCTTCAATCTCTATTCGAGCAGCAGTATAGAACATCTCTCTATACGGATGTGTTCTCAGATCTTTCCACGACTTCGGAGGTGGTGGTAAATCGTTACTGTGGAGTCGATTTGGCATCGTTTTGCCAATATTGAAAGCTGTCGTATATGCACGACGTATTTCTCGATCCTCCTCTTCCTCTTGGAGATGAAATTTAGAGTAAAAACTCTGGAAATCGGGATCAATTCGTGGTCGACGTGTTCGTGTCGTTTGGAGGATATTTGATTCATCGACATCACCATTGATATCGTTGGGTGCACGTGTGAGCGCATCTCCTTCCTCCGGTTCAGATTCCACTCTATTCGATATGGTTTCAACCTCCGATTCGACTCGATTCGTGCCTGTTTCTACCTCTAACTCCACTAAATTTAGTGTGTTTTCCTCCTCTATCTCCTCCAAATTTGGAGTTTCATCGACTTCGATTGGTTCAGAGGTAGGCGGTGAGGTAGGTTCCGTCAAATTTGGAAGCGGTGTGGCAGTAGGAGTTGGAAGTTGAGTGTGTGGTTCGGGAGTTTTTTCTCCTACATCCCTTCTATCGTGCACCTCCGACGGTTGTGTTCCTGGTGGTTCAACATCACGTGGTTCCATCTCGATCGGTTTTTGGAGAGATAATAGATCGATAGTGGTAAGATTTGAGTCGGTTACGGTGCCGAATTACGTGTTCTGATCGATTGATTCCAAGGTTGGTGTAAGTCCCCACGCCTCCATCTCTATATGGTGCGCTAATATAGCATCCATTTCAGATATAATTTAAGCGTTAGTAGGGATCTCTGCCTCCGGAACTCGCGGTTTAGCGTCATTTTTATAACGCCTCGACTCAATAAACACTGCATCTCTTACGTGTATCACCTTGTCGTTGTCTGGGAACCAAATTTCCCACACATTTGATGCCATATATCCTACCAAATATCCCAGTTTCGCCCTCGGTGCCATTTTATCCAGATTCGGTATATTTTGGACCCGAGCGTATGCCGCACAGCTATAGATTCGGAGGTTGCTTATATCCACTTTCGTATCAACTTCTCTACGAGTTGATTGGTTGATTCGTTTGAAAACTTCACTAAGTGGAACGATCCAACTTCCATCTTTCCATGTTGGAATTCTGTTCAACAGATAAACAGCTGTTTTGACTGTATATGGCCACAGATAATTTGGTAAACCTGCTCCAAGCAGTAATCCACGTGCCATAGTGGTGATCACCCCCCCCAGATCTCTCAGATAGACCATTCATATCTGGGTGGTAAGGTGGAGATCTTTCCCATTTGATGCCTATTTGGGAGATCTGTGCTTCTGTTTCACGGTCGATTGAGGTCTCGTTATCGGAAAAAACGACCAAAATCTTGAGGTTTAGCCATCTCTCGATAAACCTGATGGCTGTGAGAAATATCCCTTTTATTTGGTGCAGGGATTCCATAATATACACCACATGAAACCGGATTCCATCGAGATAGAAGTGCGCGAAATATCGTGCCTTCCTTCCATATTGATGCATATACACCACGTCGAAAAATAGCCTTCCAAATGGACCATATCTCTGTGTAATTGGTCGTCGCGAAATTTGCTTATTCGACTCCTTTTCTAGGCACGTTTCACATATCTCGTTGGTTCGATCCAATTTTGAATACGAGATTTCCATGCCTTTATTCAACTGCGAGGCCATTTCGATACGACGTTTTCCAACATGGCCTAGTCGCTTGTGCTATATATCGTACGTTGTCGTCGATTTATGCTCGTTTCTAGAGTCAATCGGCCCTCGTCGCGTATTGAATGTGAGTTTCTGGTTCAATTTCTCATGATAGGATATCGGACCAGGTTCGAAGGTCCATAATCCTGCCTTGAGCGTGAGATTCTATAGGATTTTCCCTGTTAACTGGTTGGAAACAGCGTTGTTCATGCCATCGTGACACACTCCGCCTTTACGCAGTCGACTCTCGGAAATCAAATTCAAATGGAAATTTGGTGCATATATAACTTCCTTCAAAGTTATGTCGTGCGGTAAACCATTATCTGGATCGATGGGATAGATCTTGGCTGTTCCAATCCCTTCGTATTCAGTATAGTGGTCACCGGTGCCTAATTTCCCTCGAATTGGTGTAAAATCAATGAATCGGGATGCGTCGTTGGTGACGTGACAGTCACTGCCACAGTCTAAAATCCACCAGTTTGACGTATTGACGCCATTATCTACGCTCGCTACGTTCAAATTGAACGTTTGACCACTCGATTTGGTTGCAAATGCACCCTGTAAGGAGAAGGAATCGGTGCGAACTGTTGAGTTTGAGCTGTTTGCCTCCTGTGAGGGCTGTGATTGGTTCAAATTTGAGTTGTGTTTCGAGTTGTATTGTTTGATCTGTTCACTCAACCAATCACGATAACTCGACGGTTTCGAATTCATCGCATCTCGGGCCCGTTTCGATGCCTGTTTAGGTGGCTTCCATCCCTCCGGTACTATATCTGGGTTCAGAATATAGCATTTCCAGGGTTTATGGCCCCACTTGGAGTTGTTTGCTAGGCAGGGACACCTTTGATTGGCGTACGAAGCGGAGTTTTCCTCTTGAGTGACGGGTTTCTCCTCTTGAGTTCCCTGAAACGTCGAAAATGCGCCTTTCGGGACCTCCTTTTTTGATTTGATTCGGAGCGACCATTCACGTTCCAGCTTTCGAAGAACCTCTTGTGTAGGGATATCTCTCCTCTCAATCAATAGCTGTTCGTACATGGTTGCATGGAACCATTGGAGCTCGTTGATTGGAAGGATATTTTCGAGAAGCTTCCGATATAACTCCTTCGAATACGTTTCCTCCTTCGCATAATCGAGTTCGGTTTGAAGCTCCAACGTCTTATTACACCACGCTTCGATCGATGTGTTGCGATTAATTGAGTCGAGATGTTTGATCCAATCGGTGCGCAATCTCGTGATATACGAGGGGTCCTTGGTAGGATTGAACCGCTGGTCCAAATCTTGGATAACCTTTCGAAGATCCTTCCCTTGTCGAACAATATATTGATACTGTTTCGGGAGCGAATTGTATATGAATGTGGAGATAAACGCGAGGCCTTTCCTCTGATTGAGGTATTGGGCTCTCCTCTCCTTCCAAAATTGATACTCTTCCCTGAGTAGAGTATATTCAACCATTGCATCTTTTCTCGACGCTGCACTGCCTTCCGGTGCGTTTTTGTCGGAACACACGGTGCCATTACCACCGTATTACCGCTTATTCATTTCTTGGCATATGTGCATTACTTTTCTTATGTAAGGAACTCACCGTATAAATATGCGGTGCCTGTCATTTTAGAACTTTCAGAGTTACATATTTTACCAATTCATACCGTACATTACAGACCCCTTTCTCCCTGCATGCTCCAACAGTTATGAGCCCGGAAAAGCCATATTGAGGTTATTCGGAAGCTATTCGGAGGCTATTCGAACCAAATTGGCACCCCAATCTGTCGTTGAAATAGAGGAAATTGAGGGAAATTTGAGTGGGAAAATTTTTCACGGAGTGGTCGGAATTCCCGGCACACATCCCCCACCCCCTACGCCTCGATAAACACGACGAAACAGTGCTATTCGGAGATTTGAACAGGAGAAAATTCGTTTTTTGGCTGTTATATCGTGATGGATGAATGGAAGGAACAGCTCTCGGTTGGTAGTAACCTTAAACTACTCAACAGCTCCTATTGGACAGGATGGATCAATGCATTGCAAGAGCGCACGATTCCATATGATATCTGGGAATATTTGAACCCCGAAAATTCGGATGAAATGGCTAAACAGGCCTTATTATCGGACCCAGGCATGGTTAAAGTCGCTCCCTCAATATCTCAAATCAGAAACGAGATCGAAAACTGTCGGAACACACGGTGCCATTACCACCGTATTACCGCTTATTCATTTCTTGGCATATGTGCATTACTTTTCTTATGTAAGGAACTCACCGTATAAATATGCGGTGCCTGTCATTTTAGAACTTTCAGAGTTACATATTTTACCAATTCATACCGTACATTACAGACCCCTTTCTCCCTGCATGCTCCAACACCTTATTTCCACGCCTTCGTGGATTCCTGGGGCCAACCCTCGATGAGGAACCGTCATGCATGTGGAATAGCACGATCAATCCGAGTCCCGCTAGCGGTCGTATATTCTACACAAGAGGATAACGGGGTGAGTCATTGCCAGTTACCGCACGCTACACGACCTAGGCAGCGGTGCGAGATGGCGACTGGCGTATCCGGCGCTTGACAATTTAAGGACTAGACCTCGGAACCGCCCGCGAGCCGCCCTCTGAGGGCCGCCCACGGACCCGCACTTTTGCGGGCGGAGGGCAGGCTCTTCCTGCCCGCGGGTCGGGTAGGTCTCTACCCTGCCCTCAGAGGGCGGCCCTCGGAATATTTCGAGGGCCGACAAACATGACAAACATAGAAAGCTCTGTGGTTGCATAAATTATGCTAGTTTTGACTGTAATTTTAGGTATTTGATATACAGCTAGGTCCTTTAGAATAAATTATCATGATTAGGGAAAGCGTGTTGAAAATATCAAATAATTGCTTCAATTCATGTTATTTCATACTATTTCTAGGGCTAGATACTATAAATCAACTCTCATACCCTTCTAAAAACCTTGAGCGCTTTCGAACCCTTCCTGAATGCCGAAGTTGTGTGTTTGGTAAGTCAGGCTCGCCCTCTTCTTCATGCTCTCCATTTTCTGGCCCTGTTGACGAGGGTTGTTGTTGTTGCGATTGAGCTGTGATGACTGCAATCTGTGTAGTATCAATAACTAATCCTGCATCATCAATCTCTTCGTTATCGCTAATTGGCTCAAGGTATGGAGTATTTAGATCTTTCGCCTCCTGGTTGGCCTGTATCTCTTCATGTAAGAGATATTCGTTGATTAGAGCTCGTTGACCTTCTTCAATCTCAAACTTTGATGTACACATGAACATCATCAGATCTTGAATTGTTGATGGCTTTAGCGAGCCTCTCCGGTAGTGACAGACATCCCGGGCAGAGTTAAAGAGGCGCTCTACACCTGCCCCTGTTGCAGGAATCGAAAGCACGTCGCGTGCAAGGTTTGCAAGCGCTGGAAATTGATGCTGGTGATCTTTCCAGAACATACAGACAGGAGTTCGTACAATGCCTAGAATATACGTTAGTAAAGACTTTATAAGTGAGATATTATTAACTTACCGCTATCAAGATACTCCTTAAGCTCATCAAATTCAGTAGATGCTAAAGGCTGGGACTCTTCCGCTCCACACTCCATCTCAAGCTCTGAGATAGCGACTGTAGGTGATTGAGCTTTAGATATTGATTGTGTATCGGCATGGTGTCGTTTATAGGATTGAAAGTAATCCTCAAGACTTGCTCGGTAGATTGCACGCCAGTTGTTATCTGGATCATCCCAGTCCTTTCCTTCAAAGAATTGAAGCTTTTGTTGCGGTGAAAGTATCGTGCCAATGGCATAGAGATTGCCATCAATTGTATCCGTCATACCATAATAAGTTGAAAGCTTTCTCTTTGCGGCCTCGAGAGAAGAAAGCATAAGCTGCTTCCAAGCAACCTTTTTCCGTCTTAACGCACTCATTGACCTTTCAAGATGATTGAAGAGCTTGTTGTAGATGCTAAAGACTAGATGAATACTAACATCCTTAGTCTTAGAAAGAAGAGTGGTGAATTTGAAGAAAGGCTGGGTTATCCAGAGAAGATACTCAATTTGTCGCCACTCCTCTTGACTCAATGCAAAGTGGTCCTGATCATACTGCGAAACAAAAGTCATCAAAGGTTGATTGAAGCCGTTTAGCACGTCGGAGCATCAAAAACGTTGAATTCCAGCGAGTTCGAACATCCTGGATAGGAATAAGCCTTGGTTCTTCCTTCTGAAGGTTGTAGAATGACTCGCGCCGTTGCGGGCTTGCGTTGATGTAGATAGCAAGGTTTCGGACCTATATAATCATAAAAGAGTTAGTATTGTTAATAAGGTAAGAAAGTAGGGGCATACCTTGTTAAGTGTATCAACAATTTCTCTTTTTTGTTGCCTTACACGAAGAGAACGGAATCGTTCGTCAGACCAATCCATCTCCACATTTTCATTCTTTGGAATTGCCTTTAACTTCCCAAGAAGATCATTCAAGCTAAGCTGAATCACATGGGCAATGCAAGGAACTCGAACGATTGTAGAACCATTATTCAGCTCAAGTGACTGTAATGACTCTTGTATACTTGACATTAACGTGTTATTGTTTGATGCATTGTCAGTTGTCACGGCAAGTACTCGATCTGCGATTTTATGCTGTCGGAGAAGCTTTAAAACCACATCACTTAGATTCACACCAGAATGGGATCCAGATAAAGGTTCAAATCCAAGAAGCACCTCTTGATATTGCCAGTGTTGGTCTAGGAAGTAGCCAGTAACAGCCATAAAAGCCTGTCGAAAGGGAGATGTCCAGCAATCTAGTGCTAGTGAAAGTTTTGCGTTTGGAGGAAGCTTCTGAAGGATAGATTGTTGCTGCTTTTGGACGTACTCTTGTAGCCGAGATCGTATTGTTTTTGCTGAAGGGATATGGGGTTGTGTAGGGGCAAGTCGGGCAAAGGTAATAACGTCACGGAACTCTGGATGTTCAATGAATTGGAAGGGAAGACGTGATAAGGTGATCAATTGTAGAAGCTTCTGCTCCCATGCTTCTTGCGTAAAGACTTTTGTTATATTTGATGTGTTCTGTGCCTATTATAAAAGAGAATGATTAGTAAAACATTAGACTATATGTCCTAAGTGATACATACTGCATTTGCGAGTAATCCCTTGATATTAGCCTTCTGGCTAGTAGATTTGCGACAGGTTGGACCAGCTAAGTGCCGATTAAGGGCAGTTGTTCCATACCGCCCACTTGCTGGATGATCAAGGACTTTCTGGCATTGGCGACACTTTACCCCTGGTTTACCAGTTTTTGCGTTGGCAACTTGATCAAATTGTTCCCAGCATGCCGCTGTACGGTTACCACCCCAATTAAGTCTTTTCCTCTTCCCAAACTCAGTCTCCAACCACCAAGCGACGAAGTCATCCTTTGACATTTCGGAGTATAGGATGAATGCTGGTGATCGACCAGGACCAACACGCTGAAGTGAAGAAGGAATCAAGGGTGGAGTAATTGGAGTGAGAAAATCGGGATTTGATGCAGATTCAAGTGTGTGCTGACTTCCAGAAATATCAGGCGTTGGGAATTGATCATTCGAAAAAGAGAGAAGAGCATCAACTGGATCACCATCATATACTGATGAAGAATAGATATCTGAGAACTGGGACATTTGGGACATTGTTAATCAGATGATCGCTAGTAAAGCATGATTTGAAAAGGGAAAAGCGACTGGTTTCTGGAGAAGATACCTACTAAGAAAGCCCATAGGCTCTGGTAAATAGAATTATTGACTAGCTTGAGTAGCTTTCCAATATAGCTTGACTATTATCGAACACATCAACTATTGACCCACTTTAACTTATTAATCTCCCTATGATTGGTTATTTATTGAGGGCTGATTGAGGGCGGCCCTCAAATCGGCCCTCAAAATATGCGGGCGGCCCTCAACCAGCCCTCGAAATGTGCGGGCCGCCCTCGAGCGGCCCTCGAGCGGCCCCCAAACGGCCCTCGAAAACATGCGGGCCGCCCTCGAATCACCAATCCGCCCTCGGTTTTTCGCTGACTTGTGTATCCCCTCAAATCTAGTGATGCTTTTAGTTCAAAGATTATTATGGGGGCTCTTCTATTAGTAAATATAGTATGATTAGACTTTATCGGGGGGCTCACCTTATAAAGAAGAATTATATGATATTTGGTGAAGAATCAAGAATTTATGAGATATGTTTAATGTTCTTGTTATTCCTACCAACATGACGTTGTAAATATATATATCTAACCCAACCATATTGAACTAATATATTCAAAAATCATCTCCTTTCTATTCACCCTCTACCATTTACTTTTGGAGATTCAAAACCTGTAATATAATCATTACCTACTATGCTTTATTACAATACAACTAAATTTCTTATAATTTCATAAGACTTAAATAGTGATACCATGGAGAATAAACTATAAACAGGAACAGGCTTAAAAAACAGTAATTAAATAGAATGAATCAGCAGAATTATACATCTAAATGAGGAATAGCCAACTTTTTTTTATGCAAATGAGGGCGGATAAGGGCCGCCCGCGAGCGGCCCTCTGAGGGCTGAGGGCCGGGCGAGGGCAGGCAAGAACCCGCCCTCCGCCCGCGAGGGCCGGGCGGAGGGCGGGAGATACTGGCCCTCGAAATGTTTTTGACGAGGTCTATTAAGGACGCGCTTGGAGCTGGACCTCGAGTCAAATCGGACTGTTGAATTACCCGACTCTGGGAGGTCTGTGGTTAAGGCCGTTCGGCGTTAATAGCTCAATGCCTCTCTTAGGAAAGGCCCTCCTTCCTGTCATGTAGACCTTATGTACAATATACTATGTTTAGGAATAATGCGTCTTAACTAATAACTTGATAACTGAATGATACTAGTGCTTGTTCAAACTTGCCTGAGCTAGAAGGATCGTAGTTTAACAATCTGGAATATACTAGTGCCACGATTAAACAGTCGTCCATAATTAAAACGGTCGAAACCCCCCCCAAGAACGCCGTATAGATCATCAGAACACATTATCAGAACACATTATCAGAACACATTATCAACAATCTCATGCGATTTGTTGATAAAATTCCACCTGTGGATGGCCCCAGCTCAACTCCTGTAGTATTTCAAAGTAGCACGCGTGTTCCTGGCTTCAGGCTTCCCCAAAGACACGCTGGACAACGATCCAAGGCCAGGATCCGACCCGCCGGGGCGAAGCTTCTTGGGTATCTGAAAGTGACTTGATCCAGCACGAGGTTTCCCAGCATAGATCGTAGTTCACGTTCATCTACCGTGTTGTACCGCCCGCTCCCATCGAGTGAGATCGTAGAGCACACGAGTTTTCCGGGGCCGCTCCCATAGATTGGATTTCCACTACCTTCGATGTAGCTGTTCGAGACAAAGAGATTGCCGTCAACAAGTATGCTGATCTGGCCGCTGATCGTCTGACAATCGTAAAGACTGGCACGAGCCGACTCATTGATTGCCAGAGCCACAGCCCCCCGGTTCTTTGTCCCTGATCTCTTGTTCACTATGTTGATATTGGAAGCTCGCAGGTGGCCGCTTTTGACAAGGATAGTAGCGCTGGAACCGAGCGCTTCGTGGTTATCGGAGGAAGCTGTCGAGTCGCTCCGGATTGTAACTTGGTTCTTGGAGTATTCCTCCTTGGACTTCGTATACCCAATCAGGATGATTGTTCTGGAATAGTCAATGACAAGCTTCTCCTTGTATGTGCCAGGATAGATGAAGACCGTGACGTTGCCGTGGCCCGAGGGCAAATGATCAAGTGCATCCTGGATGGTCTTGTAGGTCTTCGTATTCGCAATGGTTGTCGGGGACACAACGAGTGCTCCGTTGGGGGCACATCGGTTCCATCTCCAGGGGGCCCTGAGCCGCCACCGCCAGATGAACCTCCACCGTCTCCAGAGCTCCCAGATCCACTACCACTGCCAGATGAACCACCGCCACTGCCAGGGCCCCCCAGGTCCACTACCGCCACCATTGCCAGACGAACCTCCACCGTTTCCACCAGGGCCAGAGCCAGAGCCCGAACCCGAGCCAGGACCCGGGCCCGAGCCACCCGACTCGCCTTCTGGGGCCGGCAAGTCCCCTCCAGCGAGATCATAGGATGGCTTGTAGTTATAAGCGGCCATATCAAGCCATGAAGTATCGCTGATCCACTCGGATAGAGAGTACGCTGCGGCCTGCCTCTTTGAGAGCTTTGTTGCAAAGGACGCCCGCGCGCTCAGCGAGCTCCCGGGCCCAGAGTTGTTGTACTCGCCGAAGAGGACATGGGCAGTCTGTGGGGAGCTGGTGGACCACCCACTCCAGCCCGCCGGATCGATGTTACTATCCAGGAAGGAGTTCATGTAGACGACCAGACTGTACTGGTTGAGCGGTCTTCCCAAGAAGGTATCATGGGAGTTCCCGCAGGAATCCGTGCGTGACACCAAGCTCGTATCGAAGACGAAACCTCCTTTGGCGGCGGACGAGGAACGTCCTTGCTCGGCGATAGAGTGCCCGGGGGTATTTACAGCGATCCAAGACTGGTGCGCGAATAGCGTCGCGTATCCCCAGATAAAGTCGCCGGAGCCTTCCACGTATGAGTTCGACAACACCAGGCTGCCTTTTTTGGCGAAAAGCGTATGGTGATACCCAATGAAGGAACAGCCGTAGGCCGCTACGAGACCGTCAAAATCCGCAGCTAGTCCTTCGGTGTTGTCTCTTCGGGGAGATGTGTTTTTGAAGTTGATGTTGTACAGCGCAACCACCGTTTCTCCACCGGTATCTTCGACAGTGATGACTCCGGTCTTTTCTTTGTCACTTGAGGATGTGGTAGCCGCATCAGAGTACTGAATCGTGACAGTATTCTTCGTGAAATCGTTCTTGAACGAGGTCTCTCCGCGGAGGACCACTCTGCCTTTTCGCGATATGGTGATTTGCTCTTCGTATATTCCGGATTTGATGTAGATTGTGTACGGTCTGCCATTATCGGGAATGGCAGCTAGGGCAGCTGTGACAGTTAAATATTGGCCTTTGGAGGGGTTCTTGCAGACGATCAGGGTAGAGGAATCGCCATCCCCAGGCTCTGGTCCTATAAGATATTAGCTTCGCCAAAGAAGGCAGGCTTTCCATATACTTACCAGGGGAAGTCGGAGAAGTCGTAACAACCTCGGTAGGGCCTAAAGGATATTTAGCTATGTCAAAGAAGGCAGGCTTTTAAGTTCACTTACAAGGTGAAGTCGGAGAGATTGAAACGATCCCAGTAGGTCCTAGAAGGTATTAGTAATTTTCAAAAACGTCAGGCTTTCGAATTTACTTGCCGGGCGAAGTGGGAGAAGTAGTAACAACTTCAGTGGTTCCTGAAAGATATTTAGCTATGTTGATAAGGTAGGGTTTTGGTTGATTTACCAGGCGTAGTTGGAGAAATAGTAACGATCTCGCTGGGTCCTAGAAGATGTTAGTTGTGTCAAAGACCGCAGTTTTCAGTCTACCTACCAGGTGAAGTTGGAGAAGTGGTAACAACCTCGCTAGGTCCTAGAAAGATAGTTAGCTAGATTGAAGGAAGTAGACTTTTTTTATTTACCAGGTAAGGTCGGAGAGATTGTAACGACCTCACTGGGCCCTAGAAGATGTTAGTTGTGTCAAGAACCGCAGTCTTCAGTCTACCTACCGGGTAAGGTCGGAGAAATAGTAAGAACCTCGCTGGGTCCTAGGAGATGTTAGCTGTGTCAAAGAGCGCAGTCTTCAGTCCACCTACCAGGTAATGTCGGGGAGATTGTAACAACCTCGCTGGGTCCTAGATGATATTTAGCTATGCCAAAGACGGTTCTGGTTTTATTTTATTTACCAGGTGTAGTTGGGGAAATAGTGACGACCTCGCTGGGCCCTAGAAAGGTGTTAGCTGTGTCAGAGAAAGCAGTCTTCCGTTTTCCCTACCAGGTGAAGTTGGAGAAGGAGTAACGACGTTGTTAGGTCCTATAAGGTATTAGCTGCGCCAAAGCAGACAGCCTTTCTGTTTATTTACCGGGTGAAGTCGAAGTAGTAACAACCTCAGCGGGTCCTAGAAGGTATTAGATTTGTTAAAGATGGGCAATCTTGCTGTTTACTTACCTGGTAAAGTCGTAGAAGTAGTAACGACCTCAGTAGTTCCTAGGGGACATTAGCTATTTCGAAGAGACAGTCTTCGAGTTTAGTTACCTGGCACGGTCGGATCCACAGTAGTAACCCCGGTAAGCCCTGGAAGATATTAGCTGTGTTGGTGGAGACAGGATTCCTGTCTATCTACCTGGTGATGTCGGAGAAGTAGTAACAACTTCGCTGGGTCCTAGAAGATATTAGCTGCGCCAAGGGCAGTCTTTCCGTTTACCTACCTGGTAAAGTCGTAGAAGTAGTAACGACTTCACTGGGTCCTGGGAAATATTAGCAGTGTTAAAGAGACGGTCTTCGAATTTAGTTACCTGGCACGGTCGGATCAATACTAGTAACCCCAGTAGGCCCTGGAAGATGTTAGCTGTGTTGATAGAGACAGGCGTCCTGTCTACCTACCTGGTGAAGTCGGAGAAGTAGTAACAACTTCGCTGGGTCCTAGGAGATGTCAGCTGCTGCCAAAGGCAGTCTTTTTGTTTACTTACTTGGCGAAGTTGTAGAAGTAGTAACGACCTCAGTAGTTCCTAGGAGACATTAGCCATGTCAAAGATGCTGCTATCTGTTTCGTTACCTGGCACGGTCGGATCAACACTAGTAACTCCGGTAGGTCCTAGGAGATGTTAGCTGCGCCAACGGCAGTCTTCCTGTTTACTTACCTGGCGAAGTTGTAGAAGTAGTGATGAGCTCAGTGGTTCCTAGGAGATATTAGCCATGTCAAAGATGCAGTCTTTCTGTCTACTTACCTGGTGAAGTCGTAGAAGTAGTGACAACCTCGTTGGGTCCTAGGAGATGTTAGCTGCGCCAAAGGCAATCTTTCTTTTTACCTACCGGGTAAAGTCGTAGAAGTAGTGATAACCTCGCTGGGTGAAGTCGTAGAAGTAGTATCGACATCGCTGGGTAAAGTCGTAGAAGTCGTACCGACCTCGCTGAGTCCTAGAAGGTATTAGCTACGCCAAAGGCAATCTTTCTGTTTACCTACCGGGTAAAGTCGTAGAAGTAGTGACCTCGCTGGGTGAAGTCGTAGAAGTAACAACCTCGCTAGGTCCTAGAAGATATTAGCTGCGCCAAAGGCAATCTTTCTGTCTACTTACCAGGTAACGTCGTAGAAGTAGTGACAACCTCGCTGGGTAAAGTCGTAGTAGTCCCGACCTCGATGGGTCCTAGAAGGTATTAGCTGCGCTAGAGGCAATCTTTCTGTTAACTTACCAGGTAAAGTCGTAGAAGTAGTAACGACCTCGCTGGGTAAAGTCGTAGTAGTCCCGACCTCGATGGGTCCTAGAAGGTATTAGCTACGCCAAAGGCAATCTTTCTGTTTACCTACCAGGTAAAGTCGTAGAAGTAGTAACGACCTCGCTGGGTTCTAGAAGGTGTTAGTTATATCAAAAAAAGGCAGGCTTTCAATCGACTTGCCTGTTGAAGTCGGAGAAGTAGTAGCCACCTCAGTAGGCCCTAGCAGATATTAGACGTGTCGAAGAAGCCTCTCTTCCAGTTTACTTACCAGGTGCAGTCGGAGCAACAGTTAAAGTCTTCGTCTTCGTCTTCGTCACGGTGATAGTATACGAACACGTACAATCTTCCAATACTGTCCCAGTAGCTAGGCCCATAAGGCCCAGCAAGAACAGTATACGCATAGTGCCTATATCGTGGCTCGCTTTGGCTTCAATTCAATAAGCTCTAAGACAAAGACAACTTGGCGTGTGCATGGTATGCAGTCTCTCGGAGATTTTGTCTCTGGGGTCGCGGTTAAACCAACGCAAGTACGTTTGTTGCCATGCATTCTCGCCCCATTATTGCGGGTCCGACCGGCTTGATGATCGGCTATCCAGGAGTTGGAAGATGTTTCCAATGAATGTGATCTATATTCTACCTTCATGTACCACTTCGTCAGCCTCATGTGCTCATAAGTTATGACCAGGCCGTAGGAGGAAACGTCATCGGCGATCGAGCCTGGATCAGAATTCATGACTCGTCAGGTATCTAGCATTGAGTGATCGACCAACAACAGACTGCATTCCAACCCCGGGAAAGATGGGTCTTCGGCCTGTTATCGAAAACATGCCGTCCGAAAGCGTACGGTGCTATTAGCGCCAAAATACCAGTCGCCCATCTACTGGTAGATACGGAAAACTTTTCCTGTATAAAGCAGGCGCCGTCGAACTAGCCAAGATAGCAAATTTCAGTCATTTGGAGCAATTAGAGTTACATTTTCATCCCCTTGCTGTACTTCACGTACCACGGTCCCCCCTGTCGCTCCATCACCGGTCCTGCCGCATAGGGCCGAGGGTCTCAAAATTGGCAATTGCTGGTTATCTACCCCTTGTGCCTTGGATCCACTGTGGGCACGACGTTGGATTTTCCAGATATGCAGTGGAAGCTGTCGACGAATGGGGCGACAAGGAAACCCCCCGGAAGGCATTTCCAGTGAACTTTAAATGTCCAACCGAAGGATCAAGATAAACAAGGCCAGATGAACTTCCGGCCCCGTTGGCTGCGGGGAAATTCAGAAATGTTTGAATCAGTGAGCCAAGCATCGAGGCCCCGATTGACATATTCGCGCTATCGTTTCTCATTCCAGGCCTTCGAAAGACCTGCTCTCATTGGTGAGGGCATCTACGGTCCTTACAATCAGAACAGTCCGCCGGATTGTCACAAGCACACGTCCTCGTCCGTCGACTACAATCACGACCCAAGGAGACTCTCAGAAAAGGTAAAAATTTTCAGGAATTATTCTCCAGCTCGTAGCCATGCTGAGCCAAGTATGCCTCCAGTTCCCTATCTTCTTTAGCAAGGTTCATTTTGCTGCTTTCGGGCAGGAAACAATAAACAATGATACCAAGCACAGCGACGCCCCCAGCGAGGTAGAAAGTGGAACTGGTGCCGGCCGCGTCTTCCAGGGGCGTGAAGCACTGAGTCCCTACAGCAGCCCCCGTCCTCCCAAACGCGGTTGCGATTCCATAGCCCATTCCTCGGATAGCAGTAGGGAAACTTTCCGACGAGATCAGCCCAATCGTTGCCCCAGGGCCCATATGGCCGAACGCTTGTAACAAGCCATAGAGGACCACAAAAGCCGCGATGTGCTTTGACAGCTTTGAGTACGTTCCCCCAATAATGAATCCAAGCACCACGTAGCCGGCAAATCCTGCGATTCCAGTGTTGCGTCTGCCGATGGCATTTGTGAGCCAGGCGCCGATCATGACTCCTGGCACCGGGAGAACGGCGAGAATGACTTGCCAAGTGGCAGTTTGGCGAATATCACCATCCTTCACCAGCGACGAGATAATTGTGCTCGACATGATACTGTTTGGGAAATTGATGAAGTCGTACAGAAAGAAGGCGAGGGACGTGGTGAATATGCGCCACCAGTATCGGCGCACCAGGTCTAGGTACAGCCGTGGCGAGCGTCTTTGCTTCTTCAGGTTTGACTGGTGGAATAACGCAGAGTCCACCATAAGAAGACGAAGCACGACAATAAACAAAGGAACTAATGTCGCAATGGAGTATATCGCATGATACGCCACGGTCACGTTATTACCGCTCGCTACCAGGCAGATGAAGTATATGATCTGCAAGATGGGACCGGCAAGCGTCGCCATCAAAGTGGTGAACGACACAAATAGAGGTCCGCGATATCTCTTGGTCACCTCATCAGATTCCTCCAGGCCTGCCGCGGCGCTCGGCGGGTATTCGCCTCCCACGCCAAATCCCGCTATACCTCTAGTGATAACCATGAACCAAAGCATGTTATGCGATGGATGCACCTGGAGAGCGAGAGTCGACATCAACGTGCCTATGGTTACCAAGGAAGACGTCACAAGCAAGCCACCTCGTCGAGAGAACAGGTCCGACGTGAAACCAAACACGACAACTCCCAGGATCGCCCCGACTATAACTGAATTGCTCATCCGAGTTTTCATATCAGACGAGTAGCCAGTGCCAAGAAGTTTCTTGAAAATTACATTAGTAGGATTAGCAAGCGAGTTTTGCAGTCCGTCGCTGAAATTGGCAATATACTAGGATCAGTCAGTGTCGGAATATAGGGCAATATTTTTTTTACAAGATTCAGTTGACATACACAGCTCACGATCGTGACATTGCTCTGCCACTTTGCCGGATGCCATCTCGCGAGGTCGTTTGCCCCAACCTCCGTGTCATTGACGGCGGCTTCCTGCGATCTGACAACTTTTTCTTGCTCGTGGGGCGCCTCCATCCTGCTCTTCGGCGGATCGCAAAATCTCCAGCACGGGAAGAGCCCACATTTTATCAGGTCAAAAAATTATTCTGAAGATCCACTTTTGATAAGATACCATCGGAGGCCTCCGTATGTAACAAGTTGGTCAAAATCCGCACTAATCATAGGTCGATTGCAGACTTTCTCCGCGGAATTGTGCTGCACTATTCAAGTAAGTCGCCAATCTTGCTAGCATTTGACAAACGAAACTGGTCATTATGCACCAGCCTTCCGCTAGCCTAACGACAATCGTCTCGGGCATTCATAATTGAGCACGAGCGGGCGACTCGGAGGCCACTTCCACGGCTTTCGGCAGTACCCGTTTTTGATCCACATTGAATCATTAATCATGCGGTGTTTTCTCCGAAAATCTCAGCCCCGTGGCGGATCGTGGGTGGTTCTAATAATGAATTCCACAAGCGCTTTCTTCCCTTCTGGCTTAGTAGGTACCTCCGTATGCATTGCGCCGCGAATGTTCTGCCTTCGGACATCTAGACCTAGCGACTTGCCCTGATGCTCCAGTTGTTCTGCAACAGTGGGAGGTATGACTTCATCGTTTTCAGGCGACAAGATCAATATTGGAGGGACCCTGCAGTCCGCGGTTTGCGGTACCCCCCGACTTTGGTCCACTTTTTGCGATCGCAAGGCCGCGAGGCGCTCCAAGTTGGTATAGTTGCACCAGGAATTCCACGAAAACGGCCAAAGATATCGATAGGGGAGCCATTTCTGCGGATACAGGCTGATCAACATATCCTTAATGTTGGATATCGGAGCCTCCATGATGAGCCCTCTGATCGGGGCCCGGTCCTCTTCTCTAGCGTGTGTAGCATTTTGAGATAGGCGCTCTAATAGGGCGGAAGCAGCAACCGCGGCGCCAAGACTATGACCCCAGAGGACGATCTGGCACGGAGAGAAGCGTTCTGAGACATGCATCAAGAATGCCTGTGCATCGGCCTCGATCCCTGACTGGGTCGCACGCCCTGAAGAAGTCCAGTAGCCGCGGTAGGATAACGCGGCGACTGTATAGCTTGTCTCGTCAGGGAAGTGCGGGCATCTCCTAATGCTTTCAAAACCTGTGATAGCAGGGGTAATCGAAGAGGTGTCGATCCACCATTGCCCTGAAAGTAGCAGATCACAACTGAGTGTCTCACTTTACCGGGCGTGGCGCTGCTGTGACCAGGTGTGGCTGGAATGTAGCCTTGACATAGCGCCAGCTTGGTGTTATCTAAACTTCGAATGGTATGCTCGCTCCAAAGAACTGGCCGACATTCAGACTCGTACTCTGAAATCTTGTCGGACCTTGAGAACGGTGGCAGCCAGGAGAGGTATAAGAGCTTGTTCTGCATTATTATGATCCACATGCATTTCCAGGTCCAGAGCGAGAGTAGGAGCCCCACGAAAATAGCGGGGGGGATCAGAAAGGGGGGTAGAGACTCGGTGAACAAAGGCCTCGAAAACCGGTTTCTGCTCCATCTTGCTGGATCGGCGTAGGGAGAAGGCCTCTTCTGCGTCCTAGTGATATGAATAAAGGGGGCGTTGCTCCGGAGAACGCGAATCTCTGGCCGACCCGGCTGCTCTCCGGTCGCGTCGCTAGTGAGATGGCCTCCCTGAGTCCCAAGGAGCGCATTGCCGAACCAAGCGACCTTTCTGTTCGAGCCGCTAATCGCCCTTAATCGGAGACAGCTGACAAGTGACCACAGGCGACTTGGATTGGGAATGAAGAATAGTTTTCTGGCGGTTTCCCACGCGGTCATGACTAATGCGTTCAGATTGCGTCGCGGCGAGAATATGCAACGGCACAACACTTTGAGAACACCCAAAGACGCTGTAGTGGAAGACCTAAAACATTGTAGAGACTAGAAAATCAAGGGCCATGTATGTCGCTTGTCACTTAAGATTTTGGTTCCTTATGAAAACCGCCGAATTATACAACTTTTTATCACGGGCAGTAGTAATGATGGTCTAAGCTTTTAGGTTATATGACTTGCTATCTTTCCATACCTGCTCTGTCCAGAGATGGTTTTGTGAGCCTGTCTTCGATTCAATATCAATACCAATGTCTTTAGCTTTATAGCGATAACATCAAGTGTTTGTAAGCCGCTTTCTTGCAAAGATACACCGCAGATAGCTGTGTCCAGGGCACTGAGCCGATTGGCGATGTCCTGAAGTTCATCAGTGAATGAAGCTATAATAAAATGAGGAGATTCCAGATTGAAACCACTTGGTATCTGGCGTAGTGAGAGGTGGATACGGTTAGGAATCAAAAAGTTGGGACTTCGGATGAGTGGGGGACCACAGGCCCTAAAAAGGCCGAAGTTAGAGGCCTTCTAAGTTTATAAATGTCGAAATTTGGCCGATGATGTGTCCAATTAGCGGCATATCGTAACTGCGGACGCTTTGGGGCATGCATTTTAGACAGGGGGTAAAAAATGCTTCAGGCGCCTTTCGTCTGCGCCATCAGCGGCTGAAGCCTTCGAACTCCCTCGGGCTCTTCCAGTAACACCCTACTGTCCGGGCAGGGCTTCGGTATCACGCGCAGCGAGAAGCTGATCGACTAGTGACATGAACCATGCCTACTACAGTTCCTCTTAGTTACAAAAGAAGACCCCTGGCTCTCAGTCTCTTTCTGTCGTACAGTTTTATTTTCAAAGACTGTGGTCAACGAATCGCTCACAATTTATCTTATCGTCAATAGCAGTCGTCAGTAGGTTTCAATTTTTCCCTTCTTTTATCTTTTAGGACTCATCTCATGCTTTTGAAAGGTTAGTAGTGATGCGTGATACCTGAGTTATTACTACAACATTCAAGTGCGGTCACACTGTCACGAAGCCCAAACCACTCCCATGCCCTCATCATCCACAGCCTTGGCCTGAAAGGTACATGGGGAGCTCCAGACATCGCCGGAGCACCAAATGGACACTAGCAATGTGAGCCTCGCTGAACGGAGTCGTCGTGGCTTGCTTAAGGGATTTGAGGAACAAAAGATAGCACCAAGTCTTTCTCTGGCCATCTGCGTTTCCTACAGAAGGTGTGGAGCCAAGTCAGGCTGAACTGGAAACTGTCAATATATTCTACCTCTAAATTCTACTGGTCGAGATGGATGTGAAGGATCATGCATGTCTTTCTATTGCACAGCGTCAATAAGTGATCCTTCCAGGGTAAGCATAAGACCGAAAACATGGCCTCGAAGATCCTCATGCTGATGTGAGAACCTCCTGAAAGTAGTATATTTTTAGATGCTATATTAAAACTAGTGTCGTTTTAAATTCACGTGATCAAATGTACATGGAATACGTCGTTGCCCCTTTTCATCCCTTTAGTCTTCTCAACGAGCCAGTCGCCGTGGGCTGCGTGTAATAGAATGTTCCGATTTTTGATATCCTGCTGGTCGCTCATATGTTCGTCCGTGCACGGCGCTACATTCTACTCGAATTGAATTCTTTCGTCAGGTTGTTTCTAAGCTCAATGGAAACCAGCATTCAGAAGCTGAGCAAAACTCCTTGGAATCGACTCGACATTCCCGATTCATATCTGGCTACGCAGATACAACCCTTACGATCCAATATCAGAATGACCTTGAAATTATTGGGGTAGGAGCTGCGGGCCAAGTGTATGCTGTCAATGAGCACACAGTCTTGAAGGCATGCAGAATTTACGAGCCTCCTTCACCTAATGCCACTGCAAGGGTGCTTTGGGACTATTCTTCGGAGACTGTGTTCCACTATGTGATCTTGAAAGACGAAAGGGAGGTCTTGCAGTTACTTGCGGATCATCCTCATCCAAATATCATCGAAGTAATTGACGTGGACCAGCCCGAGGGTATCTATCTTCGTAAATACCAACAGTTTTCTGATTTGATGCCCGCACCACAAATGGAACGGATTCTATGGTATCAAGAAATTCTACGGGCTCTTTCACACCTTCACGAGCTGGGTATCACCCATTCAGACATTCGGATTGACAATATTCTATTTAACTTTGAACGCCATGCATTACTCAGTGATTTCGGTGCCAGCTGTCCATTTGGCTACCCGAATCCATCTTTACTCCTTCTCATGAATGGAGTCTCTGACGTGGTATCTGATGTGACAGACCGCTTTGCAATGGCTTCCATGATCTACGAGCTGGAAACCGGGGGACGCCCCGATATCTCCATTAATAGCAGCAAGGAATTATATTTCCCCACCGTTCAGACTGGAGACGTGGTTCTCGACGCTTTGATCCAGAATGCTTGGCAAGGATCCTTTGATTCCACGCTTGCAATGTTACGACATGCAGAAAAACTTGGCTACGGAAGGGACATTCGCCAACCGACTATGCATTCTGTGTCCAAGACAGAATTACGGGAGCAGGTACTATTATGGCGAACTGGCCGAATCAATAAATATGGTAACAAGCCTATGTTGTTCGAGATATTCAGGGAACTAACTAGGCTTTTGGTCAGGGTGTGTGCTTTTCTCTCTGCTGACCGAGAGCCAAATACAAGCTCTGGCAGAACGTTACGGCTGGCAGCCGCGACGAGCGACGATTTGGAAGCCGGCCCCTACTGCCCCTCCCCACATCGACAAAGATCAATGAACCATCAGCCGCACAGAATAACCGAGAGACCGCAGCAGGCTAACAAGTTCAGTCTATTAGGGCTCTCCAGACTCTTCTTCCCAGAGGACAGCTTGCATTGATCGCTTCAGAGCTCACTTCAAGTCCACGGACACTATAAAAGTCCCCTTCCTCCTGTGTGGACTGACTTTTCCTCCAATTTTGCTACCGAGGCTGATGACCAAGTGCCGGAAATCATATTCTCAAACTTAACTGGCATCAAAACGCGGAGTAGCTAGTGGGAACGACTTCTGACCCACCACTAGTACCGCCAGCGTCACATCCTTTTATGGATGTACAGTATGCACAAGGTACCTTGACATTTTTTCGCTACAATGGAGGACCAAGAGTCGTGACTTGCGGGCTAAATGGTATGATATAATTAAGGGCCGAGTTCAGTGACATATAACTGCCTTCTATTATAAGGCCTAATGCTCAGATGAATCTATTAAATCCACAGGAAAGCGATAGTCATCTAGCTTCTCCATCGTGAATGATATCGGCAACATGATTAGCTATTCCTAGCCTGGGTTTATTTTCTAGCTAAGGGTTGTAAAACTTTTGCGTATAAGGACAAGAGGCACCCCCTTCAGATACTTCATTATGCCGAACCGGCATGTTTAATTCAACACAACTGGAAGCGGTATGCGTTTTAGAGGTGATATTGGCGAGGATCTTCAGCGTCGACGTTGACTCCCAATCTCTGCCACATTGCTTCGACGTTCATATCCTCTCGGCCACTGGCATTTTGAGTCAGTACATGAGTCATTGATTCGGGATGTAAGCCTTACTTGTGACTTTCGCTTATCCAAGGCTCTGGCTGGCCTGCTTCTGGGTTGGGATTGCGGAACTTGATATTGTAGGACTATGTCATTCGATTAGATATGCTGGAACCGAGAGGCTTACTCGGTTGTAGATTAGAGCGCACCTTTCCTAATGTGAGGTGAATACCGGCAGGGGCCTTCACGAATGTCTCTTCCGGCTCTCGGTTTTCTATCAAAGCTCGGATGTTGTTGGCCACCACGGACGCATGGGAAGATGCCGGTCGAGCAGCCTTCTGGTTCCCCGTATCCGCGATATCTCCGACCGCGAAGATGTTGGAATACTGTTCATCCAGGAGTTGCAGCGTAGGCCTGACACGGAGATACCCATTGTCAGGGTTAATCACAGAGGGCGCATTCGGCGAAGAAGCCAAGTGCGCAACGAGCTGGTTATTAGGCGTTTGCCCCGTAGCCAAAATGACAAACTCGGTAGACTCGGTCGTGCCATTGGTAAGCTTCACATCAAAAGCGCTGCCATCTTGTGGGAACCCGCCCGGGGGAATCTGCACCCGAGTGTCTGTGATAAGCTTAATGCCGAGCTCCTCGAAACGTCCCTTGATCAGTTCGTGCAGCCGAGGATGGAAGTTAGGCATGACGCGTGCGCGCGATTGTACCAGCGTGATGTGCTTTTCTGGGTAGAATTCTTTGAGATCGGTGGCCATTTGGATGCCGACCGCGCCCCCGCCGACAAGCAAAATCTTGCTTGCTCGCTGAATCTGCTCTTGGTGTTGCTGCAGATAGGTGACAGAGGAGAGCTTGTCATCCTTTTCCATCGCCGCGGGTTTGGACAGCCGCGTCCCTGTTGCAAGAACGACAAAGTCGTACGGGATCTGCTTTGAGCCCTGCCAGTCGCGATCCAATTCGATGTGTTGACGTTGGACCGATGTCACACGAGCCTGCACCACCGCATGAGTGGTTGGATTGGGTACGTCCGAGAAGATGCTGGTGTATGGGATAAACGCCTTGTGTTCATAGCTTGGAATCACGGCGAACCGGGGAAACGTGAAGAGATGGTGGAAATGACTGTGCGCTTCGGTCAAAAGAACCTGTTTCGAGGTGAGTGGGGATTATCGAGTTGGATACTGCTGGAGCGACAAACCCTATGTGTTGAGGGTAAAACCCGAGCAAGCTCTCGGGCTGTGTTCTATATTCCGTTAGCCGCTCTTTCGCTGTTTTACTGTTCCAGAGTCATACTGTTCCAATGAACGAGCCACCGATGACGATGATATTGCGGAGTGAATTGCCTGCCATTTTGATTTCGAAACCTGAAAATAACTTCTGAGGGACTGGTGGCACAGCTGCTCTTTAAAGCGCGACCTGAAATCTGCGCCGGCAGTGCCTCCGGGTTATCTGATCGGATCTGATTAGTTAACTCCGAGCGGCCTTTCCTACTCTGGAATACCCCGAGGCGGGTAAGATTACATCCGCCTCGGCTTTAGACCAAATCTGATCGCGCCACTGTGAAGCACTCGGATTTGCCTCGGATTTGCATGGTTCACTTTCAAATACACTCATCATCACGAGACACGGCAATTCTTAGGTTCAGAAACCATTCTGCTTTCCGAATACCTTGGCTTGCAACAGCTGCTAGTATTTTGATACATGATCCTTTCCTTCGCCGCAAGTACTTTTGATAGATTGTCCAATAATTCCCAAATAAACACAGAAACAAGAAAAAGCACCCAAGTCAATACCAAGGAATACCTATACCCATATAGTCTAAACAGACACTGAACCGTGGAAGAGAAAGATATGGTTCAGGGTCACTGACCCTGAGGAGGCTTCAGTTGCCATCAACTCGAACAGCACTCCGTGGTCTCGGAATCTCATGTCTCTCGTTTCTCTCATTTGAATGTAATCTGAACGATCTTCGCGGGCTCCATGAATGTGCCCAAGACCGGGGCCACCTGTCCGCCGCTGGTCCCAACGTAAAGAGTCTTTTCATCGTCCGTCAAGCGACAGGACGTAGCCCCCGGGATCTTGGTAGAGAGTTGACCACCGGCCACCAAGGAGATTTGCCCGGAGGGTGTGACTCGGACCACCGAGTTCTGAGGGTCGGTGGCGATGTAGGCAGTGCCATCCTTCGCGATGTCGAGGTTATCGGGCAAGAATCCACTGGCAATGATCTCAAAGTCGCCAGCGGCGGTTCCGTCATCATTGAGTTTGACTCGTCCGTACTGCATGCGCGTCGTGCTGGAAAAGTACATATATCCGTTCAAGACCTTCAGCCCATTGACGCCCAAGGGTAGTGGCACTCCCTCAGCTGGCGTCATCGCCGTATCGTTCAAGGCGACCTTGTATTCGCCCGACTTGATATCAACTTTCCACACAGCTCCTATCGGGCTGTCAGCGATGAGCACCAAGTTCGATTCCTTAGTGAAGGTGGTCATTCCGTTGAGAGCTTGCGCCTCCGGGACAGCCGCAATCACCGAGGCAGCCGGGCCAGCAGAGACCCGCTCATTGCCTGCCCCTGCCTTGTTGAAATCCAGCTTCTGAACGGAGAAGGAGCCTGCAGTTGGGGCGTAGGTCTTAGTCGAGAAGTTTCCCACCACGACGGCGAACACATCGTCGTCGATCTCACTGATGCCAAAGCAGCTGGTTGCATTTGGGAACGAGTGTGCGACCGAGGCATTCCCCGTCTTAGGGTCTACAGACCAGACCTCCGGGGCGTCGAGGAGAGTAAAGAGCAAGTTGCCGTTTGAGCGAAGCACGACGTTGTCGATCCAAGACCCGTTGTTCGGAAACTGGAAGAGCGTCTTCACTTCAACTTCAGGCTGAATGTTCTTGGTCGGGGGGGGCGGTCGTGTTGCGATGATGGAGAGGGAATTTCGATCCCAGGACGCATGGCAAAGATGCCAGGAGGCCTACCAAAGCGGTGGAGATTTGCATATTGAACAGTCCAAATACGCTAAGCGTGTCAAAGCGAGGCGGCTAATGGTCGATCAATGGAAGTATGGAAGTGCACTATCTTCTCTGCTTCTTGCAGCAGCATTGAGGCAAAAAACACTGAGATTTGGTAGATTTGCAGAGCATTCTTACTGTTCACGTTGTTTATCTCCACCTTATCCCTACATTCTTCGCGTGGTGATATCCATGACGGTTCCTATTGGCTTGGCAGTGTTAATGCCGAAAGAAAAGATTCGAGGGGGCAATTGCCTGTCGTCAATAGCAAAGACCCTTTTTTTGTTTTTCATTTTTCATTTTTTTTTATTTTTTTTATTTTTTTTTTATTTTTTTTTATTTTTTTTTTTTCCTGTTTCCTTTAGATAGTGTTGGGAGTAATCGGAATAAATTCCGAGCTGATCCAGAGAGGGACGGATTCTGCTGGGTACATGTTGTTTCAATTGCACATCAAAGTCTCACCTTTAATTAATGCCACGGGGGACTGTCGCTCCGACTTATACTAGCAGGTGATGCCTGCAGATATCAGTATTGTTGGCCTGCTCTGGGTGTTGTGAGTTATCCCCAGATTTGGAGTTCTCGGGTCTAAACCTTTGTGGAATCCAGCAACCTCCGTGGCAGGATTCTCTTCTGTAGGCAGCATGATTCTAAACTTCGAGAAAAAAAACGAAACAAAAACGAAGGTCTCCAAATTAAATATGGTATCCATTGACATAGTTTGCTGGCTCTATCAGTCACGTTCGCGTGAATACCAGTCAGGGTCAGCTATATATCCGTAGTGAGGACAAGCAGAAACGATGTAGCCGTATGACAAACATCCCACAAGATCTAATCGGTATGCCTAACCACCAGCTGTAATTAAAGGTTTCTGCATTACTGATAGATAGATCGTCAATCGATGCCCAAATTGTACCTGTATTTCATTGCAAGTTCCACCTTGCAAGCTTCCAAGGTCCATCGATGCGGAGTAGGCGGACCCACAAATATAGCCGATATAGCCGATAGCCTTTATAGCCCACGGCCACCCAAGCAGCCTGTTGCAAAGCATAACCACCAAGCAGCCTATTGATCATGGAGACTAACCCCGAGCGACCAAGGACGCGCGCGAGAAAGGCCTGTCTGGCATGTAACGCGCGGCGGGTACGCTGTAATGTGGTCGAGACGCAGCCATGCCGGAACTGCGTGGCGTGGAACCTTGCATGTGAGCTTGGAGTCTCACGGCGCGGAAAGTAAGGCAAATATATGAAGGACTGGGTAGGATTGGTACCTTCAGGCTGACAGCGGCGTAGGTATCCACGCCGGAAGAAGACTGGCTCCACGGGGGAGCCGCAAGGGTCGATATCGGCGGTGCCGACGAGCCAAGAGTGTTCGAGGGAGCGACGTACTCTGGAAGGAACCAATCACGCCCAGTACATCCCTTCGGCGCGTCACACTCCAACCGATGACAGCATTCACCGAACCGTATTTTTGGGCGAATCAAGTCCATTGACCTGCGTTGTCGACGAGGGCCAAAGATCGCCCGATAAAGGCTATGCACGCAATATGCAACAGGGCCGCCTGCGCTACTCGATCTCCGAGAGGAGTGGACCAGCTGAATGGAGCAACGATCAACACCGAAAGCTGCTTCAAGATCGGCTGGTTCGGGAGAGCGCATTGGTCTTTCCGTCGCCTGCGGTCTGCGACACGTTCCTGCAAGCCTACTTTGACTGGTTCCATCCATGCTTCCCGGTATTGGACCGCAGGAGAGTCGAACATGACTACAAGGAGAAACAGATATCGCCCTTGCTATTGCAAGCGATGCTGTTCATCGGCGTCAGTATCTGCTCGGATTCGGCGCTGCAGAAAACGGGATTTAGCGATCGCTACCGGGCAAAGGGCGTTTTCTACCAGCGGGCGAAAGAGATCTACGATGTCGGGTGGGAGACGGAAACTATCGTCAAACTGCAATCATTGTTTCTCTTGAGCTTCTGGCGTGGAGGTCCCACCGAAGAGCGTGATGTTCGATTCTGGCTGGGCGCAGCTATAGGCTTAGCCCAGAAGAAGGGGATGCATGTGATGTCAGTTGGTCTTCATTTCAGCGAATTGCATATCTGTTCCTGGTTGACGATCGAGATGTTAGGTCCAAGTTGTCCTTTTTAGGCGCCCAGGATCTGAAGATTTGGAAAAGGATATGGTGGGCTCTTTACGTGAGTTGCGCAAGCGGTCCGCCGGTGTTGAGATGAAGCTGACGATAAGACCAGATCCGAGACCAGCAAACGTCAGCAGCACTAGGACTCCCATCACGAATCCGTGATGAAGACTGTGAAGTGGCCGATCTTACCATGACAGACCTCGAGGAAGACGGCGAACATGATCCTTCTGAGGTTTTCCGGAGGCCGCCCCCGGCTCATGTGGCATATGTGATTGGGATGGCTCAACTGGCCAGGCTGTGTATGAACCATGCCCCTACAAGAAGACGAATCTCATGACTGACATGGTTTGCAGTACGAGAGGTGGTGTCGACCCAGTACTTACCAGGCGGAGAGAGCCCCGATAGTGCATCTCGTTCCATGCTTCACCAGCGCTTGGTGGGTTGGGAGGCCAACCTACCCCCTGAGATGCAATATCCGACCTCGGCGGAGAGAGAAGTGATGTTCTTAGTAGGAATGCTGCATATCACCTATAAGTGAGTGACTTGGTGCTGGGCGAGTTCCATCGGAGCCGGACTAATCATGGAAATCAGCTACCTTTATTCCTTGCTGTACCGGTCAATATTCTTGAAGCCTCTTGGCGAGACCATGAGTGCGGAGGGCAATATTGCTTTGGAGGCAGCAACTCGAAGTACAAGGATCTTGGAGGATATGCTTTCCGAGAACCTGGTGCAACACGGGCCTCTTCATGTGTGAGTTGCGCAGGGTTGCAGAACATTGGTCGATGGGTAAACTGACATCGCGGAAAGGATCACGCACACTTTCTCTGCTCTGTGCATCCACACGATTCACTTCGGCCGGGCTGCCGGTACTGCGCGGAAGCTTGCTGAGCATCGCGCAAAGCTGTGTCTTTTGGGCTTGAAGGAGCTTCAGAAATCATGGGACCTGGAGAATTGGGTTCTAGATCTTTTCTTTCGTTCACTGGATGACCGCACCGCTCGAGACCTTCGATTAGCGGATACCACTCCATCCTCGGCACTGCCACGCCAGCCACCAAATACGCCCGACGTGCTGGGATCGTCCGATGTCGACCGCGCCAATACCTCGGCAGGACCCCTTCCGGCCACCGAGAGCGAGCCTTTCCACGGCGAAGCATATCCCTCTGCCCTTCCTGTCGACGATGGATCGGTCAATATGGATTGGTACGAGCTATTTAATGTCGAAGGAGATGACCTCTTGGGCCTCCCGAATACATTGACCAACCCGGACTACGTGAACCCGCGGAATCTGGAGTTTCTGTATCGGTTCCTATAAAAGGAGAGATTTCGGAGGTGTCTTAGGCTGTCCTGTTATGCAAGTGCGGTTTTACGCGGGGGTTGCAGCAGACGGACCCGTTTGGCCCCGCCTCGCAAGTTAGTGGGGGCAGGGGCATGTCACTTGTAGATTGTCACATCCCTGTGTGCGAGACGGTGACTTCATCTCGCATCATGGGGTTCTTGAATGCAACAGAAGATTCGATATTGTGGAATGCTGGAGAATATTCCCTCGCCCGGGGGAGACTGACTGTCATCGCTGTTTGCGGAGGGGGATATCCAGGCCCCCGACCAACTCACGGTCCAGGGACATCCTTATCCCGGATCTGCATAACAATGCACAGACCGCAGTGCCGAGTGCCGGGTTCTGGAACGTCTTACGAAGTACGAAATGGAGAGTCACTGGGAGAGAATCCACGTAAAATGGGGGTGCCTGGTCCTGAAACTTGGCCCGAGCGCCCCGGGCCCAGAATGACGTACCTGACGCATCCGCGAACTCTTTTTTTCAGCATTCGATCTGTACACCACACCCTTTGTCTCAGATTTAAGGGGAAATACTTGTGAGCCCCGAAGGTCGCTTCATCTCACCCAATCGCCTAAATCTTCCCATCTGCCAAACCCTCCCAACTCGTCGGAATCGCGAAAAGGAATGCTGCCCCGGAAGGGACCGGATATGGATGTCCCTGGTACCTGCATCGACTCCTGCATGAGCGCTATCACTCGGACCTTGCATTGTCACAGCCCTGGGTAGCTTTGTGCACTTGGTCTGCCTATGAGAAGTCGATCCCAGGACGCCGGACCAGCGTCTCTCAATGCGGGCCCCGGGTACCTGAACCGGGCCCCTCCCCTCTTCCGGCCTTCAGCCACCTGGCTTGCGCGTCCCAGAGTGAGCGATTGGCCAGGGCAATGCTAAGCATTCTACGACCGCTGAATTGAGGATGGATTGACTGCATCCGACCATTCACAACGGAGCATTGGAGACGGTCACGTCATGTGGAATTGAAGGGCTGGAGACAGGCCCGCGGTCGCTGATTCAGGATCGACCCGACCATGACCCCCGAGGCATCATGCGTTTTTGCCACAACTCGCGTGCCTGCCAATCTGATTCGCAAATTGAGGTGGTGATCGGGGCTCTCTATTCTTAGTTCGGCGAAAACCGTGACGCTGCGTAAAATGCGAGGCTTCCTATATAACGCGGGAGCGCCCCAGGGTGCCGATCGCCTCAGGAACCATCCAATCTATATAGTCTTGCAAGCATCTTACTGCTTCTACCTCCACACCATCAATTTTCTCCACCTTCCATCCTCCAGCTAACTCTGCTCGACTGAATCTATTCGGTCTGCCATTTTCCTATCAATCCCACATAATGCCCGCATCACGATCATCCAGTGAGCGCACTGCGCTCATCGAGGTGGAGGACAGCCCAAACATGGGCCTCCACACCAAGGCGGATCCGAACAGGGCCCTCTATGAAGCCCAGCCAAGTAAGAATGCCCCAGTAAAATCCGTACGTGCGCGCTGGAGGTGACCGTGACTGATTTGTCCAGTGGCCTTCACCAACCAACCCGCCACCATCGATTCCCATTCGCTGCGATTAATGCAACACAAGGACCGGGAAGGCCGGATCATTAGTGAGTTGGGCCTTCTTTACTCTCCATCTCAATGTCGCATGACTCACCCTTCCATAGCTGATCCCGACCGTTCGAACCCTACTCGCCACCGCCTCGAGAGACCTTTGGACACCATCCGATCGTTCGAAGCCGCCATTGAGGCCCACCGCAAGCAAAATCGGGCGTAATGGACGTCATGGGAGTTGGAATGCGAATACGGCGAAACGGGTTTGAACGATGGATGTTTAATGATACCTCATGTTATTTAGGAATTTCTTGTGTATTACTATTGAATTGTATCAATGATTCCAGTGCCTACGCAGTACTGCTTCCCACGGTCAGGTGATCCCCGCGTCAAGTAGCAGCCCGACTGCGCCTCTCGCCCGTAACGAGGATTCGAGATGTCCACTTGAAGTCGCTCGACCACACTTCAGCCGCGTTGCCAAGACAGGCACGGCCCTCGCAAAGACCCTTGACACGCCACCCCTGGGCCTACACTGGTATGCCAATGCGGGGCAATCAGTAGAATTCGCACAGGTTGGGTCCACACGATCTAAAAATCTTGGCACGCAGCTGCCAGATTCTAGCGCTCAGGAAGAAGCAGCGATTGGCCTTTGCCCCGGATTTTCATGGGGGGATCTTCAGGAACATGCGAACTCGTGGTGCAACTCCTGATGCGCGATTCATAGCTTACAGTAGCTTCCTAGGATAGGGTTGTGAGCTGCGAGACAACAATGCCGAGCGTACTCAGCCCCTGAGGACGGGTTGGTAGCTCATCTAGGCGAGGCCAAGAGCGCGCGCGCCTTGGCTACAATGACTAGATTTGCCAATGAATTATCCGAGTCTCCAGTTCGAGTCTGCTATTTGCCAATACGTCCAAAAGGCCAAGCATCATTGCAAAACAGGCAATTCCCAAGACATCTTTGGACCATAGCGTCGATACCAAGAGCAAACCCGAGAGAGGGAGCTTCCCTTGAAACACGACCAAGAGAAACTAGAACCTGGGCGAAGAGGAGCGCCTTGCCGACGTGGATGCGGGCCCCACCACCGCGTCAGCTTCAGCATTCTCCTTTCCCACCAACGCTCTTTCCAACGAGACAATGGTGCGCTTCTCGTTTCGTCTAAAGATTTTACACTTTTTTTTTTCCTAAAAAAAAAAAAATGATTGCCTAGCGGGGAGTTCTCCTGTCTTCACCAAAAACTCGATCTCTGCACCACCCAAAAATAATGCCTCAGTGCCACTAATTTAGTTCGTGGCGCCCCTAGCGAAACTTGGCTTCGACGAACCCACAGAATGCCCACCTATAACACACCGTGATTGGACGTGGAGGCATTAGCTCAGACGCTAACAAATCTACTCGGCCTTCGCGCCATCCAGCAACCAGCCCTAAATCGCCGGTTGACGCGGTCTGTATCGTGTCTTGCAGAAGAAAGTGACATCTGCTCGCCAGTGATAGGCCCAAGGGCAGAGTGGGACGGCAACAGTCCCGAGCTACTAATCTTGGAGTCTCCGTAGTACGTGGCCTCGATGAAGGGAAGCGAATGGGTGAGAGCTGCCCAGGAGGGGGGTGGGACTGGATTAGGGGCCGGTATAGAGAGGAGCCTAGTCTAAAGGCCTTTTGCCTTCAGCCTGGGGGGGTTTTCTTGTAACAACTTCGTTCTTCACCCTCTGCTTGCATCTACACACTCGTTCAATATCCTTTCTATACACCTACCCTTTCTAGCTTGATGCCCAAGGAGGCCGGCTAAGCCACTCTTTTATCCAGTCGTTCCATATTGCTCTTTGGCGGGTTTTCTTTCTCAAGATGAAGTTGTCGCTCTTCGCAATGGCCACCGTTATAGGGGCTGCGGTGGCCGATTTGGACCCTATTATCATCAAGGTACAGACTTCGGGAGACTTGGCACTCTACCGAGACCTGCACTGACTTATCCCCTAGGGCTCGAAATTCTTCTACTCCAGCAATGACACCCAGTTGTAAGTGGCCCTCGGTTACAGATTGGGGAAAAGAACATCAACTGACGTTGGACAATAGCTTCATGCGTGGTGTCGCATACCAGTGTATGTGCAGATCCCTGAGGAAATCGGTAGTCCCCTAACACCCTGAACAGACTCCCAGACCCAAGATCCTCTGGCGGATGCTGCTGCGTGCAAGCGTGATGTTCCTTATATGCAGCAGCTGCGGACCAATGTGATCCGAACTTACTACATCGATCCCACTGCCGATCACAGCGAGTGTATGTCGCTGCTGGCCGACGCGGGCATCTACGTAGTGTCTGATCTGTCGAGTACCACAGAGGCCATTAACCGCGATGACCCCGAGTGGAATGTCGCTCTGTACGATCGCTACACCAGCGTCATCGACGAGCTGTCGAAGTACAACAACACGATTGGTTTCTTTGCTGGCAATGAGATCGCCAATTCTCAAAACACTACCGATGGTATGGCCTTCATCAAGGCCGCCGTCCGCGACATGAAGGCGTACATCAAGGAGAAGGATTACCGCCCCATGGGTGTTGGATACGCCTCTGCTGATGTCGCGTCTATTCGTGTAGCACTCGGAAACTACCTGGACTGCGGTACTGAGGCGGATATAGTCGATTTCTACGGTTACAACATTTACTCCTGGTGTGGGGACTCTAGCTACCAGGCCTTGGGCTACAAAGCCCGCACCGAGGAGTTTGCCAATTACACTGTCCCCGTTTTCTTTGCTGAGTACGGTTGCAACGAAGTCCAGCCTCGTACCTTCACCGATGTTGCCACTCTCTACGGAGACGCCATGTCCCAGGTTTGGTCTGGTGGTATTGTTTACATGTACTTCCAGACCACCAACGATTACGGTATTGCCCCCTCCTCCCCCCCAAACCCCAGGGTGTTCTGACATGAAAGAGCGACTATATTAACTTTCACATCTTCTAGGTCTGGTCTCCGTCGTCGACAACACCAGCGTTAGCACTATGACCGACTTCCGCTACTACTCCAAGCAGATCGCCGCCGTCTCTCCATCCGGCACCAACAAGGCCTCTTACACCCCCACCAACACCGCCCTCCAGGACTGCCCTGCCATTGCCTCCTCCTGGGAGGCCGTCGCCACTCCTCTCCCCCCAGCCGCAGATCAAAGCCTCTGTGACTGCATCTATGACGCCGCTGCATGTGTCCCCGACGGCAGCCTGTCCACGGCCAAGATGGGCCAGCTCCTCGGTGTTGTTTGCGGCTACACCGACTGCGGCGGCATTGACGCCAACGCTACCACCGGCAAGTACGGCGCATACAGCATGTGCGGAGTGAAAAACCAACTCGCTTTTGCCTTGGACAAGTACTACGGCGAGCAGTCCAGCGCCGCCAGCGCTTGCAGCTTCTCTGGTTCCGCCAGTACCAAGGCTACCACCGCTCCGACTGGCGCTTGCTCGACCCAGATCAAGCAGGCTGGTGCCGCTGGAACGGGCTCTGTGAGCGCCCAGGCTACTGGGAATGGCGGCTCTGGATCTTCCGAGACCTCCACGTCCCACAGTGGTGCCGCGGGCTCTATCTACCAGGCGTCGTCGTTCAGCTCTTTCCAGATTGCTGCTTACACCGGCGTTGCCGTTCTTACTGGAATGGGCATGATTCTTCTGTGATTATCTTAGCCTGTGGTTGGGTGTTCGACAACTGTTTCGGTGTTATCCTGTTTCCATTCTTTATATTTGACATTTCCTAGTGATAGGCCAAATATAGTTTTTCCCCGCCTTTCTTTACCTGCCATACGGCGTTATTTAATATGAGATCGTGTATCCGTAGAAATTGACGTATTCTGAAGATTTACCACTTCGATGGGAATTATGATCATATCCTAGCAAGCTTTGCTCAATGGAATTTAGACCTCTGAGTGAAGCAGTTGGTTAATCTGGCTGCCAGTCGCATCAAGTCTACGTTGTATCAACAAGGAGGAATGGTTTAGCGTTGGACTGTCCGAAACCTGCAAGTTCAGTGTTACCACTTCGCTATTCGTTCATATACTAGAGCCTCTAGATACAACATTGTAGACCCCTGGCTGATCCTATGGCTCTCTACAACTTGTTTAGTGTATATTTATAGTGCAGAAGAATGGGAAGCAACCAACACCGCGCAGCTATCTGTTTGAAGGAGAATGCAAAGCCGAGTGTAGGTCTGACGTACCGTTTCCCTCCAATGGGTAAAATTTTACACATGGTAGTCCAGATTACGGCCAAAAACAGGGATGAAAGCTTAAGTGATGAGACCTAACATGGGAAGAAATTTGGAAACGGCTAACTAAATCCAGGAGTTGTATGTTTGTTCTGCTGCGCAGCTCAAGGTTTAGTTCAAGAGATTAGATATCTTGTAATTCTGGTATGGTGTGGTAACCGAATGGGTTACCCCGCAATAGCGTATTTTAGGCATTTCACGCCCGGAGGAAAAGCTTGTTCATCCGCGGGTACAAGGAAGCAATACTGATACACTACTGGTACAAGTACCAATTCCTATTAAGCATTTTGAATATTACCCCCCAAATGGCTCAATTGGCCCCAACTCGTCCGAGGCCGTCGCTGGCCAGACAATTCGCCAATTTCACCAATTCCACCGCCGGTCTGGACTTGACCCTGCGCCTGTGCCATAGCTTAGTGCTCATCGGCACTGGACTCGACTTGGACTCTTCCATCGTGACCAAATGCGCTGTCGCCGCATCGCAGATCGGGCAAGGTGAGCTTGGGTTCTTGCGGAATAGGTTCATGTCTCATCTAATCTGCTTGCAGGGCGGCGCTATCTCCGCTTATTCGGGTTCCTGGATTGTTTTCAGAATGTCCAAGATATTCTGTCTACAAAGGATGCATTCAGAGACCGCGCAGCCATGATAGATCTGCTCGAGTTCAGCTGCTTGGGAATGTACCTCGGTCTGGAGGGCACGACGATGGTAGGTATCTGTTTTCTTCGCATCAGAATCCCACGCTGATCTCGCTAGTTACACGATATGAACGTCGTTTCGGTTTCGTGGTACACGCCTGTTCTCCTTGAATCTTACAAGTTCTGGTTCTATGCGATTTGTGTCGCGATTGCAAGAACCGTCTCGGTCCTGCTGTTTGGCCCGGCCGTGCCTACTTCTCAAAAGCAGGCTCAGGAGGTTCAGGATGAGAAGAAAGAAAGAAGACCCGCGGAATCCATTCCTGCCAGAGCAGTACCTACTACGTCGTCTCTTTTGAAGCAGCTTCTCATTGACTGCTTGGACTTGACTATCCCGGGGTCCTTACTAGGATGGATGCCCATCAGCGACTTCGCAGTGTCGATTGCCATGTTTGCAAGCACCGTCCTTGCCTGGCCGTCATTGTGGGCAAAAGTGCAACCGTGAGTTATCCGAGGATAGAACAGGGAATTCAATGCATAGGGTCTGTGAGTGGGAAGAAACAAGCTCGGGACTGAATATTGGATATAATATGAAATGACACATTATGGTAGCGAGAATTCAAGGATATTTAAATTGATTCTTCTTCGATTATTTGAATCAACCTTTGCCGGTCCATCCATGACATACGCAGGTGAAGAATAGCCCTTCAACGATTAACAGTCGTAATTTGACCCTCAAAGTGAAGGTCGCCACCTCATATTAGTGAGATTACTCCCTTGGACCTTCATAGACAGCTGGAGTGATCATGATGCCATATCCAAATTCCCGCATGGCCTAGCTGTAACTCGTAATGCTGGAAAGGCCGAGCTGTCGAATCCGCATTGTATCCCAAAGGCTTTTCTCTTCCCCACTTGAAGAAGCTGTGCCGGTAGCATCTGAGGGATTTGCGCCGTAAGAACTCATTCAATGTAAACGGGTCTTTGGAAGGGCAGGCGTAGGCGCAATACCAGCAGGTTGAGATCATCCACTTGGCGGGTATATCAATGTAAACCTTGGGAATTGGCAAATGCCTGATACAGCAGGTCTTGCGACCTGGAATAATTAAAGGTTGTATTTGCTAGTGATAACTAGGAGCCGCAAGGAATCAGAAGATACTATGTACACGCACATACGTTTGGAAAGTAAGAAGACCTGGTCAACTTGTATATAATCAAGCATCCTAAGTATATTCAGAGCTACGAATTCGCAATCAAGGACACGTTGTTCAACGCATAGCTTGATAAGGTCTACTGAGGTCAACGTCGGAGATAAAACGCAGGAAGCTTCGGGTCACGGCAAAAGCCGCAGTGGATCTCCAATGACGTGCTTTGCGCGCGCAATGAGAACACGCGAACCTCGCCCGATTGGCCTTCGATTTCTGGAAGCGAGCACGAAAGCCCTTAATTCCACGTTCTAGATGGAGCATAAGCTGCGAGGAGAGGGTTGGCCCCTCCCAAGCTCATTCGTGATATACGCGACCCGCTCCGAGCTCGACGCCCGAGCTCGAACTCCGATTCTTTCCTTTTTGAACTGCTTTTGCTCGGTATCCACGACTTTCCACAATTTTTTCGCCACAGCATGGCGTCTACAACGAAGTACGGTACAGGCAATGGCACCGATCCATCCGAAACCGAGCCAGTCGACGCCATATCTCATCAGTCCAGCGCGGACGAGGAGAGCCCATTAATTCCAAACAACGGCAGTCTGGATACGAAGCCCGCTCAAGCTATCCCTTTGACTGGAGTGTGGACTATTATTGCGGTGCTGTTGCTGGGTATGGAATACCTTCTCTCCACATCGAGATATACGCAGTTGACTTATGAACTTACAGGCGAATTTATTTCCAATGCCGATGCAACTCTCGTCATCGCTGCAGCAGGCCGGATCTCTTCCCAGTTTAACCGTTTGCGTGATGCTAGTTGGTTGTCCACTGGGTATACGTTAGGCGTCTGCGCGGCGCAGCCCATGGTAGGTGGTGTCCTTCAACTCTAGAATCAAGTGCTGAGGAAAAGCGGTCCGTTTAGTACGGGAAGCTAGCGGACATTTTTGGACGCAAACCCATGCTCCTAATCGCATACTTCTTCTTTGCGGTGGGGTGTATAATATGGTAAAGCCCTATCTTCATGAAACCATCCAGGTAAAAGCTTATCATCATGCAGTGGCCTTGGATCGCAAATGTGGGTTGTCATTCTGGGTCGCGCGATCAGCGGGATAGGTGGCGCAGGAACCATGACCATTAGCTCGGTGATCATCACAGGTACATACAGGATTGAGTACCTACAAAAATTTGGACGACGCTGACCGGCTGCTAGATATCGTACCCAAGCGTGAAGTCGCAGCTTGGAGAGCGTATGTGAATATTGCGATGACCCTGGGTCGCAGCGTCGGAGGGCCCTTGGGTGGCTTCTTGATTGACACGATCGGGTGGCGCTGGTAAGAATATGCGCATGACCTCTTGGAAATTAGAAGCTCATTTCTTCAAGGCTATTTCTTCTGCAAGCTCCTGTTGTGGCACTCGCGGCCTTCCTGGTTGTCTTGCTACTCAAGGTGGAGCAACACAGACCACCTACCACTCTAAAAGACGTCCGGACCCAGCTCCAGCGGGTCGACTTCCTGGGTACAGCCCTTCTCGGAGGCGGGATCATTGCTCTCACTGGCTTAGCAGACCAGGGTGGGAAAGCCTTCCGCTGGGCATCATGGGTTACTCTGGCTCTGGGAGGCGCCGGGCTCCTGTTGATCGCAGGGTTCGTTTTTGTCGAGTCGTATATTGCGCCAGAGCCAATCTTCAACCTTCGAATCCTCCGACGGTCGAATGTCGCAATCAGCTACCTGCTCAGCACCTGTCAGGTGACTGCTCAGCTGGGGATCATGTTCTCGATTCCGTTGTATTTCCAAGTGACGCAAAGAGCTTCGACCACTGCGGCTGGCGTGCACCTGGTACCTGCCGTCGCGGGAAACGCGATCGGAGGTTTGATTGCAGGCCTTTTTATCCGAAAGACAGGATCTTATCGGACCCTATTAGTGCTGGCTGGACTCATCGCGTCCGTGACATATGTGCTACTCTATTTCCGCTGGAATGGCCATACTGGATTCTGGGAATCGCTCTATATCATTCCTGGTGGCATGGGGACGGGCATGGCGTCGGCATCGGCTTTCATCGCTATGACTGCCGCTTTAGCGCCTGGGGAGGTGGCTATGGCGACTGCAGGCTATATGTTGCTCCTCAGCTTTGCCATGACCGCGGGTGTCACCTCTTCCAATGCCGTCCTGGGACTTGAGTTTCAGAGGCAATTGCGAGAGAATCTCCATGGTCCAGGGAGTGAGACGGTAAGGGTCTCTTATCTTCTTTGATTGTCCCTTTACTTACATGAACAGATCATTCAACGCGCTACAGCGGATACCAACTATATCGCCCACCTGGAGGGCCGCCTTAGAGAGATCGTTGTCAGCTGTTATCTTTCTGGATTAAAACATACCTACTGTAAGCGCCACCGGTCCCCCACTCTTCCAAGATTGACTATGCTCACAATCCTGAGAAGTGGTGTCTTTGGGCTGCTCGTTGGCTGCCGCCTTCTTCGGCCTTTTTATTAGACACCATCAACTATAGATCGCAAGTTCCATCATGTCACGCTCCTCTATGAGCCAGCGACTGTGCGGCTTCAGACAGGTTGTCCAAGCCTGATGAGGATATTATCGTTATAGCGTATTAGAGAGAACGATCTTCATATACCCCTCTGCGTGCTCTCTGACGGCATACAATAGATTTGTACATCGGGCCTGACTAGGGCCTGACTAGGAGACGTACCGCTCGCGTGCCCAAGAGAGGACCGCACGGAATAGTAATAACCCGAAGGTACGCCAGCGCGGGGCGAGATCCCCCAGTTGTGGGGAGGAGGGTGCATACGTGAGCACGTGATCCATATCTTACGTGTATTGTCCAATGTCCAACGATATTACGGGTGGATGTGATAGTAAACTCCGGCACTTTATACTGCTTGATTCTCGTTCATGCTCCTGAAATCTAGACTATTTCCATACGGGAGAGGTCTATATGCAAGCGCCCATTTCGCGCCCTTCATGTTTGTCGAGTGCCTGCCAGCGAGCAAATCGCGTGAATGTACCCTTAACCACGGAACGAACCAATATTGGCTTGAAAGAATTCACCGGCGTCTTCTCGGAAATCATCGGTCAGGAGCACTGCATGGTCTTTGTAGAAGTTCATCAGGGTTTTGTTGGCGCTCCACTGGGGCCACTCCATGTAGTTGCCCGCCCGAGAGTTGGGATCGAGGTCGTATACAAACGAGTAGTAATATGTGCGGATTGATTTGGCGGCGTAGTTGTCGTAGATTCCTTCGAAGACTTGGACGATGTCCGACGCATGGAATGTCCCTAGATACGGAGTTCCGTGGTCATAGGACGCGAGGTATGACCAGGACGGCACGTGGGACTTGACTTTTGCGGCAACGTTGAGGAGTACACGGCGGTTGAAGATGAAAAACACATCACCCAGTATCGCTGCAAGCCGCTTGAACTGAGGGTACCAGTTATTTGCCAGTCCCGTGCGGAAAGGTGACCCATCGGTGGCGATGTCTGCATAATTGGCTACCAAGTCTTTCAACTGCTCCTGGGAGGCATCGCCAAACATGTAGTCTCGCAGATAATCGACAACCTCTGCTTCCGTAGTGATGTTGGATTGTTTCAGGGCGAATATGGTCCCCTCGTCTTCTTGGTCTCCAACAATGAAGGGAACGTCGGCAAAGAGGCCCCTCTCGGCCAATACCTCTGGGGACTGGGTCAGAATTTTCCCATCCGGCCGGGGAAGATAAGAAAGGCCTATGGAGCTGTAAGAGAATATGCTGGGGACAGAGTTGGCAGCATTGAGGAACGTCGTGTAGTCGAGATCGCGCAAGCACTTCAAAGTGTCTTCTGATTCACTGCATCCGGCCGCCTTCACCACCGCATCATAGACCGCTTGGCCCTTAGGGCAGTCGACTGGATCCGCTGGAGTGATACTCCCAGAATCCATGATGGCGCCTCGGAACAGCGGCGCGCCATTATAAGAGTGATCCCCGTCGTACAAGGCCATTTGATCAAACACGGAGATCGATCCTGCCGACTCCCCCCAGATGGTGACCTTGTCTGGATCACCCCCGAACTGTTTGATGTTGTCGGCGACCCATTCCAGCGCCAGCCGTTGATCAAGCAGACCGAGATTTGCCGACCCATCGGCAAGAATTTCAGAGCCTGCCAAGAAGCCAAACCCCCCCCAGTCGATAGTTCATGGCGACAAAGATAATTGGCATGCCCGAATCGACTGATGCCGAAACAAGACTGTCGGCGTTATACATGCTCGTCGAGCCAAACTCAAACCCGCCACCATAGATCCATACCAAGACAGGCAAGGCCGAGTCGGGAGTCACGGAGGAGGGGCGCACCACGTTGAGTGTCAAACAATCTTCTCCGGCATTGCTGATCTGTTGGGAACTCTGGAGGTCACTTAGTTCCCCCATAATGGAGGAGGGAAAATCGTCCTTGCCAGTACTAGTTTGGAATTGCGGACAAGCCCGGGGGGGTGCCTGTGGCCTGAACAGCGCCAAGGGAGGTTGATATTGCCTGTGGCGGCTTCAAGCGGCGGGACCCCGTTGGAGGAAGGGCAAAAGGGATCCCATTGAAGGTATCGAGGTTGGACCCTGTGGACCCGACGATGGTTGCTTCCGGACTAGCGATTGTCACTGTTGGCTTACTGGCCCTCTTGTCATGAGGGGTCGGAGCACCCAGTGCGAAAGGCAGCACGGCCAGCAGAAGCTTCAAAGACGGCATTTTTTTTATGCCCAGGTAAGTTCAAGTGGCAGCTTTTCCTCGGGCAGGTTCCCGGGGCCTCTATAGATCAAGAGGGTTGGCAAGGTGTGCTTTTATACCCCTTCCTGTTTTCGCGTTTTTTTTTTCTTTTCTTGGTTTTTTGTTTTCAGTTCCTTGATTGACAGCGGCTTTGTCTCCCAAATGAACGATGGCTTGTTCCTGCAATGCGATTCCCATATACCTCGGCCGAGTTCGAGGTAAACTCCGTGGGGTCGGTCAGCGACAATGCAGTTCATGCTCAAAGCAGAATCTTCGCCGAGTCAGGAGGGAGCCAGATCCAATAACTGCAGAGTCTATTGACAGTCCACTTGCACCAGATAGGTCGTCACTGGCCCAAGTGGATTGGCGACTTGCGAATCTTAGCACCGGCCGTGGCGCATCTCCACTTTCATACATTCGGAGGAAGGCCAATTGGGCATGCGGGGGTCGACGCAGCACCGTTCGTTCATGAAGATCTGCGCGGAGGAATGCAACGGCTTCCGAGGGATCCCGGGGTTCGATGAAATTTCGAATACTTTAGGCTTGAATTAAGGGGCTTGGGGCTTGGGTCGAGCATGTAATTGTTTCTATAGGCACTAAAACTTGTGGTGCTCTCTATTCCTACTGGAAGCAGCTCAGCTGGAACAGCTATGTGTTGTTCCCGTTTCCCAGATGTGCTCTTATAAGCCACCTCCCATGATATGAAGGAGTAATTCACAGCCAATAGCTTGCATTCTGAAGAGGAAGTGTCCCCACAAATCCAATCTCCCCGCAGAATCCAGTGCCGAGGGCGTACGGGCGATCAGGAGCGTTACCGGACGCCCTAGATCAGCTCGGGCATTAATTTTATGCAGTGCCTCTCACCACGAATAGAACTGCTGATGGGCCAGCCTTGGCTCATGCTAATTTTGAGCCTCGGTACGGCCCCTCGATGATTCTCAACTACGTATTAGCCGTCACAGGGAATGCTGTACCATGAGGAATCCGATCCAGCATTCCTTTGGCCATGATGGTATTGACTCTCTGAATGAAATCTTGTTTGGAGGAAGAAATCCCTCCTCGTCAATGGCTTCAGTGCGACCATATGACAAGGACCTGGGTTGCACATCCACTAGTCCTTGCAATTTATACAGCACGAACCGGTTCTTCCGCCCCTCCAGGGATGCCGCAACCCCGCCAACAAACCGCGCGGGGCCCCAGATGGGGTTCGGACACCCCTATATGCGCATCTAGTACGGGCCATAGTACTGTTGACGAAGGATAGCCGAGGCATCTATAGATAACCGGTTTTCGTGTTTAGAGATATTGGGTAGTCGGTCAGGCCCATATCCGGGGGCTGAGGTGGTCCCGTCCAATTGTTCAACATGGAGTTGGCCATGGAATTTTTTTTTCGAATATGTGGTGATACTAAATAAGGATCGCTAGAGAATCCCTCATCATTGACCCCGATGGCCTACTCTTAGATGATAGTTTACCAATCAGTAAGCATTTTGTCTCAGCTCCAGGGCGGAGTTCAGGCATTGATTTGCTCCGAATTGCGCGGTCGCTTGTCTTTCCCCTTTCGCAAGTCATCAGTGATACCATGTCCATATCCTGGACCAATGATGGGTTTTGGCATCCATGGTTTCGGGGCCGCGAGAAAAACAGCCGGTAATGGCTTCTCTGCAGCCCCTGAAAGGCATTGGCCTCAGCCGACTGGCAATCCGTATAGATCCCGGCTGTCGGCTGGCCCACTTGGCGCGGGGCCCCGCGGGGAAGCTGATAACTACATTGCGTAGAGACGAATGAACGCAGTGGCCAATCGTCCACCATTCAGCATGTTTTACCGACCAGGGGTCACCGAGCACAATCTGCCTCATGATCCGTTCAAGGTAAGCGACCGGTGCTCGCACGATCGCAGCTAAACTTCTCTAGGCTTGTGTGGTCCCGCGGCCGATCGGGTGGATTTCCACGAAGAATCAGCATGGCCAGGCCAATCTAGCTCCATACTCCCAGTTCAACAACCTCACCTTCGACCCCCCCCTATGTGATGTTCTCGGCAAACCAGACGGTCGAATGCACGCGCAAGGACACGGTCGTCAATGCAGAACAGACCGGCCGCTTTGTCTGGAATCTGGCCACCTGGGCGCTGCGCGAGGCGGTCAATATCTCTGCAGAACAGGTCCCATATGGAGTAGACGAGTTCGAGCGCGCGGCAGTCACGAAAGAGCCAGCCACCTTGATGGATGTTCCCATGGTCCAGGAATCCCCCGTGAAGTTTGAGTGCGAGTACTACTCCACCATACGGCTTCCCGGATCGCCGCCCATGGGGACGGTCGATATTGTGATTGGCAAGGTCGTCGCCATTCATATTAGCGATGAGGTTTTGACCGACGGTCTCCTGGATATCCGCAAAACAAAGCCTATCGCGCGGTGCGGTTACTACCAATATGCAGTGATTCAGGACACATTTGACATGCGGATTCCAGGAATGTCCGAAGACGTTCTGTACGGACTGGAAGGCAGCATGAAGAAGAATCGGGCGGCCAATGCGCGGGGCAGCGGCACAGCATGTAATGAAGTTCCTTTCCAGCAGCTGGTCTAATGAATCCCTCTCCAACCCGCACCAGACAGGTCAAGTGTAGGGCGCGACACTAGAGTCGCGGCTAGTAGCATGTTGTTCGCATTGACCTTTACTAGTCTTCGCCTCGCCGTCGTTGGGCCTTGGTACCCCTCTGTTTTGTCCATCTTTGCCTCTGAACCGTACTAGCACCTCCATGGTTCTTATCTGTGTACACCATATTTTCCGACTACATACCATGACACGAAAAATCTACGGGATAAGAGCAGATACATCAGATGTCAACAGAGGTTATCGGCGGTCGGATATGGGGAATAATTTCGAAGCTGCTGCAAGAGTGGCTATGTTGTTACGGGACAACCTTGGAAAGGACCAAAAGGATATGTCCTGGGAAGAGATATCACGCCACGGCCTCCAGCCCTGGGGACTTGAGGGTTTGTCTCGCTTATTCTGGATTTATCCGCAAGGATCATTGGAGCCAAGAAATAAGGTTGCAATCAAACACCAATGCCAAGTGGAAATTGCCCTCCAAAGGCCAAAGAGGCGATAAGATATAAAGCTAATCAGCTTGGCAGACCACCTCGAGACTTGGCAGCGACATCTCGATTGACCCCACCGGGGGCAACAAAACTCCCATACAGATCAGGGCTGGCAGGGTCCGCCAGATTGTTTTAACAACATCTATGTTTGGTATGGCATTTTCCCCGGCTACGTGAATGTTGGCAACATAATCCACCTGAGATACATGGGACTCGTAGTATATATCGAAAGTTTAATAGCCGCGCGTGAATTGGAGAACTTCAGGTCTTCCAAGTTTAAGAAAAGCCCAAGCCAACTTCCAGAGGACGTCAGATGCACCTTCTCCATTTGGAGGTCTGCCGCCTTCCCATCGAGACTTAAATAGTCCCATTCCATTTTCCCCCAGACCTCCTTATCGCTCCCTCTCTTCAATCAACAACAAACCGCCTATCTTCATCGCGTGTGCATCCATATTTCCAAGGCCTACGCTTTACTTATTATCTTCCTTCTCCCCTTGCGACTTTTCCCCCTCTTCGTCCATTACTTGTATTCAATATGAACGCCTCGGACCCAAGTGATGTGGCTGAACTTGCCAAGTCCAAGGCCATCTCTCACGACGCGACTTTGACCCCCGCCCTCCGTTCGAACGAAGACGCAATCGTGGGCGAAGACAGTAAGGCAATGCCAGTATCTCATACGGCACCGATTCCCACTCTGGATCTCCACGAGGGACATGACCGGGTGTATGCCACCGAACATGATCTCCAGACCCTACGCCGTGTTGCTGACAAGGTCCCTTGGGCTGCTTACACGGTTGCGTTTGTAGAGTGGTGCGAACGCTTCTCTTATTATGGAACCACGGCCGTCTGTAAGTACTTGCAAAGATGATACATACGGAGTCCTGCTAACCACACTTAGTCGTGAACTTCATCCAGCGACCCCTCCCCGCTAATTCTACCACCGGTGCACTGCCTGCGGGAGCTGATCATACCAACGGGGTGCCGGGCGCTCTGGGTATGGGCCAACGCGCGTCGACGGGCTTGACTTTGTGTGAGTAGTTACCCGTCAGCCTCTCAATCTTCTGTGACTAACTTTTTGAATTTGCTTAAGTCAACCAGTTCTGGTCCTACGTTATGCCTCTTGTCGGTGCGTTCATTGCGGACCAACATTGGGGTCGATTCAAAACGATCTTCTCTGCTATCGCCGTGGCTCTCATGGGCCATACTATTCTACTTATCTCTGCGATTCCACAGGTCATTGCCAGTCCTCATGGCTCCATTGCCTGTTTTGCTGTCGGTCTGGTGATTATGGGAATCGGCACGGGTGGTTTCAAGTAAGACCCCATTCAGTTTGCTGTGAGCTGTGGACAAGGTTATGCTAACGAGCCTCGCAGACCGAATATTACTACGTTGATCGCCGAGCAGTACCGCGAAGAGCGCCCCTTCATCCGTGTCCTTGCCAGCGGAGAACGCGTGGTCGTGGACCCCGCCGCCACTGTTGCCCGTATTTACCTCTACTTCTATTTGATGGTCAACCTTGGGTCTTTGGTAGGCCAAATCAGCATGGTCTATGCGGAACGCTACATTGGATTCTGGCTTTCCTTCCTGCTCCCGACAGTCATGTTCCTCTTATGCCCAGGTGTCCTATTCCTCTGCCGTAAGCGCTACCATCTGGTGCCCCCGACGGGCTCAGTCTACTCCCAAGCCTTCCGTCTGTGGCGGTTGTCCATGAAGGGTCGGTGGTCGCTCAATCCCATGAAGCTGTAAGTGATACGATGAAAGAAAAGTACCCAGCCTGGTCACTGACAAGACAAATCAACCAGGTTCCGACGAAGTTCCCCCGAAAGCGACAACTGGGATCGAGTCAAACCTAGCCGTTTCGGGCCCGAGAAGCCGGCTTGGATGACCTTTGATGACGAATGGGTCGACGAAGTTCGCCGTGGGCTTCAGGCGTGCAAACTTTTCCTATGGTTACCTCTATTCTGTGAGTTACGTTCCGTTTCTAGGCGAAGGCGATAGTTTCTGACTTTCCACAGGGCTCTCCTACAATCAAATGCTCAACAATCTCACCTCCCAAGCGGCGACCATGAAGCTCGGAGGCGTGCCAAACGATATCATCAACAACTTGAATCCATTTGCGTTGGTTATTCTGATTCCCATTTTCGACCAGTTGTTATACCCTGGCCTTCGCCGATTGGGATTCAATTTCACCCCAATCAAGCGAATCACGGGCGGGTTCATTGTGGCCGGACTTTCTATGATTGCAGCAACTGTGACTCAATACTACATCTATAGATTGGGTCCCTGTGGGAAGAACGCTAACTTTTGCTTAGAGAAGGAGAACCCAGAGCACACCGACATTAGCGTCTGGGTTCAAGTTGCGCCTTACGTCTTGGGTGCCATTTCTGAGATCTTCGCATCTGTGACCTCCCTGGAATATGCGTTCACCAAAGCTCCGCGGAACATGAGATCCCTCGTTCAAGCTATTGCTCAGCTGATGAATGCGTTCTCCTCAGCTATCGGTCAAGCCTTTGTGTCCCTGTCTGAAGATCCCCTCCTCGTGTGGAACTATGCCGTCGTTGCGATCCTTGCATTCGTCGGTGCGGTGGGCTTCTGGCTAACAAATTACAAGCTCGATCGCGTGGAAGACACTTTGAATTTGCTGCCACAGAGCCAGTATCAAGGAAGAGAGAAGGGAGACGCCGAAGAGTGATCTTTTCCCCGCCTTTCATTCCTCCATATGGGAGTTTGATATGGCTGATTGATCAGTCGGGCTTGTTTTTTTTTGATTCCTGACATGAATTTCAAGAGTAGTAATGGAATTATTTTATTTTCCCTTTTCTTGTGAAGTTTAATTTTATCAATTATTGATTGATCTTTAGGTGGGGTATGCTGAACGGGAGCAGGCGCGTGAAGAAGATTTGCGATGACTGCGATATGATTGAGAGGCGAGGTCTGCTTTGACTCGGAAGCATCTTGCACAGCTAGTTGGGTTTCTTTCTCGGAAATTCGCCTCTTGCCCTCCAGCCTGATACTCTGGCAAAAATCTTGGTTCGTGCTCAGTCACCGTGTTGTTCAATTAGGATGATCGCCAGGTGGGGCCGCGTAGGAACTGTGCAAATAGTTTGTCTAGTTTGCCTGCCAGGCTCCATAATCAGCCTTCAAGTTAGTATGATCTATTGGAGGAAGCTAGCAGAATTTTTTCCCCAAGAGTAAACCAGGATAAAACCCATCTTGCATCCAGATATCAGCTAGAACTACTAGTCCAGATTCAAGGTGAAGGCGTGCTTCCATTTGCAAAATATACAGATATGGTATCAAGAAATCCACGCATCGTCAACGCATTACGGCATTCTAGTGCTTCCCCTGCTCTTCCTCCGCCTTCTGAGCAAGACGCATGCGATACAGCTTGCCAGCCTCGATCGAGCGCACCGTCTCCTGCATCCAGGTCGGCATCGCGCGCACCAGGCGAGCCACCGACTTGCTCGCCGGGAGAACGACCTGCCCGCTGTTCTGGGAGACAATCTGGTGGACGATGGCATCGGACACCTTCTGCACGGTCATGATGGGCTGACCGAACTTGGACTCGTGGTCTGTGAGCATCTTGATCATCGGAGTGCGGACCCACATGGGATGGATGATGCTGGAAACCGAGTTTTCTTTTTAGTCACTGATCGGCGCACAAGACAGGAGGGGGGGGGGGGAACATACCTCGTGCGCACCTTGGGCGCATTATACCAGTAGCGCAGCTCCTGGCGCAGACTCTCGTGGAAAGCGAGCGCACTCGCCTTCGAGCCACAGTAGTCGGCCATTTCGCCCAGGGCGACGAAGCTGGCCATGCTGGCGACGGTGATGACGTGGCCGTGGTTGGCGCGGATCATGGCGGGAAGGAACTCGCGCACCATGAGGAAGTGGGAGACGGTGTTAACCTCGAAGGTCAGTCGGATCTTCTCCTCCGGTTCATCGAGGATGGTCTGGTCGAAGGCGACGCCGGCGTTGTTGATGAGGACGGTGGGGTCGCCCACCTCCTTGCGGATGGTCGCGGCGGCGGCAGCGATGCTCTCGGAGGAGGTGACGCTGGCGTGGTAGAAGCGGACGTTGGCGGGCAGCGGGAAGTTGGGCTCGTTGATATCCAGAATCACAACCTGCACGCCTATCTTGGCCAGATCCTCCACGACCTGCTTGCCGATGCCGCTGCAGCCACCGCTGACGAGCACGATCTCGCGCGACGGCGTCCAGCGGCCGGCGCTGGTCCAGTTGTTCATCGTCCATTGCGTGAGGCGGTTGTTGACGGATCGCACGAGACCCAGGGCGAGCAGCGCGCCCGCGGCCTTTTGCGTGAGCGGATGAAGCAGCAGCTCCTGCGCGGGCGGAGGCAGCCGCGCCAGGGCGGATTGCGAATATTGTTGGAGGAGACTCAGGGCGGAAGCCATTTTGACGATGAGGAGCGGTAGGGCATTGGGGCGTTGACGTTTAAGTCTCTGTCCTTTTCTCGCCGCGATCTTCTTATTACCCCATACAGACCGGCCATCTTGAACCTTGGTTCTTGGATCCAGCCGAGGCACCGGCGATTATTGACCCAATCAGACCAACTGGTGGAGCTCGTTACCCCAACGGGGAAACCAGTGCGACGAGCATCAATGGGTCCAGTGGAGCAGCCCACCTTCACATGCTGTTGATCGTTGATCGCATCGCTCATGGTTCCCACGAGTTCATCAGTTTCTCGATTTCACAAGTTTGCAATGTGGTCCACGGGTTGCTCCATGGAGTAGACGTTGCGATTGCCTCCCGACAACTTTTCTCGTCCAATGTACGGTGCAGATCTACAACGTCAGACCAGATGCTTCCGAGGCGCAATATGCGACGATCGGCCCATCCAATGATCTCATCCTGTCGCTTTTCCTCTTCCCCATACCCCGCGGTAGTTGCCTAGAAGAAACCGGAGGGTCTACAGTAACAAGATCGAGTAATCGTACGATGCATTGGACGTTGCGGAGTAGGCAGATATGAATTTATGAACTTCATATGACATCGACCGAGGTCTTGTACCGCCGATCAGTGGGGTCGAGTCCAGAATGATGAATGAGACTAAAATCCGCTGGCAGCTTGCCATTTGAAAGAAAAAAAGACTGGCCTTCCCCAGATTTGCGCTTCTCCAGCAACCATGGCGTTTGGTGATAACCTCGTAGCCGTGGGAGGGATCTCCCTCCTAGAGGCGTATTTGCTGCAGCGAACAGTCTTTGCAGATGAGACCTTTTACACTCTGTGCTGGTGGGCATTCGGGTCCAACTTTGCGGTCCTGACCCTTTACAGCGCTATTATCTGGCCGTTTTTCTTGAAATCCCCTGCGCCACCTGCCTACAGTACCGGTAAGTCAGATGAGTGACCAGGAGAGATAGAGGAGGGAGTAGCCCAACTAACATCGCCATCAGGGTTTGATGAACAACAGCAAGATCATCTTCGACTCCCCACGAGGGCGCTCTGCCACTGATATGGATGAAAACCATCCCTAATGACGGCCTCATCCATCTGCGTGATCGCATCAGTTACAGTCTCCTGATTCCCACCAATCACCAAGCTCTCCTGGACATCATGAGCACCAACACGTACGATTTCGAGAAGCCTCGTCGGGCCCGCGACTTCCTCGCCCGCATCTTGGGCTTTGGATTGATTCTGTCTGAGGGCGCCGCCCACAAGAAGCAGCGCAAGGCTCTGACTCCCGCGTTCAATATCAAGAACATCCGTGCCATGTACACCCTCATGTGGGACAAGACCAACCAGTGCCTTGAGGAAATGGAAAAGGAGCTCAAGGCCAATCCGATGGAAGGGACTAACCCCGCAGATGGGGTTGGGAAATTAGAGATGGGCGTCTGGGGCAGGTAAGTCTACCTCATTCCGTGCTCTTCTGGTCTCCTCCCTATAGTCCTGCTGACTCGTCTTCAAGCCGTCTGACCCTCGATATCATCGGCCCTGTCGCCATGGGACGGGACTTCCGCTCCCTGCAAAACTCGGAGAACAAAGTCGCGGAAAGTTTCCTGCGGATCCTGGAGCCGACGAAGGAGAAAATGGCGTTCCTGGCCCTGAACTTTGTGTTCCCTCAGTGGTTTACCCAGCGCATCCCCTGGCGATTGAATAAGGTGGTCGCCGAGGAGACCGGATTCCTGCGGAGCCTCTGCAATGATATCGTGCGCGAGAAACGAGAAGCCCTGGAGAGCTCCAAAGCCTCCGCTCAGGATCTCGAGGCCGATATCCTGGGAACGATGATGCTGGGCGGAGACTTTAGTGACACAGAGCTGGTCGATCAGATGTTGACATTCCTCGCTGCCGGGGTAAGTCCGCTGCCGCATCGAAAGTCGAGAAAAGCATAATACTGATGAACCATCTGTTTAGCATGAAACGACCGCCAGCGCCCTGACTTGGACCTGCTACCTTCTCACTCAATACCCCGACGTCCAGCAGCGCCTCCGCGACGAGATCCGCCAGCATATCCCCAGCGCCGAGGCCCAAATCACACACGCCGACCTCGAATCCCTCCCTCTTTTAAACGGCGTCTGCCAAGAGGTTCTACGCCTGTACCCGACCGTCCCTGCCACAGTCCGCGAATCGATCCGCGACACCATGGTGGCAGGCAAACGCGTACCCAAGGGAACGAGGCTGATCATCTGCCCGTACGCGATCAACCGCGCGCCAATCTTCTGGGGCGACAACGGCGAGGAGTTTATCCCAGAGCGCTGGATCGACACCGACAAGAACGGGAACCTGGTGCCGAACAACCACGGCGGCGCGTCGACCAATTTTGCTCAGATCACCTTCTTGCATGGCCAGCGCTCGTGTATCGGCAAGGATTTCGCGCGCGCCGAGCTGCGCTGTGCGGTGGCGGGGGTGGTTGGGCGCTTTGCGTTCGAGATGCAGGATCCTACGCAGGAGATCCACATCGCCGGCGCTGTCACGACGAAACCCGTTGAAGGGATGAATCTGGCCATGCGCCGGGTGGAAGGATGGTAATGCCCCCCCTGGAAGTATATGTCGTCATGATCGGAAACTTTGTATATTGCCTCGAGTCCTTTTTCGCGCTTGTGTGATTCTTTTGTGATTTTTGCAAATTCCCCTATGCATTTTAATGTTACTGTCTACGAATGAACAGACTGAGCCTCCTGGAATATGGAAATACGGGACGTCAATGGAACTACGCATAATTGACTACTATAGATATAGGTGTTTTAAGAAGATATTGGCTCAACGCCATGAAGCACCGCGCCACTGCACTAGCACAGTTGGAATGACACCAACAGCAACGAGCAACGCCACGGCAATACCTGCCCCGCCAGCCCCGCCAACATTGAGAAACATCTGAGGGAACCAGAACGGCCCAATAAACCCCCACATCTGACGCACAAACGTGATAAAGACCCCAACGCTGGCCGCGTCGGGTCGGTAGCAGTCAACCGCGTAGGTGATATTGACCGTGGTGACAATCTGGTTCCCACCCGCCGCAATCGCCGCGCCCACTATGGGAGTAATATTCCATACCTCGCCGGCGTCTTGCAGCTGCACGCAGAACACGACGACGCCGCAGATCGCCAACGCATACCCGATATAGCTCAACCACAATCGATACTCGGCCGCCGGGAACTCCCCCGTCCGCTTCTGCCGGAACAGCATCCAGCGGTCAGAGATCAACCCGCCAATTTGCTCGCCGAGCACCGAGCCAATGATGATCCCCAGGAACTGCAGGCCCACTTGCTGCGTGTTGAAGCCGAACTGCTCGGGGAAGATCTGCGAGGTCTGGATCGTGAGCATGATCCCGCCCCAGAGGAAGACCATGGCGTATGCGGCCGCGGGGATGATCACGCAGGGCTTGGTGGCGTAGGCCAATGGCTGGACGAAATCCCACCAGCGCAGGGGGGGTCGGGTCGATGCGGCGGAATGAGAAGAGGGTATTGTCGGCCGTAGTGGCTCGCTTCGGGAACCCCTCCTCGCGAAGATACAGGGTTTCTGCGCCGAAGACAAAGTATAGGAGGAGCTGGACTGCATTGGTCTGGAAACCAGTCAACGCTACTATATTCTGCAACACACGATCTGATCAGCCAGTCTGCAAGGAACGTACAATCGCAAGCACCCAATAGATCCACCGATATGAGATTCGCAGCGCCAGGAACCCGAACAAGAACGGAGAGATCGGCACGCCAATCGTCACCATCAACGTCCAGCATCCCATACATCTCGCCCGGTCCTTCTTGAAGAACATCTCCGCCACGACCGCACTTCCCATCGCCGCAGGCGGACAGATGAAGAAGGCTGTGATCGCCCGGCACAGACCCATCGTGGCATACGAGTGGCTTTCCGCGCAGCCGATATTCCCCAGCATAGCGCACAGGAGCGAGATCAAGAAGATGGGCCGGCGGCCGTATCGGTTGGCAAGCGGACGCCACAAGAGCGGTGCACCGCCGAGCACAGCGATGAACAGAGAGACCAGATAGCTCGTTCGCTGCATACTCACTCCCTAGATCGGCCGAGATGTTGACAAAAGCGGACTGGATGCACGAGGCCGTCGAGAGGCCGATCATAGCGTGGAAGACTATGAAGGCGAGGTTGAGGGTTTTCTACATTCATATCAGCTGAGCGAAGCTATCTGCTTCTCGTCCGCTATTCTTACCCGCCATCTAGGCCAATTGTATGGATCTGCGTCGTTCATATCCGGGATCGGGTCGAGATCGAGCGTTCCATGGCGCGCGAGGAGGTATTCGCGATGCTCTTCCGGGAGGCTGGCGATGCGATCCTCCGTGGAGAACTCCTGCTTCCCTGACTCCATCGCGCTGGGATCTGGGATGGTTTCGGCATGTTGCGGCACAATGTCTGGTTGACCCATCTCCGGTCGACCAAAGCTTATCTAGTATCCAGTCTCTCACTAAGAAAGGAGAAGGGAAGAGGGGAAGAGGCCCAGGCAAACGGAAACAGTGGTGAGGCCCAGAGCTTCCTAGCTTACCTCAAGCATACCGTTCTGGCCTCCCGCTGTACTTATAGTCGACTGGCGCCTCCATCATTTCTCACCCCAGTCGATCCGTCGAGACGGGGCCAGCCTTGGGCCGAATCCTCTCAAACAGAACACCTCCACCCCGGACTCTCCTCCAGGCCCCACATGGAGAATGCGGGGATGGAATGGCGTCTCCCGACAGAGTGGACTTGATTACGTCCGTGTCTTAATGTCTGGAAAAATCAAGCATAATTGGCGGAGAGAAAGGCGGGTACGGGTTTTTCCTGTGGGGATCGTGGGGCCTGCAGAGCAGGTAGATGTGACAGCTGGTCAGCCTATTACCGCAAAAGGACGCTTTAAGCTCTCGACTCGTACTCGGATTCATTGGGCACTTAGCGCGTTTCATTCCAGTCGAAAAATCCAAGATTTTTCTGGCCAATATATGTTATTCGGTAGACTTCATATGGCTCCGGATAATACGTGACCGGTATAATATGGCCGTGTCCTGCCCATGTTGAGCGCTAAAGATCTCGACTCTCGTCACCAAATGGAAGCGCAGCTCGTGGACCGAGATCAAAAAAAATGCATCCAAGGTGGCAATTGCCGATGTCTATCGTCTAGCGCTGATCAAAGACCTGACTCCAGAAGAGGCAAGGCAATATGCAACCCATGACAGAATAAATCAGCTCCGGGGGCCAGTGCGGCTGCATGGTATCAGCGGTCTATCGGTAAGCGTCGTTCATGGAGGGCCTTTGAGGAACCGTGTGGGAACGGACGTTTCATCCTCCTTCACCGGTGATGCCAGGCTCCATGTGTACTACCCTCGACGTACACTCTGGTCCAAAGGCCAGACCCTGCAAGGGACATCGTCTGCTCGAGGAGTACAGTCTCACGAAGATCAAGGAATAGCCAATCACCGCCCATGATCATTCCCACGAGGCAGATATGGCCTGGCTGCTGTGCGAGGTAGTCATTAACACAAGAGCAGATGCAGACCTGCGTGCTGGTGTTGACACATCCAGCCCTCGCCGCGCGAACAGCCCTTGAAGCTCCGTATGTCGAACTTCAATCCTTCCGCAGATTCGAATCAACTTGAGAGATTCAGGATTTGGCCATACGCACTATACCACAATATGGCGATGTGAGGGAATTCCAGCTGTGGCAAGTCAATGAAGTGTTGGACTCCCACCGGCATATACATGCAAAGGCAAAAGATGAGTATACTGGAAATTCATTCGGATATGATCGAAAGGCTTGATCCGCAGCGCATTGAATCGCTTCATACGCACCGCTAGCACCAGGCAGCAGACATGTAACATAGTGAGACACGCATTTCGATCGCTGCCATTCTCCGGGGTCCCGGTCCGGGCCTGTCTATCTCATTGCCTACGGCAGATGTGTAGGATACACTGAAGCGCCCGTGTCGGCCCTTCACGTGGCATTTGGTCGCATCTCCAGTATTTGATTGCAAGAAACACTCCCGATTTCATATCTCACTACTTTGCCCACGGGTGTTGCTGAGTGGGCGCATGAACCAGTTTTTCAACCGGGAGAGCAGAACCAGCCAAATGGAACTGCCGCCTATTGGCCCCCCAATGAAAGCCCGCAAGGGCATTAAGGATGCATCATTTACCGTTTGCGTCGCGGTGCAGGGAGGACTAGAGGGCGAGCAGCCCTTTTGCGCCCAAAAGACGAACTTGGTGCATGGGATGATTTTCCGGGCGGACACATCGATTCGTAATCTAGCGATCGCAGGATCGCGACCGGACAACATTGCACGATCTATCGAGATCCAATCTTCCTGCGATCCCGACAGTCTGGATCCAACGCCCATACCTCGGCTCGTGGCAAGCAGGCTTTTTGAGATTTTGAGAGAGGAAGAGCCTCGACTTAAATCCTTTCTTCTGTGGCCCTCTTCCGCCCTTGGTCATGTCTCTCATCAGCGCCCCATGGCCAACGCAGATTCCCCGTCCAGGCTGAATACAGCCACGCCAATTGCAGTCGATCACTTCACGGATGTAGGTGGACCGCTGCGCTTGAAGAAAACGGGAGATTAATTCTTCGATAGGACACTAACACTGAATTCGACGATGAGCTATCCGATCTGACCTCACTGTCATCGAGCGTGCTCGAGTATGAGTACGAGAATGGCCGTCGGTACTGCAGCACGCGCGCAGTAAGTTGAGCGCCCAGGATGCCAAAGAAGCCCCCCTCCCTAACCTCCCAAATTCCAGGGCACTTATATGTATGACCGGCCTCTTCCTTGGAAGATGGGTGGAAATTTGACCTTTGTAGGATGCCCAATGACGAGGAGGAACAGGATCGAATGGATATAGTAAGACCCGCCTTTCCCGGACTGCTATCGAGGTTTCTGGCATTGACTCTTCTTTCAGACACATCATATGTCCGTGAAAGCACCACATCCCTGGCAAAATGCAACAGCTCACCAAGCGCAGATGGTTGATGCTGCTCAAAGGCGAGCTCTACAATGCCCCCATCGGGGACTCACCGCAGAACATCCTTGACCTGGGGACAGGCACAGGGATCTGGGCCTTAGATATTGCCGAGTATGCGCGAATCCTTCGACACTTTTTCCCATCTCAGTGTTATCGGCTAATGCAGCATCGGATAGGAAATTCCCCGGTGCTCATGTCATCGGGAACGACATCAGTCCCATCCAGCCTACCTGGGTAGCTCCAAATATCGAGTTTATTGTGGAAGATTTCGAAAGCGAATGGACCTACGATACCAACCACTTCGACTTTATCCACGCACGATGCTTAGCAGGGTATGCGCCTCCACCCCGACTCTGTTTCAATGAAAGGACTTCCCTAACGCGAAGCAGATGCGTGGCCGACTGGCCCGGATTTATGCGCCGCATCTTCGACCACGTCAAACCAGGTGGCTACTTTGAAATCCACGAGAGCGCCGTCTGGGCGCGCAGCGACGACGACTCGCTCAAACCCGACTCCGCGCTCATGGAGTGGCAGAAAGCCCTGAACCGCGCCGGCGAGATGAGCGGCCGCGAGCTGAACATCTACCGCAAGCTGGAGGGCTGGATGATGGACGCGGGCTTCGAGGACGTCACGGTGAAAGTCTACACGCTGCCGTTCTCCCCCTGGCCGCGAGACCCCTATCTGAAAGCCATCGGCAGGTACCAGGCTGTGCAGTTGCAGCAGGCTATCGACTCATACTCACTACGGCTGTACACGCAGGTGTTGGGCTGGGGGGCGGATGCGGCCAAGATCCATAATGCGGTGGTCAAGCGCGAGCTGCGGGAGAAGAAGTTGCATGCCTATGTTCCGACGTACAGTCTTCCCACCCCTTTTTGCCTGGGCCATGGGTGTGTTTATACTAATTGTGAGCAGAGTTGCTGTCTATGGGAGAAAGCCACTTCGAGCGAGATAGTTAGTCGATGGAGGGCTTAATAATAGCGAGAAGGGGCGTACTATACTGAAGGGCGGAGTGGATATTCTCCCTACTACGCATTACTATAAATAGCAAGGGGGGGCCTGTGTTTTCTCTTATCCGCAGAGTCTAAACCAGGTAAGACGGTACAGTGGATAAATGGACGAGTCAAACCTTGGAGCAGCCACCAGCAACAGTGGCGTATCATTCTGGAAATCGATCCATCTCATGTATTGATCTCGGGGGCGCAGGACTCTGCAGTATACGCTTGGGCGTCCTCGGGCGGACAAAAATTTGAATGTATATCGTGAAACAGGGCTCACGGCTCAATTGGGGCGTTCATTGCAGTACACCCTAAAGGGATCACCGACAATTGAGACCTAAATGCAGTTCTATCGTATATCCAAAGCTCATTGAACTTATTGCCCACATCGAAGACGGGTTCACGCATCAGTCCCCAGTTGAACCATCTCACAGTCTCTTGCTGGCCAAGACCAGGCCAGTGATACAGCTGATATTTGCCGACAGCCAGGCCAAAGAGCGAATAGAACCCATAGCCTGAGTCTCACCATATATATATGAAACGGCGTACGCGATCCGCGACACCGAATACCACACTCCGATCGTGTTGATGGTCTCGTTGGGCACCCCGGCGACAGTAGCGAAGAGAACTATTTCAGTCAGCTACCTGCACAAGCTCAAGCAACTGAGAAAAACCTACTAGATGCGACAAGGAAGGGGAAACCATCGATCAAATTGGTCGACGTAGCGTCCTTGCGCTTCAATCGGTTCAACGTGGATCGGGAAATCTTGCCCTCTTTCACAGCCGCTTCGCCGATCGTGGCCAGATCCTCGCGCGGCGCAACGTTGTTGTCAATTCCGAGCCTCATCTTCTCCCAGCGACTGTTCGTCGCCATGTGGGCGAAGACCCAGTTGCCCACTAGGAAGGCCGCGGCATGACTGGGGGCGGGACTGCCGCCGGCGGCGCGAAGACCGAGCGTGCTCAGGATAGAACTACGTCAATCGGTTAGCGAGCTGTCTGACAGTCCGAGGATGACCTCACATACGACATGGCTAAACGAATCTATAAAAGCAAAACAGAGAAGAGAAAGTTTGGAAAGCAGCACCAGCTCCAAGTCCTTTTTCTCCACGAGTCGGAAGGTTTATCACTGAAGAAAGCTAAGGGACATGATCTCCTCAAGTACCCGGAGGGATCGGGAATGTGCCGATCGCTTCCGGGCTGGAGCTTGACGCAGCGCGAGGGCATCCATGCCATCATAGCTTCCGGGTCCTCAGAAACAGGCGATGGGCCAATCGGGCGAATGGCGATTCAGTGATAATCAGGAAAAGTGGGCTCACGTCGAAATCGGTGATGCGCAACAAAAGGGGGGGGTTCGCCTCGAGGCAGATGCGGAAGTCAACATTTACTCATCATGGAGACCGAACTGTTTTGCTTGTCTTTCTGTCGCGACGAAGCCTCTGTGGACGCGCCCATATACTGTGTATACGCGTACATAGGATTTGTCCGTGGGGCTTTCCTGGGCCGCTTTAATGAGGGCGGTCAGGCTCTGAGTAAATGTCAGAACGGGCTCCTGCCGATCAGGGAGTACAGTCATGTGATCGATGACCAATCATTGGTGTGGGAAAGCCACGCAGTTCCGCCTGTTGATATTGTTGGAAAGGGGGATTGAGCATCAGAGGACAGGCTGAGCGTACAAATACGGATGTTTTCCCCAGGAGGCAGAGCGGTCTCCTGCTTGCGCTTTGCTGTACCGGTATAGGTCTCGATGATACCTGAGTAGGCGAGAGCGCTGTTTAGTACGTACCAGGACTAGCAACTCGAGTATCTAGCAATTACTAGGAAGACCCTAAGATACCTATGTGGCACTAGAGTTAGCGATGCTACCTAGGCAAGTCCAGCGTTGTCACCTAGGAAGCGCTAGTTTTAAGAGGAGCGAAGATCTATATCTAGACTTTGAACCAACATCCCACGTGAAATAACCCGGATCCACGCAGATAGTCCCCTGCCACGAAGAGGGGGCCAATAATCGCCAAGAATTGAGCTGGAGATCGGTCCTATTTGCCAAGACCAGTCTGCTTTAGCGGTCCTCGGCTATTTATGCCACGGTTTTGCTTCCTTCATGGAGGCATACTTTTGTTTGGCCCCTAAACATTTTTGCTCGGTTTCCAAGATGTCGAAAGATAAACTCGACAGGGGTGCCGAGTACGGTGCTTTCCCATTTGATTACTACATCGCAGTCAGTACTCCCGCATGAACAATCTATCGTAGCTCATGCGAAATAGGACCATTGGCCTGCGGGCTTGGACGAAAGCCCTGAGAAATGGGAAGAATTAGTGTGGAAATATCTAGCGTTATCGCTTATAGATCGATATGTCTGAAATCCCCGCTAGATATCTCGAGTGTTTACTAAGATTTGATTAGGACTATCAATCTAGAGCAGACTTGAAGGTGACCGATTTAGCGAATGGTCTGCCATCTGACCTGACAAATGACCAAATCAAAGTGTTGAGCCTTCACCAGTCGTATTACGAACGAAATATTTGTACCAATTTGGAAACTGGGATACAGAAAATCTGGCTTCGGACCTGTTACGATGAAGACCTAAACGAGAAATATGAAAATATGAGAGCAGATGGGGCAGATGAATCTACCCTCTTTCGATGTCTCGACGACCGCAATCGTTATGCTTTCGATGACTGGCGACAAGTTCTCGTCCGAGTACCGGGAATCACAGACTTCCGGGGCGTCGCGTATGACGGAGATGTTCTTACTTACTATTCGGGGAAGAACGATAAGGAGATGCGGGCCCAATGTGAAGAGATAGAAGACGAGGACTCGAGAAGCCTAGCCTTGGCAGAGCTAGAGTTTCAAGTCGTGGTGTACCTGCTTGACCGCGAGGCTATCGAAACAGGTCTGATCAAGATGCTTTGGGTGGACGAGCACGGAAACAGTGCGTGGGAGAACCGGGTGGAGCCCTCCAGTCTGAATGCGCTTTCTGGAGCCTTGATGAATGGCATTCGTCTAGACGAAATCGCGGGTGGAGATTCCGGGCGGGGGTCCTTGATAAGTAGATAGCCAGTCAGGATGTCAGGATGTCGGCGATGTTGGCGATGTGGGCAGTGAGCAAAGAGGGGGATTCGATGTAAGGCCGTGTTACTTGAGCCCAGGGTCCGCTAATGAGTGGAGAAGCCTGCAGTTCTTTTCGCGACCTGGGGCTCCAAGTGCCTTATAAGCTTGGGTCTTCGAACGATCGGGTAATACTGCACAAATACTACGTGAGACACCTACGACTGTACCTAGTATTGGATGAAACCTGGATAGTTTCGACATCATATCCAACATGGTACTATGATAAATGAAACATTGGAGATTCCTAGTAGATTCCAAGGCTGTACCTCCCTAGGAAGTACTAGCATGTAGCTAGGAACATGTGAACTTGAAAGTAGTATAGGTATATATCACAACAATGAGCCTGAGTATGTATAACCATAGTATCTATCCTTCGCTTCATCCGCTCTGCTCTCTCCAGCCTACCGATAAACTGCCAGACCTTTAAGCATTTGGAGTAGCGGGAGCAGACGCAGCCGTTGCTGTGACTATAGGGATAGAGCCAAAGGTATATGGTCAGTTCTTGTGGTGCGAGGAGCATCACTGGCAGCCGGAAAATTTCCCCAATAAGTCTGCTCCGGCAAGGATAGACTTGCAAGTATGGTTGGCGGTATCCTAGCCTTGATTGGTAAGAGTCAACTGGTGGGATGTGTTTGTTTGAAGCGGGTCTTGCGCCAATGCACAAATTCCCTCCAACTTTCAAACTTGCGCTTTGAAGATCCACACTGTTATCGCTCAACAGGCGATCATAAGCGGCCATTAGCACTGGCGATGGACTCGCATGTACCGCCGTCGACGGTGTAATTCTACTCAGTGAAGAGCACTAGAACGGAAAAGGACCGCCAAGAGTAGCCAGACGTTATGCTGTATATATGTTCTCCACTTGCCGGGAGGATCTTTTGGTGGACTGCTCCGCTGATCCGAAATCCTGCGCTTCTAAGGACATCTCCTCTGAAAGGTCAGGAAGCTCTGGACGGTCCGACAGGCAAGAGAAGCGGTTGTTGATGACGAAGTGGCCAGGACGGTCGACCGTGCTGTTATTGGGCAATGGCTCGTTCTCCGACAGAAGCAGGACCTCGACGGGGTGGTCGCGAATGATTGGTACCTGGAACCAGCGGTAGACCCCGTTTAGTGCGGGGATGGAGAGGCCGTGGACCACGATGGAGAAGAATACAAGCCAGTACACCACTGAGATACTGTTAGTCGTGGTCATCCAGCGCCGAATTGGGCCATACCAGGAACCATCGCCGCTGTCAGATGGTTGATCTCCGCATCGCTCTGGCCGGGATCGGGCAGCAGTCGACGTGCATATTCCACATAAGAGATCGCTCCCACCCCTGCCACCGTTAGCTTGATTGTATACAGCAAGGGGGCACTCTCCACTTGCCAATGGGGCCAAAATATCCCATGAACAATGCCTCCCTCCACGAACTGCAGACCTTCGGCATGAAACGATACCCTAGCATCACGGCCGGGATGCGCCTGAAGAGGAGGATGAGTATCCCCAAGGTTATGAGACGTGGAATCGATATCCCGGTGGCATGCGGCATGTTCATTTGGTCCCAAGGCATACTCAGGCCGATAAAGATGAACGTGCCGAAGTTCAAGACTGTTTCGATCGCCAAGTTGAACGAATCGTGACGGGCTTCTAGTTCAGAATGATACAGTCCGTCCCAGTTCAACGAGCAGCCTGCAATGAAACAGGCCAAAGTCTCATCGGTGCCAAAACATCCGCAAGTGCCGACGAGAAAAAGCTGATAAACGATTGATTAGCTTCCACAGAGGTGTATTCGAGAGCAAACTCACCCCGATGGCGACGGGAAATAAGCAGAAACACTCTTTGTCGACCCATCGTCTGCCATGCGAATTAATATGGTTACAGCGAAATTGGATCACAGCAGCATACCTTCTTGACGCCAGGTTGATTCCCTTGCGACTGAGAAAGCCGACCAGGAGCCCGTACCCCGATCCCAATATGATCATATAAAGCACTCCCTCCACCGCCCAATGCGCCAGAGCCTGCTTGATATCTCCTCCGAATCGCCCTGTGTTCGTCTCTCCGATCCAATCGCGTCTTCGCAGATCAGGGGAGTCCGGGTCCACGTCCGCATACCTCAGAATAGCGACGGAGAGCAAGAGAAACGGAAATCCAAAGCCGTCGTTCCCTCCGGCTTCCGCTGAGATGAATTCCCGCAAATGGCGCCGCACATACTTGTCGGCGAAGGGCCCTTTTGCGATGGCCTGGGAGAGAATCGGGTCGATGCAAATCACGCACGATCCGATGATCAATGCAGAGAGCTACGCTGTCAGGGTCTTCGTTCTGCACCCTGCAGGGTAGAGGTTTGATGATACTTACGAAAGACAATCGTGGGACCATCAGGAGGATACAGGCAGACGTTGCCAGCCATTGTAAGGTCATTAGTGGCAGAAGGCAGATGGTCAGTTCCATTAGGCGCTGTCGCAAATATCGCTTGGGCAGCTCGTAGCCGACTTTGACCATTTGAATGCCAATGACCAAGCGGGTGAGTCCCTGGTCTAGTTTAGTCGCGCACTGCGGCCATCTCTGGCGTGGCGTAACTCACATATGCAATCTCCCCTTCTTCATCTTGGTCCGACCAGTTTCGGATGTTGATGAAGTTCGCGCAGAACGGACCCAGGATAACGCCGATCACGAATGCTGGCACTGCTGAAAATCAGTGTCGAGTTCATTATCATGGGAAGACAGTGCAACCTACATGCCTCGCCAAGGTACCAATGCTGCTTGATTTTGAGCGATATGAAGCCGAACGCAAGGATAAACAGCCCTAGACGTGTCAGAAGGATCCAGGCCAAGCGATTAGAGAAAAGAGCAGGGCCTCGCCTCACCGGAGAAAGTAAGCGTCGCGTTCAGGCTGCTAAGATCAAGGATTGGGTGCAGCATCTTGAATCGGGCGCAACTATCGATTCGCGATTGACCATACAACGCTTGAGCAGCGGAGCTGAGCAGCTGAGCTATTTCATGACCTTGAGTTGCCCCGATTCTAACGTGACATCATTGAAATCGTAAGATTTCTCTCAGGCCAGACGTGAAGACGCATGCGCCAGAATATTGTGTTGATGGTTGGAATGCGCCCCTTCGAACCTCAGCGAGTTTCGTCACGCAACACCAGATAACCCTTCCCAGATATCCCTATCAAGAGTCGACCTATCATAGATGCCAGTTGATGCAGACACTAGACCCAAATATGTCGCAGTCACTCGTACGCAATTCCACGTCCAGCCACATGGACGCGCCATCATCCTGTATCAATTGCAAATGCCAGGGTGGCAACATTGAGGCGGCTACTGGAATCTGGCTAGAAACGCGAATCGCAGTCTAATCTACGGCCAATCGTCCGCATCAGCCTCACCCATAGATCCCAGCCCCGACAACTAGTGCAGTGTACAGAAATGTTTCTATTTTGAGCCAGCCGTGCTAGCCGGCTGGTCATGTCGGACAGAAACATTCCGCCGAAAGCTTAGCCTATTCGTCGCATTGCAGGCAAAATCCAGGGGCTCGCCAATTAGATTGAAGACATGCAGTAGTTTCTGCCTGCAGGCCCCTATGCATAGATCGACGTTGCCGCGAGACCCGCCCCTATCAATCAGGGGGTTTCGCCGGCAAGGGATGCGGCATTAATCATCCATTCCAGCGCGATACTCCCGCACCGTCAGTTCTTTCTAGAAATCTTGGCTTTCTGAACAGAGCGCAAACGTTGCTATACTGGATAGTAGAACACAGCCTCAAAAGCGAGGCGAGCGACTGCTGCGGTCTCGTGTTGGGAGAAAACCAGGGGGTCTCCTGATGCGAGAACGCCCGTAGTTGTCCCGTGCATTCAGGGCGTTCCAGCCCATTTTCCAGGGGAGCCCAAAATACCTCATATTTTATCGCCTTGTCTAGTTTTGTATGCGCTATTTTGAAATCCCCTGAATCAACCGGGCCATGAATATAAATGGAGGCCAGCGATACCTCCGGTGATTTTCAAGTTGTAGCATTATAGCATTTACCCTTTCAAGTTCTAGTTGAACCAAGTCACCTCAAGATGCCACTCACGCCGATATCAAAACGACTCTCCGGGCCTCTTACACCCCGGGGCTGCACCAACGTCTATGGATCGCGATTTGCCTCAGAGCATATGCCAACAGACAGGTTACCGGAAGACGAAATGCCCAAAGAGGCTGCCTATCGAATGATCACCGACGATCTGGTCCTCGACGGTATTCCTATGCTGAAGTACGTCCCCAACAACCAATAGCTCTTGCCGAGGTTCATGCTAACACCGAACAGCCTTGCGAGTTTCTGTACAACATACATGGTACGGAGAGTTCTCAGATTCGTAGATCCAGGCTAATGCTCCAACAGGAAGAGGAAGCCGAGAAGCTCATCTTCGAATCCGCTAATAAGAACGTCATCGACCACGAAGAATATCCAAGATCCGTCGAGCTGGAGCAGCGCTGCCTCAGAATCCTCGCCAATCTCTTCCACTCGCCAGAACAAAATGGCCAAACCACCGCCATTGGCACCGCGTGCATTGGCTCATCAGAAGCCATCATGCTGGCAACGCTGGCCATGAAAAAGCGCTGGAAGAACCAGCGGAAAGCAGCGGGCAAAGACGCATCTCAGCCCAACATCATCATGAGTACGGGCGTCCAGGTCTGCTGGGAGAAGGCGGCGGCGTACTTTGAGATCGAAGAGAAGCTGGTTCCTTGCACGGAAACGCGATACGTGATCGACCCGGCTCAAGCCGTGGATCTCGTCGATGAAAACACGATCGGCATCTGTGCGATCCTCGGCACAACCTACACCGGGCAATACGAGGATGTCAAACAGATCAACGACTTGCTGGTACAAAGAGGCCTCGATACCCCTATTCATGTCGATGCGGCCAGTGGCGGCTTCGTGGCGCCGTTCGTCAATCCGGGCTTGGTCTGGGATTTCCAGCTGTCCAATGTGGTCTCAATCAATGTCTCTGGGCACAAGTATGGCTTGGTATGTTTTCCCCCCCCCTTGCTGACTCCCTGTGATGGCTTTTTGACTCATCTGCTTCCAGGTGTACCCGGGCATCGGCTGGGCTCTCTGGCGATCCGCCGATTATCTCCCCCAAGAACTCATCTTCAACATCAACTATCTCGGTGCTGACCAGCTGAACTTCACGTTCAACTTTTCCAAGCCCGCGTCGCACATTATCGCTCAATACTACCAGATGATCCGTCTCGGCCGCCGCGGATACCATGCGATCATGGGCAACCTGACCCGCACGGCGGATTACCTGGCCGCCCACCTCCAGAACATGGGTTTCTTTATCATGAGCGAGGGATCTGGTAAGGGTCTCCCCGTGGTCGCATTTCGACTGAGTACCTCCCAAAGTCTCTTCTTCGATGAGTTTGCGCTGTCACATAAGCTGCGAGAACGCGGCTGGATTGTGCCCGCATACACCATGGCGGCCGACTGTGAGAAAATGTCCATGATGCGTGTGGTGGTGCGCGAGGACTTCACACAGAGCCGCTGCGACAGCCTTATCCGCGACATCGAACTGGCCCTCAACGCGCTCGCAGGCGACGAGATGCGGCGTGTTCAGCGGTATCAAGCGTACGTTCGCCGACTCCGATCTGGTTCGTACCAGTTACTGATGCTAAGCAGGTTCGTTTCAAGCCACATGGTTCCTGAAAAGATGGGTGTCGAGCAGAGATGTATTGAAGTCACTCCCCTGATCACCCCTCCCCCAGAGGAAGCTTAGAGATACCCTCCCATGACGCGGGCAGTTGATCGCAGGGGGGACCGGGAGATTGAATGCATAGCATCATATGGAGTCATTCCCCTTTTGAGAAATAATATATTTGTGTGACTAGAGGAAAAATGGTTCGCAGTCAATAGCAAAGATACTGTCCTGATCGCCTGGCACTGGAACCGTCGTGACAGTTTCGTATAGAGGCATTTGTATAGTCTCTGAGTAGGTCCTCGTTTCTGGTTTCAGAACCTATGTATGTTAGTCAGTAGAACCAACTGGGGAAAGTCGACAAGAATATCCGTACCTCGCCTCGGATGCGAATCTTGCGCGACTTGAAGCGGATTCCATCGAAGAAGACCACCAGCCCCCCGTCGTTCTGCAAGAAATCAATACTATGCTTCTGGCGGTGGTACCTCATTCTTACCTGACTCGCTCTATAGCGCATCCATCCTCCGTCTTTCTTATTGACCGACCAGCCCACCCCCGGCCCCAGTTGCCCAATCGCCTCAACGCCAACATCAAACCCAACCTTGACTTCCTTCCCACCTCGTCCCACATATGGATCGCGCAGTCCTGCGTCGACCAGGTCTTCGTCACCACGCACAACCCGTACTGGAAGATCTCGCTCCGCTGTCTAACCAGCCGGTCGGCATTGCGGATCACCCACTGCTTAAACATGGATTCATGGTAGAACCGCTCGTGCACGATCGGCGGGGACGTGACCAGCAACGCCCCTCCGGACGAGGTATTCGAAAACGCAAACTCCGCCGAGAAATTGGCCGGCAGCGCCGCGGCCAACTCGGACGACAGCCCGCCGGAGAAGTCCACACTGCGACCAACGACGTTCTCCGACGCAAGCGGGCCCCATTGGATGCCCGTCTCGGCGGGCGCTTTCTCCAGCTCCTCCTCTACAGACGCGTAGCCTTGGGCCGCCAGCCGCGGGCCGTCTGATACGTCGGTGATGGGGTTCCAGGACCCCGCGGCATCGAAGTAGCCACAGCTTCCAGGGTGGAACTCTCTACGCGCGAGCGGCGTATACAAGGCCGTGCCAAAGGGGTGGTTTCTCATGGACGTCGCGTAGGCAACATTGAGCGGTCTATGGTGGCTATGATGCATGGCTGGACAGGCATCGGGATGTGTTGAGGAATAGTTGTTTACGGGGCCCAGAAATGGGTTTGTGTGGATCTGGGGAAGATATGAGGTCATCGCGAGGGATTGGATTGGTGGGACCAGGCGGGGGCTAATGCGGTTCCGCGGGTAGTGCATAAATATACGACCAGGGCAGGAAAGCAGTAGATGTTCATGACAGTAGAGCAGAGATGGGAGGCGGATAATAACTAAGATGTCTATTCTATGCGAAGAACGTACAAGGGGCATGATTACATCCATGTCACCTCAGACCCGTGTCTGCACAGCCAGCCCAGAGCGAAATGAAGTAGGTTTTCGGATGAAGCTCTGTTGAAAGAGCTAAATTTCTCCTCGACAGAGTAATGTGGAATGGGCTAAGGCTGGAGGAAGAACCCTAATACTATGGCATTGCGAGCCTAGTTCCAGAGACAGTGGTGGCGTTTACCCCCATTCACCATGAATTTCAGGGTCTCAGCATTTGCGTGCATGTCGTCCATGATCTCCGATATTTCCTGATGTCAATACTTGGCCGGTAGCACAATATAATGGTTCCAGAAGAAATTAATTCTGATAACACCGATGCTAAAATCCTTATCTGCCTCATATCTTGAGAAGTTGCAAAGGTCTCTTGGGGCCATTGCGAAAGCCACACTCGGAAACGATTCGGAATATCCAGCTTCCAATTTTCTCATTTCAAGACTGGAGTATTGTCGATGGAGACGTAAAGAAATTGGCGGTTGAGGTAGACTTCCTTTTCCCTGGGCTCACTGTACCCTTTCTGAGAGTCTTTCGGGTCCGCTCTGTAGTTTCTGGCTAGCGGGATTGGAACAAGGCCACGGACGCTCTCTGTTCCAGTGACAATTGGCACATGCTGTGACGATACACCAAGCTTCTCCCCGAGTAGGAGACTTGGTGAGCCCTCTGCGATAAGAGGGCACGATTCCATCAAGGTCGATTGGTTTGACAACTCTTTCTAAAGAAAGAGGGTTATTAGCCCCAGCCATGGAGTACAACATGCCCAGACTTAACAGTCACAGAGCTTGCTTTCAACCAGACATGCATTATCGATGGACGAAATGAGAGTTGTAAGGGAAGACGAAGGGTGTGTCAAATCCAGACTCTGTAGAGACAAGAAGTGGGAGAGATGCGGGGAGCGGGGTAAGAAGTGGAAGGAGATATCCTATAAGCCGGTCCAAGCCACTTGACGTGAAGTGAAAACAAGCTAAGAGAGGCAGAAGTAAAAGCCTTCGCTGATACTCTACCATTTTATACATCACCGACATAGCTTACTAATATAGCTCAGGGCCCTGGTCCTTGCTATGCAGCCTGTATGGGCTTCCCAGTACAACTGCCTTGGGCTTATTCGTCCATAACCCCCCACATCGAAAAGCCAATAAAGGTTTCAAAAGAATAGAATAAAAAGCGGTGCCCCAATATATACGAGATGCTGAAGTAGAAAGTGGGCATCGGGTGACCTCAGCATAAAGTTCACAGCACTCCTGGATTCCTTTAGGAGTTCATCCTTTTACTGAGATCTGTCTGCATATCTATATCCTGGTGCCTCTACAAACAAATGCAGTCTCATTTCAGCACCCGAGCGGCAACCAACGGACTTCCCTCGGTGATCTTCGAGAAATCATGAGCATCGAGACACGCCTGCCGCGAAGCCAAGAAGCTCGGCTCTGCGCGAGAAAAGAGAGCCTTCTCGTACGCAGCAAGCGAAGCAGCCAGCTTGCCAGAGGTAAAAGATCTGTACCAGATTAGCCAAGCCATCCAGCCAACAGCCACAGCTGAAACTCACTGAGCGTCCCGCATGTCCACCTGTTTCACCAAGTCCAAGACATCTACAATGGCATTGTTGGCCCCCTCGCCCCGGACTATGGCCATTAGCGTGCGATTTCGCATCCCACGGAATCTCTGTATATCACTCACACATAGTCATCGTGTGCGCCGAGTCTCCCACCAGCACCACCCGCGGGTGGGCATGAGAGCGGCCTCGCTGCAACATCCAGTCCTCGAGACGAATCGAGCGAGCCTCGCTGTCCGCGGGAATCTGGTGCACCAAAGACCGGAACGGCTCCGCCCAGTTGTCCGTCAACTTCTTCATCAAGGCCACGCGCTCCGCATTCCCCGTCGGCACGGGAATCCCTTTACTGTCCGCCCATGAGATGATGATCTGACAGTGATACCGATCACGGCTGCTCTCATCGAAATTACTAGGCGTGTCCAAGACTACATTCTTCCCGTGAGCTTACATCCTCGAATCAGCGAAAGGCCCGAGGCAGGAGGTTACATACAACTGAAAAAGAAGAAGACGTCCGTGTCCGGGTGCGATCCTTGGAAAATGAACGGGTCGAACGACTGCGCCCCCCTCATCTCCTCGGCCGTGTAGAGAGGCGACGCACCGAGCAGTTGCACAGGCAGGGGGTTCATCTGGCAGTCCGGGTACAAGATCTGGCGCGCGCGCGACCGGGCGCCGTCGCAAGCAACAAGTAAGCGTCCGCTTGCCGCGGTTCCATCGTCGAAATGGGCCGTCACAGAGTCAGCGGCCGAGTCGATGCTCTGGAGAGTTTTGTTCCACTATCGCGTCGTCAGTATTGGTCCTGCTTCCAAATACAAGCAACCGTAGCTCTAGAGGCGTAATAGATGGAGGTGATTAGTGTGTACCTGGACATCCAGCCCGGAAGTCAGCAGCTCGCGCAGTCGGCCTCGGTTCACGCGGATGCGCTCTGCTGCAGGGACGCTGTACAACGCTTCGCCGGTTTTGAGGTTGAAGAACTGGAACCGTCCGACGTCGCCGCGGGCCGCTGCGTCCTTGTTGACAAATGTGTCGGAGAACCGCCGCACCAGATCCTCTGGAAGCAGCTCTCGCAGCGCTGGGAGAGACCAGTGCAGTGTCAGGCCCCATCCACCGCTTCGCGCGTCCAGGGCGGAATCGCGATCAAAGATCTGGAAGGGGACGCCATGGCGTTGGAGATGTTGCGCGAGGATCAGGCCGCTGATCCCTGCGCCAATGATCAAGACGGGAGTATCAAGCATCACGGCATTCACAGCATAGTAACACAAGACGCTGTGATGGCCAAGGGTCTGCTCTGTTATTGTCTGTTGTTGTCGGCACTTGTGCTTTTTCTCTGGAGCTCACAGGTCACACCCCTTCCGAAGTCTAATATCGCGAAAATACGACCAGTCAGATCACGAACCTCGCGGAGTGGAGAGAAGTATCGGCTGGCGCCTACAGCCTCCCGATTCAAAGTCTGGGTTCTACTTGATTTATGCGGCTAAGAGGGGCTGAAGGAGGTATATCCATTTGTGAGGTCACTTTGTTACATTTGTCAACCCGCTCTGGGCGCATACAGTTCAATAGCGACGCCCGCTGAAAGTTACAAGCCCGTAACCCGGAACCAGGATGCTGGAGAATCATTTGCGGTTTTCTTTTTTTTCTTTTGGTATTCTCGACTGGCTTATCTCGAGGCCAATACAACGCAACTCGGCCGCACTGAAACCTGCGGGGCCCGAAAAAAAGAAGATCGACACTCATGCGGTGCCAGTGACTGTGCCAAAATCAACTGTGCCAACACTACAAATTGCCCGGAGCCTCTCAAGTGTCTTCCTGCGATCCTCCCGTCCCCACTGGGGCCGTGTCCCCGCGGGACTTTAACAAAGAGCAGCAATCAAGTTGACTTTCGTGGCGCAGCGGGAACCCTGCCCTATGGAGTGGGGGGGCAATTCCGGGATCCATGCAGGAAGGTAGACAGTCCACTTTACGAATTCAGGCCTTAAAGGCCAAGTGTATGAGCTTGAGTCGGATGACAGTCGACAGGGATTAGCACAGGTTGTAAATTCTGAGGTGTATCCCTCTGTATTGTACTCCTAAATAGCCACGGCCCAAAACGTTACAGCCACAGCCAGTCCATCGCAAACAAAGAAAACTAATGATAACATGTACCGAGAAATCGTGCCCGAAAAACCAATGACAGCAACCCGGACTATCACCTCCCAATGCCAGACGCGGGTCGCCTTTCAAGCGATACCTGATATTCGACCGTCATCTCGATTCCCCCATGGGCCGGTTCTGGATTGGCAAGAATCAACTCCTCGCTTGCAGTCCGCTTCATATATGAATAAGATGGGCCGGACACATTGGACTGAAGCTGGGATCTTTGCTCGTTGGACCAAGCATCCATGTTGTAGTTTTCCTTCCGACTGTCGTAGTACTTGCGGCCGGTGGTGGACCGGAAGTCGCGCACAACACCTTTCAGCAGCGGTGCGAGGTAGGGAACACAAGTCACGATGTTCTACACGCAGAGTCAGCTGGATCATCATTCAGGAATCTGGCGTCAAGATCACATACTCCGACATTAAATTCAATGGTGCCCCATAACACCAGCATCGTCGAGTCCCCGTCACCAAATGCCACTCGGTGGATCTGCGTCAGGCGTAGAATTGAGCAAATCGTCGTGAACAGACCCAAGAGAAACAGGCAAACCACTCCGGCCTTCTGGGCAGGCTTGATTTTCAGCTTGAGTAGGAGGGGGATCGGCAGAAAGATGATCATCACATCGCAGATGATCGTGAATATCGCGAGCCCATAAAACGTAGCTCCTACCGGCAGGCATTTTCCGGGGATCTTCATATTCCAGGATCGTGCCACCGGGGTACAATTAAAAAGCAGCACTGCAGTCCCTGCAATATGCCCAAGCGTTGAGATCATGATCACCACCCAGATCAGATATCGATAGAACCGTTTGGATGTGCCCGAGAGGAGACGGAGGTAGCTGAGGCAGAGCGACGCCTTGAAACCGGCAATGCCAATCTGATAGAAGGGACGGCCTGCGTAGTTCAACTAGAAGAGGGTCAGCCGCGATCTCGGAGTCCTTCGAATCTGTTTTCCAACCTTTGTATACGTTGCCAGATCTTCGTGGGGGCGTAGCTTGAGTGGCAGTCCAAGCCCATATCGGCTTTCTATAGAACAAGATTAGCTGGGAGATGCAAGTAATAAAATGCGAACAAAGAGCCATACGTGCGATGCACAGCGCACTATAGATCACACTAAAGATCTGGGAGAAAGGTCAGCCTCAGGATCAAGTGCTAACATGAGTACACTTTCAAGTCCATACGCACCATTCCTACAATCATCACATAGTCTGCTGCGCCCAGTCGACTCGAGCGAGCGCGGATCCCCAGCCGCAAGAGGACGGTGGTAACCATCACCACCGTCAGACTCAAGCACACGGCCAGGATGACGGGATATTGCGATGCCGCATCCACGGCAGGCGAGGCATTGTAAACCCACCCCATGGCGCATGGGTGAAAGGAAAGCAGCGAGCGACATTGATTTCAATGTCCGATTCCACGTGGATTATCTACCGCATGGCGCGGAGGCCGCGAAGGGATAACGTCTACCGCAGGACAATCCGAAAAAGGGCAAAGGACAGAGGACCAAAAGTCTTGTATCAGATTAAATGGGATCCTCGCAACAGAAAAGAAAATAAAATACATCCAAATAACAAAAGAGGCTCCGCGGCCCCAGCTGGACGACCCCAATCTCCGCTCACCCCTTGCGTGTGGCAGTAACTCGAGTCAAGGCTGTACCAATGACGACGGACTTGGTATCTGCAGCCTCCAATAGTGACCAAACTCTCCTCGAGGCAAACTTTCAGAATCCACCTGTGAAAATTACCTGTTCTTTGTCGCTTGGTATTGGGTTTGCGGTAATTCCACAGAACTTTGGGAACATTGGATAGCTTCGTTACATCGCATCTGCCCTCCCCGAAAGGGCCTAGTCAAGTTCTATCTAAAGTCCAGGGTAGTTTCCACGCCATCCGTGAAACATTCAACTCAAATATTCAAATGCACTAAGTTCAGGTGATCTGTCCTCGCATCTTGTACACCATTCTTTTCTCTCCGACCCTGCCTTGTTTGTCGGGGCCGTCTCGCTCTTTTTTTTTTCACTTCTTTGTTTGGTTGTCCTTGTCCATACACCCCAGATCCGTGGAAAGAAGCGCTCTTCTCTACAATGGCAGGGAAACAGCCCGATCTGCTTTTGGATCAAACGGACGAAGCGGTGGGGTATCTCAGTAATCATGGCGATGAGGCAGCTCAGGCCAACATGGCGGCGATCCGTCGGAAGATCGACTGGCACATCCTGCCCTACATGTTCTGCTGCTATGTCCTGCAGTTCCTGGACAAGGTCATGCTGAACGTAAGTGGGAGAGTAACCCCAAACCACGACCGAAAACTAAAAAAAAAAAATCCTCTCCAGTATGCCGCCGTCATGGGCATCAAAGCTGATCTGAAATTGGTCGGCAATGAGTTTTCCAACCTGGCGACCTACTTTTTCGTAGCTTATTTGCTCGCCGAGATTCCCAATGGTGAGTTTGCAGGGCCCCTTTGTCTGGTCACTTGTTTTGCCCTCCTTTCCCCTCTACTCTCTTCTTCCCCTTGCTCTAACACTTTCGCAGTATATTGTCTGCAGAAAATCCCCGCCGCTAAATGGCTGGGTGGCAATGTCTTTCTGTGGGGAGTAGCAGCTGCAGCGTCGGCCGGAGCTCATGACTATCGGGGCATTTTGGTCGCACGAGTCTTCCTGGGCATCTTTGAGGCGACGATCGGTCCATCCTTGATGCTGATCAGTAGCCAGTATTATACCCGCAGTGAGCAAGCGCCTCGCTTCACCTTCTGGTACATGGGCCTCGGGGTGGCGCAGATTTTGGGTGGGATCATTTCCTTTGCCTTCCAGCATGTCGAACATGCGGCTCTCAGCAGCTGGCGGATCATGTTTCTCGTGCTGGGGCTGGTCACAGTGGTGGTTGGTGCCTTAACATTCTTCTTCATCCCCGATACGCCGGTCAAGGCGCCCTGGCTGTCGGACAGCGATAAGGTTGCTCTCTTGCAGCATGTCAGCGAGAACCAGACGGGACTGTGGAGCAGTTCGATCAATGTAAAACAGATCGGCGAGGCTGTGCTGGACGTTCAGCTCTGGCTTTTGACCTTGATTACGATTCTGGTATGATGGGATATCCCATTCCTTTTCTATTGGCGTGACAAATGAAACTGACTGGGACCTAGATCTCCGTCTCCAGCGGCGTGGTGACCACGTACTCGGCCACACTGATCGCGGGCTTTGGCTACTCAGGGCCCATCTCCGCTCTGCTCAACACCCCGTCCGGCCTCGTCAGTATTTTCTTCACGCTGCTGGTCGGATATGGAATCCGAACGTTCTCACACCGCTGGGCTTGGAACATCCTCTGTACTATCCCGGGCATCATCGGCGGCGGGCTGATGTCTTTCCTCCCCAAGAGTAACATAGCCGGCGTGCTCATGGGCATCTACCTCGTCAATGCCGTCGTGGCCACCCTGCCGATCCTCTACCAGTGGACAATGGCCAACTGCGCCGGCCACACGAAGCGCGCATTCGCAAGCGCCCTCGTCGCGGGCTCCTTCTCCGTCGGCAATATCATCGGTCCCCAGACGTTCCAGGCCCGCGATGCGCCGGAGTATCATCCCGCTAAGATCTCCGTGTTGGCTACCCAAGCAGCCGGTGCACTTCTCTCGGTCGTGCTGTTCCTTTACTACAAGTGGATGAATCGTCGACGCGACCGCGAACAAGGGTCCCTTGATAGATCGATGGTGGATGAGACAAAATGGGCTGGTCTCACGGATAAGCAGAACCCTTTCTTCCGCTACGCGTATTAACGCTGGAAATGACGATGCTTATCGCACCCGCATGAACATTGGGATTTGTATTTAACAGAGCCAGGAAGCACCCTGGTATGGCAGCACTATATACGTTTGGAGCCACATCATTGGCTTGTTCCTTATTTTGGCTGCCAGACCGACGTCAGGACGGAGCGGACATAGACCAGCAGATAGACCATCATGTAATTTGTAACCGTGAAAGCAAGAAAAATGCCGAAATACGGCCAGATCTTCGACTCATCCAGCCCAAGGCCAGCAAGGTACTTGAAACCAGTTAGCCATGTATGTACTCTGAAATGAAGTTGATTTGTTACTCACATCATCCCCGGAGCTGTACTCGCAGTAGCCACACGTCCCAGTACTTCCTGGATTCGAGAGACCCCACGCCCTTCTCGGCGAGCCAAGGCCCAGCATACTCACTACATGTCATATTCGATGGACTCGCGAACACCATCAGTTCATCATCGGCGCACTTCATAGGCGCACCATAAAGGACTGTGGTCAGCACACCTCCGATCCAGTACGTAAAGCGCGTGCCGTAGTACATCGCATACTTCTAAAAAGCGGGCAGCTTGTCGTGTGGACAGAGGACTCCGTTAAACAACTCACACATAATAATGAAGAATATCGTCAAGGTTGCCGCGACCAAGAGCGAGGTCGTATATGGAGGCTTGACTTGTCGCTCTGCATAGAGCGCTTGAGTTCCTCGACGCTGCCTTGCTCTGAATTTGATCGAACACTCCCCATTGTCTGCCGAATGTCATATTGCTCGACTGATATCTCGATATTCTTGAACGCCGCTTCGAGTTCAAGAGCGCGGCCCTTAGGGGCTCGATGTTCCCAACCAGGCGGGAATTTCCGGCGCTCGGGCAGAGTAATGCTGGTCAAGAAGTCGGAGGTGGTTTGCATCTCTGCGCATTCATATCCAAGGTCTTCGAAATACTGCTTCGCTGCGCAGGCGGGCCCTTGGAAAATCATTCGACCTTTGTCAATGACAAGGACCTTGTCCATCAGCTCATAGATGGCATCTGATGCTTGATATAGAGTGAGCAGTGTCGCTTTCCCACAGGTATCAGTCATGATACGCAGGCTACGAGCAAAGAGCCCCCGTTGGAACTTCGGTTATTGCTCTTCTTGATCAATCAATTTAGAACCTTATCCATATACTAGAACACCGGCTTTATACTAACTAGATAATTACCAATTAATAATAGCCTTTATTATCGAAGGATCATTATCCGAACCAAACATTTTCCTTCGATATATATTGAGAGTGTATATTGAAGCAACAACTGGATGTGCGGACAGACCAACCAGTTACTATGATAATCGAAATCAAGTTGTTATTTCTAATTTCTATACGTCAAACCTTGTAACTATATAGATTTTGGGAGTTGTACCTTGGATCGTACTGAGCCTATTTCAGCACTTTATTTCCCTTTCTAGATGATCGATAACAGTAGCACGGATACAAAATGCCCCTGGGATCACAGGAACCATTTAAATCCATGCCACATGCACCTTGAGACTAACAGCTCCACTTTGACCCCAGCGTCTCTCAGCTTTCAGAAGAGTCGCACACCGTGACGCAAAGCAAAGTCACGCGTGCCAACAGTGATAACTCTAGGGCTAATAATCAGTATATAGTCCATTGTAGGAGAATAGTGGGGATCTTTCGGATCGATTTCCTCGGGATGCACGACCATGGTCAACACCGCACGATCTCTCGGGCTGCCCATGTACACATTGAACGAGGTGTTCCGCCTTTTTTGGGGCTTGATATGGGGTGGCTTAATTATCATTACTGGAATGCCTACCATGGTTCTTGCGGTGTCGCTCGATCAGGGCCGCCTCCCCTAGAGCCATTTTCGGCTCGAAACTTTGAAGGATTCCGGCAACCCGATGTGGTATTGCGAAAAAAAGGTGAAACCACGTTGGCAAAAGGAGCGTGTCGGACACTGCTGAGGATCTGGACGGCTTCAGGACCCAGAGGTACCTTTTAGCCCTCTGTGAGTGCGATCATTTCCATGGTTAAGGTCCCTTAGGAACAAGAATGGGTCACAGTGAGCTTTGCCTATGTGAAAAGGTGTCCCGACGGCATGAAAGTGGCAATGGATGGCTATCCATTCTCCTTTATACCCTCCTATCCTGGTCACGGTCGGTAAAGATGGAAGACAGCCTCATATTTGCGGATAGTCGTTATGAAGCCATGGATCCTGTAGTAGCTCCGCCGCCGTACTTCGCTCTTCGGGTTTCCATTTGATCATCCTTTTGACGAAGCTAATAAACCTCCTCTTCTCTTCCCCGTCAAACTTGGAGATAGTGCTTTCAAAGCTAAAGTCACTAGGGACAAGGTCTTCCCTTTTGAGTGTTCCTGAAATGTAGTGTTAGTTATATAAAAGATATTTAAGTGATAGACTCACTTACCAGCAGCCGTATAGAACATCGATGTCCTCTTGCCGCGGCGAACAAAGTCTTTAGGGGCAGGACCCAAAAGCGACGTTATATACGAAAGATGCGTTTCATCATCATAGACTTCAACGGTGCGTGGATCAACTGATTCAAACAGTGTTCGTCCTTCTAGAAAATCCCATAGCTTCATTCAAAGGTTAGTTTGTGCTGGTATGTGTTTGGGGGTTGGGGGCACCGCGTACCATAACTCCCAGACTCCATATATCAGCACTATACGTGTACCCTCTGTCAAGGATGACCTCTGGCGCACGATATACCTCCGCCTGGATACATCCATCCTGAAGAATATCACCTTGGACTGCCAGGTCAAAGTCGACGACTTCAATCAGTCCGATGATGTCCTTCAACGGGCCATAGTCCTTACGGGATAGATAGATAATGCGTCCATCCTTGCAATGCTTCTGAGGTAGTGGGTTTTCAAACTCCTCTCGAGCATTCTGGGATAAGAGCTCACGATCCTCCAGTCGTACCATGATGTTATCCGGCTTTAAGTCTGTTATTTCTGCGTGAGAACAATATTGTTAACTATCGCAAACAAGGATTCTTACCGGTATGAATGATATGACATTCAGTGTGGAGATAATCAAGCGCTTGGAGTATTTCTTGGAGGATTATTTTGAAAATCTCCGGTGGCATCACGCGACCTTGCCATCGTTGGCAGTATTTTCCCAGTGACTCACGTAAAGGTTCGAAGACGAGACATACATGGTCCCCTGAGATTCCCTGGACAGAAAACGAATTGAGTAATTTTCGAACGAAACGGAAACCCTCATGTTGAGGGTTCGCTCTCGTTATATGCCGCAGAACCTCCAGCTCAACGCCACCAGGAGTTTTCCGTGCGTGGGAATTATTGGAGTTAATTTTCAGAGCCACATATCGCTCATTCGACCAGCGCCACCTATACTGTCAGCGTGTACCTCAAATTGTGATTAGGCCAATACGAACTGGTGAAGGTCCCTTGCAAGCCACACAGTCGATCTGCTTCCGTGGCCAAGCTTGGTCGCAATTTGATACCGGTTATTCAGTATTTCACCGATCCGCGCCGGATAGAAATAGGCGGGTTCGTAGTAAGGAGAGTTCTCTTCTTCAATCAGCAAGGACGGGTCAATTCGAGATGGAAGGGCGGACGAAATTGCCCAAGGAGACTGGCGAAACGCCTTGAAAGGATGCATGAGAATATTAGGAAGATTCCGCGTCATTATTCTGCAAGCCAAAAAGCCTGACACAGGTTCATTTGTTATAGAGAGAAGGGGGTAGTACGAACTTGGAGCGAAGATGGCTTGTTTTGGATTCCGTAGGCGGTGTAGTCGGAACTTCGAGCCTCGAATCTGGCTAGTTGGGATCCCGTAAGCTCGCGCGGCATGTCGCATTATGTCTTGTGCATTAGCGCAGCGCTAAAAAAAATGCGGGTTCCAATCTCTCGGGAGCTCAGGTCAAAATCGCGGCAGAGGTCCCAGCATCAAGTAACTCTAGACAAAAATAACGCCATGACAATTCCTGTCAAAAATACGAAGCACTTCAACATACAGGGGCATAGTGCCCATGCTATGAACAAAGTCTGTTGGGCATATCTGATAGCAGCATGGTACGGTGTCCTTTTTGACTCGGTCCTAATTCCACCATCAACATTCCTGTACAGAAAGAGAACTACCATTGACAACGATGAATGAGAGACTGCTACATATCCATGTTCACTCTATGGCTGGGTAATTATACATCAAATGACCCTGTCCACAGTCGGCTTGATTCTCTGCAGCACTATACAAGCCCGTATCACCACCCTATCATCCCGAGGTATACAGATTGTTGTCACTTCGAATTTGCAGCTTAGTCTTCTTGGGCTTTGTTGATACTGTCCTTGGAGTATATGATCGTTCCATCGTGATATGCGTGGAGAGATGTAAGTCGACGGTTGTTCTTGAACACTTGCCCCGACACGCGAGCCTTAGGGTCTTCTGGCGAGGTGTGTTCGTCACCACTGAGATTCATCAGTACTCGGCGAATTTAGTAACGCTGTGACACTCTCCGAGAGACATACGCAATCTCCACCTTATCAGCATCGGCTAGTTTCCGGTTCTTGGCAAGTTTCGCTTTAATACGAGCCTCGTATTGGGGGTTAGAGGTCGTCCCCTTCCATATGAATTCAAGGAGAGCGCGAGCTGTAGTCGAGAAGTTCCGACGTATCGATGACATTGCAAGCGAAGCTCGAAGATAGCGTGCGAGTAAGATGTAGCCAAGATACAAGGATAATAAGAAATAAGTTGGTCGTCTCCAGGGCTGCATTGAGCCTTAAGTATTGCGGTGTTTCCATAGTCTAGCCAAGTAACTTGAGCGCGTAACTCTGATGTACAAGTGGAGGATTGCTTGTTGCCAACTAAGCATAAGCACTAAACAATGCTTTGGTATGATCTACGTAGTGCAGATGAAGATCTTCCAACTTTGAGTCGTCAGTTATTTTTAGATGAGAGCCACTACACTTACTCGCTGCTAGGCTACAGGCTCTCAGTTGCGTCAGGACAAAGGCTGATTTGGCTGGCCAGAGCCGGACCAAGTAGAGCTGTAACTTGGGGTGAGTCGCCAGCCAACATAGCCGCCGGCCAAAATAACCATGTGAAAGTCGAGCGGGGAACCTTGCCTATGAGATGTGAATACCGCGTCCAAAGGAGCTCGAGTGCTGTACAATGGCTCGGTCCCTCATAGCTCGCGCCCATGCGGCACCTATCAATAGATTCCGTGATTGGCTGAGGGTAGTGAAACACTGCCCCCCCCAAAAAGCAATGGCCAATGACGGGAATCATGAGACGAAGCCTGATGCATGCTGCATGCTGCATGCAGGCACAGTGTATAGAGTAAAAAACAGGAAGTTTCTCGAAAGTTGATTAGTTACGTGCTGAAAAGAAAGCTGCTGCTGAAGCGGTGCAGACCACCACCGAATCGAAGGCCACTGCGGGGGACCCATCCTTCATCTGATAAGGTAATGACACCCTCGCTGGGACAGCGTGGGTATCTGGCTGAGAACCGCCGTGCGCACTTCCTGGTCACCCTCTACACTATCTCAAGACTGGTACAAGCTTAGAACGATTGGACTAGGAGACAAGTAGTACGAAGAGACAGCTTATATGAAGTTTTCCTTTCTGTGTCGCCGGTGCTCTTTGGTGGGACGTACTGGGACTAATTTCCTCCATTTCACGAGACCTAAGGAAAACAGCATACAAAACCTACGCCTATCACACGCCACCATCGAAGCCTCCACGTCTTGCCGATGCTAAGGAATCCAAATGGATAGGTGGCTGCGGCTCAAGTATTTTCAACTGGTGCGGGTCTTTGTGAGTGGCTAGTTGGCCTTGACCACGCAGGAACCCCTAGCGCACGGATAGGGAGGGGCCTTGGACCCAAATTGGGTCTCGCCAGAGCCTATTGATCAAGAAAGCCGCTCAGTAATTGGTGCTCGTGAGCTGTCATTAGCGCCAAATGCAGGGGCCGTCACACTCGAGTTATTGGAAGCAATGTTATCTGGCAATCAGCACAGCGATTCGTTTTGTTTTCGGTGGTTCACTTGATAATTCTCCTGCGCCCTTTCGCTTAACTGACGGTGGATAACACTTCCAAGGTTCATTCGTGACTGCAGTTGCAAGGGTATGCCACTTCCGTTGGCCTGCAGCCGTTAATCCCAGCAGCACTATGTAGTTATCGTGTTTCAGGAAATTTTCGCTTTTTTTAACTTGAGGCTCATCAAATTTCCTGTCTGGCTTTCCTTACAAACGGACAGGAAGCTGTTGGCCGACATCAACTTTCCGGCATATGGAAGCTTATATCTTTCAACTGCACCGCTGGCACCTGCATCTAGGCTACCGCTAGATAGGGGCTTCTGCGTTGGACCGATACTGGAGTTGTGGCGACCACAGGTACTACCATCATGCAGTTCCTATGATTCCTTTCTGACTTTCATTGAAAAGATCATAGCTAAGGCTTGAGGATACAGGGCTGACGATAGGTGCATTTGCCGATGGCCTCGTTGATGCAGGCCTTGCAAGGATTCCACCGAGAGATTCTCAACTTCCAAATGAGCCGTCCTAACATGGCTCAGTACAGACACGTTAAGAACTTCTCAAATAGGGCCGTGCATACTACATACAATGTCCGCTAATAGTCACGTTCAAGACGCGGCTTCGCTGATCTTATTTCATCCGGACCTAGTATTTTCGTATTTTCCCTCCATTCGATTATCCTCGAATCGCCCTTGGAACACGAACATGAACTTGGAAAATTCAGATTATCCGACCCTCAAGACCAAGCCTAGATTTCAAAAGAGTCCATTCATATTATTGTAATGAAAATGAAATGACCCTTGAGAGGACCAGCGCATAGCAGCGCAGTTCTAGGCGGCAAAATCTCCGTTAATCCGCCCCCGGACCCAGCAAACTCGATTCTCCAACTCGACCATGTCTCAACCATGCGCTTCCATGCCCTAATCCGCACCCACCACATCACCTCGCGGAAAAAAGTCGGCGTCCTCAAACGCGCCGCCGACACGCACCAATGTCTGGTGCTTCTGCGCTCCGGCGGCTGTCCGGGCATCATGTACGTTGAGGGTCCGGCCCAGGCGCAGGTCGACGCGTGGGTCGGAGTGGTGCGCAAACTACGCTATAAAGATTTCCAGCTCGTGATGCGGTCGGCGCAGCTCATCCCCGAGGGGCCAGATTCGGCTCCGGCTGCAACATCAGAGGCTGATCCCCTGGATGGGAGTTTGCGTGAGATTGACAGTGTGAAGGAGTTCGGCGAGTGGATGGCGCGGCGGAGAGTCTGGCATTGGTGGAGGAGAGGCATGGGATATGCTTGATCGGAAGGCGTTTTTCTGTCTTCCTCTTTCTATTGCATGATATGGGAAGGGAGGGAGTGGCTCTTGGGAGTGCTATCGGTGTTTTACGGGCGCTACTGTTGCTCTTAAAAGTGTTTCTCTCCCAATACCCATGGGACTTCCCCGGGGAAAAAACGCTAAATTTCTAATATGACTAGTTCATGGTGGCCCCCTTCATGCTTGGACTGGCGCTGGATAGCTCAACAGCTTGCAAATATCCTACGTGGAGGTCAGCTAAGACTACAAGCATGTGGAGGTGGTAAAGGAGACCTACCTTTCGCCGTCGGCGGAAATCATCATACAATTCCTTCCATACCTCGCGATCCCGACAACCAGACTCCTGTGGCGTCCCTGGGTTCTTGTCGCACTGTGGCTGGAGCTCAGCCAGCTGCTTCTGGGGCCACATCACCCAAGGCTTAGGCAGCGGCCAGTCAGAAAAGTGGACCAATTTGGCCTCAGCCAGCACCTTGTCGGGATTCCACTCCGCATCTTCGCCCAAATAGTACCGATGATCTTTCTTGCGGAACTCGCCCGTGATAAGGCCGTATTGCTTGTGGGGAAGAACCATGGCAACGTCACCGTAGCGGCCGTTGAGGATCTCCATGTCGAATCTATTTTCCTTCAAGTTGCCCACCTGGCCCGAAGCGACCGCGCTGCCATCCTCTCTCAGAGCCGTGTACTCGCGGTACGAGGGTTGAATAACGGCTAATAGGGAAGTGAGGATATCGGTGTGAGGGAGCAGCCAGTAGGCACGGGGCATGGCAATCGTCGTCTCAGGGAGGAAGAACAGCTCGTCCATGTTCTGCAGGACGGTCAAGTCGTTATCGAGGTGGATGACCCGTTCGTACTGGACGACGCCGAAGGCAGCCAGTTTGGCAACGCTGGTGTCCCAGGAAGCCTTTGCAGACGGGCCTAGGCCTCGTTAGCTTTTGATTTGATTTGTTTTTGTTTTTGGTTTCCTTATTCAAAATGCGCCGACGATTTCACTGTACATACCACCTTCGGGCTCGACCCTGATGCCCTCAATTGCAATCGGTCTGAGCTCCACACGGTATTTGTCTTTGGCCATCAAGAGGAGCTGGCTAATGCGGTCGCCCTCGTCCTGCACAATCAGATCCCATTCGAGCGGATGGAACAGGATGCGCTCAGCGCGAGATCCAAGCCGCTCCAGAGAGTCGAAGACCATGATGGAATTGCACAGGTATGTCTCCGAGGTTGCATATTGTGTGTAGGCGTAGCGCGACCAGTCTACCTTATTGAAGTCGATGTGGGGGAGGCCCATGTCGGGCTCGGGGGGTCTTGAACAGCCATTTGAGGAAGAACCACAGGAGACCTAGATACAGGAAGGTACGCTTGCGGCGTAGCTGGCGCCTCACGAAGGGTAAGATTGCTTCATCGGGGATGTCGAAGAAATCCCTTTCCGAGTCGTTGGAGTCCCGCCGTACGGGGAGGGTTGGAACTCGGGACATGGTGAACGGTGGACCAACAGCGCATAGCGACGCTTCGACCTCGCGCCGTTTATCTTATCGTCACGTGCAATCTATGACATCGCTTAGTTTGTAGTCTATTCTGGATTTAGAAAAAGAAAAATAGAAAATAAAAAAAAAGAAGCCTTTTGTATTCATAGATTATTGAGTATGTCGTCCCCGGCCCAAAACACCTCGAAACCATGTTGATACGCGTTTCCGATATGTACATGCTGAGTGCAGGGCTTCGTATGGGCCCTTTCCTCTTCTTCACCAGCCTTACAGGCTATCTTCTTAGTGCTGCTGCGCCTCATGCAGTGGCTCCGCTCCCTCCGGCAAGAGCCGTGCACCACCCGAAGATATCGAGCGCCCGTCGTCTACCTGCACTGTAATGTCTGTCTTCACGGTAACGCAGCCATCATCCACATGATTCGGCTGTTCAGCCCGCGAGATACGGCTCTCTGAGCGCTCTTGGGGCATCTCCCACCCCGTCTGCTGGCTCTCTTCATCTTGCCAGTTTGTAACGGTCAAGTCCATCCACTGGTCTTTGGGTCGCCGTTTGAGTTCCATCTCCTGGTTCTTGTTGCTATTGTCGGTGGATCGAGATCGGGACCAGTACCCTGGTTTTTTGTCGTGGCGGCGGTCGATAATTGCCCGAAGAAACAACCGGGCCACCGGGGCGCATGATGCAAGCAGGATGCTATAGTTTTCAATTCTGCCCTTTGTTAGACCGAGAGGGGGGTTTATGGCGAGCTTGGAGAGACAGGACTTACTTAACCCAGAGGATAAAACTGACAATATTATACGTAAAGTCCTGCCGATCACCTAATGATTTGAGTTTCTAGTGACTTTGTCAGTTCCGCCATGAATTTTTGATCTGCCAGGGAACATATCACTCACGTATGTCTTCACTATAGAGGCAGCGCCTGAGAGCAGTAATGGGCCACTCAAAGTAAGAGTCTGCCAAATCCGACGTGACCGGACGGTCCGGTTGATTTTGCGGAACTGGCTCCAGACCGACAGGTTGGGATCATTGTGGAGAGTGCGGATGAAGAACTGCCATAGCTCCATCGCAGCTAGGGCAGCCAGGAAGAAATCAATCACCGTGTTGAACCCTCCTTGGACAAAGCCCACAGTGGTCTGCACCGATGGCGATTGACAGACGACAGAACCGTCCGCGGGGAGAGGCGTCCACATATATTTGAAATATAAGAGACGGTTGGCCTATTTCAACCTATCAGTGATGCCGCCGGCGAGGGGAGGGGTCGACAATCATACTGTGCGGTATGGGTTAGGACCACATTGGACCACGATCTGGACCACGGTCACCATGTTCGCGACAATCTGGACAATAGCACATATGATGATCGAGGCTCTGAGTCTGATATCACTCGCAGAGAAACAAGTGAGGAGAAACCACATCATGCCTGTGCGGGAAATCATCGCCGATGATACCGCCAATGGCTGCGAGATAAAGTCCCATCTCAAGGCGTGGAACTTTTCCCGGGGGGTTAAGTAGAAAAAGTGCCGTCCCAATCCCCAGTACGCACTTGGAACGCATGAGCTGAAACCCCTTGAAACGACATGGTGGAAGGCAAAAAGCTCACCTGTTCTGAATGGCCGTCATATGGGCTATATCACACCCGTAGGCCGCTAAGAAGAACAAGTCTTCGATACCCCAGATTCGTTCGGGCACCGAGACCTGCGGCAGGGCCCATCGAATCCATGCCTTCACAGCATATCGAAACAACAGAGCAGCTCCTACTATGGCCGTGAGAACCTAGTTAGAGCATTAGTCTCGTCTTTGGCGTTCGGCTTCGGCCAGTGCCAGCATACCCAACATGCAGCAAATGTGGCAGTGCCTGCAAACGTCAGTCTCCAGCTCTTCTATGATGCCAGTGGTGAACGTACCGATATTGACATCGCCCTCCTTGGGATGTGGAACATCCATGATGAAGAACAGGAGTACCACCCGTCGCCCAAGGTGCGGACAGGCTCAATACAAATAGTCGCACATTCAGAAGATAGCGGGGACATAGAATGAAATCGCAGCCATGTGCAGAGATCAATGCAATGACTTGCGCATCGAAGCTTCCGAGAATGAACTGAAAGCCAAGAAGCTTTGCATTACAGGTCAGAAGAGACGGGTGGTTCGAAAATGGGCCCAACAAGGGATGCAGGGCAAATCAGGCACCGCGGGGGGGACGGGTCAGACTTGGGAGACTACGAGGTTTATTATGTGGAGGGCACTATTGGCGCCATGGAGAGGGGGAGTCGAATAATGGGTTTCAGAAAGCACCTGAACCGAGGGAAGTCGTGCGGGCATGAATGGACACTGACAGATTCCGCGAGATTTCGGAGCCACAACGAGCCGGCCCTACGATCCGGCTCTATGACGATCCGGTTTTGCAATGCTCTGGCAAGGACAAAAGGCTCTCATGCTGTGTTATCGCCTGTGGATATCACCGAAGCATTCCAATGCGTGGAGCCTGGGCAAATGATACCCACGCACTGTCTATGCACCCGGGTGCAAGGGTGTGACGAGACAATGGAACGAGAAAGGATGAACCTAGAAATATGACCAGTTGCCTGTCATTCTGTCATTCTATCATTCTGCCCGCAAGAGTCGTCCCACTCGTCTGGTTATCACAAAAGCAAAACCCCCACCTGGGGGGGGGCTTACGGACTAGGGTTTCTGATCGGAAGACATCCGAGATTCGAATTTACAAGCTGCAAGTGATGGGGATTCTGGATCCAATGGACGATTGGGGATCTTCGGCACCGTCGTAGGCAAGGAGTAATTGACAGCCGCTGCCATTGGTGCAGCTTAACTGGTGGATCCAAGTTATGTGATGGGTCATTTCCATTCGCCTCTACAAATCTGGTTCATGCAGGCGCGTGGAACCACCTCAGATGGATCATTTATGCTTGAGTTATGCCTTTTCCTCATCTGGTGTAACGAGAGGTGGTCCCGCACCTGCTTTTGCTTTGCAGGATAATCTCGTATATTCACACCTACACCGAGGTCCACCGAACAGTGTCATCTTTCAATTTCCCAAACTACAAACTCTGCAATGTATCATGTACGAACTCTTTGACGCTCAACATGAACTGTATTCAATCTCAGAATCAATGAGCCTTGCGCATCTCCACCAACGACTCCCCCGCCGCCACATATTTCTCAAAAGTGACCTGAAGCCCCGACACTTTGGCCAACTGCCGCCACTCCGCCGCGCTGCGCTCCCGGCCCCCGTACAAGGCGATCATACTCGCATGTAAGGAAGTATACGTCGCGTTCTTTGCGTATTCGATAATCAGCAGACGCGACGTAGGCGCCATGGCGTGTGATAACTTCTGCAGCAACGCCACCGCGTCCAGGTCCGGCAAGTTATGCAGGATATGCTGGAGGGTATAGATGCGGGCGCCGGTGATGGGCTGGGCCGGACTTTCCTTGTAATTCCACTCCATGAGACGCAGCCCGGGCACCTCGTCAATCTCCGCGTTGAACTCCTGCACCACCAGGTTCTCCGCCGTCAGGTGAGGGAAGGTGGCCTGGACTTCGAGCAGGAGTTCGCCTTTGCCCCCGCCGATGTCGACCATCGCCACCGCGCCCGGCTCGCTCAGGGCCGCCCGCAGATCGTATCCAAAGGATTGCGCTCGCTCGGGGAAGGTGCCGGCTTTGAAGAACTTACCCACCATAAACCGGTTGAAGCTGCCCATGCGCCCTTGCGCCTCCATGATCGAGTACGTGTGCTGCGCCGCCAGCTGGTCCTCGCCCATCAGCCGATACGCATACTGCATTGGGCCGTCGGCGTCGGCGAAGGGGTATGCAAAGTTCGTGTCTCGGAGTTTCTTCATGAAGAATGCGCCCGCCATCATCCCTTCCGTGGTGCTAAACCATCCAAAATTAGTGAGGTCCTGACCGAAGGGATGTTTCTCACCCACAAATGCAGAGCACCATGCTGGGCTGACGGCATGTCAACCATGTGTCGGGTGATGGCATTGGCATTATAACGGTCTTCGTCCACGCGGTCCACCAGCCCCAGCCCAGACATGATGTAGAGCGTGTCCGCTGCGGCAGTCAGTATTAAGATTTGGGTGTGACTGGCGTATCTTACAGATAAGCAGGGTGGCTATATCGCAGTTAGCATTGCCTTTTTTTTGGTTCTTTTTTTTAGTTCTTTTTGGGTTATCACTGGGAAACGTGTAGCAACCAGAGAAGGAAAAGGTTCATACAAATCTCGGGTTCCGTCTTAGTTCGGGCTGCGTTACAAGTGCTGGCGATGTCTTCTGCAGTTGCAGGGCCTCCATGCCTCACCAAGATGCCAAACAGATCGAAATGGATCGCAACTGGTACAAACCCTAGAGACGCTGGCTGTTTTCATAAGTTGGTCGGTCGTGTTGCTTATACGAGTTGTAACCGACCTTGGTAACTGTCGCCGCCAAGACGGCGCCTGGGGAAGCAGCCTTTGGGCTGAACAAGCTGCTTAAGCGATTGAGAAATGACATTTTGATGTCTGTGTTAACTTTCCTAAATCTTTTCCTAACGCTAAAATATTCCCAGCTCGTCTGTTTAAATGGGGGTGTGGAAAGGGGGGGAATGCCCATCTTGACGATAAGGCATCCTGACATAGACGCAGCAGCGTCAATAGGCCGGCATTTGGCGACGCGTCTAGGGATTTTCAACACTTCCGGCGCAGCACATGCACTAAGTAAACAAAGCTTCCAAGGGTATCCTAACCCGACGAAGGGAGACAGCCCACGCAAGGGGACGGCGCTCGGACGAGCTCAGGCGACGGCTGTGTTGGATCCAGAGACTTGCATCGCCAGAACCAGGGGGGGGGGGGGATCTCCCAAGGGCTGCAAGCCCCGCCAGAGAACAAGGAAAAAGGGAGGAAAAAAGAGGGATCAAAAAAAGCAATGCGACAATAGTTCAGTAGTTCCATCCCACCAAGCCACTTGCCCTCGCGATGTGGGACCCCAACAGCCGCAGTGGATCCCCAATGGAACTCGCGCCTCGAGATCATGGCTCGTTGAATTGGGGGATTAGACCCCAAAGGGGCTATTGGGGCTATCGAGCCTGTCAAAAAGCCATGTGAGAGCCTCCGGTAAAAAAAGAGTCGATCTATCCAGGGTCCTGGCCCCTATGATATGAATTGCCTTTGACAGGTTCTAGAACCTTGTCTAGATCGGTTCTTTGAGTCCAGGACCTGGGGGGAATCTCGTATAGCCAGGCCATACAGAACAGATCGAAGAGTAATTTTATGAGGGCTCATACCCCTGCTGCCCTGCTGCCCCGCTGTACAACAGGAAGCCACGCGAGAAAAATCTCCAGGCCATGTGTCCGATCTAGCCCCGGCCAATGCATAAAATCGTTTCCTGGTCCCCCCAGGGAGCAACCGATAGTCGCGCTCTGCTTTTATCTCCTTGCCGCGTGGCATCGTGCAGGCCCTAAAAGTTAAGTGTTTCTCGAATTTTTTTTTTCGCTATGGAGAGACTCGAGCCTCTGGAAGAACAGTCCGAGACAAGTGCGCCTGTGAGCCCATCGCAGTCGTATGGCACTCATGAAGCCAAATTCGCCGGTGCCATGGATCCGCGGGATCCACAGAATTGGAGCCCTGGTCGAAAGACATTACTATTCCTCGCGTTGATGTCGAGTTCGCTGTTGGCGGATGGGTACGTACGGCGCTACACACTCTGACGAAGAAAAAGACATTAATGAAGATGCCCAGAGCGATGGTCTGGGGCTCAACGCTTGTTACCCAACAGGCGATGGACTGGAATATTACAGTAAATCACTCCGCAACAAGTATGAACTATGGAATTCTCCTTCAAGGGTTTGGAGGAATACTGGCTGTTCCTCTAATCGAGGCCTATGGAAGGTGCGCACAGCTCATCGGGGAAAATTCCCAGGTCCTAATTCTGTGAACTCAATATAGATACCCCGTCTGGCTTTGGCCGCAAGTCATTTCCATGCTAATGGTGCTGGGGGCCACGCTTTCAAATGACTACAGCACTTTCACCACTTTTCGCTCCCTCCAAGGGCTCTTTGGGACTGTCCCCCAGGTGATCGGGCTGCCCATCATCCATGATATGTACAGACCAGAAGGTAAGTTCAAAATGCCTCACACTGGGGCTTATCCTGCGTTCGAAATCGTGGGTGCGTGCTAACTGGGAACGATATATAGAATGGCCACGTATGATCAATATTTGGTGAGCATCTATTGCGGCGCTTTAGCAAATCACCATAACCAAGTACTGATGAGTTGCAGGGGCACCGCGTTTCTTGTTGGTCCGTTCCTTGGCCCTGCCGTTGCGGGCTATATCGGCGCTGCGACCAACTGGCGCATTTCATTCGGTGTCTTGACTGCCTTATATGGACTCTCCACCTGCGCCGTGCTCGCTTTTGGGCGGGAGACCTACTACGTGGGGCATCCTGGGTCGCGGATCGGGTCTTACTTTGGGATTGGGAATACGAAGCTCCCCAAATGGGCGACGCTGAGCTACTGGAGCCAGAACCTCGCCGTCTATGTCTTCAAGTTCCCTCTTCTAATGACGGGGTTTGCCATTCTAGTCACGTTCACCTGGCCTATCGGTACGTCGAGATATACCAGTCTCCACCAGTATCCTAGGAATGCGATACTCATGCAAAACGCAGGGATTACTACCACCGTGGACACTTTCCTCCACAGTCCACCGTACCTTTTCAACACCGTCGAAGCCTCGTCGATGCGGTTTGCCGGGGTGATCGGTGCACTATGTGGTAAGGCCAAATCACGGCAAAGGCATCAACTGGTGGATCCCTGCTGACCCTCACAAAGGATGGACCGTTGGCCATTTCTTCAACGAATGGGTGTACCGGCGTCACAGCACGCACTGGTACCCCGAGTACCGTCTCCATGGAGTCTGGCTGCCAATCAGCAGCATGATAGGCGGCCTGCTCACCTACGGCCTGACAATGAATTTCGGGAAGCACTGGATCGGAATTGCAGTCGGCTGGATCATGGTGAATATCGGCATGGTAGGGACGATAGTGTAAGTTGATGAAGGAAACCTCCTCACCCCCCCGTGCATCTGTCAAGAGTATGCTGATTGAGATAGGGCAATCACGGCATACGCACTGGAGAAGTATCCGAATGAGTCCACATGCGTGTCTGCAATCTTGAATATGTGGCGCACTTGTGGAGGGTTTGCGGTAGGGTATTTCCAGCCCGCGTGGATCGCAAGAGATGGGCTGGGCTTGGTTTTTGGGATCCAAGCGATTGTGCTGTGCGTTACGATCGTCCTCACTATTCCGCCGGTGCTCTTGCGGGGACGTCGTACGCAACGAGCAGACTTGGTCGGAGAGGCGTGACGGCTCAGCAGTCTTTTATGCTCAACCACGCTACGGAGTAGATGGTCCCATTTTTAGGCCCCAGGAGGCATTCTGTACATCCACATCTTCATCCTCGAAGCCGAGGGAGCTTCAAGGGTTTGTTTTTCTCTTTTTTTGTTTTTTTTTTAAATGCTGTATATATTCTCGGCCCATGTACACGAAACCCGGTTTGATTTTTTGCACATCATTTGGTCTTAGTCAAGGCCGCAGCAGTAGGGATTGGATGATTGACAAATGCCATATGATCATTGCTTAGCCTCTTTGTGTCTTCCTTTTTTTCTTTTTTGCTTCGCGGAGTGCAGTTCTCAATCGAATAGCTTGGTCTAGGTCCATGCAGGATGTGAACATTTGAGAATTTGATTTGGTTGAGGCTCGAGGCCGCTATGTTTGAATGTCAGAAAGTTCGGATACAGAAAACAGACAAATGTCGCTTCAAATGGAATGAACAGTATCAATATGCAGCCGGTATATGAAAGCTTGTCTGGCCAGCAGGGTGCAGGAACATCTCAAGAACGCCTTGCCATGATTTCTTAGTCTTCGCGAAAAAATAAAAAAAATAGATAAAATAAAATATGAAAATGCGAAAAGCAAGCAGACAGATCAGAAGCAGGTAAAGGCCGTGTCAAGGTGAATATGAGGAAGGAAATATGTGCAGCGAAGGGTAAAGAGATAAGGCTATATGTACAAGGGAGGGCTCGCTCAGCGATCATCCGGATCAATCGAAGATATACTCGACTTGGGGACACGAGGATTGGAAGTTTTTCAAGAGACGTTGCACACGGTGGGTGATCCAGCCAGAGGCGACGCCGCCACTCTCCACCCCATTCACAGTCGAGGCAGAGTGCTTACAGGTCCCCGTGGACTTGTTGTAAGCGTACTGTAGACATTCGTGATTCTGAGCGCACGCATCCGCGCACGCGTCCACCGAAGGCATTGTGGGTGGCTCGAAGACGATTTCAGCTCCGGACAGGTTGTCCCAGTCGTCCTTGTATCCCAAAGTGCCATTGTGGATAAGCTCGCGGTAGACATCGGCGTGTAAGAGCAGCGCATTCTTGCCGCTGCGGAACCAGCGCCGCTCAAACTGCCACATCGCCTCAATGTCCTCGACGCTCATGTGATGATAGGAGACGGCGGGATAGCACCATGGCTGCTTCGCATACTGCTCGGAGAAGTGGTCGATCTCCCACGGCCGAGTGGTCATCATCATCGGCCAGGCCCACGTCAAGTAGATATGCGTCGCTTCGAGCGCGCGCGCCAGGACACAGTCGCCCGCCCATTCCGTGGCAGTCATCTGCTCCAATTCATCTTGGGCCTCCGACCGGTGGGCGTGGAGACGGTTCATCGCCTTGTTGGACAGAATAACGCCCGATCCACCATAACCGAACAGCATATCCTCCATCTGCATCGGGCTTCCCAAGTAATAGCTTCGAGTATGATCCAAATGATCTAGCCAATTGACCAAGTTCTGCCAGACCATGTAGGTATCGGGCTCGATGAAAATGAACCATTTAGCATCAGGCTTGACCTCCAACGCGCCATCCGTCATGGGCAGGAATTTCCACTTGTCCAACTTCCAGCCCGGGTTGTTCGTCTTGCCAAAGGGGCCGTTTCCATCCTCGCCCCAGTCTTCCTTGGTCAGGCCTTCACGGCCCACGGATTGCAGTTTCTTGTACAGCTGGAATTCAGGCTCCTTTCGCATCGTTTCTTCGGTGACGTTCTGCAGAATGTCGTACACCTGCACTCCGCTGATCTTCTCATCATAGTCGGAGAAAATCACAAAATGAGGGACGCATTGGAGGCCAGTCTTCAGTTGAATGGGGATCTTCTCTTGTGCCTCAGTTGCACCGGTCTTCACGACCACTAAGATATCGTCCATATCCCGTTCTAAGCGGCCACAGCGAGCCTCGTGCTCCGATATCCGTGGGCCATAGTTGACTGCTGCGGGCTGCTGGGGCTCGGGTTGCACAGGTGCCTTTTCGCCCTGTACGACGAGCGGTTCCGGGTCCGATTCGGGGGCCGGTCTTGAGCTCTCAGCTCGGGTAGGGTTGAGGCTGGCGACAGGGGCACGGAAGGCGTAGAAGATGAGGGCGAGGGTAATGAGCGGAGAAATGAAGAGCAGCCATCGTCGCGGAGAGCTCAACATGATGGCGGAGGGAGAAGAATGGGATTACAACTGCAACATAAGAAGTGAATGATCAAGCCATAGGAAAAGGAAAATGAAAGAATGGTACGAAGTATGTCGATTCGAGGGAGGGGCCAAAGAATGGAAATCGACACGTCGGGTGAGGGGAGAGAAGAAATTGGAGTTCGGCTTCCTTTTTTTTTTTCAACTGCCAGCAATCCGTGTCTTTCCCCCCATGCTGTAGATGACGATCCGTGGGGCAAGACTGGTCACTGCGATTCGGCTACACAGTGAGAGCAGAGTAAGGTGCTAGGCCCCCCGACCAGTTCACCGGGGATCGATCATCGAGCACGCGGGCCACGAACCAACGAAACAAGGGCTGCAAGCTCAGGCATCCCCCGCTGCCCCACAGGAAGCGTCATCTGGTGCGGGTTCGGTGGACTCGTGTGACGCACCAGAAGGACAGGATCGGTGACAGACTAATCAAGTGGAGAGCAAAAACGTCGGTTTCAGGAGGTTTTTGAATTTCCGATCGCCAGGGGGTTGGGCCCTGACGGGCTATAGGAACTCATCTACTGGTCCCACTGGGTCGCTTGCTGGGTCGACACGGTTCAGCAAGGTTTTAATGAGGGGAGACTGGTTAATGAGCTCGTTTAGACTCGTTAGCGCACGGCTGTGGCTTGCGAGCCGAGGCACTTCAGAGAGATCAAACTAGAGACTCGAGAGAGCCTTCGGTGGAAAAGGAAAATGAGGTTCGAACCATTCGGGCCAAAGGAGTGTCGATGGTCTACGAGTATACGGAGTACGGGACAGCAGAGGTGCAGCGATTTACATCGGACACACGATAACAGCGAGCCTGTTCCAAGTATACCAAGTACATGGTAGACAGTGCCCTGCCTGCGATACAGTCAACCTCATACTCTAGCTCAACTTTTAGCTGCAACAGAATAAGGCTACGACGTGGTGCAGAATACCGCAGGGAAGCCACAGGAGTTAGATACGGAGTACGTGAGGCCATTCCAACGTTGTACTCCGTAATGGTTTCAGATATAGAATGAGGTCTGGTCTGACCCAGGCTACAATTGACCTCCAGGGGCTGTATGGATCTCAAATGGAGGATCGCTGGGCATTAGGGTCATACAAGATATCGGAGCAGTCCATCCTGGAAAGCTCGCAAGAAAGACTTTTTACCTCTGGCTCTCATATTACAGGGTGAGGGGTACCAACAAGGGATCTGACGCAGATCTCGACATGTCGATCCAAAGTTGCGTGTACCAAAGCGATGGTGTCAGCGCTAACGGTGAGGGAAGCGTAAGTGAAACGCCCCCTTTTTTTCAGTCGAAAGTGTCAGTTCCGCGGGCGGGATGGTGGTTACGGCCAATCGTGTCGCCCCAAAAAAGTGGGGTCCAAATTTGTCTTCCAGACGAAACACCCCGAGAAAACACCGGACCCACAGGCTGCATACGGAGTACAATTCGATATGTCTGTTATTCACCCTCGCCACTCGCGATACGTGCTTGCCAATCTGAAATCTGAAGCCTCTCATCATCCATCCAAACTTTTTTCTGGCGCTTCCTGGAAGGTCTCGGGGAAGAACCCTGGGGGAGGCCAAATATCCGCTATCGAAGGTGGGTGCACGAACGGCTGGGTTCCACCGAGCCGGTCAGGGTCATGGCAGAAGGCTTGGAAGGTACTGTCGTCAAGAAAGCCAAAATCCTTGAGACCAGCTTCGCGGTTGGTTGACCACTCGGTCGTGTCAAGATACGCCAAGTCTTGAAAGATAGCATCAAGCTCCTCCGAATCAGGCGCAACGAGACCAACACCGGTGGTGGCTGATCGCTCGCTTGTGGGAGCTTTGCCGGTCATCATGGATGTAGACGAATCAGGAGTTTGCGCATGGACACTGCCTGACTGATGAACCGCGTCAGACCCACTGCGGAACGGACGTTTCTCTAGGAGCCCTGAAGGTGCTTCCGCGGATAAATCGGTATTCGTCCTGGCGGGATCCTTCGGGGTCATCGACTGCGCAATCATTGAGATGCTTGTTCCGAGAATGGAGGAAACATAACCATCTCCATTGGTCGGACTCATGCCATGGGCGTTGGTTGAAGGTGGCAGAAACTCATGGCCCGTGGGCCTCGAAGAGCCAGGCTTCTTAGAAAACAGCACATGGGACGGCCTTGTGCAATCGTCATTTGCCTGCCATTGTTCCATGGAAGCGATCAAGCCATCATAGACGGGCCATGTTGGCGCCAGTGCTATAATCTTTTGCCGGAAATCATCCGCCCATCGGGAGAAAGGAAACGCATTGGGTGGATCAATGGACTGTCTCAGCGACAATGCTTGCTCAGGGATGGTACGTAACCCAAATTCAAGTATTGGAGGTAGTCTACACATGGGGAAGTTTTCCACATGCAAAGAAAGCATGAGCGATGCTCGACACAAGAGTTGTTGGGCTCCCTCAGTAGCCGGTCTCTGTAACCGGTCAATGTTCTGTTCATCAGGGACAAGATGCAGATAAAGCCAGAGGAGAGTGGCCACATAAAGCAGTCCGAGGTAGCTCTGGTGCGGTAATAAAGCCGAATGTCGCTCTGGATAAATACTTTCAGGGCCAATCAATCGGCATCCAAGTGGAAGGAAATCGTCCCACTGTTTGAGATCCATCACCAATTGCTGAGCAAACGTACTGGCTGTGTACCCCATGGACAGATTCCGCGCGATTTTGTTGAGCGCCGTCGCCAGCTCAACTAGGCGGTTGAAACAGCTGAGTGCTCGTAACGGCCCCCTTCGCGGAAAGTTTGGCCCGCGCGAATCTCCAGCAGGCAGAAGAACATCAGCCCATGAGTTCCATTCTTCAAGTCCATCCTCTTCCAGGAGCCCGGTAGCTGCTATATCATGCGCAGATAAAGCGGGACAGTGACCAAGCCGAAATGACAACAGTGAGTCAATTACGAAGCATCCCAGAAACACTGCTTTGCCTTGCCTCCAGTCATCGGACCTGCCTGCGTTAGAATTCGTGCCCAGCTCCATTGCAAGGGCCATTCGCACTGCCTGGCCACTTAAGAGCCATGCAGCCGTCCAATCATCGAGCCCGGTATTTACCAACGCCAGGAGAAGGAGCGCTTGTACATGCCCTAGCTCGTATCGGTCCTTTTCCGAAGGGATCAGATTCCTAGCAACCGTGTAATAGTCTTTGGCGAGGGAGATGGAATCTGACATATCTGCCCGGGAATCCAAACGAGACTGGGCAACCGTATAACTCAGGATGCCCACAGAGCAGCATGATCTCCCGAACCCGGTGAGTGTGTACTCACGGAGAAAGGCGAATTGGCATAAAGATATGAAGCACGCAGGATATTATGCTTGGCTATAATGGGAAACCATGAGTGAGTGGCGGCAAAGTAGAGGTCAAGCAGTTGAGAACTCTGCGGCGGTAGTTGGAGGGCATGGAATCCATCGCTCGTTTGCATAGAGCCGCGGCTCTCTGCGGTTTGGGCCATTCGAGGCCGTTTCACCCCGGAGGGCTCTGCAAGGCCAGTGACGATCCTTGGCGCATCGGGTCCCAGTGGAGAGGTCTGCTTTCCCACTCGGAACCCCCAGTTTCCCGTCGCGCAGTCCAGGTACTTATCTTGAGGGTTCCTCGCTCGCTTTCCGGCTGCGAACGAACTAGTCTCCGGGTTTGACAGCATCTTCTCTAGAGCCCCCAAAAGGCGGCTTGATTTCCATGTTTCATGCAAGCTCTCTGAGGAATTTTCATCCGCCCAAACTGCCATGACTTTCTCGCGGCGCTCAGCCGATTCCGCAGTTGACCCCAGCATCGCCATCATGGTTTCCTCGAAGCCCTCGATGTTACATATTGAAAGAGCCCACAGTTTCTCGAGTCCGCGGACATAGCCCTCGGGGAGACCTCTCTTCTTCGCATGGGGGTCGTAGCAGCAGGCCAGGCCGGATGCCTGGCACGCGGAACAGGTGGGACGAATACCGTCACATTTGTCCTGTAGATAGGAGCCTAAAATCAGCAATCCAAAGCCCTGGGTGCTTTTGGGGGTACAATAATATGTACCTTCTTACTGCGACAGCGATCGCAAGCTCTGGAGACTCTCTTCCGCCGGGGAGCGTTCTCCAAGCCCTCCTCCATGAGGATTAATGTGGGACGTAGCGCATGCCTTGCGCGGAGAACGCAGGCTGAGACGAAAAGCCACGCAGGGGTATCCTACTGAGGTTGGCTCAATGCAATACGAAGATACAGATGCGCCTAGCAGTTGCGCAGTTAGTCAAGCACCTTGAGGCCACCAGACGCAACCGAGCGACCAGTAGAAAGTCCAACGTTCGGTGGCAAAGCTCGGAGGAAAGTACTCGGAACTGCATTTTCGGGCGAGGCCCCTTAGCTCGGCAGTCAATGTCCGTGGGGGTATTTCCTCATGTTAACTTCGCAGCACATCTCTGTATGCCTCCGATCCATAGCCACTACTCAGTGATGAAAATCGGATATCCAAGGATAAACGCCAGTCACTTTTTTAATCCCAAATGATTATCCGTGGAGATCAAGCTTTCCAGTCCACGTACGAGTAATCCACTGTTCTTTTCGTAGGTACCAACACGTCCCGAAGGTACTACTTGCTAGGCGTTCCATCCAATCACTCCATCTGTTCTCCTTGTTGCCTTCTTTCAATACTGGAGTGGACTTGCCAACCGTCGGGAGATTTCAAGTCTGTAGGGACAGACAAGTTGGTCCTATACAATACTATATTAAGGTAAATGTGGATATGTCCAATTCGATCGCATGATCCCTGAGGGGAAGCTGCCGGGGTCTTTTTCAGGTTGGACATCTACTGCGTCTCGAACAGGAAAAGTCGAAGAATAAACGGATAGAAGAGAAACAATTGGGGCAGATAAGAATCCTGCCACGCACATGGCACTGGGTCTGCACAACGGCACATCTAAGTGGGGGGGTGCTGCATCCATATGCTCTTCATTCTAGTTAATAAAGTGGTTTAGTCTTTTACGGGGAATCGGCGCTTGCCTACGCAACAGTTTATTTGTCTTCAATATGCGGGGAAAGAAACTAGGGGGTTCTACCACTAGCAGACCGGGGGCTTAGCTGAGTCTTACCACATTCCACTACTGCCCCATGCGAGTCATTCTCCTGTGTCGCAAAAAGCCAGTCTCACATCGACGCTATTTTAGGGTTTCACAGACTGGCTAAGTGAGTATGCTTCCTGGGGTATCCTAGTCGAAGCAAATGACCACATGGTCTGATTGTGGGGCGTGCCTGGCCCAAGGGGGACCCTTTGAGCTCACGAACAAAAAGACAGCAACGAGATGGTCCCCAGGCTTCGTACGCGAATTTATTTCCAACTTGGCCAATTTCGATCTCTTTTCTCCCTTCCGCTCAGATATCATTGCAGATGCTTCCTTTATATAGAGTTTTGAAATCATGAACACTTGAGTAGATAAGTTGCTTATCGCCGACCCATCATCAAGGCGGTGTAGGTCTCCCCGAGGTCTGTTTTTCTTTTTCCAACCTCGAAAGACGCATCTCCTTATCCTTCTCTGTTTTCAGACTTGGTTACACATATGCATTGGAGGGGCCATCACTCACCCTCTTCCATGCCTGGACTCTCAGATCCTCCTGAACCCACCTCCCCGAGTTGGAAGAAGAGAAAGCGGGACCATGAAGGCGCCTTGTCTCTGTCGAAGCCGTACGTACAATGTTTTATTGGAGACTCTACCAGAACTGACGATGTGTTTCAGTCCCTCTTTCCCTCCGTTCCGATTAGAATGTTCGGATCGAGATAACGGCGTCACTCTCGCTTCAAGGCATCAGCCGGAGCCCGATCTTTCGTTTCGGCCGCGCTGTCTGCCCCGAAAACGCAGACATGTTCACCCCTCCTATCTCGCTATTCCATCGCAGCAGCCATCTCTCCTCTCACCCAACGTATATGCCCCGAACCAAGATCCCTACTCCCCACCCGTATCCCCCAAAACACTCGTTCCAATACAGTGCCCGTCTGCAGCCCTCCGTCCGTGCCATATCTGCCACCGCCGCCCCACAACTCGCCACGTCCTAGACGCCTACGCAGACTGCAACCTGTGCGGTGAACGGGCCTGCTTCATTTGTCTCCGCCAGTGTGACAGCCTCACTTGTACAGGTTCAGTCCATGTCGATTTGGACACTCCGGGAGGACCAGATCTCTACAGTCCTAATGAAGACATCGACCCAGAAAACCCTCGAATCCGCAGGAAAATATGCTCCCGATGTGCTGTGGAAGGACTCTCGGAGAACGGCACTGAGATAGTCCGCTGCATGGACTGCGTCCGGGGCCACACGACTCCCTGGCCGCCTGGTCACATCACGTCTCAGTGGGCCTTGGATGGGCCCAACCGTGATTACATGCATATATAACGGGATTCTTCTCGACATATTTACGGCACATCGCTGCTTTTTGCTTTGCTCAATATGAGACTTCATTGAAACGACCATATGATATCGCGACATTATTTATTATCTCCTTTTCTCGGGTTGGAAGTGGTGGACGGTATTTCCACTACATGGCGTTGCATGATGCGCTTGCACTCGAGGATTCATTCTGGTGCTGTTTGGTTTGGTTTGGTCCGGCTTGGTTTATTTTCTTTGGTCATTGGGTCTTGATTGACTTGACCTGAGGTGGTATTTTACATATATTTTGGCATGGCATCATGATACCTCTATTCTCAATACAGTCCTTGTTATCATCTTTCTTCAAGATTGTTCCTGTTTCCTTTTTCCTTGGCACGAGAAATGTGGACTACGCACCAGCTGATTTAGACTAATATATCTCGACACATTGCCTGACTTGAATTAGGTATTGCTCTCAACGGGAAGATTATGAACAGAGCCAATATGCTTTCAAGTTCTAGGTCTATATGGTTAAAGAAAGTAGACTGATTGATCTTCCTACGCGCATCCGATCAGGAGCCTTCGTCTTATTACAAGATTGCATGTGCATTTCAGGCTGCAAAAAGGATCAATAATAATAGTATATAATATGTGATCTGTCGACCTCGGGTATAACAGTTCTGAGAATATGCAATTTGAGGTGAAGTATTTTATTACTAGGAGGGTCGGTGATCACCGTCCAAACCGCATCTGTGCCCCAGCATAATGCCACAACCCCCGCATGAAACCCTGATACTCCACGGCCTCGCCATCACCATTCATGCCGTGGCTGCGATCTCCGGTGCAGTACATTTCCGTCAGACGAATTTGCCATGGCGGATAGCCGTCGAGCTTCAGGAAAGATCCAAAGATCAAGAGAAGATCCGGCTCCGGTTTGATACTGGCAGTGACTCGGCCTGTATCTGAATCAGCTTGCAAAGGCTGCGTAATGATCTCGCTGAGCTCAGCGTCCACCAGTTCCGGTGTGATATCTTCATAGGATAATTTTCCGTTTTGAGACATCTCAGCTAGGGTCTTGGTCAGATCTACCATGGTCTCACGGCCGTCGGTTGAAGAGAGGAGGAGCAAGGTGAGAGAAGGGTGGTCAGGATTGGAGGGAGTGCCGCCGTGGACTGGATGGTGTGGAGCGAAGAGCTGCAGAGTCGGCTGTTGGGAGGGGCTGCCGTAGTACGAGGCGAGCTTGGTGGTAATGATCTGATGTAGGGCAGGAATGCAGGATTTGAGGACACCTATATGCATGAGGCCTGGTTAGTTTGGATTATATTCTAGAGCTCAAAGGGGTCTGACCGGTTTTCTCATAGACACTAAGCTGTGGGATCCCCGCACAGGCACTCCAGGCAGCTAGCTCGGCCACCTCGTCCATTAGTCCCGCCAGAGCATCATCCTCCGCCCGCAGATTCAATATAACACTCAGGTGGTTTGGAAGTCGCTTCAAGCCACGAACGTCCTTGCGAATGAGTTCTGGGGTGCGATGGTGATGGTAAACGATGGCAAAGACACGGTCGACGACAGCATGGTAGGCCTGGAGCAGACGCACGACAATTCCGAAGATGATATGAGTCAGAGCGTAGACCAGACGGTGGACCTGGGACTTGACAAATGTCCTAATAGGAGTTTTGCGGGGCTTCCGTCTTGATTGCGAGGCCGAATTAGTTTTGGCAGGTCGGGAGCGACGCGGCAAATCAGAGGGATCGGGCAGATATGGTTTGATGAGTTTGGCGCGATCTGAGGCAGAGAGCTTGTTCTGTCTGTAGTTGTCGCGCAATTCTTGCGACACCATGATGGGCGGTGGTCGAATTGCAAACGGCGGAGGGGAGAGGAAGGAAATGTCGCGGTGTCAAGATCCCGTCGGAGTGGAGATCGACACGATCAGCCACGGCCCGCAGATCAGCAAAGCATGGGGGAAGGCGCCTGGGCATCTGTCCATGCATGCGTCTTCTATATACCCGCTTGCTTTTGCAAGTACTAGTTTCTAATTCTTCACCGTCTTATGTCTATTGTAATCCTCTTGATTTCAACAGCGATCTATTCTGAAGTTTGAGCTGGGTGTCTCACTACTCCATCCTTTCCCGAGATGTATCCAGGTCTCTAGAGGGGAAAGAAAAATCCATGGAAATATCGACTCAATATATTAAAGGACCAAATAAAATATGACATCTTCGCATTGCATAGCGCATCTTGTTTACATCCCTGCAAGCACTCTCATCTCAACAAAAGGCTTCGATGCAAGGACCTTGTCTTGGTTGGCCTTGGATGATAGCACAGACTCGAAGCCGCGAGCAGTCCTCTGGGTGGCTGCGGCACGAGGTCTTCGAATGCTGTCCCAGAGGGCCAGCCGATCAGAAATCTTGTTAACATCAGTGACATCTGCGAGAAGTGCATCAAGCCCTTCCGCATCCTCAAGGGCCTGGTTGGCTCCTTGAGCGCCAAGTGGAAGGATCGCATGGGCGGCATCGCCGATCAGAACAGTTTGATGCTTGAAGTAAATAGGGAGTGGGTCTTGATCGCGAATTTGGAAGAGGGCAACCTCGGGTACTTGGCTATTAGTGTGCTGTTAGAGTGAAATCTACATGATGGAAAAGCTCCAGAACTTACTCTAGGACTCTCGTGAACCATTCAGGGAACATATGGTAGATCGCCTTCAGTTCTTCCTTTTTCCCTTTGGCCTGCCAAGAGTATTCAAGCTCCTCTGGGGTTTGGGCTGACGAATCAAAGATGCCGCATGCAACATTCATCGTCTTGTGGCCCTCGCAAGGATAGCAGCACAAGGTGCAGTTAGAACCATCAGTGGCCGCTACCATCAGGATAAAGCTCTCATCCTCATTGAACTGAAACATGACTGGAGTATGGTCTCCCGCCTTCACAGCGTTTTCAAATGTTTCCATCGGAAGCATGAATCGGTAAAGAGAAATGCCACATGGGGCAGGCTGTGGGTGTGATTCCGGGATAATGGCTGAACGGACTTTCGAATGAATCCCGTCAGCACCTAAAAACAGCTGTTATTCATGAGCGTCCTCTATAGTCTCCTATGTAAGTATCTCGCCTTACCAATGATGAGATCTGCGTGAATGCTGGTTGCGTTGGCAAAATGAATCGTGCCAGTGTCGGGATCAACACGAACAATGTGGCTATTGTATACAATCTTCGCCGGCTTCCCCTTTCCATCCTCGCTCGTGGCACGGCGAAATAAAGCATCTTTCAAATCCCCTCGAGAAAGAAGCCACATAGGGCTATCTCCATCTGACCCTTCAGGCAGCCGACTTTCGGCCAAGAGGTCTTCATTGATAGTATATGTCCGGTAGCCAGCACCAGGGCTTGCGCCTACTTCCTCTCTGGTGATGCCCAGCTTCTTCATAATGGCTTTGCCGCCATCTCTCAAAGCAAGTCCAGAAGAGTGCTCCTCATCGTCCTCCCGCCGACGTTCGAAAATAGTGATATTGTACTGGGGATACTTTCGCAAAAATGCAGCGGCAGCAAGCCCAGCGATACCACCACCTACAATAGCAACTTCAATTGCGTTAGACGAAGTCCGTGTCATACTGGCGAACAGCACAAATGCGCTCAGTATAGCTAGTTACTATACAATGTCAGTCGCTTGGGTTCCGTCAGAAGTAATTGTATCATTATGATATTTCTCACCAAGCCGTCGAAGCTTTCTGTTTCGAATCAGTGGGTGAATATGCTACGCCCAGGCAATCTGGAAGTTCCAAGAAGCTCGGTACTTGGCCTTGATGAGGTGAAGAAAGCTGAGTTTGCCAGAGGGGAATCCGTTATTCTTAAAGCGGGTGGCTTTGGGGCCAGAAATCACACATGCGAGGCATATACTCTTTTTCCTATTATGATCATGGGGCCTCTACTGTAGGTCGGTGGGAATCGACATGACTCGCTTAAATGCGAGCATGTCGATTCGACGCGAACGCTAGCGACCAACTTTCGATTTGATATTCCGCCCCCAGGTGGCGCTTGAGGGTACGGGCTAGCTTGAATAAACTTCTCGGGGATGGATAATAGTGCAAAGCTGGATTGTTGTTCATCACCCTCCCTAAGGCTAGAATGCTTGTTCCTCTGTTGCTACATCTTTCGGAGTCAGGTGTCTTTAGGCACTTACTGCTTGATGGTTTGGATCCACGAAATCACGGTGACCCTAGGACGCCTGAAGGCTGTAGACCCCACGTTATCGTCCCAATTCCGTAGAAGGTGGGCTGCCTTGGTCCAAGAAGGTGATTTGGCCCCCATCGACCAGGCTATTTCACCAAGGGCAGATTGACACCCTGTCAGATCCAAGCCAGCTTATCTGAACATAGACTAGCCCTGCTCTAATTCCAACTCAACGAAGGCCCGCATTGGTATCTTGCGGTGTCGATCACCGAGGGAATCCTGTTATTAATCAGAAATAGTTAAACGTTACAACTATTTAGCTTCCTCATTGAAACGTACTGCTAAGTTACTGCTAGTATTAGTAGAGCGGGTATAGAAAGTATCGGGCGACGCCCTCGATTCAACTTGGATCTATCGAAGGGCAGTCTGTGCTGTTCTTCTTGATTGTTTCACCCTGCAAGGAGAGAACATAACATCACTTGATTCCATGAAGAGTATCCAAATCAAAATTCATGTCCCAGTACTAGTAGGCTACATATTGCTGGCGATAAGCAATGCGGGTAGTATACTACGAAGTAGTGGAACTCCGAATCATGTGGCGTAACACAAAACCAGTACGTTGAAGGTATTTAACGAGCCTTTATTGCCAACAATCTAATTTATTGCAAGTTCCATTAATGGAAAGGGGTTTCTCCATTTGCTATTAACCAGCAAGAGAGGTCCGGAATGGCCAAAGGAATAGATTGCAGCGTATGCTCTGCTCCATGAGGGGTAAAAACGAGCATCGTTACAGGCATCAACAGCTCTGAAAGCAAGGGTAGAACTAGGAGCATCATCAGGAGCAACGAGGCTATGATTCATGTCCCTCTTAAGCATGCCCGACCACCAAACTACGATAGTGGTACTTGCATGTCCATTGCCGATCGAATGTACCTCGAATGCAGGCGGTCCGGGAAATCCGCACCCGAACCTCACGCCTCAGCTTTCCCCAGATTCCTCGCTTCTTCAATTCGCCCGACCGTTGGAGAGGTCTCATTTTAATCCATTCTACTGGCCTCCAAGGCTACCATATTGCTCTTCCACCCATGACTCATCTTCTGTCTTCGCCATGATGCCCGATAATGCATCCATAACCACCTTCAACACCGCCCGCACTGTCTTCCCTAAGGGCCCTAGCTTCTCTCTCGAGGACTTCTCTAGCCGAGACTTCATTGTCAAGGAGTTCATCGAAGCCCTTTCAGACACTGCCATCTCCGGCCGTCGTTCCAGCGCCCCTATCCCTAACCAGCCGTTCGACCCCAAGCCCCTCATCCGCACCTTCGAATTCGCCCAGCAGCGCCTTGGGGAACTCTCTGGAGACCTAGAAATCCGCGAGAATGAATTATCCGCCGCGGTACGCCGGGCAGAGGCCCAGCACTCCCAAAACCTGATCACTCTCGGTCGCAAACTCCGACAGACGATCGATTCATTTCAGCAACTCGACACCTCGCTGAATGGCACCACCTTAGAAAGCGCCGCCGGCCAGGGTGGAACAGGGAATATGGCGGTTGAAACCGGAAGGAGGCTGGAGGAACTGGATCGCCAGCGCCGACGCGCCTTGGATGCGCACTTCCTGTTGGAGTGCTGGGACGGGGTCTGCAACCGGGGCGAGATTACGCTGTTAGAGAACCTACGGCGTTCAGGCACAGGCGAGGCCAAGGTGCGATCTGCGCATATCGCTCGCCAGCTGTTACGGATCAGTCAGCGGCTGGACCCCAAGAGCTGGCAAGAGAATCCATCTCCGTCGAATGGTCATTACGGTTCCTCGTCCGAAGACTCTAATGGCGGGAGCGACACGCCTCGGCGGAACACGCGGGAGATCATCGAGAAGTTCTCGGAGACCCTAGAGAAGGATCTGTTGAAACAATTCGATGAGTTCTACCGCAAGGCCAACTTCGACGGTATGAAGGACTGCGCTACTGTGTTGCAAGACTTCAACAGTGGTTCGAGCGCGATTGCGTTATTTGTGAATCAGCATCAGTTCTTCATCGACCGTAGTCAACTGGTCACTGAGGAAATTGGGGGCGATGCGGAGTCTTGGGAGAGATTAGCAGACCCGGATGCGGAGCTACCTGGAGTAGAGCCCAGTTTGCAGTCTTTGCTGGACGAGGTGAAAGTTGTGGTTCAAGAGGAGTCCGCCATTATCAAGCGCGCATTCCCCTACTATGATCAGGTATTGGGGAGGTTTTTACAGCGCGTGTTTCAACAGTCGATCCAACAGCGACTTGAGATGGTCCTGGACAAAGCCAATGGGGTCTCCTCTTTAGCATTCCTTCGGTGCCTTCAAAGCTCTCGCGGCTATATCAGTGCCCTGGTCGATGATCTGAAGGCACACGGCCTAACAGAACACCCAGATCCTATTTCATCCCAGACTGCGCTACTATTAGATCAACAACTGGAGGAACTCTTTGTACCCTATTTTGTTGGGTCGTCTTATATTGAGCGAGAGAAGCGAACGCTGGAGGAACTATTCAATGCCCTTCTTTTCCGATTTACAAGCTCCCAGGCTCGCAGAAAGAAGGCCGCCACTACATTTATGGCATCCCTCTCGAGACCCGGGACAGAGCTACTCTCTACCACTCGGGATGCTTTCATTGCTCGGCTCGATTCACCGGACATGTCTCCGATCCAGCGGAGGATGCTGCTTCAAATTGCTGGGCTTGCGGACATCCCCGAAACCACGCGGCTGACTGAGATCAAACTTAGCGAAGAAGACGGTCAACCGAATCTCAGCGATGCCAAGCGCATGCTCAAATGGCTTGCAGAAGCAGTGGGCCGAGGGTTGGAACTAAGCGTCAATACGGATACCCACAAAGACGTGTCCGCTCTCCTCAACCTACTGTTGCTCACCATGGGCGAGGGTTATGTGGATGTCTGTCTCGACGCTGCGCTAGACGCAGCCACGGCACAAGAATCCGGTAAGACAGAGCCAGACTTCAGTTATCTCCCATCGGTTCGCACCACGATCAGCATCACCACGCTGATGATTATGTGTATCAATGCGGTGTTAATTCCGCTGGCTGCTGGAAGCATCACGACTCGTCGGGATATGGAAAAGCGCACCACTCAAGCGACGGTGCGGTTTGAGGATAAGATCAATTCGATCGAACAGAAGACTATCGATGCCACTTTGACATGGGTCGGGCGGCTACTGTCTGGACAAAAGAAGAATGACTTCCGACCACGAGACACCGTGGACAGTACCGCATGGCTGGAGCGATTGCAAACACCGGTAAGATCCACTTGCCTTTGGCCCCTTCACTCCCTTCCCAGCTGTCTGAAATGCAGCCATTAATCTCACTAATTTTAGACCTGCGCCTCTATCTGCACGTTTCTGAATCGCTTGCACAATATTGCACGCACATCGTTACCCTCGAGTGGGACCAACGTCCGCCAAGTCCTCACTGAAATCGCCATGGGGGGTCCGTGGACTGCTGCTGGAGCACTTCAAGCGGTTTGCCGTCAGTGGACCGGGCGGTCTCATGGTGACGAAGGACATGACCCAGTATGCGGAACTACTCAAGTCGTGGAGCATCGACGATGATGCCAAGGCCCCTGGTGGCGCGCTGGACGTGTTGCTAGAGGTAGGTAATTTGTTTGTTATTGGTGAGGAGGCGCTTCGAGAACGGATTCGTGGCGGCGCTGCCAGTGGAACAACCGGAGGTGGGGGCCGTGGAAATCAAGAAGCCAAGCTCAGCGTTCAGGAAGTGCGGGCGTATGTTTCACGACGAGAAGACTCGAATACTCTTGCTATGCAGCAGGTGTTGAACACTCTGTAAGGGAGGTTAGCCTCGTGGCAATCTTATTCTCCTGTTTGCTTTTTCTTTGCGCCAGCCTTCTCGAGAACCAGAGAATTGAGAACCGTCCGATACCCATGGTCTTGGCATTTATCTTTTGATCTGGTTTTCCGTACTTTCTCCCATGATTTCCCACCATTTGGGAATTTATTGTAATAACGCGGTTCTGTGTCTGGAACAGATGCTGGTCGTATGACTTGGGGCGTTTGAGTGGGTCCTCGATCGGAGCTCGCGTGGTTTTGCTTTCTACCAGTAGATGTTCTGCATAGAAATGGACACATCCAAAAGGTTAAAGGGAAAGATTCCGGATCCTGGCAGCGTTGGCTTGATTGTGCGTTTTAGGTTGGTTGACAAGTCGATTGTGGACCTCAGTACTTTGTCCCAACGGTGTGTAGTCCGGCTACTTTGACGAGTTGATGAGCTGACAGCTCATCAACACCACAGTCAAGATTGGGGAGGCCTTACGATGTACCTCTCATACCCCTGTGCTTTGATCCCTTCTTCCCCCTCCCCTCTCCATGTGTCCAAGAACCAGAACCAAAACCAGACCCAACCCTTATTGTCGGGATTTCGAATGAGCCTGCAGAGGCCTGATCTCGAAGAATGCAATTGACGTGTTTCAGAATCCTGCGGGTTTCAGTTGGCGCCGTCCCAGTAAGGCTGGGTAAAGCTGGTAAGAGCCGAACCTTGGAACGCGAGTGCCTGGTGTCAAGCATCTCGATCCTTCCAGGATTCCAGACCCTGGTCATCGGAGGAGGTATCAAGCTTATTGGCTCCCCTCCCCCTTACTGCTTCCGTATTCCTGCTGGAGCCCGTGTCACACCGGCCTGAGCTGCAGGGTATTTGTCGCTATCCACGACACCTCATCCAGGGGCTATCTGGGCGACCACATCTGCTATATGAAGGATGTCACGATAGAATCAAAGAAAGATCATCGAACCATGATGAAACTCTAGCAACCGAGAAACCCGTTTGGACCGTTGGGGATAGACAGAACCAACAGTTCGTAAGATCCCGATTGACGGTTCGCGACCAGTCACAAAAGCCATACCCAATAGCCTCCCAGGAAGGAGACGGCAGGCGCAGGCCCAAAGGTGACAGGTCTTGAAATAGATTGGCTGTCACAGCTCCGGTCTGTGCGTGCGGGAATCCACAGCTCGTTTTCTCTCTCACTAAATTTCCCATTTGGCGATCTTTCCTTCCGAGGCTGTTCAGGTCCCAGCAGTTGATTGGCCGATGCGCCCATGATGCCCCAGCAGATCAAAGCCCCGAACGAGGCTAAAAGGTCCTGGGGCTAACAGCTTCCAGATCACCATGCTTGCGGCCAATCATGGGGAGTTGAAAGGGTTGAAAGGACCAAAGAGATCCCCAATCCTCCCTGTCGCTCATTGGGCTCGTACGCGCTATACACTTTTGTGACTCCCTACATCTACCTTATAATACCTGGACGAGTCCCATAGATGGACCTGGTAGCTTCTTGTGCTCCCTCCCTCAGACCCTGCCCAAGTGATTTTATATTCTCGCCCTTCCCCCCTTCTACTTCGCCGGGATCCTGTCTCGAGATCGTCACCTAAAAGCCTCACCTCATTTTTGAGACGAACGTTCAATAGCCTCATGCTTTACTAAACCCGCATCTTTCGGCTATTCGCGCCCATCCACTTTCTACTTGGGGCTTCGATCGACTCGACTCTCCCCATATCGAGGTTTTCTCTCCGATCGGAGATTGGAGCCTTGGATGATTCATTCTTCATGTGCTTCTGCGACTGTACACATTCCGAGTGTTAGACAGAGATTTCAGTTCTCTGCCACCATGCATGCATCGCGCGAGGACTTCGACTCTCTGCCACCCGCGGTTCGACGCAAGGTAAGAGAAGAATCCTTTTCTTTTGATCGTCGTTTGACATCATCACACTATTTGGTTCAAGGATGGACAGTGCAGCACCCTGAACTTTGGCACCCTAACTCTCTGGTCCCAACTCTATTGCAATGCTGCGCTCCACTATCCGCACATCCCGTTCATCGTGGATGAGTCTCCTCCGAGGTGCACTGGGTCCAACGTACATACGGTGTGGCTTGATATCCACTTGGCCAGACTTTTATCCTTTAGGATTTTCGTGATTGTCGCGATTGTCATGATCTTCCCCCCCCCTTGTGCCCCGTACGCCCTCCCCTGCGTCCCATATACGTACACATGTGTACTGGGATACATTACGAGTCTGGGAAAAGCTCAATGCGGTGTTTCTCTTTCTCCACCTTTGCCACATGTTTCCCTTCAGCGGTGTGGTCGTGTCTTTTTTTTTTGTCTTTCCCCCTGAATCACAAGTGGGGGCCACTGGCTCCTGCGCTATCGGCCTGGTGCTGCCACTGGTGGCTCCGCGGCATTGGCGCACGGGGTTGTCGGATCTCCACTCCAACCTTCCACTGTTCGTTGATTGATGTTCATTTTCCGCTGACCCGCAATAGTTCTTCTCGAACGTCGAGCGGTTGCGGATGCGGCTAGGCCAAGAGGGCCAGGGGGACCTTCGAGCCCCTCGGCCGAACGCTCGTTCCTCTCCGCGTGCGGTGCGGGCCTCAAGAGGTTTAGACAAACGTTCTTCTTCACCCAAGAAACTACGGAAGCCCGGCTCCCTTCAACTCGCCTACTTGATCGCCCAGGCCGATTCGCAATGCTTCCACTCTCTTCCCGCTAAGATCCAACAAAAGCACTTCTCCCCTGAAGAACGTCGTCGCTTTCTTTCTTCCTACCGTGAAAGTGTCATCCTGGACGCCGCTGACGCGGCTTTTTACCGCCGTGACAAGGCCCGTCAGCGCCAATTGTCGACCGACAGTTTGCCCTCGGACGATACTCTGCCCGTAACTCAAACGGCTTCTGTCTTTTGGGATTCAGATTCGGATTCGGATTCCGAACAGTCGCCGCGCCAGCCCAGTTCCAAGATGGATCGAACCTTTTTCGATAATTTCCGGTGGCTCGACGAGGATGGGGACCTGGACCTATCACTCGACGAGTACCATGCTCATGTGGCAGATGCTGCTATCCCCGCTGCTAAACCAAGACGACGGCCTTCAATACGTCGTCCACTATCCCTCTCCACACAAGGCCTGAGGCACCGACCAGTAGCTTCGATTCCGCGATCATTGGCGTCAAGCCAGTCGGTGCCTGTTTCCTCTCTTTCTCGACAATCCTATTCTCGTCCTACATCTCGTCAACAACCTCACCACCATCCCAAGTCTTCCACTTCAAGCATTGACCCGTCCGCACAATACTATCAAGACCCCGATGCTCGGCTCAAACTCCGTGTCTACCTTGCTTCGCCACAGAAGTTTGATGAAGCTATTGAATTTGGCTTCCCCTCATTAGATCAAGATAAGGAGAATTTCGCCCCCGTGGTACACTCTCCTCTGTCCTTCGACTCGGCCGGTACCTTCTCCGGCACTTTTTTCGAAGAAGATGACGGGACCGTCGTGGGCAGCCCAGGGACTTCGTTGGCTGAAGAGCCTGTCGCTCCCCGCATGTCTACCCAGGTTCGAGAGACACCGCGTCCCTCAACTGACAGCCGTCGAGTGCACAAGCCGGGCAAGACTACCCCCCAAATTCTCCCAGGGAATCGTGAAATGACGCTCAAGATGACATTGACTCGCCCTGACTTGCGCAATGAATCTCCCACCCCCCCTGAAGATCCCTTGCGGCTCGCAGATTTACCTCCAGCCGATCGCAGCCAGCACATCTGGGACGATATGGATGACCAGGGTGTGGTAAAGAAAATGTGGCGCAAACTGCGTCGGCGTCAAAATAACTAAAGGGTCGGCAGCCCTGCTTTCGAGGCGAATGCACGATGATTTTCGTTCGCACAATTCGCATGCCATTACTCACGATGATTCGTTCTTTCAGCGCGTGGATGTTTTTACCATCTTATTACCATTTCTTTCTTTTATTCTTGCTCGGCGTCTTGAAAAAGAGGGGCTATTGAGGCATTTCAGCATTGGGTTGTGGTTTTTGTGTTTTTGTCCCTCGACTATCGAGATGTATATCTCCATTTCTTCACAGCGCTTTGTACATACATATTCTCGATTCCCCCCTCTGTGGTTGCAAGGCACCCAATGATACGGAGAGCATTTCCCACCTTCCACTTGAACATCTCACACCCGATTAGAGACTGTAGAAAATAGAAGGATGTCTTGTCTGTTTATAGTTGAGTTCCATGGGTCTGTGACCTGACGGTTCCACCGGGTGTCCCACGGTTTGCGCTTCGGCTTAATCGATAAGCTGCACGTGATTCCCAGCTTCAGAGGCCACGCCAGGCATTCGCAGGCAGCTTCACCACACACTTTCCCTCACGCCATTACGATTTCTCTTCTTCGTGGCCTCTCAGATTCGCCCTCGCTCTCTTATTTCTATCCTTAGTATATCCGCAATCCAGCGTTCTCCTTGTGTGTCCAGAGCTCCATCCGGACCGGCCGCGCGCGCAGTCGACGCTGCTCGAAAAAACCCACCTGGAAATTGATCTCCTTCAGATGCCGAATACTCCACCGTCATGATCCCGAGGTGGTTGCTGCTCGTGGTCGGCCTGCTGCTGGCATGGACCGCGCAGCCGACATACGCCAAGGGGGATAAACCAAAGGCGACAGCCACCGAGCTGAACTACGTTCCCCTCAATCTGTTTTATTTCGAAGGCACCAACACGGTTCTGTTCAATGATATCGCTGGCACAGCTCAGATATCCTACGATGGAGGGGAGAAATGGGAGATCATCAAGGGCGACGATGGCTCCATGGAGGGCGCGGTCGAAGCTATTATCCAGCACCCGCAGGACAATGCCCGCGCCTATGTCGTGGGCAGGCACGGCAAGCACTGGGCCACAAATGACCAGGGCAAGTCATGGACGTCCTTCAAACTGGAAGGGGCGCCTATGGTCGCTGGGATGACTGGACCGTTCAGCTTCAACGGCTGGGACGCGCGGAAAGCGATCTTCACTACCATGGGGTTCAATTTGTTCGGTGGATGGCATACGGAGGCCTTCTATACAGTGGACGACTTCAAGACGGTCCAGCCATTGCGCGAGATGGTCTACGAGTGCAGCTGGGCTGCTGGGACCGCGGAATTCGGCAAGGACCTTGAAACGCGGGATGGCCTGGCAGACCGCATCCTTTGTGTGGTGCCCGGCTTGAAGGCAATAGACAATTCGGTGCGATTGATCTACTCTGATGACTTCTTCAGCGACGTGGAGGGTACTGAAGTCAATCTGAACCCCGGCCGACCCGTAAGCGGCAAGGAGATCAAGCTCCGTGCTGTGAAGAAATATATTGTCGCCGGTGTCCAGTCCAAGGGGACAACTGAACTTGCTTTGTTTATCAGCGATGACTCAAAGGAGTGGCACCGCGCCGAATTCGGTGGACATCGAATCGAGCAAGATGCGTTTACGCTGCTGGAAAGTACAAATTACAGCATTCAAGTCGATGTACAGACGACATGGGATGATAACCGTGTGGGCGTTCTCTTTTCCTCTAATTCCAACGGAACCTACTTCTCCCCGAATGTCGAGCACACCAACCGAGATGAGAATGGTCTGGTGGATTTCGAAAAGATTGCCAACATCCAAGGCATCGTACTTGTCAACACCGTGAAGAATTGGGAGAAGGTGGGAGAACCGGACAATGAACCGAAGACTCTTGTCACCAAGATCAGCTTCGACGATGGCAGCAGCTTCCAATCTCTCAAGGTCGGCGATGATCAGCTCCATCTCCATTCCATGACAACTTATGACAAGCTCCATAAGCTGGCTGGCCTGGGTCGCATTTTCTCGAGCCCTGCGCCAGGATTGGTGATGGGCGTTGGTAACACGGGTGACAGTCTCAAGGAATATTCGAAAGGTGACCTGTTCGTCTCCAATGACGCAGGCCTTACTTGGCGAAAAGCACTAGAAGGCCCACATCGCTTTGAGTTCGGTGATCAAGGTGGTATAATCGTGGCTGTTAGTGATGACGAGAAGACTGACAAGGTTAAGTATTCTATCGATCAAGGAAAGACCTGGGAGAAGATCGAACTGAAGCACAAGGTCAGGCCGGCCTTCTTGACCACGACCCCTGATTCAACCAGTCTGAAGTTCCTACTCGTGGGATATTCAGGTGACAAGGAGGACAGGGACAAATATACTGTCTACTCCCTTGACTTCGAGGGCCTGCATGAGCGTAAGTGCTCCAAGGACGACCTCGAGATTTGGTCGGCCCGCGTTGATGAGAATGGCAAACCGGACTGTCTCATGGGCCACAAGCAGTCATTCCAGCGGCGAAAGGCCAATGCAGACTGCTTCATCAAGGAGGAGTTCAAACTGGACCCTCCTATCTTTGAACAGTGCGATTGTACCGCCGAAGATTTCGAATGTGACTACAACTTCAAACGGTCTGAGGACAGAAAAGAGTGTCTTCCTGCCGTGCCATTGCCTGCTCCTGAGGGCAAATGCAAAGACCCCAAGGACACTTACAAGGGACCCTCGGGCTGGCGGCTGATTCCTGGGAACGCGTGTCGCCGGAACAGTGAGACAGACCTTGACAGGGAGATTGAGCGTTCTTGTGGAAACTCTACAAGTTCACCCGTCACCGACGGTAAGGTCCACGCTGGAGAGCCTCAGTACTTTGCACACGAGCCATCAAGTGTGTTCTACCTTGAACGTCAGTCGAGCAACTCGGGCGGCGACGAGACCATTTTCATGCTGAATAACCTCAAGCTGTACGTTAGCCATGACCACGGCAAGAGATGGGAACAGCCTTCCAGCGTGAAGGATGTCGAATTTATGGCGATGACACCGCACCCTCATTTCTCCGACTGTGCGTACTTTTTGACGACTGGAGACTATATTTACTCAACCATCGATCGTGGATACGCATTCCGCAAGTTCAAGAAACCCACCAAGGGCGTCTCCTTGGAACCCGTTTTCCACAAGAAGTATCAAGATTGGGTGCTCTGGATTGGTAGTGATGATGAGTGCACCGGGAGCACCTGTCCACTTGATGCGTACTGGAGCAAGAACCGCGGCAGCGAATGGCACCTCATGCTCCATGGCGTCGGCTCGTGTCGCTTTGGATGGAACGAGAACCGTAACGTCAGCGAGGAGCTGGTTTTCTGCGAGCAATACAAGCAGGAGAACACAAAGAATAACCGAATGCTGGTGTCCAGTGATACTCTGGACGATTGGTCGGGCAAGAAGATCATCAACGACAACATTGCTCATTTCGTGGAGATGGGAGAGTATGTGGTCGTGGCTACGTTCCCCACAGAGAAGCACGAGTTCCTCAATGTTAGCTCCAGCATTGATGGCGAGACCTTCGCCGAGGCTCGATTCCCCTTCAACATTGATGTCAAGCTGTATACAGTGCTTCTGGGCTCGCCATATTCCTTGTTCATATACGCCGCGGTCAACGAAGCCCAGGGTCGCGAGTACGGCTCCATTGTGAAGAGCAACAGTAACGGCACTTATTTTGTTCAGAGCTTGGAGGGGGTCAACTCTGACGGGGAATACGTTGATTTCGAAGAAATTACCGGCACTGAAGGTGTTGCCATTGCCAATGTTGTTGGGAACAAGGACCAGGTCGACAAGAATGGAGATGCGAAGAAGCTGCGTTCCGTGATCACCCATAACGATGGTGGCCAGTGGATGCTCCTGACCCCTCCGGCAAAGGACGTCGACGGCAAGAGCTTCGACTGCGGTGTCACGGAAGGCCAAGGCAACTACCAGTGCGCCCTCCACCTTCACCAATATACGGAGCGTGTTGATCCCGGGAACACCCTCTACTCCGGCTCAGCCATTGGAATGCTGATTGGGAATGGCAACGTGGGTGAATACCTAGGCAACGCCAATGAAGCCGATACCTTCCTCAGTGATGACAACGGCATCACCTGGAAGCAAGTCAAGAAGGGCCGATACCTGTACGAGTTCGGTGACGCCGGTTCGGTGGTTGTGTTGGTCCGTGAGCAGCAGCCTACCAAGGTCATCCACTACAGTCTCGATGAAGGCCGGACATGGACCGACTTCCAGTTCGCTGAAACTGAAATGAACATCTACAAGATCACCACGCTGCCTTCCGACACCTCCAAGAATTTCCTTCTGTGGGGAAAAGAGCAGGATTCCTCCAAATACAAGCTCGCAACCATCAACCTTGACTTCAGCGGTATTTGGGATCGCGATTGTACTCTGGATGAGGACACGGATGAGAACAAAGACTACTACCTATGGACTCCCAAGCACCCCGCCCAGCAGGACAATTGCTTCTTCGGCCATGTCGAATCATACCATCGCAAGAAGCCCGACGCACATTGCTGGATTGGCTGGCGTGAACCTCACGTTCACCAAGTTGGCGGGAACTGTACCTGTACCCGCGCTGACTTTGAATGGTATGTATTCTCATCCAGTAGAACCAGGCAAGATTAGACGGCACGATGTGTTAACTCGCTTCCTAGTGACTACAATTACGAAATTCAAAGCGATGGCAGCTGCGGCCTGGTGCCGGGTCTTGAAAAGCCCGACCACAGTTTGCAGTGTGCCGAAAATCCTGATTTGATTGAATACTACGAGCCCACTGGATATCGCCGACTCCCCCAGACCACCTGTCAGAGTGGTGAGCAAGACCTCGACCGGATCGTCTCCCGGCCCTGCCCCAGCAAAGAGAAAGAATTTGAAAAGAAGCACGGAATCAGCGGCGTGGGTCTTTTCTTTGCCATTGTCACCCCTATCACGGTGGCCACGGCCTTCGGATACTGGGTCTACAGCCGATGGGATGGCAAGTTTGGACAGATTCGCCTCGGTGAAGGCTCTACGGCGACGGCAAGCTTTCTCTCGAAAGACTCGATGTTGCTCGCAATTCCGGTGGCCATCATCGCCGGGGTTGTCGCTGTTGCCCAATCATTGCCGCTTCTCGGAAACAGCCTGTGGCGCAGTATCAGCGGATTGATGCGCTCTCGCCGGGGCTACCAAAGACCGTACGCGACCCGGGGCTCGTTTGCTGCGCGACGAGGAGACTACACGCATGTGGTAGAGGACGAGGATGAATTACTTGGAGCTGATGAATTTGATGAGGACGAGGAGGCTTAGATTCGAAGCTGTTTTATTGAACCCTTTTTCGGGCGGGGTCTTGCACCTCGGGAGAGTTTGGGGGTCTGTATCTTGATTGAAATACTGGATGTGACATTATGAGCTCTCATGTCGGCGATCTTCATCTTGGCCTTTTTTTTTTTTTCTCTTTTCTTTTCCTCATTGGCTTGACATCATCCTTGTCTCTCAGATCGCCGGTGTCAAGATTGGGTCTTTATAGCTTGGCCCGATATAGTCTCGGATTCCAAAGATATAGATTTGCTCTTTTTCTCAAGATGGGGCGTGTTCTCGCCCGGTCAGAATCTTGTAGAGGCTCTCAAGCCTTCGTATCAGTAGAAATACTACGTAGAACTATCTACCGAGTCGAATAGGAATGACGTTTCAACCGAGCAAATCCTTTGGGCCAAAGGAATCAGGCAAGAGCTAAAGGGAAGGCTTAGTAGGTTTCAGCCGATGCTTTAGAGCGACGGAATGACATACCTCGCCCATAGTCTTCATAGTATACGCGCCATCCGCGTCATACATGTACACAGGGAAAGAGGGCGTGGTGAACTCGCGGATGCTAAGGAGAAGTCAGGTAAGCCTCGCGGGTATACGGTTCCCTATCATAGCGATAGTCCCGGACATTCCAGGAAGAACAAGCCACATACAATTGTCGACACATGCCACAAGGCGAAGCCCCCGGCTTGATGTCCGATGCGACGGCGATGGCCTTGAAGTCTTTATGCCCCGCAACCTGGAGCGGTATATTCAGCAATCGCGAGAACGAACAGGCTCTGCGCCTCAAGGGAAACAATCTCTTACAATAGCAGTGCCAATCGCAACTCGCTCTGCGCATGTCCCTACCGGGTAGGAAACATTCTCGACGTTGGCGCCGACCACATACTCGCCCGACGCGGTGAGAAGGCACGCGCCCACGCGAAAATTGGAGTACGGGCAGTGGGCGACTCCCTTGGCTGCGATGGCTTTGGTAGACAGAATCTGCAGCTCCTGCGCGGAAACGGGCGGGTCAATGGGGGGCATGGTGTGGGAGAGGAGGGAAAGAACTGAGGTTGCAGTGGAAGCGGGGGAGTTGGAGTCCTTTATCGCGATTAGATACTCGATAGCCTTGATTCAAATGTCTGAGCGCATAGCTGGAGAGCCTTCTTTGCGTCCATAGCTATCTGCTATTTCGTCCGATTGCCATGAATTCTATGATTTGTACAATCTGGCGTGGGAGTTTTTTTCAGGTCGCGTGCCCCAGGTTTGAGATGGCTGCAAGGCGGCTCGCGTATCTACAATCGGTGCTGGCTGACTATTGTAGGGACCCCTAGCGGACATTGTCCATATCCAATATATACAAAAGTCTAGAATATGACCTGTTCAAATGCCTTCTGTAACCCCTTTGCTGCCAGCCAAGCCTCCAATGCCTGCATATCCCCTCGGTTGGCGCGCTGGCCTCCTCGCTCTCCAAGCGAATCGGTGATTTCCTCCATTCCTGGAAATACTCTTTGAATGTCCGTCTCCCGGTACCGTTCACTGACTTTCTTTTGGTGGCTGGGTATATCGCCCCATGAATGGGTCTTGATGAAGCTCATATAAGCGTCAATATCTGCTGATCTGCCCTCCAGGCATAGCACGCCCGGCTTCCCAGCCAGCACAAACCCTGATAATGAGTATCCAGGCGCCAGATTCACCATGTCATCTCTCTTCTTTCTCGTTGATAAGGACGGGAAGTAAAACCAGACTCGCACCGTTGGTCCTGAGTTCGACTGCGGAACCGGTTGCCTTGAGAGCTGCCTCTGCTTTTCTGCTAGCACGCGGCTGACTTCGGCCTGGATATAGTCAAATGCGTCCAGCGCATCAGTTCGCGGGATAGACGTGGCGACCGCGGTAACCTCGGCCTTTGACAGCCAGTCTGGTTGTCGCAATGAATAGCTCAATGGCGGAGGGTCATCAAGTATCTCTGGATCGTCGCACTCCAGCGGAATTGCAACGCTCACTTGGATATACCTTTCGCCATCTTGAATTGGTAGAGAAACGACAACGTATAGACTTGAGGGAATCTGAGAAGGCGGGGCGCAGTCGCCTTGACACCAGTCTCGAAGCCGTTCAACACCCTGAGTTGTTGCTTCAGGGATCTCCAGCTCGCCTGGCGATGGGAACATGGCCGCCAAGAGGTCGAATGTCGATAATTGCGCCTCGATCATGTCCATTGGAAGAGCTTTCTTGCTATTGGCCATAGTGGGATCAATGTTGGAGGGTTGGATGTGTGGCCGATATCAAAGATGCTCGGTGGTATCCCTTGTACGAGATGCTGAATCCACGCGGCTCCAACTCCGCATAAAGAGTGGCCAAATATTCTTCACTGCACTTCAATTCTCCAGGCACTTTGTCAACTCCCTGGGGTCTTTTCAGCGAAAGATGGGCGTTTGATTCTGTCCAAATTGAATTGTGTGAGGAGAAGATCGTTTTTCCCGAAGGAGTTTAGCGCCCTCGTAGAATCGATCTAGACATCTTCGACAGATGAGAGGAAGGAATGAAGGAATTGAATGAACATAAACATACACAACGATCCAGTGACTGTATTTTAGTAAGGCTTAGAATGCCTCTGGGTATCGCCCAAGTTTGACTGCCCACCAAGACACGTCCATACTGTCGCGCTACTTGGTTTGATCTTCTGATTATTGGCCTGCATTTGCCACTTCTACCGACTCGTCGCGCATGTAGACCCAACCCTTGCCCTAGCATGTGGCCATTCAAACCCATAGCTACTATATATGGATGGTAGGAGTCACTCCAGATTTGAAGGGTGATTTCATATTCCCTTTCCGCCGTTGACGATACTCTTTCAGCCTCTCGCGTTGGATAGAGGTTGAAACAAACAGGGGCAGTTCTCTTGCCGACTTGATAGCACCCGCCGCATAAATTCGGGAAGGCCTCTTCGGCTGCGTCTCAACAAGACTGGACATGGATATGTCCTGGTGCAGAGAATATATCCGAAGACCAAGATCGAGCCAAGTTGGAGTTTGGGTTTTGCCTTGTGCATCCGATCTGGTGTCTAGGTTAGCAATGACGAGCCCTTACCTTATTACACCCCAGATCCCTTTTATGGCCCTTACTCTATCGCAGCTTTCCAGCAACTTTCATGGTTATGAAAGCATAGACTTCTGGTAACTATTATCAATACTATTTACAGGTACTTTACGTCACCACTCAAGAGGTCGTATAGAATATGATAACCCAGTCTTACGATCTTATCTGATCTTCGGATAACTAAACTCAGATCTTTCAATATTCTATGGAGGACCAGCAGATCTAAGCCCACTTGCCAATCAAAGCCATAATGCCCGCCCCCAATAACGTACATCCAATCATGAATAACAGCCGAGACCGGCGTTTGCTCCTTATTCGGATCGAACAGGAAATCCCTCGCGAGCAGCTCTACCAGCCCGCTGTAAATAAGTATCCCCGCGGAGATGGCGTTCAGCACGCCCTGTACAGTCAACGACACTTTCGAACCAGAACTGTAGGATGTGCGGACACCGAGCCCGATGGCGATGGAAATTGGGGTCGTCAGACCATAGGCAGCACACAAGATCCACGGAAGCCAGGTATGCCGACCAAATGGGATTGCAGACATCCGAGCCCCAATGCCCAATCCTTCGAAGGACTGATGGAATACAAGAACCGGGTACAGGGTTGCGAATTCGGAACCGCTCACGCCCAGATTCATTCCGATGATGACGGAGTGAAAGATGATCCCGAATTCGAGCAACAGGAACGCAGCAATCTGCTGCTGAAAGGACCGCTCGGCCATGATCCCATGGGTCTCGGCGCTCCAAGGATCGACGGATGATATTTCTGGGCTAGAGGCAACAGCCTTGCTGGTGCCAGCAAGGCCCGACTGGGTATCGCAGGGGCGCTCAGACCGCACAAAAGCTTCTGTTGCGTCCTCGTTCCGCTGAATGCCATATTTGTGCTCGACATAAACCTCGGCTCCGAGATCCATGAGGAAGATGACAACCACTGAGACCAGGACAATCGCCGCACACCAGGAATACTCAGCCCAGTATCCTGATTGCCCGACACACGTATTCGGTCCAATTTGTGAATATGCTGGGTCGAGGAGGTGAATAAATGCAGTCGCGACAATGACTCCAGTTCCAAAGTATCGGGCGAAGATATACACGCCTAGCGGAATCTTCCAACTAGGTATGCGTCTGGAGACCACCGGGAAAACAGTAAAAGCCGAAGAAACGATCAAAATCACGAAGATCGATGATATGCGTACCCCCATATGGCCATTGTATTCGTTCTCAGAGACTGCGAGATAGCACAGCACATCTTCAGTACTGGCTGTGTCCAGATTCACATTGGTGGGATCGAAGGAAGTCATTTCGACCCTGCAATTTTTTGAGAGGCACGAAGAGCAGTGCAATGCTTCGAATGAGCGACCTCATCTATAATATAGTGGCCCCAGCGGGGACCTTGGGTGTTTGATTGAGTCTGAATCAACCTTGGGGACTTGTCTGCATAAGTCACCGGGTCTTTTGTTTAGATCTATAAAGCTTGAGGACCTCGGGGACCATATGACAGTCTGCATCGATATCCAACTAATATCCCATCGACAGTGATCAGAAAGATTCGCGATGGTGTACAAATGGTATGCATGATAGTACGCGAATCTTCAAGCAGTGTAATCTCCGTCCGATATAACAAGCAAAAGGTTGTTACGAGAACTGCGGGGTTCAACCAGCCTGATGACACCGCCGCATCCTCCCTTCAACCAACATGGCTCCGCCAGCGGAAATCGTCGACGGTCGCAAGACCTTTATTCCTCTTGGTGAGTATTTAAAATATCCACGGCGCAAGATAGCATGGAGCTCACGGGTGTTAGAAAACAACCCCGAAGTGTTAGCCCAGCTCTGTCAAAATCTAGGGTTGCCCCAGGACTCACCTTTCACGATGTCATCTCTACATCGCCGGATCTGCTCTCTTGGATTCCTCGGCCTATCCATGCACTCATTCTCCTAGCCGATGCACCGATCTTCCATGCTGTGCGGTCGCCTGGGAAGCCCACGATTCCAGAATACAAAGGCTCTGGCCCCGCTGAACCCGTGGTGTGGATGAGGCAAACCATCGGGCATGCATGTGGTCTCATGGCACTACTCCACTGCCTCTTCAATCTAGATGACAGGCAGTACGTAACCCGTGGATCAGAGCTGGACCAGCTTTTGGAGACAGCTATTGGCTTGGCGCCTTCTGAGAGGGCCGATTTATTATACCAGTCACAGTTCCTCGAGAAGGCGCATATGGAAGCAGCATCCCAAGGATCTTCTGCACCTCCATCGCCCCAGGATGAGAACCATCATCATTTCGTTGGATTTGTCCAAAAAGGCAAAGATGTCTGGGAGCTGAATGGGGGTCTGAATGGCCCATTACATCGAGGTGAACTGAATCACGGTGATCTATTGAGTGAGAGAGGTCTAGCCTTGACAGTTCAGGATTTCCTCGATGCAGCAGCCCAAGGAGGACATGGAGAGATGAGCATTGTGGCAATCGCAGGGACGGATGCACAGCCCATTTGACGAGGGCATTCAAAGAAGGAACGGATATGAACAAGAGTTAAACTAACTTCGCCCGATAATGCCTTGACAGAGACACGAGAAAGAAAGAGGGATGTACGGAAAGGGTAATTCCATTGGCTTCTATAGACAACAGCCCTAGATCAATACCGAAAATGCCTTCTCAGGCTCTATAAAGTCATTAAGCAACAGCTCTATATTCATTGAACAATCACAGGACTTTTTTTTGGCCCCGGGGATGTTTTCTGTCGCATCGTAGCATAGGGTATAAGAAACGACAAGCGAAAGCAGAAACCGAAATTGTATATACGCATCATTCAGCCGCGGCCAGAATACGTGCAGAGCCACTTCAATGAGGAATCATCCAAAGTATTGTCTGAATCCTTCGTAGACAGAGAATATGAAGGCCGAGCTGGGCGCCGACCGGGCACAGGTGATCCCACACCCACGATATAGGCCTTTTAGGCCTTGCTGCCGCCACAAGGCACGGCCGACTGTCCAGAAAGTCTGTCGTTCCCCGTTGACTGGGATACGGGAGATATCTTCGGTCTGCATCCGCGATTTGATCGTATCTGCAGGAAAGAAGAGAAAGTTATAGGCGATGCCGGCTGTCGCACCAGCGATCATCTGCTGGTGAATAGGCAGGGGATCCGAAGCGGAGTAGGACTGTTCCTTGGCAGAATACTGCCGGAACACGCTGGAAACACTTTCATACCCACCGAACCAGGCTGCGCTGCCTCCAGTCTCTCGAATCAAGGTCCCCAGCTGCCCGCGCCAGAAACCCCTTAGACCTTCTTGACGGAACACAGATATGATGAGCGTCATAGGGCCCGGTGGCTTGCTCCCTGCCGATTCGACAGGTACTTGCATCTTGCATTTTATGAGTTCAATTGGCGTCAATGCCAAAGATGTGACGGACCCTGAGGCTGCTCCACTCAGCAGAAGAACACCCAGGGGCAGCTGATCCACCCCGGGATACACCATAGCACGCAGCGCATCCTGGATAAGACGGTAGCTGAAGAAGAGACAGCTGGTCTCTACTGCAGCGCCCATCATGGGGGCACTAATACCCCGGTATAGGCCCCGAGCCCCATCTGCCTGAAAGGACTGGCGAAAACAGTCCAGCGGCCCCGTATATCGCAAAGGGAGGTGTTCGGGCTGTGATTGTAACCGAACCTTGACTGTGTCGAAGGGGTACTCGATAAGTTTGCCTGCCATTCCAGCAGCCTGTTCGTTACAGAATCATCAGCACCGGTGGGCCGCGACATCGAAAAAAATTTCGTATCAGTGACTCACAGATCCAAATACAATATCCTTCATAGCCTCAACCCCCTGGTTGGGTGGAAGGGATGGGAGCTCCATCGCTTCATCGCGAACTACAATCGCATGCTCGGCTGTCGCCATCAAGGCTTTCAACTGTCCCAGGACAAAGACGCACGAAGGAGGGGTGTTATCGGCAGAGCATCATTCAAGACAGGAATTAAAGGGGTGAGGAGGGGGGGTTTTGGACGAGGGATTTGTCCCACGAACGAGTATGGAACAGTGTGGGGAAATCTTTCAGCTAGACGAGGGGAAGACGAGAAGGAAATCTCGACGAGGGAAAAACGCACGAATCGGCGAGCTGAGCGGATCTGGACGAATGAACGCGGGAGCCATGGGGCGGTGAGACACCGCCTCGCGCTGCCCAAGAAGAAATCGGGGGTTCATGAAGGAAAGGCGTCGACTGATGCCTTGTGAGAGCCGAGGTTTCCCTCACCCTGGGACGCTAAAACGAGAGTATCCCGTGGAATAATATGAATTCTTCAATCAAGTGAAACATCCCACGGCCTGTCGTGGAGCCCCTTCTAAGCCCAGAACAGCAATCACTGTCCACTAGCGCCCGCCAAGCCGCGTTATCTCGATCTGATAATCTCCCGCCGAAATTTTCACCGGTTTGCGTTCTTGTTGGCGTCCCGTAATCTTCGTTCTTCTCCCATCTTACCCGTTGCGGGCAATTTATACCCATTATCACCAAGCGGCTATCTGTTGAGAAAAGGACTCGGCTGCAAATCCACTAACATGTCCTCCCCCGACACCCCCGCTGCCCCTGCGGTCAACGTGTCCAAGGGCATGCGCAAGAACGGTTAGCACGCGTCCCCTCCCATTCCACGGGCCCCCACTGTCACTTGGACTTCGAATCGCCCAGAAGCTGATCCCCATCTTTCTCTTTGCAGGAAAAAATTGGCACGATACCAAGAAACCTTTTCGCCCCAGTGCCGGTTTAACATCTTATGCTAAGCGCCAGGAAGCGCGCAAGCATCAAGAGGCTGTCAAAGAACAAGAACGGGAAATGAAGGCAGAGAAAGAAGCTGAACGTCAGGTAAGTTTGCCATGCCCTTGTTCATTCTTCTCTCATATCCACAACTGCGCCCCCACTTCCTTGGTCAGGTCTGTCTAACTTGGCATCTAGGCGCACGTTCAACGAATCAAGGACCGTCGTGCGGCCAAGGAGGAGAAGGAGCGTTATGAGAAGATGGCCGAGAAGATGCATCACAAGCGGATTGACCGCCTGCGTCGTCGCGAGAAGCGCAACAAGCTTCTGAATTCATGAGCACCACACCGCTCCATCATAGCATCGACGATATACTCCTTCGCCCCAAGCGATCATGGTCCAAGCTGTTGTCCGGTCTGGAAATGGGCTAAAGCCCCTATGGCAAGGACTGATTCCGTCATTGGCGTTCACTGGGTCTGGTATTTTCCAAAAGTAGACAGTTCTTTTTTTCCAGGGGACTTGTTCCTGTTTCAAGGGTGCCCTTATTTGGTGAATGGTCCTTGTGCCGAAGACATACATAATACCCTTTATAGAAACAAGCATTGAAATACGCTTTGAATGAACTAAGGAACAGGATCTAGATTTCATAATCGGATCTATCATTTCTCTGAACTATCCTCTACTGGATATGATAAGAATTCAGAGAAGTCGTCCTATAGATGTACAGCCCGACCATGGCGGCCAGGCCGAAATGGAGATTCTATGGGTTTAGGTTACCAGTAGCATAAAGTTTCCAACCATTATATCTCATTATATGTGAGATCTCCCGTATTTTCCTCTATTGCTGTTCCAGTTACCCACCCCTCCCTTATATTGGCAAATCGATCCAAAGCTCATGGACTTGAAATGACTCGTCTAGGATTGAGGAAATGATGTATACTATAGAAGGAGATTTCATGTTGCAGATTCCATGTTGAAGCAACAGAGCACTAGGCATATAATCGATATCAACATTATTCGTTTGTTCCCTGAAAAAGAAAACACATAGTCCTAAATATGGATGACTTTTTTTTTTTCAACTATTGCAATTAATAGTGGCTGTGATAAACATGCGGAAATTGCGCTTCTGTAGAATCCGACCCGCTGGCGTCATTCTTTGGCCGAGGCAGCACTTGACCCCCTACGTCTCCCGCGCTGCGGACTCCACCTTCAATCCCAGTCGCTGTATAATTCCTGCGCCCATGGGGTCTTGCTAATGCTCCTATCACAATATGAATGGACATGGATTCTCGTCCCAAACCCCCCGGGCCCTCCGCCACCTTTCCCTTGAACCATGGATCGACCGTCCGCTCGCCCAATGATGATTTCACAACGGGTCCGACGGCTCTGCGTGAGCAATCCAGCACTCACCGACCACAAGGACGTCCTTTAGTTGACGAAGAGCCAGCCTCGCCTGATGGGACAGATGTAAGGCATCGGTTTCAGCGACAATTCATTGACCAACCGGCGCTGGAAGCAACCAAATCCCATCACCGACACAAGCACAGCAAATCACGAGAGATCCGCCTGCCTCGTCCTATGAGCCACCTTGCCTCGTCAGCAAGTGCACGGGGGGCTACTGCCCACCTGGTCTGGCCGCGACAAGGACCGTGAGGGGGACGATGGACTTCTCCACCCCGTTTCTCGGGAGACCACCAGGTCTCGATGGGGGTCTGATTCAACGTCTGGCCTTGACTCCCGCAGCCGGAAGGGGAGCTTGTTCGACAACCCGGAACAGCATGAACGCTTAGGCCCAATTCAGAGACAGCATATCCAGTCCATGGAAGATCTAGGCCGGGTCAAGAATCGCAGGAAGCAAGGTGAAGAGTATGAAAACCCCGTCTGACCTGGTCTTTTTTTTTTTGGACAAGTCACTGACATTCTGGGCTTGTAGGTATCTACGCTCTGCACTCTCTTCGACGGGGACCCTCGCGACCGAGCTCACGCGTCGGCTCGACTACACCTATTACAATCTGCTTGAAAGGATCACATCGCTAAACTCGACTATCAGCTCTTTCCAGGATCTCTCAGACTCTGCCTCGTCCCTTCTAAGCAATTTTGAGCAAGATACTGCCGGCGTGGACAAGGAGGTCCGTAAACAAATCAATGATTTGAAGGGCTTCGAGCCCCAGATCGAGCTGGCAGATGCCTTGGAGAAACGCATGAATGCGGGCCGACAACGCGTGGAGGACCTAGGCAAGCGGCTCGAAACAGTCAGAGGCCAGATTGACCGATGGGAGCAACGCGAAGAGGAATGGCAGTCTCGTGTCAGTCGTCGACTGCGTATCTTCTGGGCAACTATCGCCGCTGCCTGTGCGGTGCTTTTACTTGGGCTTGTCATTCAAAACTGGCATTCTCTGCCGCCATCCAGTGAATGGACGCGTGGCACAAGCTCGGGGTTGAATAAATCAACCCCACTTGCGCCGCTATCAGATTCTTGGAGCCCTGTTTCGGAGGTCCATCACGCCGAAGGAACCACCGAAACCTCCTGGTATCCATCCAGTCTCGCCGAGCGCCGAGAAAGCCTCAGACTAGCCCATCCTACAGGAAGCGATGCGGAAAAGCAGCATGCGCCCCATGCCTCGTCTACGGAGACCGATCCATTACGGATATTGGATGAGTTGTAGAGATCATGCAAGCTTTGCAGCTTGGCCAATTCCTGACATATCATGTTCTTTTTGGGTCGGTGGTTTCATTTTCCCACACACACGGTATTGATTCATCTTTCATCTTGCGAAGGGAGGTGTTTCATGTCACTTTCATCAAGCTGTGGGCTCCTTTTTTCTTCTTATCCTCCACGAGTTCAATGTTCGCATCGGGCACTTTGCTGGCATAATTCTCGTTCAACCACTCACGCACATCCTCGCTAACATCGCCCTGGACGGTGATTTCCTCTGCTCCGCCGGCGAGCGGGTCATGGAAGATCCAGTGGCGAATTTCTTGCCCAGTTCCTTCGCAAGTTTCTTGTTCTCCAATCCAAAAACCTCCAGGCCCGTAATCACGGTCACGTGTTTCCGCTTATTGCGCTCGACTCGTTTGATAATGACTTTAGAGGCAGCCTTCTTCTCAGCATCGCGTGCCTCGGACTGTGCAGCTTTGGCCTCTTTCTTGGCGGCATCTTTGGCCGCGCGTTCCTGGGCCGATACGGATAGAGCGGATAGATTGGCATTCAGAGCATCTGAGACACAAGACGCTTGTCAGAAGCAGCTGTCGCCACATAATTCCCATGAATAAACGATAAGACTTAATGGAGAAAGCAACACAACGGATGGAGAGACTGCCAATTGCTCACAGACATACCTTCGGAATATAATTTGTTCCACTGGTCGGGCTCTGCGTCCTTCAGCCACTCTTCGCATTTCTTCGCGGTACCTCCAAATTCACAATACTATAGATCCCCAGGGAAGGGGGGAAAACAGGTCAGAGGTGCCGATATGAGTGGGGAAGAGCTGCAAACAAACCTCGGGGGGAAGAGTACACACTGCGCTCGATCAGTTTCCGACTCCGCAGTTCTCGGAACCTGGGGGGTCCGGGGGTGTTACTTACCTCCACAGTACACGATATGGCGTGCCTGGGGCTCGGCCGGGCCTGGATCTGCCACCTCAGCCATCGTTTCAAAAGAGGCGATGGAGAGCAGGAAAGTTCGACGTGCGCCGACGAGGGGCAGCGGACCCTCTTTTCGTCCGCATGAGGTAATCTATGTCACGTGGACTATGCTCTTTATTCAATTCGACTGGTTATTGCCTCTGATTCACAAGCTGTTGTGCCCAGGCCACAAATTATGCATTATCGCGTCTACCTTCGCAAGAAGTATCTTTGAACCTACTGCTTATGAGCTCCCAAACTTTAGCACAACTGTAGTCGTACCCTCCGGTGGGATGGCCGCTATCGAGCATGGAGAAGACGCACAACATACATCATTACCCCTCATCAAAAGACAGGATTATAGAGCCGACATTAAATACCCTGCTCACTTATCTCTGGACCCTGTAGGAAATTGGCTCTGTTTTCCTTTTCTTTCCTTTTTCCTTTTTTTTTTATTTTCTGGGGCGCCTGGGCCTCGCCGATAACGAAACATCCACGAAGCGCTTTTGCGGGTCGCCCAAGCTCAGTCCCCGGTGGCGCATGTATGACAAAGTTTCGACAAGGGCAAGGGCTTCGTACGCCCCCACCCCTGCTCTCATTGACAGCTGTCTCTTTGATCATGTCAATTCCCTCTGTCCATTTGTCAATGGGGCCATGCAGCTATCTGGTCCGACCGTTGAGCTGCGACGTGGACTAGGCGTCTGATAGCAGGTCTGATGCTCATTGGTACCCGGGGATCACGGTTTTAAGAGAAGCATGCAAATGCAATCTCCGATAAGGCAGAATTGCTCTGTCCATCCTTCAATGGCTTTCCTCCAGCGCTAATGGCGAAAGTTAAACGTGCGTCAGTGAGGGGGTGAGGACAGAATGCGTAGTTGAGGAGCCCTGGACGATAGTGAGAGCAGGGCTGATTGGGGCCCTCGAGAAAGCCCTGGGGTGCCGGGGGATTTCTCGATGGAATGCACGATATAGTTAGCGGGCTTTCCTGTTTCCCGCGAACTAGACCAATGAGAAGAGACCATAGGAATCATGACGAGATCAGGGAACAGGCCCGTGGGGCGGCGATCATTGGTGCATCTCAATCACGACCAAACGGTCTCCGCGGGTGGTACGCAGAACTCGGGGAGGCTGGATCGGTGTCATGCAGACATGGGGCGACCCCACTGGCCGAAGATTTGGCAATTCTACTATTATGGGTGCGCACAGACAAGCCCGGGGTAGGGAGGAGTGGGACAAACCCTGCTGTCGCTATCTTACTTCCATATGACACATTAACACGGCGGCCGTCACTGTAGTATAGTTATAGCTTTTGAATGTGTTCTAAATGGAGGGAGGACCTGGGTACTCCTCGAGTGACCCCAACAACGGGAACCTTGGAGGTATGTGAGTTCGCTTACGGCAGGAATCTCCAGGCGGCCAGATCAAACAAGGAGGTGTTTAACGAGACGGGAACCCCTGCTAGTGTCCGGGAGCCGTGCTAAGACTGAGCAATATAGTTGGCCATATATTAGCTGGAAGAGGTGATCGGTGCTATAATGGTGGGTCCGCGTATGCCTGGAGCGTGCATTATCTGTCAAAGTATAAAAGCACGCAGGGTCCGTGCTAATTAGGCGCCGTTGCTCTCGTACTTTGTTTTTGCCCCCTCGAGTCCTCGAGCCTCGCACTTCCCGCTTGATCCGGAGTACCAGTCGCCGTAGTCTACGGTAGTCTATGGTATTATATATGGTACTCTATGGGACCCTATGGCCATTGTGTCTGGTCCTGTAAATATATAGTAGTTCTATCACCCGAAATTCCGGAATCACGTCCCGCCCAAATATTCAGTCGGACCAGATCAGTGTAGAAAGGGTCGAAAGTAAGCCCCGAAAGGAACCCTGTAATCTAGACCTGAAGCTCTTCTCCTTTAGCAAATTGACTAGGGCGGCGTTGACGTGCAGCAGTGGGGGCTCCAGAGAGCAATCCGGGTTTCAATTTCAGAATGCCCATTGCAGGGTGGATTCGTGGACACATTAGTGCAACCACAGTCCCGCCGTCCCCGTTGGCCTTGGGGCTTCGCTCGCCCTTGGACGCTCAGGCCCTGAAAGGGTCTATGAGGTGCAGGAGGGAGCGTTCTAGGCCAGGAGGTCTGGCTTCTGGCTTTCCAGAAAATGTCCGTTCGTGTGGTTTGTTTTCGAGCTTCTGTCGAGCTTCTCCTTCCTCTCATGCTTGCATTGACTATATATCGCCTCATGACTGAGCTTCCGGATCTTCTACGGCATTGCTCTTATAGCCTTCCGCCTGAAGGTTTCAGTCTAGGATCAAGCCAGGGTGGACCAAGTTTTTTTTTTTTCGTACCTCTACGGCCCCGCTCCGCGATGCTCCGACCAATTCGCCTCCTTCTATCAAGCTCGCAAGGTCCTGCGAGAGAAAAACAAAACCAAGACGTTGACCCTGGGAAGGGATTCGAGAGCTGCAGAAAATAATTAAATAGAAATAAATATAGCATCAAACCCCACTAACAGGACGTGCATCTTCGGCAAACGGTTCGAGGGGCCATTTCTCGTCTGGTCTGGCCCTGCATCTCCTTAAACTTTGGGTTCTAAGTGGCGAAGGATACATGATACAAAACCCAGATACGAGGGTACAGGAAGATCATAAGAAGCCACAGCCCCTCAATTACTTCGGTGACTCTATGAACCCCCCCCCCCCCCGGATCTCTCTACTGATATCACTGGTGGTCCATATTACGAGACCTCTTCTCCAGTCTGCTAGCCCACGTCTTGTGCCACCGTCTTTTTCTCTTTCGACGTTGCCTTTCCCCCGCCACCTTCCCTCCACTTTCTCCAGATTCATACTAGGGTAATAGCCTTGTATTTTATTTTATTTTTCTCCTTTTTTCCTTCCCTCTTTTCTTTGTTCTGGTTTCTGCTTGCCGCGACCCGCTCAGGACTTGTTTAAAACTGGGGACCTTATCGTGACCAACTTTTCCTGTCCGCATCCGGGGTTCCCTGTATATCCTTATCATCCCAAACGACTCCAGGGTTGAACGGTGCCCCTCCTCCCTGGCTCTTATTTAATGGTGTTATGGCCCTTTTGATTTGATCCTTTCTCCCCCATTCCCCTCCCCCACAGTCTCCACTGTCCTCCACCTGCAAACTTCGGGGAAATGACGGCGGTGCTGGCCTCTCGCGAACAGCATTCGCAGTTTTCCCGGATCCTCGTCGAGCCCCCACGACGCAGCGATACTTCCTCCAGACCGGCATCCCGACCAAGACCCTCATGCAAGATGAGGATTCGGCCCGGGACTGCTCTCCCGCCTCGCTTTCATCACTTCCTCCCTCGCCCAGTTTTACGCCACCAGAAGAACCCCCCTACACTCCCACCACCGTCAGCACCCTCTCCCTGGATGAAGACCTGATCCTCCCCTACCTATGATGGGCAATCGGATTCCGCCCACAAGATCTCTGATGTTCTGAGCGATCTTTCCGAAGGCATGGCCCCCGTCCGGACCTGCGGAACCCCGGCCGCCGACGATTCGTCCGTGGAGGACGAACCCTCTCGCCATGTCGACTATCTGTCTCATGACTGGCGGGAGGAGGACATCTGGGCCTCCTGGCGGTATGTCGCTGCCCGCAGAAATGACTACAGCAATGGGCCTCGACTGGAGAACGCCTCGTGGAGAACCTGGGCGAAGGCGAAAAACAACCTGGGGACGATCTCACCCGACACTTTGAATTGGTAGGTATTTCCAATTGGGCTCCTCGGTCGAAGGGTAACGGTGTGGATGTTCAGCTAATTGTTCGTTCTTAAAGGCTCAAGGACTGTGATGTGACCTGGCTGTACGGGCCACTGAAGACATCAAGTTCCAGCGACACTGTCGTATCCGATTCATCCCCTCCTCCCAGCCGTCTGGAAACACCAACCCTTTATCACGATCGCAAGCCCATTCTCAAAAAGAAGACCGCCTCTGAAACCATCCTGCAACGGTCGTTGTCTCAACATACACTACTTCAACATGCCGGTGCCATTCTCCAGGCACAAGAAGCCGAAAATGGCTGGGCACGACCCCCACTCGATCGATCAAATACAGACATCGATCGTCTTCACCAGCGCACGGGGAGCTCGACTCACTCCCTCGGAAACACTCTCACAACCACATCCTCTTCTGGTCTAACCTCTCCAAGTGAGCGCCGTCATATTCATTTCAATGATGAGGTCGAGCAATGCATTGCCGTGGAATGCAAAGGCGAGGAGGACGAATGGCCCTTCGCTGTCGATGACGAGTCGTCATCAGATGAAGGCTTGTTCATGATGCGAGAGATCTCCAATAAAACCCCCATCAGCAGCCGAAGCACCCCCCGAAACAGCTTCAGCAGCGATAGCAAAACAATTGCTCCATTACCATCTACTACCCTCAAATACCGTGGAGATACTCCTGAACCACACACCGGATCAGTTCTTAATCAGTGGGTTGGTTTCGCCCCATCTCAGTCTTCTTCCCCTCTCTCCCCCTCCCCTTCCGTTGAGACTCTGCGGCCAGCCCCCGCCGCCAACTTCCTCCTGGACGATGATGATGAGGATCCAAGCCTGGACTTTACCGGGCAATATCGAAACCCAGACCGCACGTGGTTTGTGCCAGAGGGTGAGGACGCGCAAACAGATCGTCCGCTACAGCTGACCGATTCGGGAATGTTCATGCCCTACGGGGAAGGCGAGGGAGAGGCGTCTAGCCACACCATTCTAGGCCGGGTGGTCGACACTGTAAATACAGCCCGCGACATTGCCCATGTGATATGGAATGTGGGCTGGCGACGATGAAGAGTCGTCGATAAATGACAGGCCTTTATCCTATCCCTTCCTTCTTCTCCGTGAGCGAACAGCATCTCTAGAAGATTGGGGAGGGAAAATCGGTATTTTTGCGCCGCATGGAAAAAGGAGACTAGCGTCACTAGTCTGTACATAAGATACATAAACGGTCGCCAAGGTTCGTGGTTCACAGCGGGTGCCTGGCGCAGCATGCTTCCGGAGTTTCGCGCATTTGTTTTGGGGGGACTTTTTTTTTTCTTTTTATTTTTTTTGTCTTTTGGTGGTGTCAACTTCTATTTCTATTAGATATCCTGTTGGCAAGACCAGTACACTCGGTCTGGATTTTGATTCCGCTACTTTTGAGGAGAACAAAATACTCGGAATGTATGAACGAATCTACTATGTCAGAAGGGTCTTGCTAGCAGTAGCTAGGAAGTTCTTATTCAATCAATTCCATCAATTTCTGAAAGATAGATCCAGAGCAGTATGTAAATCCACCAGGATTGATCATTGTGTGGCAGCCATTACCGGTAGACGATTCCTCCGAGGCTTTTGTTGGCTGGAGCCTACTCTCGATATGGACCCTTCAACTCCTGCAGTGACTTATAGTTGAAACCGTATCTCCCATGCACCTAGAAGGAGCGGTTTAGAATAACTAACTCTATACTAGCATATCGCACAATTAGCGATCGGGGGTGTGTTGTCTGTGCTGTCTATCCAGAATAATGGATCGATCTAGATGATGCTGTGGATCGGCGCTACCAGCCTACAGTATTACTCTATGTATTCAGATATGCAGTTCCTCGCCAATCTATTATTACTAGTAGTGGTGACTGTAAAATTGAATTCTCCTGGAATACGAATACCCAATCGTTCATCGCATACGTGTGATCAATGCCCCCAGAGAAACAGCATATGTCATTCATGGTCCACGGGGCTGTTATTTTAGCCTTTTTTCCCCGAAAGGCCCCACAAGTACTCTCCCTGCTGCCCCTGATGTGCCCGCTTTTTCCGCACCTCACCCCATCCTTTGCCCGGGGACTCAATCACCATGGACAACGTCAATGTCGCTGAGTTGGTGGAACGGCTGGGAAGCGAAGAAGATGCCGCGCGGAAAATGGCCGTCTTCAAGCTGCAGGGTGTTATTGGCGACCCGTCGTTCGCTGAACTCTTTATCACCCAAGGCGGCTTGACTCGTCTGCGCTATCTCACCTTGCATGCGAGCGGCAACACCCTCGCCTACAGTCTGACGAGCTTCGCGCGGCTCTTGGAGGTGGACAAAGGCTGGGACTGTGTCGATCAGGAGCTCGTGCAACGAGTGAGGAACCTTTCCCTTTCTAGCACCCACCATTCAACGCAAAGAGTTGCTTGTCGAAATATAACTGCTAATACTGTCCATGTTCCATTTAGATCGTCGAGTTGATCGTCACCCATCCTCTAGTCAACATCCTCCGAGGTGCAATGTCAATCCTAGTATCCGTGGTGTCGCATCCGCACGCCGGTAACCAAGCAGACCCAGATGCCTTCGGCTTTCGCGCGCTGAAACCTGCCATTGCGATATATCCTCAGTTCCTGGAAATGCTCGTCAGTCGGCTTTCTTCCGCAGATCATGCGCTGTGCGCCAATGCGCTCCAGCTAATCAATTCCCTAATGCGCGATTCGATCACCTATGACTCCGAGGCGGAATGGCCCAAATTCATACAGAGACTCCAGGATTTGGGTGTGATCCGGGCGGTCTATGTTTTGATGCAAGACTCGGCGCTGCAAGATCTAGCACATCCATTACTCGAATTCCAGTCGCTCACTAAGGTCCTTCTTCGCAAATGGCGAGACATCCCTCTGGATCAGGAGAAGCCCGAGCATCGACGAGCCTTAAAGGGTATCTATCTTGCCAGCAACCCGACAAAAGGCTCTGATGAGACAAATGAGAATGGCGATGAGACCCGCCGCTCCAAACGGCACCACGCAGAGAAGTGGCGGAAGCTAGGATTCGAGTCAGAGTCTCCGGCATCGGAGTTCTCTGAGGTTGGCTACTTAGGTATGATGGACCTGGCAGATTATGTCCGCAGCCATCACGATGAGTTTCAGAAGATGCTGCTCGAGCAATCTACCAAGCCCGCTGGTCAGCGGTGCCCCATTGCCCGGGCATCATTGGCAGTCACTTCTATCCTCTATGAACATTTCGAAGTAGATAACTCGGAAATTGAGGATTCCAAGACCTTTATGCTGATGGAATCCCGGTCGAGTCTGGATAAGTTGTTCCGGCCATTGCTCTTACATTGGACTCGGCTCCATGTCGCTGGTTTGCAGGTGTTTTTCCGATTGTGGAAAGCTACCGCCGCTGAAATTGAGGACCTCGACAAGATCGTCGAGTTGGTTCGTATCTTAATGGAGTCTGTGGTAGGTGGCGCGGGCCGCACCAAGGACGTCCAAGATGTCGAAGAGGAACTGGCAAATTATGAATACAATCGGTTGCGGGAGTTGCAGATGGAGCTTTTCGAACTCACCTATGAAGATGCTTGGGGGGAAGCACCTTAACCAAGTGCGAGAAGAACTCCAGCATGAGGCACTTCAGTTTGTCAAAGAACAACGCATCCGATGTCTGCTGCACGGGGCATGGTTTGCGCTTGACTCTTCATCCAAAGTGGATGTGAGGGCCTCGTCCCATCAGTATGTTCAACTATCGCATAACAGGCGCTATTTGCATTTCGGTGAATTTGACTCTGTCGCGGAAAAGGCGCCAGAGCTTGATGCGCTGCCAGAGAAGAGTAATGTTTTCCCCATTCTTCATTGCTTTCGGGCCATGCTAAGACCATACCTTCTGTAGTTGATCTTTCTACCGTCTCATCCGTGGTGTCTAACATCTCTACCAATCCTGACGACGCTTCGGCCTCAACTGTGAAGACTGCTCCTCGGCAAGCCTCCACCAAGATCACCATCCATGGGCACGCACCTTCTCCCAACTTGACTCATACCAAGAACCAGAGTCATGCTCGGACGGGAAGCCGATCAACCCAAAAGGAGATTGTGCTCTTGACGCTTCGGCCTGCCTCACATAGCGTGGCATCAGAATGGCTCGATGGGCTGTTGATGCTTCTTAATCAACAACCGATCACCACAGAGACCAACAAGCTAATCGATCTCGTTAGCAACTATGGTCTCAAAATCCGCCTGCTCAATGTCCGTTTCGATGATGCCACTTTTGCCGGGGAAGTGCCCCCAGTACCCGGACGAGAGGGGTTGGATGAAGACTACTATTATGATGTCTTTGGTGGCGCTTAGTTCCGCTTGCATTGACTGCTCGGATATCTCCTGTGCCTTGTTATTCTCTTGTCCCATTTTCTTATCCCTTGACTCTTCTCTTTCCCGGCGACCCGGTCAATATACCCCCATTGTGACCGAGGCATGTACGATACATATTGGCATTCGGAGTTGGGACGCTCTGTGAACAGCTGCCCTTGCACAAACAGATATTATGAATGCCAAATTTATTTAAGAACATACTGCTATTTCAAACCTATAGTAGTTCCAATTGAGAAAGTAATCCCAAAGCTCACATCTCCATATGTAGAGGGAACGGGGAATGGTTCGTCCAAAGTGGGACCGCGCTATCAATTAAGCTACAACCCCCGGTTGAAAGTCTGTGTGCACTCGGCCCCATTACCATCGGGTGAATAACCACCCACATTTTTATTCTTTCTCCTACGCCTCCCCCATGGCATCGATCGCTATCGATCTGGAATTATATTCTAGCAAGATAAAAAAAGATCTATATAGCGAAAGATATGCAGGTTTGGTTTAAAGAGCACGGGATGTATGTTGAAGATTGGCTGGTATACTCGCCTGATCTTAATCCTATTAAACTAGTCTGGAAACGACTAAAATATTAAATCTTTCTATATATTATAAGATATTATATAGACAGAAAGATCTGGAGAGGACCGGGCTTACTTTAAAGAGTATATTAATACTATATAGGATATGTTAGACCAGACGAAGATTGATATGTTAATATTGAGTATAGTAAGAAGGATGGATAGATTGTATACAAACCAAGATTATTATATAAAATATTAAGCAATACAACTCTGTATATGAACCTGTTCATTCAGTATTTTGAATTTTATTATGATCCCATAAGGGTTGGTGGTATAGGATAAGTAACCATGAATATATATCAGTATTTGATGGGGTAGGTGAAGCGGTATGCACACAGACTTTTGCCCCCCATTGTATCAGTCCGCTTATCGCGTGTTTTGCCTCCGTGAGCTCTCATTTCCTCCTCAATGTCGGAATCTCCATGAGCATCATGGATAGGCGGCCCACTAAGCGACAACGCCGCGCAGAAGCCCCATTCCAATCCGATTCCAAGCCAGTCACTCTTTCGTCACGTCCGAAGCCGACCCGTGCACGCCCCAGCCCGGCTCCTTCGATCCAACTTCCTTCATCCTCTCCATCCCCCACCAAAACACCGCCAAGGCCGGTGAAGTCCCAATCCAAGTCTCTCCATAACTTTTTCCAGCCCGCATCAGAAGGACAGCGATGGTCTTCCCAGAAATTCGAACCGCAGCGCTCAGCATTGGCGCCGGAAGTCACCCTAGATGCCGATGTCATCGAGGACGACTACGATTCGTACGACGAGATTTTTACCCAGCACATCGCTAGCCAGAAGCCTGACAATGCCTCCAAATCAAGTTGCAATAAGCCTCCAGCAGCAAGGTCCCAGGTTAAGACTGCCTCACGCCCAAAACCCCAATCCTCCAAACGATTTGTGATGGCCTCTAGGCCAAATGAACGCTCCCGACAACCCTCACCACTTAATAGTAACGATTTGACCGATATCGACAGTCTTCCATGGGCCCAACGTTTTGCCCCAGTGAATCTCGATGAGTTGGCCGTGCATAAAAGAAAGGTATCCGACGTTCAGAAATGGCTGGAAGAGGCGTTCTCGGGAAGGCGCAAAGAGGTACGTCTCCTTGCTTGCAGTGTTCAGCTTGTATACGACTTTCTGGACTATCTGTCTGCTCGAGATGGCTCCAACGTGGTTTCCATTTTCATTTTTTTCCCCCTCCTTGCTGACGCGGAATAGAGACTCTTGATCCTACGAGGTCCTGCTGGTTCAGGGAAAACGACCACGCTCTCTCTCCTGTCTAAGGTTCTAGGATTCGACATCGTTGAGTGGAGAAACCCAGCTGTCCCAGATTACACTATGCACGGATACACCTCGATCGGTGCCCAATTCGATGATTTTCTGGGCCGCGGTGACCGATACGGTGGCTTGGAATTTGACCACGCAAAGGCGGACGAAACCCACATTGGCCACTCCGGGACTTCTCAGGATCGACGAGTGCTCCTGGTAGAAGAGTTTCCCACGGTGTTCCATCGTGGTTCTTCGAGTCTGGCTTCATTTCGAGCATCCCTCCAGCGATATCTTGCCGCTACGACCCGTGGAACGGATCGCGATACACACCCGCCTATTGTAATGATAGTTTCTGAGACCTTGTTGGGTTCAGCCTCGTCGATATCGGACAACCTGACGGTACATCGCCTGCTTGGTCCTGCGCTCTATAATCACCCAGGCACAACTATCATCGACTTCAATAGCGTTGCATCGACATACATGCAGAAAGCTTTGCGATTGGTTCTGGAAAAGGAGACGAAAATGTCAAATCACAGCAGTGTCCCCGGGCAGGCTGTCCTTGACGCCATTTGCGATGTTGGTGATATTCGCAGCGCGATATCCTCCTTGGAGTTCTTGTGTTTGAAAGGAGATTCGGCTGGAAATTGGAGCGGCAGGGCCACAAAGGCCAAGGGGAAAAAGCCCCGTGGGGGGGTCTAAGCTAACTCCAATGGAAGAGGAGTCACTAAGGATGATATCCCAACGAGAAGCTAGCTTGGGGATGTTTCATGCCGTGGGGAAGATCGTCTACAACAAGCGCATGGACAAAAGTCTCATGCCAGTCAACGCAATCATCCCCCCTTCACCACCTGATTATCTTTCTTCCTATGACCGACCCAAGGTGTCTGAGGTAGCGGTTGATGAATTGATAGATGAGACAGGAACGGACGTTGGCACATTTATCTGTGCTTTACACGAGAACTATCCACCTTCATGCCACGGGCCTGCATTTACTGACAGCCTCAATGCATGTATTGAGGCCCTGTCTGACAGTGATATACTAAGTCCTGGGCGCAGATCCATCCATGGCTCTCGAACCGGCATTGGCCTGGGTATTGGAGCCACGCCACTGAACACCGGCGTGGACCTCTTGCGGCAAGATGAGATTAGCTTTCAGGTGGCAGCTCGGGGGCTTCTCTTTGGGCTTCCATACCCGGTTAATCGACGAGTCTCCCCGAGTGATGGGAAGGGACGTGCAGGCGATGTTTACAAGATGTTGTATCCAACCTCGCTTCGGCTCTGGCAAAAAACGGAGGAGGTTGAAGGCCTTTTGGATGCTTGGATGAAACAGAACCTAGATCCCTTTGGCCATCCACACCTTCTGTCTCAAGACTCTGATCCTTCAGCCAGGTCCACCGGGGTATCTTCCTGGAAAAAGCTCCGGTTTGGTCTTACTGTATCAGGCGTGACAGACGATCGCCCTCATGGCTCGGTTGTGACGATGATGTCTCGTTCTGATGCACTGCTTTATCAGCTTCCTTATGTGGCGCGTATTCAGCCCCAGGATGCCGCATCTTCTCTTTTGACTCAAATCACTCGTATTCGAGGGAATCTACTGGAAGATGTCGAGGAAGATGTCGTGGACGACGGATTGGGTCCAGAACTTCCTCGAGACAGGCGCACAGGGGTCGGCAGCCATACGGCCTTTGGGCCAATAGTCCCCCCCACTCGAGGAAGAGAAGCTAATTCTGAGTGATGACGATATTGTTGACGACTGAGGACTGAATAGATTTGGTTGGGATACAACAATCAGATATATTCTCCAACTACTAGAAAATGTGAATAATTACGTTAATACAAGCAACCCTCCTTATTCATCTCTCTAGTTCATATCTAATATCGGGTCCTTCGTTGATAGGAGGTACCAAGGATGCGGTTCCTGCGACTCGCGACACGAGATCGAGCGGGGGCGTTCTACCAGATAATACCATCTGCCCTTATTAGACTGACTAGCCCGGTCTTTGCTGCTAGGGGTCTTGGAATAGTTATACCTTCGCTTGATGGGAGGTGATATAATATGTGGCGATAGTTAACTAAGGACGGAACATTGTGAATCTACGTAGTAGATCGCGATTGTACCTAATCGGCGCCGTCTCTGGTTAAATATAAACATCCCGCGGACCCGCTCTTCTCCCATTTCCCAACTCGAACCTCACGCCCTTTGCGCCTGCGCCAATCCGACGATTGCCCTCGGCAAACCAGTCGAGTCCGCCAACCCCAATTGCTTTTTGAGAAGAAGCAAGGAGTATACGTCTAGTCGGTTGTGGCCCCAAGAAGCTACTTTGCCACGTCGCGTTTTTTCCCTTTCCCCCGCCTCTAGACCTCCCAGCAACCATATGAAGATCCGCAACAAGCCCTCATACGTACAGAATGATTAATGATAATCATGTCTCAAACCGGAAGGCCAACCCGGATACAATGGCTTCAGCCCGTCCCGCAGCAGAGCCCCCAGCTTTGCGCCGCTCCGACTCGGACCTGAAGAAGGATGCACGATTGATCGCCGCCGCGGCGCATGCTGCGGTGCCTAGCTGGGCGAACATGGTCCTGATATCCTCGCTCATTCTGGGCGGGTGCTGTGCAAACGTGAGTGGCAATTGGCCCCAAGAGGGCATGGCACGAATGTAAGATCGATTCGTCTGACATAACTGCAGGTATTCGCCCTCGAGGCCATCATCAAGTAAGCCAAGTCCCTTTAGCATGCCAGATATGCAAGACAAATGCTAATATTAATGTGATAGAGAGCAAGCCACGGCTGGTGAGAATCCCTTGACCTCGATATCGAGAGAGTATCCCCTGACGACGAGCACAATTTCCTAACGCACGCCGTGCAGGCCCATTGATCACCTTCGCGCAATTCGTTATATGCGCTGTGTTCACCCTACCAAATTTCCTCTCCCTCTCTGCAGGCCCAAGCGCTTTCTTCCTCAGCCCAAGAGCTATTCCGCTACGGTCATGGATGATATATACTGCGTTCTTCGTAACCGTGAACCTGTTAAATAATTGGGCTTTCGCATATAAGATCTCGGTACCGCTTCACATCATCCTACGCTCCGCTGGGCCTGTGGCATCTATGATAATTGGGTATATCTTCAATGGCCGGAAATATTCGCAAGGGCAAATACTCTCGGTAGCCATGCTAACAATTGGCGTTGTTGCTGCTGCGATAGCCGATGCGCAGACGAAGGGCCATTCTGTCCAGGTCACGTCAGAGTCGGCGATGATAACAACCGCGATAGGGTTTACTATTCTGGCGCTGGCCATGATACTCTCGGCTTTCCAAGGAATCTATGCGGATCGATTGTATGCGACGTATGGCCGAGATCATTGGAAAGAGGCCTTGTTCTACTCACATGCCCTGTCGCTTCCTCTATTTGTGACGAGCTACCCTCAGCTTTCCGCGCAGTGGCGAACTATTGTCTCATCACCGTCTCTGCTGACCAAAATTCCTCATACCGTCACTTCTTCCGAGACCGTCCTATCAATGGTCACGGCCGGCATTCAAAACCATAGGCCTACACAAGCATTCCTTGGCCAGCTTCCGGTCCAGGTAGCGTACTTGGTCATGAATGCACTTACCCAGTACTTATGCATTCGAGGCGTTCATTTGCTGTCAGCCAAGTCCTCATCGCTGACTGTAACTGTGGTTTTGAACGTCCGCAAATTGGTCTCCCTTTTGTTGTCGATCTATTTGTTTGGAAATCATCTGGCGAATGGCGTCTTGATTGGAGCTGCGCTAGTCTTCATCGGTGGTGGCCTGTATGGATTTGAAGGCGCCCGCTTAAGAAACAAGGCCATTAGAAATGATCAACCGACAGGAGGCGTGGGAAAACCCGCTCTTAAACAACAATAATACAGCTCGAAGACTTGGGGAAGATACCATCCAAGTCATAGGATCGGGCCCTGTCATTTCCGTTACAGATAGATACAAAAAGAAAACTCAACACCCAAAAAGATCCTCGATATAGGAGAGGAAAGTGAATAAGCGGAGAAGACAGGGCAGAACTAGGGAAGGGGAAGCATGTAGACACAAATGAATATCATGAACAAGTGCTCCCGCCTCCTTTCATGGTTAGGGAAAGAGTTAAAAAAGGGAAAAAGTCGAAAAGTCGAGTAATTGTACATCCACATCGAAGAAAATCCCCTATAATCAAAACATGCAACTGCGAATGGCCCTCGTGCTCTCTCCTTCGAGTATCCCCCTTGATTTTATCATTGATGGGTCTATAATACCTCTCCAACAATCTTCGCAGCCTCTTTGTAGGTATCCAGAAGGCGCTCGCACTTCTCACGTTCGGCTTTGATGCCATCGTCTTCATAGAGAAGCTCGCCGAACAGATCCTCCTTGTATAATTCACTGACAAGACGATTTTGTACCACGTCCTTGCTGTGGTTTACAAGAAGGTGCATAATGGCCTTCGGGACCTGATCAGCAATGGTCTCCCGAACGATTGCAAAATAAGAGGAGATCAAACGACGAATGAGCTCGGTCTCGAGCATCTCCTTGTCGGTCAAAGTAGGCTCTACGTTCTCATGAGGCTAGGTAGAAGGACAGAAGGTTAGAAAAGACGCGAGAAAAAAAAAAAGACATATCTCAATGAAAACGAACTGGCATGACAAAGGGCGGAACTTACAAAACCTATATCGCCTCCAAATTCTGGCGGGGCCGAGTATTCCTCGGGTGGGAGCACAGGTGACCTCACTTCAGCACGGCGGATGGCCTGGCTGGGACTATGCTCATTTGTGTGGTTTGATCGGTGAAGTGCAGGCTGAGGAGCAGGAGTATTTTGCACTCCTTCTTTACCGAAGAAGTAGTTCAGGAAAGAATCCCGTGTGCTTCCTTGCACACTGCCGAAGCCAGCCGGCTGGCTTGCGTGGACGCCATTAAGAGTAGCGGCAATGCCGTTCTCTGCATGACGGCCAACATGAGGAGACATACTGCGGTGCCCTTTTGTGGATTGGCTTCGTAAGGGGAGGTTATTCGACTTCGATTCGGATGGACCTTCTTCATCTTCCGCTGGGGCTCCATTGGCGGTGCCAAGCTCCTTCAAACGGCGCTTCTCTCGCTTCCTCTTCTCCTCCGCCTGGAGGGCCTTGCGTTCCTCTTCCTGACGACTTTGAATGATCGACTGCATGGCGGCCGCCGCACCGGGGAAATTGGGATGGTTGGTGTTGATGTAGGCTCTTTGGATGGATATGAGTGACTCAACATAGCCAGAGCAAGGGCCAAGTCGCTCCCGGAGAAGATCGGACACCACCTCGATAAGCTTGCCTTGGAGACGAGGGAAACGCAGAAGCTCCTGTGATCCACATGTGTGACAGATCTTGATGAGCTCTTCGTACACCAATTCAACACACCGTTGGGCTGGTGCTTCTAGCAGCTTAATCTGCGGTTTCACCAACAGATCAAACGCAAGCTCTGGCACAAAGAGGCTTGCTCGAGGACCCGTGGAGTTCCGGATCGCCGTCCTAATATCAGAAACAGTCAAGTTATGTGTGGGATCGATGGTTTCTAAAGAGTTACCAAACACCTCGTTGAAGATGTAGTAGATTCTTGCTCCACCACATAGCTCTTTGGTCGAGATCTCCGAAGAAGTTCCATCGATAGATGAGATGAAGGACGAGGCAAACCGAGTCATGAGCTGCAAAATCAGAGATCCTCGGTGCTCTTTCCCACTGAATTGCTTGTTGCCGTAGCTAGCAAGTTCTTGCTGGGTCTGGCCCATGAGGGTATTCAAGCGTGCTTTGATATCCGGGAGGCGGTCTCGAATATGTGACATCAGGGTCGAATTCAGCGTCTTGGCCAGGAATTGGGTCCCACAACGAGTGGCCATATTTCGATATGCTGGATGATGGCGAAAAAAATCCGATTCAGCACGCAGAGCATCTGCAAGTGACTTTCCGGACTGGATATCTTGTTGCGAGCGGTTGACAACACCAATGAAGCCGAGCTTCAGAGGGTATACGCGCCCGGAGAGTATGTCCATTGCATTGGTGCCGTGGTCCATCAAATCCAGCTTTGACAAAACTCCAATAGTCCTCCGGCCCATAGGGTCTACTTGGCGAGCAAGCTTCAATGCCTCGGAGTTGACCAGATCGACATTGGCAGGAGACACGGCGAGAATAATACTGTTTGGTTTGGCGATATATTCGAGGATGAGCGTGCGAGTTTGCTTCTCGATATCTGATGGTTGATCTCCAATAGGTACTTTGGTCAGGCCAGGCAAATCCACAAGCGTGAGATTGAGGACATGGGAGAGAAGATTTTGAGGTTGATTGGTTGACGATTGATCCCCTTGTTGCTACCCGCAATGCGCGCGGTTTCTGCCTCGATTTCCTGCTTGACCTGGGCAAAATCCTCAAATTTGCGACCCGGCTGGTGGTGAAACTCGGCCCATTCATGTTGTCCATCCACGCTGGCTGCGGTGTGAGGGACATGAATCTCGTCATTGGCGGGCCTATCATCTCGTTCGCTGGGAATATTGATGAGCTGAAGAATCAGAGGACGACGTGTAACAATCCCGCTGCCTCGTGGAAGAAAATCTCGACCAACGATGTTCTCCAAGACCGACGATTTACCAGACGATTGGGAACCGACAACCACCTTGACAGTAAGATTAGTCTCGAAAGAAATCAAAGCCGGGAAATGCGGAGAGGAATAATCAAACATGACGTACAATCTGAGGGAGATCAAGGGAGTCATTGCCAATGGTATTGAAGACCAGGTCTTGAAGCTTGTTCACAGTGACCAGCAGATCTTCTCCCAACGACGCCATTTTGATTGAACGGCAGTGGGTTGGAAAACCAACGCCCGATTTGTGCGAAGAGAATGTAGCGGCGGAGAAGAACTCAAGTTGAGTCAGACTCTTCCTTGAAGGAAACCAGGTGAAAGGGGTGGCAGTGTGGAGAGACTCCTCTCATTAATCTGGATCTGCACGCGCGCAATCGGGTTCAGGCCTCGGCGGTACTGCCAGGTTGTTTATGACTGACCACGTGACTAAATTAGGTAATGTGGATGACGTCTTCCAATGTTCTGTCCATGGATAGGTTCTATAGGTTTTAACAAAAAGTCAAGACATGTCTATGTACCGCTATGGAGAAGGCTATCTACCACGTCACGCTAGAGTGATTGGGTGAAGCCTCGATAGAGAATATCGCAGTAAGGCTATTTTTCACAAGGAGAACTGGACCGATACGAAGAACAAATACAAGATCAAAAGAGTCACAAGAATCATAGCCTATTTACACATGCCGCGATAGATGCGCCCAGGCCTTCAATCATGGAGCTGCACGTAGTTTGCAGGGAACAAGCCCCGCTGGCCTTCGTATTCTCCCAGCCACCAATCCTCGTCAGGGAATTCCTAATTACAATTAGCTTTAGGGATCATAGATGTCACAAGTGATACAAAAGGAGGGATACTGGAACAGGGGGACATACCACGTTAGTAATGGTTGCACCTTCTGGGAAGCTGATTTCATTATCCTCCGCAGCCTCATAGTCATACAGAGCAGCAGCTGTCGCGCCTTGGGAAGCTGGGGCTGAATCATGTCCCGAAGCAGCAGGTGGAGGTGGAGCAGAGACAGGTTCCGGCTCAGCAACAGATTCGGGCTCGGCCTCTGCATGAGCTGCGGTATGCGCATCAGCGACCTCACCGTCTGCTGCGATTTCGACGTAGTTTCCAGGGAAGAGTCCTCGTTCGCCTTGGGCATTGACACCCAACCACCAATCCTCATCAACCATCTCAATTTCAGTCACCACTTCGCCTTCCCGAAGGTCAATTTCATTATCCTCGGCCTTTTCATAGTCATATTGAACTACTGCATGCAAGCCGCCTTGCGAATGGACAGGGACTGTAGCTTCCGCAGCTGCACGGCCAAGATCATGGTGATCTTCTTCAAGATCTTCTTCCTTCGGAACAGCCTCCTGCAAGCTTTCCACCGGCAAGGCTGGTGGTGGAGCGTGCTGCTCTTCGTGTGCGTCCGAGACGCTTTGGCTCACAGGAACAGCGATTTGAATAGGGGAGCTTTCGCGGACTGGAGGGGTAGGTGGAGTAGGAGAACGTGGCTGAGGAGGGGGAGAAGGTAACGGCTGCTCAGCATCGTGCTCAGTCTCAGGCTCAGTTGGGCCAGAAGGCAGCCCGGGGATGGGCACTGGGCGACTTGCTTGAGGAACTGGGGGGGGTGGCTGGAGGCTCGCGGGAGAATTTCTCGCGCGCAGTTGCGACTTCAGACGGCGCTGAGCTTTCGGGTTGCAAGGGGTCGGATGCTCGCACGTCGGGCTGCGCTGGGGCAGGGCGATCCTGCACAGTTTGAACAGGCGCCCATGACTTTCCAGCATAAGAGCTCTTCCATTCATTCTGGCCGCTGGCCTGGCTTTGGATAGGTGGTGGTACAGATATATTAGTCTCAGAGGTCTCTCCACGCTCTCTAGCTTTACGTTCCGCCCATAATTGCGCAGGTGTTTTGCCTCCTTGGTTAGCAAAGGTTCGGCTAGCGCTTCCGATCTGAGCGTTTGCAGTGCTCGATGAGACACCGGGGCCAGCAGGCAGCGGGGGTTTAGTGCCTCCAACCGGGGGGCCAGAGCCAAATCTATTAGCAACCTTGGGCTTTGGTAGGTCGGTCAAGCGCTCAGCATTAGCTGCTGGACGCTCCGGGAGGGCAGTCGGCTCGTTCCGTGAAATCGGAGTCGAGTCAGTAAGGGGAGCACTGCCCCCAGGCTTCTGGGCTCGGGAACGAATGGCCGCGATGTCCACCTTACCGACTGGCTCATAGGACCCTTTGACTGGTGTCGGACGATCATCTTTCATCTGGCCAGATTCAGCGGCCTGGCGACGAATAGCGGCGATGTCCACTTTTCCTATTGGTTGATAGCCACCCCGGACCACATCATCTCGTTCATTGGTAGCCTCTGCAGTAGACTGTCTGCTCGCAGGTGACTGGTTCTCAGCCTTGAGCTGTTGCAAATTCACTTTTGTAGGTTGATAAGCAGGTTTGACTTTCTCGAGCTGCGTTCGTGTAATAGGAGGAGCATCAGCACCCCAGCCATCGTCATCATCAGGCGCAGATGGCTTAGGTCGAGAAATAGAAGGCGCCGAGGCGACCCCACCAGACCGAGTTGGAGTGAACACAGGTTTGCTTGCTACAGGGGGGCGAGGAGCTGCAGCTGGGGGGGGGTGCTTGCGACTCTGGGGAATATTTGGAGCCGGAAGAATCGGCCACTCGTTTAATAATGCCTTCGGGGGGAAAGATCACCATCTGCTCGAGCGGTGATCTGGACGTGATAACCCTATTACGAGGAATTAGGGGTTATTTCATGATTTGAAACTGCGGTCAAGCGATCTTGGTATCAAGGCGGGGGCTTTTTCGAGGACTTACATGCAAGAATTTGGAAACGCTAGCGAGATGACTCGTGAAATACCCTTTAGTGCGCTCGGGAACCCCCTCACCGCACCAGGCAATGAGGACATTTTTCGGCAATGCTGTATTCGGGTCTGTGACTTTGACATATGCGAATTGAATGCGACCTTCAGAGAACTCTTCGATGAGATCCAAAAGTTCACCCTCTACCATTGTACAAGCAGCAGTCAGCAAATTTTAAGTTATGTTGAAGGTAACCAAGAGACAGGCAATCATACCTCCAGAGGCCTGAACTTTCAATACGCTCTCTTTATTGGCGGAGTCCTGTTGGAAAGCGTTCACAAGCGGGGTTGACACTGAAAAGACTGCCCATTGGCCATAGGTTGGAGAGCTTCCGTTGGGTAACGTGGCATTCACAACGGTCTGATAGCTTTTGGATATGGAGGGTCCGTTGGTTGAAAGGTTAAGGGAGGCCATGGTTGGAAAAGGCGTAGATGCTCAAGCAGAAAGCGGGAGTAGGAAGAAGGGCGGGTCGGGGAGTCGATAGAAAGCCGCCACGTTCCAAGTTAAGGTATGAAGAAAATGCGGGGAGCGGCAAAAAGAATTGAGATCCAACTATGCAATGATCAGATGAGCCAAATCTTTCCTCTTTCGATATAATGGTAGATAGAAGGGCGGCAATTGTGGCAGAGGTCCCAGGGGTACACTGCATCAATAGACGGTGAAAAGACGAATGATGAAATCCTTTTGACTTTAGGGCGATGACGACTAATCACGAATACATACCAAGTCAATGAGGCTTTCCCACAGGGTGGGCAGAAACAACAATCGAGGGTCCGGAGTCTTAAGCGGTAAAAGGAGTCCAGGAAAGAAAGTAGGCGCCTAGGAGGAGCTGATGTTGATGTCAGTGTAGGGGAATGACGGTCGCCTGGGGAGGAATAGTTAACATGAGGGGCCTACGGGAAGTACCGATACCTATTCGGTACGGAAAGGGAAGGCAAATTAGAAGTACCGCTACTTCCACCGTGGATAACTTGTGCTCTTATCTAAGCACTGCATCAATCGCCATGTTCCGAGGTTCCAAGGCGGGTATCAGTCCTTGAAGATGGGTGGGTTCTTCGACATAACATGTAGTCCAGCATATGCGATGCATCAAGCAAGGAACTAAGCTTTGACTAAGTCCAGTCATCTAAATTTCTGACTTTGTTGATCGTCCTGTCTATCTCAGTTTCCAAAGTCCAGACTTTCAGAGGTGTTTATGTTACCAATCACGAGACTAACCAATCAATGCAGAAATTGGAAGGTCGACTTTGATCTCATGATGAATATTCAGTAGAAAATCTATATGCAAGCCCTAGTTGTATGCTGTAAATAGAGACATAGACAGATTGAGCCATGCGGAAATGTACACAGTATACTTCCTGCTTCTCCATAGGTCCACGGGTCGAGAACACATCTTTACGTAATTGATTTACCGCCCCCGAATCTGAAATTACTCACCGGCTTCCTTTTATGACCAAAAGTTATCCTCAAAAGCTTATCTCCTTACTCCTGTCGAAAAAGTGAGAAAAAAAAATTAGATCCGCCTGTATCCTTAATATATATTTAGTTTCTTATACAAATCGGATGGATGAATTTGAGTCCTTTCTGATGCTCATATGACCAAGCAAACAATCGAATCTCATCTCTTCATCTCCACCCCCCTTGCCTTGTCTCCCACTCTTTTTACTCAGGTCATTCCGTTGTTTTTCTGGCTCGTACTCCATTGCACCTGCCGGGTTCCTCTTTTGCTTTAACCCGACGAAGTAACACCTCGTCTATTGCCGCTCCGGTTTGTCTTCGAGGAGAGCGATCATGGGACCCCCCCCAGTCCGAAATGATCGGTTGGAATCCCAACACTGCGTCCTCGGACGATGAATATGGCAATTCCCCAGGCATCGACCATGAGTCTGTTGATCCTCTTTTTCACGAGCCTTCTGAAGAAAACGGCGCTGCGACCGAAATACTGCCTCGAGACCAACTGCAAAAAACCGCTACCTATGACTATGCCTTCGAGAAATCGCTAAGCCACGCTGAAGCAAAGCTATTCTATCAGCACCACCAGCAGGCATCTAAAGGCAACGAGAACCAAGCTTCAACTAGCCCAGTCATGGTCGCACGTACTGCCGCTGATGCACAAAACGACGGCCCCTCGATTCCGACCAATTCCACGCCACTGCATCCAAGCCAGACAGGCCGCAAAGCATCTATGATTCTCGAGCCAGAAGAACCTGCAAGTGCATCATTACCGCAAACAGCGGACGGTTCAGCCCAGAGTAACCCCAGCATTGCACGCCATATCGGGCCAGATCAATCTTCACCCTACAATGGTGTTCTGGGTCAACGACCATCTCAGGTATTAGCAGGTCTTGATACGGTTGGGCTGGGGATAGTTTCTCATGGCCCGGGTGGGGATGCCGTTACGGCTGAATTGGGGGTGATCTATCGCAAGATCCAGGACTTGTTGGACAGACGTCACAAGTATATGGCATTTTCACTCCAAAGACCAGCCGACGATCCTCGAGACCACCCAGGCTGGCAAATCTATCCTCCACCGCCCGAACCTTCCTGGGATGACGGCAAAGAATATCAACGGGATAAGGTTGGCGGACCGGCAGATATCGAGGGAAAAAGACGGAAGATGGGCCAGGACATTGGCGAGGACTTTGACATGGATGAATTGATGCCTCTGCCTGATAAGTGCTCCTGGACCTATCGGCTGGATAGCAATAGTGTCTATCAGGTATTTGAGTCTGACACTGCGGCGGATCAAAAAGCTCCGATTGTTGAGATTCCGTCCCTGCGAGATTTTTATATGGACCTAGATGCCGTGGTTGATGTTTCCACTGACGGGCCTGCAAAGAGCTTTGCCTTCAGGCGTCTGTCTTACCTGGAAGGCAAATTCCAGCTGTATACCTTGCTTAATGAGTACCAGGAAATTGCAGACAGCAAGAAAGTGCCACATCGAGATTTCTATAACGTGCGAAAGGTGGACACCCACGTACATCACTCCGCATGTATGAACCAAAAGCATCTGCTACGTTTCATCAAGAGCAAAATGCGCAAATCCCCTGACGAGGTGGTTCTTTTCCGTGATGGAAAACATCTCACACTGAAGGAGGTTTTCGAAAGTATCAACCTCACTGCCTACGACTTGAGTATTGACACCCTTGATATGCACGTAAGTTTCATAACACTTGTGCATACAGAAGACAGCTAAGTTAGTCTCAATAGGCACACACAGACTCCTTTCATCGGTTCGACAAATTTAACTTGAAATATAATCCGGTCGGAGAGTCTCGTCTTCGAGAAATATTCCTCAAGACCGACAACTACATCAAGGGCCGCTATCTGGCGGAGATCACTAAAGAGGTCATCTCGGACTTGGAATCCAGTAAATACCAGATGGTGGAGTGGCGTATATCGATATACGGGAGATCAATGGACGAGTGGGACAAGCTGGCAGCTTGGGTGGTAGACAACAAGCTATTTTCTCCCAACGTTCGCTGGTTGATTCAGGTCCCTCGCCTGTATGATGTATACAAGGCAAGTGGGATGATGGAAAATTTCGAGCAGGTTATCACCAATGTTTTCCAGCCACTGTTTGAGGTGACTCAGGACCCTGCCAGCCATCCCAAACTCCATGTCTTCCTTCAGCGGGTGGTCGGGTTCGACAGTGTCGACGATGAAAGCAAAGCAGAGCGTCGGCTATACCGCAAGTATCCCATTCCACGTGAATGGAATACCAAGCAGAACCCACCGTATAGCTACTGGATCTATTTCATGTTCGCCAACATTGCCTCACTGAACCACTGGCGTCAGCACCGGGGGGTTCAACACCTTTGTTTTGCGGCCTCACTGTGGTGAAGCCGGCGATCCTGACCACCTGGCTGTCGGTTTTCTCTGCTGCCATAGCATCAGCCACGGAATCCTGCTGCGGAAGGTGCCTTTACTCCAGTACCTCTATTATTTGGATCAGATTGGAATTGCTATGTCCCCGTTGAGTAACAATGCTCTGTTCCTGACATATGACAAAAACCCTTGTGCAAGCTTCTTCAAGCGCGGGCTCAATGTGTCTCTATCTACCGACGATCCACTTCAGTTTGCCTTCACCAAAGAACCATTGATTGAAGAGTACTCAGTCGCTGCGCAGATCTATAAGTTTAGCGCGGTCGATATGTGTGAACTCGCGAAGCACTCGGTTATGCAGAGTGGGTTCGAGCTCTCGTTGAAAAGGAGATGGTTAGGCTCGGACTGTGATCTTCCTGGTGTGGCAGGAAATAATGTTGCTAAAAGCAATGTCCCTGATATTCGTGGGATCTTCCGCTATGAAACGCTGCTTGCCGAGTTGTCATTGTGAGTTGTTCAGTTTCCCAATTACCGATGCTCTGAGTAGCTTTCGGAGCAGAGGCATGCTGCCGCTGAGACGTCACTAACATCGCCTACTTTTTATTCTGACATTTAGGATTGAAAGATACTCCGAGGGCACAAATATTGATGAGCCAAATGCCCTCGCTCCAGGTTTGCTGCATACAGTCGCTCAGGCATCTGTAAGATCGGGGGCTCGTACAAAACCCTAGCTCGACATTTGCTATGGAGTTCTTTTCGCCACTAGCAGAGGGGCTAGTATATAGAGAGCCTTATGTTTTATCTCTAATAAAATCAGCTACTTACTCAGTAGTTTTCGCCTTTTCTTCTAGTAAAGAGATTGTATATGTTATATTCGTTATAGACCCACTCTAGAGGAAGGAAAGTCAACCAGGCCAACCGATCTGTCAAGGATAATACACCACCCGCGCAAGTCTGTGTGCCTTCGGCCCCATTACCATCACCCTAACAACCACCCACATTCTTATCATTCTCCTATACCTCCCCTATGGCATCGATCGCTATCAACCTAGACTGATATTTTAACAAGATAACAAAAATATCGTATAAAGAGTACAGGATATATGTGTCACGGGCTATATCTATTCAGCACTATATGGCCTAGCTCTGCCGGCCTGCTCTGCCGGCCTGCTCTGCCGGCCTGCTCTGCCTTGCCTGTTATATCTAGCCTGCTCTGTTCTAGCTGCCCCTTTTCTCCTTCATGCTTTTTGTACATAGCGTGTGGCATCGTTTAGATTGAGTCGAATCAAGCCTTAGCCCTTTATGATATGTTGAAGATTGGACTGTTATACTTGCCTAATCTTAACCTTATTGAACTAGTCTAGAAACTATTAGAATATTGACTTTTTTTTGTATATTTAAAGATTTTGTATAGATAGAGTGTAAGATACGGCTGTCAAGGAACAATGAGAATTCGATGGTGAAACGCTATCGAATCAACGATGGAGGCGCCTTTGAAGATATATCGAGATCCTTTGAGCCGAAGTTGCACCATTCAAGGTCAGGGAAGCGGGGTCCCGGGATTCCCTTACATCCCATTGGTTGGATTAGGGCTGAAACCTGAGTCACAAACCCCTGGCGAACCCTCTTATAGAAGGGGGCGTTCTTTCAGATAGAAAGAGTAAGCTTTAGTCTTTGTTCAAACTGGAACCCTATCGTGGGATCCCATCGAATATCATTATCTCGCCTGGTCAACTGGTGCCACCCAAATCTGGTAGTTCCCTCACACTTTTCAGGCCAGATTGGGACATTCGAGCTATAATAGCTGCTCTTCATCAATTCATACCAAACTTTACAATGATTAAAGGAGAGGCAAGAGATTTTCCAACGATGGTAGGGATGTTAAGGGCACACTTCGACACAGAATAAAACTGTCAAAGATCTTGATAACTAGAGAAAGATCTTTATAAGTTGAACTATAAGCAAAGTCTACAACCTGGACAGAGCAAGCATATCAAACTCCAGTACATTGTCCGCCTATGAATCAATATTCAACCTTTTTGCTTCCCATTCAAGCAAAGTTTCAGCATTCGATAAGGTCTCAGGATCATTGTACCCCAATCGTTTCCGCCCAGCCACAGAATCTCGAATCAGATCAATGGCTTGAGTTTCGTGGCCTAATGACATCCAGACAAAAGCGAGGTTGGCCATACTGATCAGTGTGGCATGATTATCAACACCGAACTTGACCGTGCGAGTCTCTAAAACCTGGATGATGAGCTGCTCGGCCTCATTCCATCGTTCCAGTTTCATGTATGTCATGGCGAGGTTGTTCATGCTGTTCAATGTATCAGGGTGATCTTCGCCGAGCTGTGCCTTTTCAATATTCATAAGCGGCACCAGGATCTTCTCGGCATCTTCCCATTGGCCCATGCTTCCATATGTCTCTGATAGATTTCTCATGGCTTTCAGTGTGGAAGGATGATCTGCGCCCAGTTTCCTCTCAAAGGTTTCCATTACCTGTATCTCGAGGGTTTTCGTCTCTTCCAACCGACCCAGGTTCCAATATATGGATGCCAGATCGACCATGCTAGCCAGCGTGTTATCATGGTCAACACCGAACTTGATCTTGCAGGTCTCGACACGCTGACAATTGAGAGTTTCTGCCTCTTTCCAACGACCCAGGCTCATATACGTCGAGACGAGGTTTCTCATGCTCACCAGCGTGTTCAAATGATCTTCGCCGAGCTTCATCTTGTGACTCTCCACAATCTGTACTTCAAGGTTCTCTTTCTCATCCCATCGCCCTTGTCTTCCATATATTCTCGCGAGTGTGGCCATGGTCTTCAGCGTTGCAGGATGGTCCTTGCCGAGTTTGTCTCTGCGAGTCTCTATCACATCGAGGTAAAGCTTTTCAGCCTCTTCCCCTTGACCTTGCATGCTATATGTTGCGGCTAGGTTTTCGACGTTCTGCAATGTGTGAGGGTGATCCTTGCCGAGACATTTGATTCGAGTTTCCAATGACTCCACAAAAAGGTCCTCTGCCTCCTTAAAACGACCTTGGCTCCAATATGTCGAGGCCAGGTTAGCCACACTGGTAAGTGTCTCAGGATGCTCTATGCCGAGCCTCCTCTTGCGGCTCTCCATAATCTGTATATGAAGCTGCTGTGCCTCCTCAAATCTCCCTTGTTCCGTATATGTTGCCGCTAGCTCTGCCATACTCTGCCATGTTTGAGGATTGTCCTCACCTAAATTGCGTTTGCGAGCCTCGACGGCTCCAATCAAGAGTTCCTCAGCCTCTTCAAAGCGGCCTTGAGAGCAATATATCTGACCTAGGTCGGCCATATTCATCAACGTGACAGGATGGTCCTCACCATGCTTTGCCTTGAGAGTGCTCAAATTCTTTATGATGAGTTTCTCGGCCTCGTTGTACGATCCTTCTGCTGAATAGACCCAGGCTAAAAGGGCAGCACTGTCAAGTACTTCCTTATTGTCTTCGCTTAGAAGAGCCATTCTCTGTTCTCTTGATTTCATTGCCATATTTTTGACGTCTCTCAAGTAACCGGTTTCACATGCATACTGCACACCACGCGCAAGGACTGTAGCCCATTTTAAGCGAGACTCCGGTGATACTGGTCGTTGGTCACTTGCAGATCGAACATGAGGGAAAAGTGACCGGCAAACAGCCCAATTTTCGAATTCGCCAGTAGGGAAGTCGCGATGTAGATGATCGATGAACATCTCCCTGTATTGATCTAATTGTTGATGGGATTCCAACCAGGCGTGCGTGGAGAGTTGCACCAGTCGATGCATAGTAAGTATGGTGTCGTTTTCCCCGATCGATATGAAGGAATACTCACGCAGCACGAGGATATCGTCTTCAAACTCAAAGCTGGTCCCAGAACCTGATGAATCGCTATCACCAATGTTACTGGTACAGTGAGGCTGTTTTCGAACCAAGAAATCAGGTATCCCTCGTCGATCAAAAAAGCTCATGAGAGAGAGTAATGCCGCTGCAGATGGCCTCGTCCGCTTTATATAGTTGAACGAAATTTGCCATGTGAGTAAGATTGAACGTCTGCATTCCGAGTCTCGTTCACGGACAAATGATTCTCCCTGGAGAAGTTCCGTTGCTTCCCGATCGCCTCTTTTTAGGTCTTTCAAATATCGTGCCACTGAAGAGCGAGGACGCCTTCTCCAGATATAGCTGGCCGCTTGTGTGATCGCAAGCGGCATGTATTCAAGCTCTTCCACTAGCTGCCGGCATTCGTCGGAATTATCTTGTCCGTTCAGCTTCCTCAAAAGGAGCTCTGATGCTTCGAGGCTATTCATTGGCTCAACTTGAAGAATATCCTCGGGGTGGACCATCTTCAATGCAGTCTCTCGAGTCCGGCTCGTAATGATAATAAACCCGTTCTGGCGTCTTGGTAGATATTCGAACAATGGCTTCGTCAGGCCGGCCATGACCCCTGTGTTACTCATTGCTGGGGGTGAACAAAGAAACTCATGGTCATCGGCATTATCAAGGATAAGAACCCATTTGTCTCTTTTCTCATCCTGGAGCCAGTTCTCGACCAGTCTGAATATATTAGCCCCAGGGTCCTTACGCCCTGGGATCTTCACTCGATCTGCGAGATCCTGGAGACTCAGCGTGAATCGGAATTCATTGCTTGCATGAACCCAGAAGACCCATGTCGTCGGCGATTTGGATCGGACCTGATAGGAGTATTCGATGGCAATTTGAGACTTCCTTCGGGTTGTCAGTATAAGCCGTATACAATCGAGCCAAGTGTTGGTCACTGTACACTCACCCGACACCTCCGAGACCCACAAGTGCAATTCTTGAACCATGAACCGAGTTCTTGTTGTGAATCTGATCAAGAAGTATGTTTCGACCAGTGAAGTCTCGTTCTCGTTCGGGGGCAGTTGAGAGAGGGGCTGGTGGGGTTTCCGGTCTCTCTGGGTCAAGAAGCGGCCGTGAGCGAACCAAACTAAGTAGCGGGCCATGTTCCTGACTTACCTGGAAGATAGATATCCCCGTAATGTATCCCGATTTGTAATGCATTGTTGGTGCCGGAGAACACTATCGGTGCCATGATTGGGATGATTTTTGTTCCGTTAGATTAGACTTCTGTATAACCCAACTTGGGTCGAAGATTACGACCCAGAACCTAACCCGGGACCAGCTCCTGGGGCCCCAGAAAACCCGACCCAGTTCGACCTAGTTTTGCATAAAATTGCACAAAAACTACTCATAAAACTGCTAACTAATCTATATACTTTAACGTGGTCCACAAGTGAGTTCTGTACACAAGTGACTTCCGCAGCCTTCCGACGCGTCGCGTTTTTTCCTCCTTCAACCTATCACTATGCCTCCAAAACGCGCCTAAATTTAATCAAATTCAGAGCGTAAACTTGCCCTCGCTGTTAATACTATTCGCAATAAACAAATTCCCTCTATATGTCAAGCTGCCTGTGTTTACAAGGTTGACGAGTCTATGATTTATAATCGACTATGTAGAGTTAAACCTCGGAGTGATATATGTCTAAAAAGTTGTAAATTAATGCTTCTTGAAAAGGAATTGTTAAAAAAATGGATCCTTGATCTAGATCTCTATAAAGTCTCTCTCTGACTTGCTCAAATTCGAGAAATAGTAAATTTATTGTTTAAAGAGTGTAGATCTATTATAATATTAATGTTACATACTACCTAGCGAGTCTCGGTGAGTGGGTCCTCAAAGGATATACTTCTCTTGGTCACTCTGCACACCAAGGGTGTCTCGTCACTCTGTTATAATGCCTACCGATCACATATGGTAACAGGCCTTAGATGCTCAGGTCTTTAGAGGTCTTGCTTAGTAAATATAGAGCTGTTAAAGGCGCTGACAAGGTTAGGTTCTTATAGATCTCTTTTATATTATTAAGATTTATCTCGAATAAGTAAATAATGAATTGTTATTAGACCTCGCCATGGAACTTCCACGGGTAGGGATTTTGGTTCCAGTTCCGTGGGACGGGTAGGCAAGTCCTACCCATTACCCATCCCCGTCTACCCAGTGTAGACCATGGGGTACCTGCGGGTTACCCACGAATTACCCAAAAATGCATAATTACCCCTTTTTGGACATGCCAAGCTGTATAAAATCGCTTACTCACCCAAGTAAATTACAGTTTTTAACAGCTGTTCTGGTTAGCCTCTAGTTTATGAAGCGATACAACCACATTGACTACGTAAATTAAGTATTGAAGTTGAAAAGCGTTATTAGTAGCTCTGGTAATAGTGGTTTGTATCTATATTTAATAGATTAAACCTTATGGTAGATGGTTGTAGGTAGTATTGTGGATTATATATTGTCAACTGTTGAAAATATATATTTACACTACAAGGGAGTAAGTGTATCTTCCTGACAACACAATCATACCCCTTTTATATACTCTTATATCAGTGAAACTGATTAGCTGTTCGACAAATCGAATTATATACGTTATTTCCATTTAAATATGAGCTTTGCTTTAACAAAATTGTATATATTAAGTGTACAACAGCCTTGAACAGTGGTATCTATCTTGAAAACAATGGCACTTGAATATGAAAAAAGGGGTTAAAGTGAGATGGGTAGCCCGTGGGTAACCCGTGGGTTACCCGCGGGTTACCCACGGGCTACCCATCTACCCACGAATAACCCATGAGTTCAACCAATTAGAATATATATCATAGATATAGTGGGTCATTTATTCGCAAGTTATCAAAAAAGGGGGCTAAAGTCTCTAAGTCTATCAGTCGCAAAATTTACTATAGTAAGTACTTACTTCGTTATGTGATTAGGGGTAACTAGCCTGGTCTTGTTTCCCTTGCCATAATGTCTCAATTCTCCCAGTTCTCTGATGTGTATGCATCATCTTTATATAATACTGACAATCCAGATAACCTTCAGGTTATTCAACCCGACGACCTTACCTCTAACCCTTCGTTTAACCAACAAACATCACAATCAATCGCCAATTCGGATTTCATTTATCCATCCCGTGTGGCCCCTATACCTCCCTCCCTTGAACGTATCTGTCCTGACCGAACTTCGGCATACCTTGTTTATTCCAACATGACAAAAGACGATTTTGTGAATTGGTGGCTTCAGACAGACTTTGGACAAAAAAAGCCGATACGGTGGGATGCTCGACAGCAATCTGATGTGTGGAAGCACTTTGACCAGGTAGCAAAAGCGAGCGACGGAATGCCCAAGGTTATGTGTAAACGATGCAAGAAGGTGCTCGATCATCCACAACAACATGGGAATGGGACCACAGCGATGATCAAGCATTTGAAAGGGATTGGGTGTCGTGGCACAAATGGGCATAATATCAAACAATTTTTCCACGAGGTAATTTTATCTTATATTATGATATCTTTTTACTAATATCTTTCTAATATAGGCTACACCAGCTTCAGATAGTCTCAGTTTTACTCAAGAGGCTTGGGAAGCAAGTTTACTTCGTTTCATTACTGATTCCCGGCTACCATTCCAAATCCTCGAACACCCCGACTTTCATCAGTTGATTTACATGGCCTCCCGTGCCCCAATGCGTCCACAAATCCCATCTGCGAAAACAGTTCGACGTCGACTTCAAGGCACGATCACTGAGTACCAGAATACTATCCTCCAAAAGCTACCTAAAGATGGTAAGCTATCAATTGCCCTTGATTGCTGGACATCTCCATTCCAGCAAGCATTTATGGCAGTAACTGGTTATTTTCTTGATGAAGATTGGAACTATCGGGAGATACTGCTTGGCTTTGAACCACTTCATGGAACACACTCGGGTGTCAATCTAAGTGCTGTCCTTCTTGAACTTCTTCAAAAACACCAGATCACAGACAGAGTGCTTGCAATTACTACTGATAATGCATCAAATAATAGCACTATGATGTCGAGTATCCAGGATTCTATCCAGTCTCTTGAGATTAGCGATCATACTACGATCATCAAGGTTCCCTGTCTAGCCCACGTCATTCAACTTAGTCTGAAGCAGCTTCTTGGGCAAATGAAGGCAAATCCAAAGAACGATATAGCTGAAATGCAGTGGTCTGAAACCCAAGATCAATTGATCCGCTCAAGGCAACAAAAACGAGAGATTGTTGACACACTGAATAAGGTAAGTTTATCTCTTCAGATATAAAAACTATCAACTTATTTAATTATATATAGATACGAGGCTTAGCTGTTTTTATCAATGCTAGCCCTCAACGTCTCGAGCTGTTTTCTAAGCTTCAAACAACCTCAATACCTCTTGTGCCAATTCAAGATGTTCGAACACGCTGGAACTCGACCTTTCTTATGCTCCGACGTGCCAAGCGATTACAGTCTGTCTTTGACGAGTTCTGTACTAAATATGGACATTCGCATTTGAAGCTTGATCAAGAGCAATGGCGTCAGATCGACTACCTCCTTTATATCACTCAACCTTTCTTCCAATTCACGAATGCGCTTTCGAAAACAAAGGATGTTACCATACATCTGATCTTTGGTATCTATAATAAGCTTTTTGATCATCTTGAGAAGTCGATCAACCAGCTTAGATACAAAAAGGTACCTTGGAAGAAGATGATGCTAAATGCGCTTTATGTGGCGAAGACAAAGCTTTCCCAATATTATAGCAAGACAGATGGCGTTCCTGGAGACCTCTTTGCTATTGGAACAATGCTTGCACCGCAGAATAAGCTCCAGTTTTTTCTAGGAAAAGATTGGGGCGATGAGTGGCGTGATCGATATCGCCAAAGCTTTGTGGATTACTTTGAGTCTTATAAGCAACGTCTGTTACAGAACCAGACATTACTAGAGTCTCATATATCCACAACACAGACCTCGGAGTTTGATCTTGAACGGATGCTTAGAGAGTCTGAATCTCAGCAAACAAGCTTAACTGAGCGGGATGAGCTTTCAAGATATCTTGAATCTGGTCAGTATTATCTTGGTTTATTGTGTGTTTTATTAATAAATATTAGGTACTATCACTGGAGTAACCATTCGAGCGTTCTGGAAAGACCATCAACATGAATTTCCTGCTCTCGCAAGCCTTGCACGGGATATTCTTACAATTCCTGCTACAGGTGCAGGGGTTGAGCGTCTCTTTAACTCTGCTCGGGACATCTGTCATTACCGTCGAGGCTCTCTAAGATCTGAAACTATCCAGGAGCTCATGATGTATAGGTTCGCAACAAAATTTGAGCTTGAAGATGACAACCTTACTCTTAAGAAGGAGTATCTTACAAGTGGGGAGATTGAGACAGAGAGAGAAGAGAAAAGTCCTCAGTCACTACAGGATATTGATCCTATCAGTGATAATGAAGAGGAGGATATAGAGGTCATACAAGAGCCAGATACTACCCAGGGCCCTTCTCATGAAGCTTTATCTGACGATGAAGCTACAAATCCTCTCCCAGAGACTCAACAACGGATTTCAGGTAGAAGTCGGAAGCGGAGACGGGATGATGATCAGTTTATTGAGTATTAGCTATAGAATCAAATTGACCTTGTTTTAACCTCTTTAATACTGAGAAATCTCTTGAATCTTGACTGGTAGTTGTATATGAAATACTCAAAATTACAGCTCGAATATGCATAAAATATACAAGTCACGGGGTCCCACCTGTTTGTATTGTTTGACTACCCGCGGGTACCCAGAAAATACCCATGGGTATTAACCAGCTTCCCACTACCCGCACGCGGGTAGGCAAACCCTACCCATTACCCGCCAAGAAATGGGTAATGGGTACCCCGTTTGGGTAGACCCGCGGGTCGTGGCGAGGTCTAATTGTTATTGTATTCTAATCTAGGATTCTTAAATAACAGCTTGTTAAATAAGAATGATTAATTGCGAAAAACTAAATATATGGTGCTAAATGAGTGTCCTTATATATCCTAGTCCTTCTTATTACTAATATGTCTAGGATACATCGCTGATACATTCCGCGCATCACTGATATACAACGCTTATCGCTGATAAGCCGTTGCTGCCTTGCTGTCTTAGTAGCTTCCCGCTAACTGCTATGTGTTACGCACTACCTAGCGAGTCCCGGTAAGTGGATCCTCAAAGGTTA